AGTGTAATCTAGATAGAGGTTTTAAAAGAGGCTATAAGAGCTATATAATCTTACTATATCTAATATAGCTTATAAAGGCTAAACGAAGGTAAAAGCGTAAACTTAATAGATAATTTAAGGATTCTAGACTAGTTATAGATATTAACATACTATTAAATAACTAGTAGCTAGATCGTGTAGCTAAAGTTCTTACCTCTATAAGGACTACTCTAAGTAAGGTCTATTGTAACTAAATGTTATTAGACGTAATAGTAGTACTAGCTATAGTAGTAGCTTTAATAGATGCTAATAGCAACATTATTATGTTACCTAGTCCTATATACGTATAGAGACGAAAAAACTAACCCTTATCCTAAGTATAGATAGAAAACTACTCTATTCTAGATATAACGAATAAACTAGCCTTACTAATAAGTAGATAGGGACTAGGTAAACCAAAAAGGGAATAAATAACACTCTAAGTCCTAAAGGTAAAGGATAGACTAGAAAAACACCTTCTAATAGGAAAAGATAGTTAAGATACCTAATAAATAAAAGAAAAAGAGGATTAGCGAAATAGTCTAAGTAGACCTATATTTAGGGGTAGGGACCTAATAGGCTAGTCTTATAGTAAACCTAGGTACACTAGAAATAAGGAGAGTAGGGAGTAGGCTTAGTTTAATAGAAGCTAGAAACTACCTATAGAGTATAGTAGGACCTCTAACGTTAATAGACTACTATTAACTACTAACTATTAGTCGTAGCTTAGATTTTATAGGTAAAAACTAGTTAAGGGGCATCTTAATATAAGGCTATTTAGCTAAGGGGTCTACGCTAAAAGGGTACATTAGGATAGGTAAAGAACATAATGCCCTAGAATAGCGTAGACTAGTATTAGTAAGGGAGGATATAGAAAACCCTACGTAAAGGTACTATAAGGAAAAGGAGAAGGAGAAGGAAAGGGGAGGAACTAGTCCCTAGGAAGAGACTAATTAAGTTAAATATAGGGGATAGTAGTTTAATACTAGAACATAGTAGAGGGTCGTCTAGTAGCTTTACTAATCTACGAGCTAGATATAAGGGTCTACTTAGGCTCTCTAAGATTCTAGTAGGAACGGATCTAGATTATAGCTAACTAATAAGGACGTTAGTATAGTAATTACCTATAATCGATAGAAAAGAGTCTTAGAGTTAGTTCCTTTAAAGTACATCGATATTAGATCTTAGAACTAGATAGTTTTCGTAAGCGCTAACTAGTAGTAGTTAATGGACTCTACTATAAGTAGATTATATAATAAATTTAGCTACTATCTTAACATTAGACTTAGAGGATAGGACTACGCCTCCTAACCTTAATAGAGCCTAATACTACTAAGGTCTTAGAAGAGGAAACGAACCTAGATAAAGACCTTAGATAACTCTAACTAATAGAGACCTTATTAGGAGATTTAGGAGTAGGATGTTCTAATAAGCGATAATTAAATCCTTAGATAGTAGCTCTCCTATACATTTAATAGCCTATACTAGTAGTAGCTCTAGCGTTTGCTCTTTCCCTAGCTTACCTATTAAAAAACTCCTAAAGATATAAAATTCTTTAGTCGATTAGCTAGAAATTTTAGAACCTCTATATATAGAGGGAATAGAAGGACTAGCTAGTATACTATAGCGCGCTTTAAAAAGGACTTTACTCTATTCTATATAATGTCCTTTACTTAAGAAGGAAGGGAGTTATTTTCCTTTAGCTAAGATAGCCCTATTAGGAAACTAAAAGATCTATAGAACGCTAGTATCGTCTATACTAGAATATTATATCTAAGGGATAATATTTAGGATAGTAGAGCGTTAAGCCTTAGTATTCCTAGTCTCTTTCCCCTAAGTAGGCCTTTTAAAATAACTATAAGTAGGACGATCTAGATAACGTAGTTTATACTAGTTTTCTAGGCTTTTAAGTCAAGTAATTCTAGAAGAAAGACTAACTAGTTATTAGTAAGAAGGCCTCTCTAATTAGTAGCGTATTAGTAGAGATTTCTTTAGGGTCTCTTTAGATATATAACATAGTTAAGCTAAGAAGTAGAATAGGTTAAACGTAGAGGAGCTCGTATAGTACGAGTAGCTACTCGTAGATTACTATACTATATTAAGCTAAAATGGACCCTAGGAAGTAAGTAGGTAGACTCGTCCTTTAGATATAGATATATCTATAGTAGTCTAAATACTAAACTCGTAAAACCCTAACCCTATACTAACTAAAATCGTCTTAGGGATAGTTGCCCCCTAGGCGTCCTATTAGCTAGGCATTATAGGATCCTATACATAAGATTAGCGCTACTACTTAAGGCTTAATATATAGCTTACGCCATTATAGAATGGAGCTTAGTATACCTAGATTAGCTAGCTAGATGTAGTGTATTATAGAGCTAGAACCTAAATCCTAGGGCGTTAGATGTCTAAAGTCGTTTAAATCATAATCATTAGGAATAGTTAGTAGAAGAGTTAGGATAGGCCTAACCCTATTAGAAGGAAGGACATAGGTAGGCGATAGAGTAACTATTATAGTAAAAAGCTCGGCACTTAAGGTAGTAGTGTTTTTGCCTTCCTTAAGGTAAACTATCTTAGTACTAATCTTAGTAGTTAAATAGATCGAAGTAGTTATAGTGGTGCTAGTATAAGTTATGTTAGAGGAAGTAGCGAGGGCATAAGTCGTCCAATTTCTAGCTAGTAGAGCGAGCATAGAAGTAGTACCTAAGAAAACTAAAGCCTACAATTTTATGTTAGGTAAATAAATAGAAGTAGTAAGTATAAAGAGTAGATAATCCTAGTCTAGATTAGAAGGAGCTAAGTCGCTAGGCTGTCGAGTTAATCACTTAAGCTAGGCATAAGAGTTATAATAATATATTTGCTTAATACTATCTAAGGCTAGCGAGCTAAACAGTAATCATTCTCATAATGTTAGAAGCTAAGTATTATATTGTTTAGTGAACGTTTCGTATTTGATATATACTCGTAGGTATAAGAAGAATGTAATTAACAGACGCAAACGAGCAAACAGTCCCTTAAGGCTCAATTTTGAGTGAACAAATTCAATCCCTTATGTACTTTCAAACAAGACTACTATAACATCTTGACGTGATCTTGAAATTTGTCTCTCTTAACTACTAGAACCTTGAAGAATAGAAGTGTTCTCTGTACATGGGCAGATATCTGTCGGACAGCTAAGGAGAGTAAGTGAATTCTGTACATCTTCCTGATAAACCATTAATCAGAACCATAATCATGAGAGAACCAAGCAAGTGTATACGTACCTCTGTTTTCGCTCTTCTTAAGCATCCGGAACACTACTAGCCGAGCATCGTACTGAGGAGACCCAGGTTCGTCGCTTTTTTCTTCCAACCGCCTTTCTTTTGTGGCTGTTGCTGATACATGGGTGCTTGTTGAGGAGCCGTGTACCCCTGAGACGGATTGCCTTGAACAGGTTGTGCAGGCATGTTGTTGTCGCTGTATTCTGGTTTGGAGCTTCCACAACCCATGTTCTTGTTGATGAAATGTTGTTGTTTGGATCGAGTTGCAAGACGAGAGTAAGTGGTTGTGTAAGGACCGTAGGCGTGTTGGAAGTGGGAACAGGGTGGAATAAGGACAAAAATGGAGAGTGTCAGGCGGTCCAATCTCGGCAGGATGTAGCGTGTTGTTGTTACGGCCGCTAGGACTTACGAGTCACGACTCACGAAGGATCAGGATTCGTATTGCACGAACCATCAACATGAGACTAAGCTTCAACAAGCTCAGGAGTTCGCATGCTTATTTGATTAGTCTCTGTCACCAAGGAGGAAAGCGACGTTTAGCAAAAGCTGCATATACACGAAACTGATCGTCCCACTCATATACCAAACACTGCATTTGTCAAAACGTCCAATCACGATTCGTGCCATCGCAATATCGAAGATGGTGATCTTCGTGTCTTCGTATTGCTCCAGTTCTCATATAAATCTCTCAAGCCCTTTAAATCAGGCAAGCGACAATGCGACAATGCGACAATGCGACAATGCCCGGAAACCACTTGCAACAGTCGCCGACACTCGTCCTGGATTGAATGCGGCTGAGCGCGATAAATTGTCTTGACAATGTCTGTCTCACCGAGACGCGAGACCCTAGTGGGTGGCAAACCCGCCTTTGTAACGCAGGGAACAAATGCATTGAGGGGGCCACTTAAACAGAGTTTCTATAGTGTTTCCTCTGAGTGACCATCAGGCCGAATGCGCTATTTGCGAGTCATCACTCAGGAACATCGCTAAATGTGTTCCTCTACTGAATCACAATCCTCAGAGCGTTGATCGACAGCGTCTCGTTGCTACGACTAACAGAAACATCTAGTTGCACAAGTAGCATCGAGAAAGACGACCGGTCACACCTCGTGACGAGGATTATGTAAAACCTGCTCGAGGGTATGAGCGTAGATGAGTCGTGCAGGACCCAAGGATCATTAGTTATTTGTCGAGTCGTGTAACTGTCGACTATCAGAATCCGACCTCGGACAACACCTCGTATAGCAGCTGACTTCCTCAGTTTTGATCGACACAACGCAAATCGCAGTGCAAACGTAGGTCATCAAGGATTTAGCTCGAAAGTCATCGGTAATACACATCAGCAACCGTTACATCACGTTGCACAACACAATCCCTCAGCACTCCGATGTCCTTGCACTGGATCGTTGAGCACTGCGTAGGATTGATGGTAGAGAACTCAGAAGAGGACAGACGTCATGTTGAGAAGGATCAATAGTAAGAACACATGCTTTGGAGGATCATTAGTACGACTCCATGTTGAGAAGGATGCAGGCAGCAGAGCTGAAGACTGACCATCTCTAGCGATTTCCAAAGGACTAAGTCACTCAGGTGCCTCGAAGGGATATAAAAAGGGTCACGAATGCCAATATTGCTTCTACTATCATCAACTCACATCCTCTGCATCAATCATCAGCTCCTACTTCACCAAAATCCAACTTCCCCCTCAGAACAACCGCAAACATGCAATTCACCATCGTCGCCGCTCTGGCCATGGCCGCCACCGCTTTCGCTGCTCCAGTCGAGGAGGCTGCTCAGCCCCAGGTCCTGATCTCCCTTCCTCCCGGTTGCACCAAGAGCAACCTAGCCAGTGAGTATACAATCCGTTCCACAGTACTCAGGGATATAACATGCTGATGCAATACCCAGAGTGTGTCTTGCACCTCGCCAGCACCGGTGGCAGTTGTGCTGCCGCCGCTGCCGAACTCGGTGCCAACCCCATCGCTGACTTGAGTTGCGTCGGTTCTGCAGCCGGCACCGCAGCTAACTTTGATGAGTGCAAGAGCTGCATTCCCAAGAGCACCAGAGTCATTGAGAACTAGACTGTCACGAGGAGGAACTGTGACGTGGGAAGCGTGGGACGCTGCGCACAACCTATCGCAACTTGTTGCTTGACGGCCGTCAATATCACTATCTTTACTGCAGAAATATATGTTATCAGAAACTTCGTTTCATCAAACGCATCCATGATTTGATCCATCAAGATTGGAAGTATATGCAAAGTGCTTTGTCTTTGTTGGTCTTGTGTTCGATCTAGATGTTATCTGCTTTGAATGGACTATTACACAAGTATTGAGAAAACTGTATCCGGTCGTCTCTGAAGTACGGCATTGCTCCATTATAAGGTCAAGTCTTCTCGTTGGATTTGTTGGAGGTCCATCAGTATCTAAGCCGTTAATGCAAGTTGCAGAAGCCAACATGGTGTTTGACATTGTGCTATGTTGGACTGTCAAAAGCAGGTTGCATTCTTTGTGACAGCTACACAAGATATGTTATTGGCGACTTTTGACGCGGTTCGTTAATGCGGCACGGTTAGCCGAGAAGCGCCTTCCGCGCGGCACGACATGGAAAAATATATTATGTCGATAGCGTGATTGCAGCTTTTTTGGTACGAGACGGATTCTTCGATTTCGAGAACGCTAACACGAGTTGTATATGCCGCGCGTGTTGGTGAAGAATGCCTCGGCGTCACAATTTCCAGATGAGAACCAGAGCCGAGCCAGACCTCTCCTCGATCACAGGTTTCATGTTGGATTACGAACACCGTTAATTGGTCCGATCAATGAGTGAGGCTTTTGGAGCAGTTTGATGTGATCGGTCTCCTCCGAAGATTATCTCTTGCGGCCAGCGTAAGAACTCCGACCATTCCAGACCGAGAATATCAGCAATCCTGTTGATGAGAAGAGTGGGCCAGCCATCCAAATGCCAAACTTCCGGAGTCAGTGAGATAAGGACAGCATAATAAGCCAGAATGACAAGTGCGACTGGCTTCCTCTCCTCGAGCATTTCCCGATATACTGTCGGTAGCGTCACAGACCAAGCATCTACCAGATATATCAGTGTCGGATAGTTGTAACCATCGTCCATCAGATGCGCGATATATCTGAAAGTCTTGTCGACCGTTTGGAGCGCGACTTTACTTCGTTCCGGATCTTCCTGGCCCAAGGCGAGAGCATTGATGGATGGATATGTCGTGAACTTGTCCTTCAGCGAGTTTCGCATCTCTTCTTCTTGATCATCTACCAGATCTGGGATGTTGCTATTGATCCAGGTGTGTTTGAGGTATGGCCAGTATTTGGCGGCGACCATGTTGATACCACGGCTGAGTTGAAAACTCTCAATGATCTTATCGATGGGATCAGTGTTATCTTGCAGCTGATGGGGGTTCAGCATGTACTCGGCGCGACTGAATGCTGCCGTATTGCTCGCGAAGATCAAAGCCGCAATGCTATCATCCTGTGTCATATTGATCAGAATGGGTTGGACCTGCTCGATAGCGATTCCTTGCAGATAACATGCTCGCTCCCATAGCTCTGTTTTGGTACGGTTCTGTTTGAAGAGATGCAGGGCAGAAAGAGCCAAGCAGTTGTGTAGAACGTAGCTGTGCTGGTGAGAGATGTCCACGACTTTCCGACCAACTTCTTCACGATGAGCTTTGTCGCTTCTCATGCTACTGCTATATGTAAACACAAAATGATGATAGAGTTCCAAATCAAGCATGCATAGAGGCTGCTGGCTTGTGACCGAAAGCGTTGGCGGGATTGGCGATACTGGCCGAGAAGTCGAATTTACCGACGAGATAGATGATTCGGGCTTCAAAGTGGCCGGATCGGGCCTATATTCACACTCCAGACCCAATCGATCGCATCTTCCACACCTCGGCTTGATTTCGTTGCACTTGTGCTTGTCAGCTGACGTGCGATCATGGCAGATGGGTCGTGTCACCAACTTTGATGTGTATCTTCTTGCATTGCGCGCAACCAGCACGGGATTTTCGATGCGGCGCTCTCTTCATCAGGGGACTGATGTACAGGCTGAAAGAGTACAAGTGGAACGTGTAATTCAAAGCAAGCGAGGTGACCACGTCAAAGTTGTGCCCATCAGTGGCAAGACGCGTGCGCTTTCTTCTATCAGATCTGAATGTTGTCCAGAGTCTCAGAATTGAATGTTCCGGAGATGGTGGGTGCGACCGAAAAAGAAAAAGGCATGAAGGTGATTGGTGATGGCAGAACAGAGCAGATGTCAAGGCGAAGCTGCGCCCGCTGAGAAGAGAAGGTCTTGCCGATACCGACTTCTTGCCGAAACGTTGACATCGTATTCCGTATTCGTTGTAGCAAGAGCGATCCCGACTTTCTTCTGTGCTATATACAACTTTCCAAATCTCAAGACTATCTACTCCCTATCAAACAGTGATTGACCCCTCCAATTTGATGTCCCTACTACTCGCTCCGACCCAGACAGCATACTGCCCAGCCTGCAACTTCCACTGCTGAGCCACCACATCCCACACACTAAGATCCCTCCTCGTCAATGGCAAATTAACCCTCTTGCTCTGCCCGGGCTGCAGTGGCACCCTCTCAAACCCCCTCAGTTGCTTCTTTGGCGCATCGGCAATCCCCACATACAATTGCGGTATCTCATTCGCAAACACATCGCCGGTATTCGTAATCTCGAACGAGACTGCGAAGAGTTCATCCCAGAGCTGAGGGTGTCCGCCTTGTGTTATTGCAACCCCAGCGTCAGGATGAGGTGACAAGTTCCCACCTGCGAGTCTAGAAGTCTGCAATCTCGAATAATTGAAGGTCGAGTAGGAAAGTCCATAGCCGAACTCGAAGCGGGGAGTTATGTTATAGCGGTCGAAATGGCGGTAGTCGATATACACACCCTCTGAAAAGTTGGACTGAGGATGAGGGTCAAAGGAGATTGTCGAATTGAGCAAATTACCATAATCTTCTTCCTTTTTGGCGACGGTGTAGGGGAGACGGCCGGAGGGTGAAACATCGCCGTAGAGGATATCAGTTAGCGAGTGACCTGATTCCTGACCAGGGAGACCGGCGAAAAGGACGGCTGTGATGTTGGGGTGGTCGATCCAGGACTCTACGACACGGATGCCAGCGCTGTGAATTACAGCGATGGTGTTTGTGCAGTTTGCGGCGACGTTCTTGATCAAGTTATCGCTGAACTCGTCAGCCAAAGTTGTGCGGTCGAAGCTCTCAGATGCGTAGGCGTTGACGAAAACGAGGCAGGCATCAGTGTTGACGTAGGGTGGGGAAGGGTTCTCGGAGTAGAAGTCCCAGCGAAGAGTGCCTTTATCTTTGGCAATGCGTTCCTGGATGGCTTGGAAAGGCGAGATCACATAAGGAGGCGTGCTGCCACCTGAACCTCCACCAGTGATCATCGTGCCGTTGAAGGTATCCCAGCCGAAGTTGACTTCGTAGCCACCGCCGTATCTGGATGGGTTCTGCCAAGGGGTTGCTTTTATGGTAGCATCATATCCGTAGATGGATAAGAAGCGAGGATTCTTGAGGGGCAAAGTGCTGTTCACGTTCTTGACAAGCACAGTTCCTGCAGCCCCAATCTCTCTGATCAGGTCCGAGTGGTCTTCTTGCACGTTGACGGGTTCTTGGAGTTGAAGATTACTGTGCACGGCTGCTGCAGGGTAACCGTCGCCTTGACCGACGTAGAAGAAGGACGCTAATTGACGAGTCACCATATCGTCGAGACGATCGAGAGTTACCGAGCCATTGTTGACAGCATTGGTGAGATTGCCGCCCCAAAAGTCTCCGTCGGGCATGATCAAATCAAGACCAGCGTTTGCAGACGCGACACCAGAGTGCTGAGCCTCCCAATCAGACATGACGAAGCCTTGGAAGCCGAGCTCGGTTTTGAGAACACCGTTCAACAGCTTCGAATTCTGGCAGCCGTATGAGTTGTTGGCGCGCTGATAACTGCACATGACAGCGCCAACGTTTTCGCGAAGCGAGTCCATGAAAGGGTAGGCGTAGAGCTCATGAAGGGTCCTATCGTCGGTATTGGACGACATTGCTGCTCTATGTTAGCATCTGACAAACAGAACAAGATACTGATGGTGGGTTACCTTCACCTTCTCCGACAGCTGGATTACGACGGAATTCTTCTTCGTTCAGAAGCCAATGCTGAAAACCGGTCAGCACGTTTCTGCACTTCTTCCCGTTGTGACACATACTTTTGCAGTGGCGATCACGCCAACATCTTGGATACCTCTGGTAATGGCTCCCATACCCGCACCAGCGAGGTGAGGGTCGGCCGAAAGACCCTCCCAATTACGACCACCTCTGGCAACTCTTCCCAACGGACCTGCAACGGGTCCAAGAGCAATATTAATGCCCTTACCACGGTACTCCTCACCCAAAGCACGACCATACGCATACAGCAGATCCTTGTCGAAGGTCGCGGCAACGTGAATGCCAGCAGGAAATGCACTGACGAACTCTTGGCCACGAATACCATCAGGTGCATCGGCAAGACACATTGGCTCGATACCGAGACGGGGTACAGCGCCGGTGTTGCCTACGCAGGTGCCAGTGAAGCCGCGGGTGACATTGACCTTCTCCTCAAGTGTCATCTGAGATAAGAGATTACGTGCTTGAGCATAGGCATTGGCCCATTGAGGACTGCTTGATCCATTGCCGGCAGCTGGGCGAACATCAGCGACGAGGACGCATAGCTGAGAAACGAGGTAACTTACGAGAAGGATACACTGGAGGACTCTGTCCATAATAAGGATCAGACACATTGGTATAGCTCCAAGAAGTGTAAGCCGCAGCGGGACCTGCTAACGCCAACAATGCGTTGACTGAAAGAACAGTCTTCATGATAAATGTTGGCAATGGTAGAACCAAGCATCAAACGGCGGCGTGACAAGCATGTTAAATACTCATCATCGGGAAATGTATGTCCCATAACAAGACTACATCCACATCTTGGCGAAGGTGAGTTTCCCAGGGTATGGAAGGTCAAGGGAGGTATAGCGGTGACGATCAATATGGAAGTGGCTTAGACGGATGCCACCACTGCAGGCACGCCATCGGCCGACGTGATGTGTCATGGTCCTCGAAGTCATTCCAGCCTCGTTGATTGAGCGAGACTTATCTTTGATATGCGCCATGATACATTGGGTTTTTCATACGCGGATGTGAGGCGACCATACGCTTGAAGAGAAGTGCTCGATCCAAGAGGGTGAAGGTGGATGAAAGCGAGAAGGCTGGGGAAGGTGTGCACTCCGCTCGAAGGAAGTGGGGTGAGGTTGCAATGCGGGGCCGCTCTCGGAGGTCTTCGGATGCCTAAGGAGAGAAAGCCGAAAGAGCCGCAATCAATGCTTGGAGTGCCACCCTGGCAAAGCTTTGTCGAGGTCGGCGACGATGTTACCTTAGGGGTTCTCGGTTTCTGGATCAGTGGTCAGCATACCCGACTCTGTCGGTATTTCCTGACAGTTCTGCGATACGATAGGGTGTATGGTTCGCTAGATAGCCCTGTTTTTGAGATTCTCAGACTTCGTAAAATGATCCCATTGAATTTTTGCCGACATTCAAAATCACGAGGTTGTAAATGTGTTTTCGGACATATCAACGACAGCAATCCATATCATGGTAGATTGAAACGACGAAATGCTGCAGAGATATGATGGAGATCTACTGAACATGCAAGAATGGAGATCCACGCTGTTGTGAGAGCACCACGTCGCTAGAGATGTCGGAAGCACCTGTAAAAGGTGCGACCCTGACCAAAGGTCATACTCCAAATCCAAGATAAATGAGGTTGACGTCCGTCAAATATCATTGAATATGGCTGATGAGATAAGAGAAGATAGGGATGGAAAGCTAAAGGGGTATCAATTGTGGCAGTACTTTTAGATGACTTGCACGTCTCGGAACAGGCTATCAAGACACGACTCTTCTCATCGAAAGACGCTCATCTTCTGCGAGGCATCATTCTGACCTTGGGGAAGTCGAGAGGAATCTTCAGCTTGGCGACTCTGCGTTGGGCAGCGACAGCCTTGTTGGGGATCTTGAAGTCGGCCTGCTCCTTTTCTGTTGGGTTGTTGACCTTGCAGCCCAGCTCCATGAAGTATTGTGACATTCTGCAGGTATTATTAGCATGTTGGGATTGAAGGGTAGGAAAAGCAAGAGAGGACGTACTGCTTGTTCTCTAAGCGCAAGTCCTCGCGCAGGTCGTGTGTGTCGGTCTTGTAACCATCGATAAAGAGCGAGATGGCGGCCATGTGTGTGATCAGGTTGTCCATGTGCCACTTGTTGAGCTCGTTGTTGTCCGAAAACTTCCTCCTCACACTCTCGATCAAAGTCTCTGGCCACTCTGCCAACTTCTGCCTCAACTGGTCTCTCGGTGGCACCTTCTTGCCGCCTCTTCCTTGCTTGAGTGCAAGATTGAACTCGATCAGAAGCATAAGGTACTTCAAAGCCTTGAGTCTCTGCACATCGTCGCGTGTGGCAATGGCAGCGATACGGTGAGCGACAAATCTCGATGTCAACTTGACGTCCTCGCCAGCAGCAACGGTATCTTGCCATTCCTTGACTGTGAGAGCCTTCATGTCGGCGGCAGGCACAAGAGTTCCAATGGGGTAGACGTTCTCGGCCTCTGTGGCGTTGAGGTTGGGCTTGGGAATGGGCTTCGAGGCCAGGATCTCTTCTTGCTGGGCCTGTTTGGCGGGCATGGCGTCCGAAGCCTCCTTGACACTGTCCATGACGGCAGACTCGACATTATCGAGCTTACCTCCCACACGGTTTCTGTCGGCGTTGGATGTGATGGCGTTTTCGACCTTGGAAGCAAGTGCCTTCTTGGCCTTCTTTGTACCGAAAGCCTGACCCAGATCCTCGCGCTGTTGGGCGAATGTGCGCACGGCGTTCTGCGCAGCGACTTCTTGTGCTTCAGCGCGAAGGTTGGTACGGAGAGTGACGGAGTGGGCGGGGAGGACCTGGAGGGAGGAGGATTGAGGATCGTAGACGGCGACGTAGTGGGTCAAGTCTGAAGTGGACTGCTGTTGGGCGGTAAAGTCGAGACGAGCATGTGATGAAGAGTGCAGCAAGAGCGAGTGTGTTGAAGGAGCGGGCGAGTCGCTGTCTTTCTTGGTCGAGTTGGCCTTGACGAAGGGCTTGAACGGCGCACTGGGGACATTGAGACCGGGAGCGGCAGCTGTACACAGAGTCAGACAATTGTCCAGTGCCGAGTATTCGAGATTGACAGGCGCATACCGATGACCGGAAACAGTTCGTCGCGCGGTGCTGGGAAGCGGACGTTGATGGCGGCGCTGGAAGCCTTTTTGTTCGGGGCATCGACTCCCTCGGCAGCCCTCTTCCTCTTCTTGTCGTCGTGTCCGGCCATTGTGTTTGCTGAGCGTGAATGATTGATGCGCAACTCGAACTGCACAGTCGTTCCTTCCCGTCCAAACTTTTTACAAAAGCGAGTCGCCATCTCCGGACTTCAGGCCCGGCCAGAGTCATGCAGCTTGGTCTGTGCACGCTGAAGCAGTTACTGCTGTGACGTGTGTGCGGGCGCGCGACTGCCAACAAACAGGGAGAAAGCCTGCTTTCCTCCCGTCTACAAAGTGAATCGCGGTCTGGCCCGTCTCGAGTTGCGTACAAAGCAGCTGCCTTGTAATCTGTGAAAATACAGCTAAGTCGTGTCTTCTCATTCTTTCTCTGAGAAACAACAGAGTCAAGAGCACTGGTCTACTCCTTCCTACAGACCTGAGACATTCTCCCGTCATCTACCTTTCCTAGTCTCAACCTACTTCGGAGCTCCCTTCTTCTCCGCCATGTCTGGCATTGTGAGCACCATTGAAGGCCTGGCAAACACGGTAACAACCAAAGCCATGGCCATTGTCGACTCGGTCTTCCCGCCAGAGCGCCGTCAGGAGCTTCTGACCAAGCTCCAGCAGTTTGCCATCAAGAACCCCAAGCTGTCGGTATGTTGATCTAGTCTGGTCGCAACCACGGAAGCCCACTAACAAGCATGCCAGGCCTTTCTCCTCACCAACATTGCCCTGACGGGCCCGCCCATGTTCCTATTCATCCTCTTCACCTTGACCGTCTTCATCTTCTCGCTCGTCGTTGCCCTGCTGGTCGGCCTGCTCGTTGCCATTGGATTCACCCTCTTCATGGTTATTGTTGCCCTGGTCATTCTCTTCCCGACCGTCTTCTTTACCACCCTTGCGGCATGCTTCTTCTTCCTGTGGGGCCTGGGTGGATATTACCTCCTCAAGTGGTTCAACAAGGGCGAGTCTCCTGCAGCCCAGGGTGATGCTATCGGCGACAAGATCAATGCACTCACTGGTGGAAGACTCGACTTCATCATGGGTGGTGCACGTCAGGAATACCCCGACCACTCTGGTCAGAACGGCAAGGATGAAGGAAGTCCCAAGCAGAATGGCAAGCCCAGGAAGCTGCAAGACAACCCGGCCAAGTCAACCGGAGTCGACATGGGAAAGCAAGCCGACTCGATCAAGAAGAATGCCAATGTGGGTAACGTCACCAACAAGGCGACCAAGCAAGCTAACCTGGATGGAGTAACCAAACAGGCCGGAGCTGACGGAGTGACCAAGAAGACGGATGGAGTGACTGGCACGGCAAAGGGACTGGCAGGAGGAGCGGCAGGAGGACTTGTTTAGCCTGCACTGACGGAGCGGTCTCTACCTGAACTTATGTGGTCTGCCCTGACTGAACGGCCTCTTGTTGATTGATTGACTGGTATTGAATGGCATAGCGATGGTTTTGGTATAGCATTTGATTATCCTATGGGAGCTGGGGATGATGGAAGAACGACTTGTGTATGAATATCTTAGCAGAATTTTATAGTTTCAGCATACCTATGTATTGTTCCATGACTGATACGAAACGTGGAAGTGAATATCTAGTAGGTAAGAGTGAAGGATGTGGATGAACAATGACGCTTGATGGTATTGAGCACAGACCTCCAGTTGCTGGCTGGCGGCGGCAGTGGATGAAGCTTGAGTTTGACGAATGACAAAGGCACGCGCGACAAGCGAATCGTGAGCGCAACCATCGACGACTTGCCCACGCCTTTCATCAACAGGAACTGACGTGTCTATCACACCGACAAACTTGGACTGCCTGGACCCTGCGCTCAACCAAGGCGCAACCCCACAAGAAAGCACGACTCTTGCTCTCGGATTGCAGCAAACACTCGACACTCACAACACATGTTTACGACATAGACTCTCTCGCCATCCTTTGTAGCCATGGCGCCTGGTCAAGCAAAGAGAAAGCGTCCGCAGGATGACAACCAGTCGCGCGCCTCACCACACCGTCCAGAGAACCTCAATCTCGCCCAGCAGAACCAGCGCAACAACCGTGGAGGAGGTGGAGGTGGCCGCAATAACAACGCAAACCGCTCGAACAACTCGACTCCAACACACAACCGTCATGGCAACTTCTCACAACCCTCGTCGGCCAGAGGCTCGCCTGCCCAACCCCCGCACACTCCGCAACAGAATGCGCAACCGCTGCAGCACCAGCAACCCGTCGAGCCAACACGCCCTGCCCTGACTTCGACTCCTTCTGCCACGCCGGCTCCTCCTCTTGTACTCCCGCAATATCCGCCGACGCCTAAGGAACCGCCGGCACCCTACGCTTACGACTACTTGACCGACGACGCTGTGAGCGCATGGCAGGCAAGGGGAAAGCAATCAGTGCTGGACGCTCTGGACCAGGCAGAAGACAAGGACATGGTGTCGAGCCTCGTCATACAAGAGCTGCTGAGGACAACACTGGACGGCCGTCTTTCTGCTGGAGAATGCGCCGAAGTGCTGAAACATGTCGCTCCGACCGACGAGCTGCAGTCCGTCTTTGCCGACACGCTGGCCTTGCTGGACGACGGCGACTGGAAGAATCCCGTTCTCAAGACGCTCATCTACCACGCCGGCCTCTCGTCCCATCTCCTCCGCAACGAACTCGACATTGAGCCGCTCTCTGCACTCAATCTTGTGCGCAACACCTTCTCCACCATTCGCAACCGCAAGACGACCAACCTCATCTACCGCCAGGCCAACTTCAACCTGCTACGTGAAGAGTCGGAGGGTTACTCGAAACTTATCACCGAATACTTCAATGCCGCCAATGCTGGTTCAACATCCGATCTCATCGCCGAAGACACGTTCCAACGCATCAAGGCTCTCGTCGGTTCTTTCGATCTCGATGTCGGTCGTGTCTTGGATATCACTCTGGACGTCATGGCCAATCTCTTGATCAAGAATTTCCGCTTCTTTATAAAATACTTACGCGCGAGTTCGTGGTGGCCGGAACAGCACATCCCGGAAGGCTTCCACACTCAGGGCCAAGGCTTCTCTTCTCTACCGGCCTGGGCTCTTCCCCATTCTGCATCATGGGGTCCTTCTGCCGATCAGCGTGCCCAACTCGCCGCTCTCAAGGAAGCTCGTGATGTCGACTTCTGGCAAAAGGTTCGCACCGTGGGTATGGATGCCTTTTTCGACATTGGCGCTCTCCGCATTACCAACAAAGACTCGGCTGCTGTATCTGACCTCCTCAACACCGAATTGGAGCCAGAACTCGATGCTCGAGGCAAGGAGATGAACAAGATTCGTCGTCTGCGTACGAACAATGCCAGGAAATGGATGCGTCAAACTGGCTGTGTCGTCCCTCCTGGTAACCCGGATGCTGCTCAACTTCTCGGTTTTAAACTCGCCTTTTACTCTTCAGCAGCCCGCGACAAGCACGACGTTCTCCCCGATAATCTCATCTACCTCGCCGCTTTCCTCATCAAGATTGGCTTCATCTCACTGAGAGACCTCTACCCCCATCTGTACCCTCCGGATGAGAAGATGGGCGAGACAAAGGAGAGATTGGAGAAGGAGAAACTCGAAAGAGAAAAGGCTGCGAAGCCTGGCGGTGGCGCTCTCAATGCTCTGGCCATGGCTGGCGCTCTTGCTGACGACACTGCCCCTGCTCCTGCTGGTGGTCGTGCTCTTCGAGACATTGCATCTGGCCGTGCGACTCCGAAAGTTGAAGCCGATGCTGCTGCTACAGAAGATGGCGACAAGGAAGCCTTGCCGGAGCCTGCGAACCAAAAGGTCGCCTTGGTCAAAAGTCTTCTCGCCATTGGTTGTCTGCCTGAAGCATTGTACATCCTTGGCCGGTTCCCTTGGTTGACGGAACTTGTTCACGAGCTGCCTGAATACATTCATCGCATCCTACATCACATGCTCACAAAGGTGTACGAACCGGCAAGACCGCTCGCCAACAGACCTGGCATGAATGACGCTAGACCTCATCTCGGTGAATCTGCTCCTCAGTCTTCTGGTCAGCCAAAGGGTCAGCTCAACTTGACACCTGCACCACCGACAAAGACTCTGAGATGGGCAAATCTCGACCGCCCTGATCATGGTGATGCAGTTGAATACAAGTTCTACTGGGATGACTGGGTCGATAATGTTCCCGTTTGCCAGACAGTCGACGACGTTTTCCAACTTTGCAGCACTTTCCTGAATTTGACTGGTGTCAAGATTGGAAGAGACTCTGCTCTCCTGATGAAACTTACTCGCATTGGCAAGAAGAGCTTGACAGACGATCCTTCAGAGACCAACTACGCTCGCTGGATCGATCTTTGCAAGCGCCTGCTTGTTCCTGCTCTCAGCTTGACCAAGCACAACACCGGCGACGTCAACGAGATGTTCGAGCTCCTCAAATTCTTCCCCACCAGCACCCGCTACGCGATTTACGCCGAGTGGCACTACGGCACCACTTCTCGTAATCCTGACATTAAGTCTGCCTTTGACCTCACTAAGGCCGAGACCAAAGACGTCCTCAAGCGTATCAGTAAGACCAATGTCAGAGCTATGGGCAAGGCGCTTTCAAAAGTTGCCTTTTCTTCTCCTGGTATCGTCATGCAAGTCGCAATCCACCAGATGGAATCCTACGACAATCTTATTGACGTTGTCGTGGAATGTGTTCGCTACTTTAGCATGCTCGGATATGATGTCTTGACCTGGTGTCTGATGAATGCTCTTGGAGGCGGCGGCAGAAACCGTGTACAAGCCGATGGTATGCTTACCAGTCCTTGGCTACGTGCGCTTTCCACATTTGCCGGGTCAATCTTCAAACGCTACTCTGCCATGGATCCTTCTCCTATTCTCCAGTATGTCACTAACGAGCTTCGTGCTGGCAACTCGACCGACCTTGAGGTTCTCGAACAGATCATCACCGAGATGGTTGGTATCAAGTCTGATATGACCTTCAATGAGTCTCAAGTTCTTGCTATGGCTGGTGGCCCTGTCCTAAAGGCTCAAACACTTATCTCCCTTCTTGATGAAAGACACAAGATGGAGAAGCCCTCCCGTCGTCTGATCAAGGCACTCACGGAGCCTGGACTTGCTGGACAGCTTCTGATCTCAGTCGCTCAAGAGAGTCAGATGTATGCTCACCACGAATCTACCCAAGATGCACCACTCAAAGTGCTCGGAAACAACATGGACAAGCTTTATCAGGTCTTCAACCAATATCTTGAGACTCTCAGGTGCACACTATCGCCAGAGGAGTTCGATGCTGTCGTTCCGGACACGGTCAGCCTCATGGGTGACTTCGGTCTCGAGCCCTCAATCGCTTTCATGATTGGTCGCGCAAGTATCGCTCATGCTATTGCTGAGAGCGATGCAGCCAAGAAAGCAGAACAGCAAGCAAGAAGATCAAGCCATTCAGCTGCTGCGAACGGTGATGTCACCATGGCCGATGTCGATGAGAAGGATGTCAAGAGTGAGGAAGTCACATCACCACCCACCGATGAGAAGCCCATGTTGTCCCTCACAGAGTCCGATGCAGAGATGAAGAGTGTCGCGCATGCCAATGGTGTCGATACCGCGACTCCCACGCCATCTCCTGAATCTCACTGGCACCCCGTCTTGACACCCTTGATCGAGAAGACGCGTGACCTTCTCGGCGACAAACTCGAACAGAGTATCAGCATTCCTTTCTACGTAACTTTCTGGACCCTCGGACTTGAAGACATCCTAGTCAACACCAATAGTTATGACCAGGAACTCGCTACTCAATCTCACCTCATCACCCAGATCAACAACGACCGTCTCGATGTCGGTGGCAAGGGTATGCAAGACAAGGAGAAGCGCAAGAAGGCCATCTCTGAGTTGAGAGAAAAGCTCACCCAAGAGATGAAGAGCCAGATTGGCGCTTACACTCAAGTTAGAAACAGGCTCAACAAAGAAAAGGAACACTGGTTCACCGACTTCCATAACAAGGTTGAACTTTTGCACACCAGTCTCCTCCAAAATTGCTTCCTGCCGAGAATGACAAACTCCCCTCTGGATGCTCACTACACATACATGATGCTGAAGTTCCTCCACAACAATGGCGCACCTGGATTCCGTACTATGCATCTGCTGGACCGTCTTTTGCGCAAGAACCAACTCGCCTCTCTTATGTTCCAATGCACACCTCGCGAGTCCGAGAACTTCGGTCGTTTCCTGAACGAAGTCTTGAAAGAGTTGTCATCCTGGCATGCCGATAAGAATGCATACGAAAAGAATGCATTCGGAGCAAAGAGACAACTCACTGGATTTGCAAGAAAGCTGAACCCTGACAACACACCGCAGACCTTCCTGAACTACGAAGAATATCGTGTCTTGCTTTACAAGTGGCACTCAAACCTTACCACTGCCTTCCAGATGTGCTTGGACTCTGGCGAGTACATGCATATCCGCAATGCCATTATCGTCTTCAAGGCTGTTGCTCAACAATACCCTGTCGCCGAGCCGATGGGTCACATCATCTTGGATGCAGTCACTGCTCTGAGCAAGGACAACGGCAGAGCCGATCTCAAGCTTGCTGCAGCAAGTACCTTGGGTGACATCCGCAAGAGACAGTCTTCTTGGATTTCCAAGGAGAAATTTACAGGAGTGAGTACCGAAACACCGCCACCACCAAGCAACAAACCTAACATTATCAAGAAACCCGACCCGAACGCAAGACCCATTCCTTCCCGAGCCGAGACTCCGGCTTCTCGCACTTCAACACCACTCAATCCTACCGCGCATCCTTTCAAGGCACCTCCAGCTCAAAATCAGCAAGCCGAGTCCGAAGATGGAGAGATCGATGACGATAAGATCGCTTCGAACAAGGCAGCCGCAGCTGAGAAGAAGCACGAGACATTACCTGAGAGAAAGGCCGACCTCAAGCCGCTGCCGAGAGCGAATGAAGGCCAGTCAAGAGCACCTACGCCCTCACAGCGTAATGGTTCAAGACCTTCATCTACTGCACCCACCAGAACACCACACTCTCTCCCTAGCAAGCCAGAGTTGCCACCTAACAGACCTGCACCAGGACGAGGCCCTCCCGGACACCTACCGCCATCCAGACATGAATCTCGTGAACGTGGTCATCCTTCAGAGTACGGACGGCTCGACAGACCCAGCGAGGCCATGCGCGCGACACCGACGGGTGTGCCAAGAGACGCCTCTCCTCCTCTTGCAGCACGTGGCGGCAGAGGTCGCCAAAGATCACCAGAATACCCTCCGCGTGACGACAGACGTGACCATTACGGTCGAGGAACGCCTCTTGCAGCACCAGAACCGCGTATTCCCGAACGTGGCCCTGAGCGTGGTCCTGAGCGTGGTCCTTATGGCCCGGACCGACCTCACCCTGGAAGAACCTTACTCCAAGAAAGCAGAGGATATCCTGGTGGTCCTAGTCCGATGGCTCCTCCTCTCGATCGCCCAGGATACGACAGGCCCGAACGTCTTGACCGCCCTGATCGCCTCGATCGCGCCGAGCGTGTCGAACGCGCAGAAAGACACGACCGCGAACCTCCAGTGGGTAGAGCACCTCCACACTCTTCTCAACCTCCACAACCTGCAGTCAGCGTCAATCCTGAGCGTCTTGCATTGATTGCAGGAGATGCTCCACTGGTTGATCGCAGATCCAGGGATTCATCTCGTGATGATCGAAGAGCGAGAGACTCAAGACCACAGTCGCCGAAGCGACCTGTTGATCTTCCACAACCAGTGGCGTCTGCAAGAATGGAAGAACCACCCCGTAGAGTGCCTCTTGATCCTAATCCTTTCACATCTCGTGATGTACCTCGCGGCCCGCCCGAAAAGGTCGAGAAACGCGAGGAAGCTCCACCAACTGGACCCGCTGCGAACCGTAGTGGTAGAGCTGGTCGCATTGATATCCCTGCCAAGCCTTCCGCCCGCGAATTGTTTGAACCAGCAGGTCCTAGAAGGGCTGTTGATGCCAGCATGCAAGATCCCAACTATGGTCGCTTGAGCGCAGCACCTGAACCTCCCTCAGGACCACCTCTTGGTCCAAGAGGGTTCGCCGGTAACAATCCTAGGAACAACTTCAACACCTCACAAGCTGCTCCGAATGTCCGTCCTGGTGATGCCCGGGATGTCCAGCATGCCCCTCAGGAACCCAATAATGGTCGCGGTAGACGCCCTCCACATGATCGTCAATCTTCGCAATCGCAATACCAGCCTCAAACAATACCCCCTCCTCCCCCACCACCACCAGGTCCACCTCCAGCTTCTGCTGTACCCGAAACGGTCGGCGTTCACCCCACTCGTCTCGCACACTTAAACATTGAACAGCAGCAAGTCTCCACACCAACTGGACCTCGCATGGGCAACGCATCAGGCCCTTCCACACCTTCAGGTCCTTCAGCCACCTCCCGCGCACCAGCCGGTCCAGCGAGTGACCGTCGAGGAGGCGGCGGCGGCGGCGGCAACGGAGGTGCCCAAGATCGCCGTTTTGCAGGCCTCAATGATACTTTGCAGTCATCCAATGCAAATGTAAACGGTGCATCCATAAGAGGACGTGCCGGTGGTCGTCAAAACAGCGCCGCCATGATGCCCGCACCCGCCCTGCCTTCTCCGGCTCCTGCACAATTGCCCGCTATGCCATCTCCTTCCATGAGGGGTGATGCTTTCGCCGCTTCCTCTCGTCCTGAAGGCGGTTCATCCCGCAGAGGCCATGAAGATCGCGAGCAAAGGGATCGCCGTCATCGTGGCGATGGTGGAGACAGACATGGCAATTCCAACCATTCCAACAACCCCAATCAACCTCCTCCATCCGACGATTATCGCTCTCATCAAGGCAACAATCGCAGTTCCAGATCTTCTAGAGGTGGCGAGAGAGATGGTGGATACGGTGCAAGAAACACTCCTGCTACACCCACATTATCTTCTGCTGCCCAGGCACCTCAGAATTTCGCCGGCCCTGATGCTGCTTCTGGATATCCTGGCGGTAGAGGAGGTAGATACGAAGGTGATGAGCGTGGACAAGAGGGGTACAGACGCGAAAGTCGTGCTTCTGGAGCTGGCAACGGAGGCGATGGCGGTGGCAGAAGAGATGATGGAAATGGCAATGGTGGTGGAAGACGAGGAGGCAACAATGATGGAGGAGACGGAAGTAGTAGACGTGGAGGTAACGGAGGAGGCAATGAGGAAAGAGGAAATCGCAGCGAGAGGAAGAGGAGAGGCGATGATGCGTTGGGTGGACATGATGGCAAGAGAAGAAGGAGTGGGATGTAGTAGATTCCATTTTTCCTCTATTTCTTTGACCATGGCAGTTGTAGTTTGGTGATGAGACAAAAGCCAAAAGGTTCGAGAAAGTCGCGCTTGGGCTTTGTGCGAGCGAAAAGCAATCAAACGAAGAAATTCATTTCATGTGTTCGGATTGCAATTACCATCCCGGGTGCAACAGAACTGTCCTTAAGTACAAAATAACATGGGGTTGAATCAACGCCTCAATAGTAAAAAGCTACAATTCCTGCTCGATTCAGGTCCACGTTGTTCAACCATTCACCATCTTTAGCCTGGTCATAGCTCCAGCTAGCTGCGATGGCCTTGATGCTTGCCACCAACTTCTTTTCCCAATCTCCTTGCATTCTCTCCACCTCTACGTGTTCTTTGATAAATTCCGACCAAAGCTGGCACTGGTCCTTCACACTTTGACTACCACTCGGCGCCGACCGCATCTGCTTCACTGTAATGCCACTCCAGGAAATAATCGGTGTCGTGTCCTTAACGGGCACCACAAGTCCCGATGCTTGGTCGAGTAGGCGGAGCATCAGCTTTGCACTGTTGGGGCATTTTGCTTGCGACCACAGTCCACGATAAGGTGCAATCGCGACTGTCGCGATCAGCAGGTGTCCATGTGTTTTGTCGGGTAGTGGAGAGTCGATTGTTGAGAGCCTGATTAAAGAAGGCAGAGCTTGCAACAGACTAAGGGCAAGGTGCCAGTCGCCTGTACCTGTAAGCGAATCTATCCGAGATCGTTCCTGGAAGCGGAAGGCAGTTTTCTAGGGCTCTGTTCTTACCTCTAATGGCGGGTCCAAGCATGTGAGCGATACCGAAGCTGCTGCTTCTCTTCAAGAGACAAGTTCGGCCGGTGCTCTCCAGGTAAGGGACAAACCAAGCTTTCGTCACATCACAACCCAGTAATCCCAATTCTGTCGCTCCGCGCATCTCGACCACAGCTTTCTCGCCCATAAACGGTGTCTTGATCTTGACGAATAGATTCTTCAGCGTCGTGGAGCCCCCCACGGGTGCTAAGGATTTACCGCGTGGTCCCACACCCTTGCGCACAACTTCGTTGCCTTTGTCAAATCCTTCGTCGAGCGCTTCTTCCACAACTTGGAAAACAAGCAGTTTTCCGACTGTTCCCGCGGCGGTGCCTCCCAAGAGAAAGTCGGCTGCACGCTCGACCACGTCCAGTGGAATCAGGTCGGCTGTGGCTTCGATACCTACACCACCAAGAGCAAGACCCATACCAAACAGCAGGGCGTCGCGGCAGCGAATATTAGCTATCACGATCCTGCATTTTGTACTCAGCGAGAGCAGTGAAAATTGGAAGGTAAGGTCACAGGTAGAAGAGGGAATAAGAGAAGACTTACGGGTTCAGACCGCCCCATGGTGAGAGGTACAAGACAGAGTTGACCACGTTGACCGTCGAGGAAGTGGTTGCTCTAACTATTCGGCCAGCCTGTAAGATGCATATGTCAAGAAATGTCAAGAAATGTCACACGAGTGGATAATGTTCTCTGTTACCGCGGTGTTGCCGAAGAACTTGACACAGCCGTTGGTTTTTCCTCCATCGAAACGCTTCGGTATGTCCCTATCGCTTAACGATCTCAGACTTTGCATGACGAATTGTTCCTTTTCCATGTTTGTTGAAATGAGTGTACAGAGAGGGAAACAGATGCTGTTCTTGAAAGTCGCTTTCTTGATCAGCACAGAAAATAGAAAAATAGCAGATGTCCCAGGGGTTAGAGACTGGCACGTTATTTAGCGTTTGCTCAATCACTACTTCGACAAGCAAATCACTGGGATACATGCTCTGTGAACCTAGAAAACGCCTCCAACACATGATCTATTTCCAGGTTGAGTGATTCATATGACAAGTGGAAAGCATTGGTTTCTCACATGGTGCCTTGAGCCTGGCCGAAGTTGATACTCGAGTCAATTACGTACTTCAGACAGGATGTTAGAGTACAAGCCAGGAAGAGCTGAATCGTGCATATGGGCTGAACTGTGGCTTGCGATTTGATTTTGCTTAGCCATGTAGATACATGCCAATCAATACAAGTCTGGCTTATCTAGCGGCGATGGCTTGCTTATATGAGCGAGGAAGAAGATGACATGATAGATCCGTTGCGATTCTGACATGGTCGCATGCGATCCTCTTGCTTGCAGTAAGCGGCGCATGCATTAGTATATCTTGAAGATATACCTACAACTGCGGCGCCGCTCTCGTTTGTCGATCTCCGCTTGCACCACGAATCGACCCAACAGATTTTGCATCAAACACCCAACAACACCCGCATTTCTTCGAGGAGTTCCTTCGGCTGCCGAAACCACATCCTGCGGTCGATCTGCTAGTGCCACCTCTAATGTGGAGCTGAAGCAATACATGCTTCAGCTGGATATTCTTGCTCTTGCACTGCAGATACAGAAGAGTACATCACAGACATTGGTGCGCATGCGCCAGCAACCGGGGTCAAATTGTAGGTATACATGCACTTTCGCGCCGAGATTGTGTAGCATGACAGGAAATATCGCTGTCAATATGCCCCATGGAGTGACTTCTACTTAGCCATGAAAGTTGGGCTTGGAGTTTTCCCTCATGAGTACCGCAAGATGCTGACTGACATCTGCTCTCTGGAGCTCCAAGGTGGAATGATGTTATGTTTCTACCAATGCTAGGTCCCACCCGCGTGGCGCTGCAGCAGCTTGGCAATTCTGGACGTCGCGAGATCTGCTAGAAGCTTACACATGGGGAAAAGTACCAAAGGTAAGCTTGATATACACCGGCTGCTCGGGCATAGTCCTGCTTGCTAAACATGGTCTGCCAATGTTTTATCGCATGGCCTCTCTCTTGCGTCTTCATGCATACTGTAATACTGCCACGGTATACGAGTATCTGTTGTGCCTTTTGCGCAGAGACAAGATAGCTTAAGGGTACAAGCAAGGGTGTTTGAATTTGTGCAGAACTGAGGCTGCTGTAGCTGACAGCTGAGATACTTTGACGCCTGCGAGCTAGGCTGCTATGCCTTGACCCGGCTCGTCGCCTTCCATTGAGCTAGAACTCTTCCAAGGTTTCACTGTCGCGCTCGTGACTTTAGTCCATATGAAGTAGGGGTTCAGCTTCTGAGGTTTGATCGTCCTCGTCGCTCATCCAGGTTTTCGGACGGGCTTTGGAAGATCGAAGTCGTAGTGAGAAGTCGGTGAGAGTTTTTCTCAGTCTCGAAAATTGGCGTGCTGTGCTGGTGCGAAGGGAGATGGGAATCTTGCGGTACATGGAGTAGAAGATGAGGATGCAAAGCGCGACAATCGTAAGAGACCAGAACAGAGACTGTGACATGTTAGTCAGAGCAGAAAAAAAGAAAAGTACAAAAGCACAAAGTCGTCTTACCATATTTCGTGGCTTGACGCGAATGATAGCCGAACGTGCCATGACACTGTTTTTCGAGTCCAAAGCCGCAATCCTGATAAACTTGCCGACCCCCTCGATAGAAAACGAAGTCTCAAACCCATATTTCCGCAGTTCTTGCACTGTCACAAACCCATCATCTCCGCCATCTTGCGTCCTCGCTGTCTCCAACCTCCATCCTCTTACCTCAGTCGCCCCATTCCAACTCACATACACCTTCCTCCCCTCCACCTTAACATCCGGAACCGTATCAGGTCTCCCCACCCAAGACTCATGCTTAAAAACCCTATAAGATTTCACCAGCCCGAAATCCACAAGTTCAAAAGCGAATTTGGGAGCGAATTGCGCACTGCAGAGTACAGTGCCGGTATGCGTATATTCCACAAAAGCAGGAGAATTTCCAAACCCTACGAGAATGTTTTTGGTGGAAGGGATTACTTGGACGGAGCCTTGAGATACACTGAGGATTTTGTCCGGGTGTATGTATTTGTGTTTGAGTGTTGCTGTCATATTGTGCATGTCGAGATGGATGAGCATGCCCTTGCTGTACATGGAGGGACTGTGCAAAACAGTATTGGCGTGGTTGTCATAGAGAGAAATCGTGTTATTGCCTTGCCATGTGACGTGATGTTGCCAGGAAAAGTCCAACGCTTCATCCAGATCTGTGAAATTATTCTTTTTGCCGCCGAGTTGCCAGAGGATTTGTCCTGTGGATCCGCTTACGCAGAGGATTGCGTGCATATATCTTGCCGAGATTATGTAGTCGCCGGAATCGGTTTTGTCCACGGCGTTGATGTGGAAGAAGTCGAAAGCGTCTTTTTTGGAAGTGCCGTAGCCATCTTTGGCGTTTGGAGTGCTGAAGACATCTTTCATGCTTATGTGGTCGGTTGCTCGCCATTCGAATAGCAGAGCTCCAGTTTCAATGTCGATTTCTTGGAAGAGTCCATCTTGGATCCAGCAGCTTTTGCCTAGGCCGAGTGAAGTGCAGTCGGTTTGGCGTTTGTGGTAGATGGGTATAATGGCAGTGCCTTGTGGAGTAATGCGGAGTTCATGCGAATCTCCTTTGAGTCCCTTGCCATGTGGGAAAATCCTATACGCAACTTTGTAGGAAGAGTCAAGCTAGGAGATGAAGTATTAGTCTACGAAGTAGCGAATGAAGAAGGAGATGGCAGAAGGTTAAGGATAAAACCTTACCATAACGTATGAGGTTTTAGGTTCCTTGGCTTTGACGGAGGTTTCTCCGCGCTTGGTTTTTACCCGCTTTGACCAAAACGTCAAATATTCTTTTCCCTTGTATGTTTGCACATTCAAGTTCATCGATTGTGTAAACACAGTGTTATCCATCCAAATCAATTCGCCCTTCGCGTCGAGGATGGCAGGACCCCTCGCAGCGCCCGAGACCCACGGTCCTCTGGGTGTAATGAACAAACTACCATAATCGCATCGAGAATCCCATCGTGTTATCCTGAGCGCAGGAGGCTCAAAATCGACTGTGTGATAGTGCCGGCGAGGGAAAATGCCTTGGAACCCAACATCGTAAGAGCTGAAAGAGAATGCCACGACCAGGGACGTGTAAAGCGCTGTGAGTAAAAGAACAAATTTGATCGTCATCATCGACAAGATTTCTATAGCAAGGGCGAAGCTTTCCTTAGAACGGCGCGCGCCTCCATTTATCGACCCAGGCAGTATCGACAGAGTCAGTCCACACGGCTGCCTACTCCACACAATTCTGAGATTTCGGTCTAGCGTTTAGTCAGATCAAAATGTTCCGCGGCGCTCCGAGTTGTTCGATCTTTGTTCTATAGGGGTGAAGCCCTGTTCGGCCTCGGATCCGAAGCTTCCGTGGAGGAAACTGGCAATCCAATCAGTCAAACTATTTTGATTGGTCTGACTGATGCCAGCACACTTCGGACACGGTATTTCAAACTCCCGAGGGGTTCAATAAGGCATCCCGTCATATGATACGAGCGCCTGGAAACAACTCCAGGCAGAGCTGTTGTCCGTATCCCGGATGCCGCAAGAAAAAGCCTGGAACGTCGGACTTTATACTGATCTCTTCACGCTGCGCTACTGCGTAGTTTGATTGATGATCCCAGACTCATGAATGTACTGCGTTCGTATGTTTGCCTGCAATTACCACCACCTTACGCTGAAGTTGTTCCTTAACTCTGGAATGTCAAAATCAACTTCACTGTTCAAGCGTATATGTAGATAGGCCATGATGTCGAACCGCACGTGTTACTAATACCAAGTCAAGTTGGGCACCGGTCTTATTGTAGGTATAGTCAGTATCATACGATCCTCCTACACTCTCCAATGCTGCCTGAGATATCAATGTCCCAAGCCATTACAGCTCCATATTTCGTGCCGCAAAACAGAGTCAATCCATCAGGGGAAAGTGTTATAGCGTTCCCGTTGACCTCCGGAGGCAACTCAACTTCGCTCACCTTCCCAGTCCACGGTTTCCAGATCCCCATCCAGCGGTCAGGGCTGACAGAATCATGTCCGACAAAGGCTACCAACTCTGTGGCCTCCGAACGTATCAAACGTTCAACGCTTTTTCCAACATCGACGGCTGCTACCTGCTTGTTGGAATGTGGATTATTCATCACTAGTTGGCCAAGTCGATGGACCCCAACGACCATACCAGTACGCGTAATAACGAGAGAGGACCTGTTCCAGAAATCTGGGATCCTCAAATCATCATCGAAGGTGCACGTAGTCATATCCCAGAGCCTTGGTTTGCCTCCAGGGGAGCGAATCAGTAGTCGTTGATCAGATTGGACAAAGGAAAATGTTACGGACCATTTCCAGACCGCTGGTATCGTTTTGATGATTTGTCCTGTAGCTGTCGCATAGAGCGTGATTTTCGTTTGCCTCCGTCTCCTACTACTACAGGCAAGCACATGATTGTCCGATGAGAATGCGATAGCTTGAAACTCCGCTCGACCTTCCTCGTGAAGTGCGCGTATTAACTTACCAGTCTGAGAAACCAATAGACTGATCGAGCTGAGGGATCGCTCAGTTCTTAAGCTCGCGGGCTCATCTGTTCTTGCGGCCAACATTTCACCATCTGGAGAAAATGTCAGACAAGTGTCTCCCCGTAGGGGTATACGGCAAAGGCAAGAGATGTGGACCAGTTTTGCACCTGTAGTTAGATCCCAGATTCGTATCGCTTGCGCCGATGTGGCTGCCAGAAGGAATCTCGACGACACCGCCACCTCAAATATATGACCCTTATTGTCATGACTCGAGTGCTTGTTGCGTCTTCCGTCTCGCGCCCGAGGATACTGAAGGCCCAACGATGGAAAATCAGATTGACTGACTCCAATACCCTCGTCTGGTCTGGCGTCAAACTGAGGAGCACTCTGAAGCTGACCCGAACCGACAGCCAGCCGTGCCCCTGGACCGACCATCGCAGGATCTGTAGCAAGCTGTTGCAGGGATATCAGAAGCTCGTTATTATCGCTACCCTTTGCCAAACAACGCTTGTAGACAGATGTGCGCATGATGATCGAGTCGAAATCAAAGGCAGTCAAGGCCGTACCACTGGTGCTTGCGGTGAGGATACTGGCAACCTCGCTGTCCAGAGGCACTTTGGCATCCTGGAGATATTTGCGAAACGATCCTCGAGCTCGAAGCATATTCTGCAGTGTTTTCTCCTGGTTCGCCATCATATCCATCATTTTGTCTTGCTTGCTCATGGAAACTCTTTGCTGGTCACTAAGTCTGTGTTAGTCAAAGTCTCAACCTTGGAAGGATTGTCATCGTACCGTTGCAGAACATTCAAAATTGTGTTCAAAAGTGTATTGTTGTCCTTGAGTTGTCCGAGGAGTTCCTTCATGTCGGATTCGTTGTACAATGCTTTCCACTTGCCCGTCCGCGATGTATGCTGTGCCTTCAATGGCACCTCGCTGCTGGCGACATGGAGGAGTTGTGTCACATGCTTCTCGAGCAACGAGATGGTAATGGTACAACCGATTTTGATGCCATCAAACTGCTCGACAAGCTCCTTGTTGGCGTCTTTGACGATGTCGAAGTCCTTTGCAAGAGCCGAGTCGAGCTGACCGAGGGTGATCTTCGTCATGTTGCATGTCGCTACGATGGACGCGAGGGTCATCGGTAAGAACTTGTAGCTCTGGTGGAGTTGGTTGACAGTCGTGACGATTTTGTAACATCCGGAAAGGAGTGGCCCAATAGCCAGGTGTATACCCGCTAACTCCATGACAGTCTGGTGTGCGCACGAGACTGCAAGGAAGATGGGGTCGAGAAGTTTAAGAACTGAGCCTGGCACATGCGCGCCATATTGGTGGCGGAGCTGCGCCGCCATCATGCGGAAGCAGCGCCCTCTCACTCCTGCCTGATGGATGGCCAAGTATAGCCTACTTCACCACGTCATGCTCGCGTATGCGCATAGCTAATCATGTACCTGATAATGTGCGCGAGAAAATACCTTATAGAGGCGACCCCAGTGTGTGCAGCACCCCCACTGGTGGGCGCAGTGCACATTATTGTAATGCTTGACGTACTGCCTTGTACATGTCTACAGGTTGTTTTCACTTCCTATATTTAGCGCGAGAGCCCATTTTCGGGCATAATAATGATAATTGACCAATAGCGATTGTTACGAAGGTCTTATCTCATTAATCAGACGCTCCGCCAACGAGTCAGAGGTCACGTGAACTCAAATTTTGGTGAGAGAAATACTGAAAATGCGGGGAAATTGCTGGGTTGTTGGCGGAGCGTCTAAGAGTTCGATGTAGTCATCTACACTAAGTGGGACTTTCAAATGGCCATTTTTCGACGACATTTTTGATTATACCATATTGTAATATGCGTCTCCTTCCTAGCTTTTTAGGCCATACGGTGCATGATTCTATGCTTTATCTAACTATCTAGTTAATATAGGCCCTTAAAGGGTGCGCCCAAAATTATAGCGATTTCCGAGTTTCTGTACGATTTGCGCATGGCAAATTTTAGTAAAAATCCTCCTAGAACACTAGCTAGATAACAACCATAATATGCCTATTAGCATATGTTAATAGCTAAGGGGCTAGATCTAGTAGATCTAAGGCCCATATAGCTACTAAAGTAAGTATAGACTATAGGGATAGTAGTATACAAGTAGAAAGCAAAGGGGATTTTTTACAAAAGAAAAAAGAATAAAAAGAAGATTATGTAGCAACGGCGTAACTTTTTCGACTTTTTTTTCAATAGATAGAAAGGGACTAAATGACTTACTTAGACTTACAATTTCTAGCTAATTAGCTATAGTTGTCGAATTGTTACTAATTAAATAGTAAAGTGGTCGAATTCGTAGTCGAATCCGGCGTCGAATGCGCCCGGAGAGCTTCGGGCGCAATCTGACGTCGTCAAATTTTATAACAATTGTTTTGCTACGACTAGTCGCTAGATATTGCTGAAAATCAGATATTTGGACTTACTACCATATAATGTAGCTCTAGTAATTATTGTATAATTATTCAGCGATATTGGTTGTTGTTGTCGTGGTTTTGAAAGGTCTACCACCAAAATCGCGACATCGAACCCTCAGACGCTCGAACGAGTTCTCGCGTTTTCGTCCGTGCACCCTTCCGCGCGACTCATGTTCGAAGCGTCTGATTAATGAGATAACGAAGGTCGATGTAAGCGGTGTTCAGGCCAGATGCCCTCCAGAGCACTAAATGTTGATGAGAGCGCTAAGACCTCGCGCGCACAATGAGCTTTGAAATAGATGGACTGTTTTGGATTCTAGATCAATAAGATCCAAGGTACATACGTATATGGTTTTGACGGACAAATAAGAATTTTGATAAATAGACAAGAAAGAAGTTATAAATCGCTTGCAAAAAATACGAGATGGAGAAAAAGATGCTTTGTCGTCAGGATATGCAGAAATTCCGAATCAGATCAGATGATTTAGAGGAGGGCAGCAGCAGCGGCACCGAGGGCAAGAGCAACGGAACCACCGACCTTGGCACCAGCACCCTTGTAGGCGGAAGCGCTAGCAGTAGCGGAGGCACCGGGGGTCTGGTTGGCAGCCCACGAAGATGCGAGGGTGGTGCCAGAGGCCTGACCACCGACAACACCGTTGGAGCCAGAGGCAGCAGCAGCGCCCGAAGGAGCAGCAGCACCTGAGGGGACAACGGCACCCGAGGGAAGGATAGCGCCAGCGATGGAGGAAGTAGGGGCCCAGGTGACCTGAGTCATCTCCTTGGTGACGGGCACGACCTTGCCAGCGGAGGTGATTGAGCGGGTGAAGGCGTTGACGATGGTGGTGGGCACGACAGTCTGGACGGTGGAAACAGTGCTGGAAACAGCGTGGGTGGTGACGAAGACGCTAGGGGTGGTCAAGACGGTCTCCTTGCCGCTGGCAGTGACTGGAAGATTGTTAGCTTTGAATTCTGCTTTCATCAGATGGTAAGGGTAGAATTACTTGTCTGGCCTGCAGGGCAGGTTGTGGTGTATGAGGTGGTGACTTCGGTAACGTAGACGACGGGCTCGACAGAGGCGGTTCCGTTGGCGGCGTTGATCTTGGCGCCCTGAGCAGCTGAGCCGGTCGAGGAAGCGGAACCAGACGAAGCGGTCTTGGAGCCAGCAGCGGAAGAAGAAGCAGAGGAAGAGGATGAAAGGGACTTGGCGCCGCAGGTAGAGGCGTTGGGGCACTTGAGGTCGTAGAGAGCCTTGGTGTTGGCACCGTCGATACCGCTGGCAACCGAGAACGAGGGCGAAGCGCCGTCGTCGTTCAGGATGTACCACCAGAAGTTGATGCAGCGGGCCTCGAGCTCGCAAGCAATGTCCTGCCAGAACTTGGCCGCGTTCTCAACGCTGGGAACGGCCTCGTCCTCGGCCTCACCCTTGACGGGCCATCCAGTCTCGGTGACCCAGAGGGGCTTACCGCCAGCAACAGCCTCAACCTTGTCGTATGCCTTCCAGAAGAGATCGGAGGCGTTGTCGATCGAGTTGCCCTCACCGTCCTGGTAGAAGGGGTACTCGTCAAGACCAAGGAAGTCAACAGCGCCGAGGATGGCAGAGTTGGAGGTGTTGGTGAAGGCGTTCCAGGTGTCAACGTGACCGATGGGAACATCGGCGAGGACGGTGTCCTTGACGAGCTCACGGACCTGGCCAATGTAGTCGACGAGAACATCGGCGGTCTGACCGTAACCACTCTTTTGCTTGATACCGGTCTCGGAGATGCGGTAAAGGTCCTCGGAACCGACAGAGATACCGACGGTCAAGTCGGCAAGACCCTGGGAGCCGAACTGGCTGATGGCAGTCTTGAGAGCGGAAAGCTCGTTGTTGAAAGCCTCCTGGTTCTCGGAAGCCCAGAGACCAAGAAGAAGAGTGGTGTTGGTCTTGATGGCAGCGGGAATGGCAGAGATGACAGTGTTGGCAGTGCCGTCCTGGATCATGGTGTAGAGACGAGCAGAGGCGTAGTCGGTGATGGCCTGGGCAGACTCGAACTGGGTGGTGAAAGTGTCAAGGGTGTTGCCCTGAGATCCGTAGTTGAAACCACGGCTTGCGGCCATGGCCGAGGCAGCGCTGCCAGCGAGAGCGTAGAAAGAGGCACGCATTGTGATCTGAATTATCCTAGTATAAAGAGAGACGGGAAAGAGCGAAAGAATGTGTGTGTCGAAAAGAACCCAGAGGAAAGAGTGACAATGGGTTGGAGAATCGATTGAGGATGTGAAAAAAGATGGAGTGGCCCAGACATGCGGCGGGCTTCAAAGTTTTGTACCTGCGTACAGTCGCCCTGATCTGCGCCATCACCCGGCGCCGGCGTGTCAGTTGCAGTCTGCGACAACCAGTGGAAGGATCCGCTCCGTAGACTTGTGCGCAAACAGGCAAGCCTATGCCAAACATAGTAAGATTGCTTGCGGGATCCACTTGTATCCGCGATTCAGCCGGGCGAGACGAGGCGGCGAGCTGCCTCCTGAAATCGTAATCACTGATGCGCAACATGATTATTGACAGTCTCCGTACTCGTGGTCCTTCATCTTCGGACATGGCCCTCGACCCTGTCTGTTAATCACAAGCACATCGCTGCTGCATGGCGGGTTGTTTCCAGTTGTGCGTTGTACTGGCCCGCGTGTCTTCCAAGACAAGAGCCGGCTCACGCTGCTTGTGGCGCTTGTAAGGCGTTGATGCCGCGTACCTCAGACTAACCTCTTGCTGAATGCGATCGTCATCTGACTGTCAACGGCAGCTCAGCGGATTGGCTGTGCGGAAATTGTTATGAGGTCTCCTGCCAAAACACACGACTCGTCCAGTCCGGGGAGCAACCACAGATTGGTCAAATCTCACGCCCGCCGCTGCGCCTCCAAACCGCCAGCACCGTCCATCAGGACCATCACCGTGCAGGCTGACAACGGGATCCCGGCTTGTGTCGAGATTGCATGACTTCATAAAAGGCCTTCGCTTGCTTGTTTGTTTTGTTAACGACCTTCGAGAAGGGTAACCGATTGATTGGGATTGTCCGTCTTGTCCAAATTGAGGAGTCAAATCTGGTTGTAGATCAATAAGATGAGCAACATGCGCACATCATTCATCAGCATCTCCTTTGCGACTTCCCAACAAGCTGGTTTCCCAAAATACTTCACCTCGACTTTCGAAGCTCGTGCCTTTGTCATGTCGGTCTTGCGAGAGCTATCGCTTCCCTCGGTGTAACGTGAGCATCCTCGACAACGAAATAATACATAAGAATGTTGGGTACCAGACACCAACCTCATCGGCTTGGGTTCCTCTTCATCTGGTTTGATGAACGTTCAAGTCGGACGTCAGCGACACGTGTCTTGGTGTACATTCCTTGAGGCCGGCAAAAGGCCCATTGGCTTTACATGACTACTGATGCTTTCGTCGCACAACATTACGCATTCGTCGGCGCATCGAGACATTTGACCAGCTCCGTCAGGCCTCACTCTTGACAGAAGCCATTTGTGCTTATATTGCGTAAGTTATCATGTCTTCATTCACCTTCGAACAAGCCCTTCCAGGATGAGTCCAGGAGTAAAATATAGATGTTAGACTAGTGATTCTCTATGAACACAATTCCTTTCTCTGATCGAACACTACCTATTCAGACGTTACAGACACAACTTCAAGTTCCCCATAGTTGACCTACCTACCTACAGCAGGTGGCTAACACATACTTCATTCGCCGAGCACCATGGACATTCTTCAAAGGTTCCGCTATTTCGCCTCACAGTCTACTGCCCTGGTTCAAATAATCCATGACCAGACTTTGGCACCACCCACAACTTGGCCTTCTGGTTTCAATATTCAACAACACTCCTGTGCGGACGAGTAACCATCCCCGAGACCCTGGCAACAAGGCATCATCAAGTCAGCTCGATTGTTCTCGACTCTTCCAACAAGCGTCACCGGATCAACGAGTACCGTTTGCGAAACGGTTGTGACATTGAGTGAAACCAGCTGCTCAGCCGCAACAGTGTCGTTGCCTTGAAGGACTGCGAAACACCAGATGATTGATCAAGCAGCTGATGGTGTGCAATTTCAACAATGAGTAGAATGTTGCCGCTCTAGTTGAAGGACTGTTTCGACTCTGGCCTCTGGACAACGAGTCGTTCCAAGCTTTTCCTGAACGCGATGCATGTTCAATTCCCAGCGAACTTCAAGAACTCGAACTTGTGGCGGAGATCAGGTAAGAACTTGAATGTGACGAGCGAACTGCTCAGTAAGCAAGCTCGGAAGAAGATCAAGGATGGCCAAAGATGAGAAGTCCGAAAGTCGCTCAAGCGAGCACCCAGCTCAAACCGGGTGGCCTCTGTCCGCTTTTGTGACCTTCAACAGTTCTCACAAGCGACAAAATACACGCGTCCGTACATGGTCGCAACAGCTGACGATGAATCATCCACACCGCTGGTAGATCCTCCATCAGTCGACAAATAGAAGAAGAGAACAAGGTGAGTCTCGCTTAAACATTACAGAGTTTGCGGTTCAAACGAACTTCTCGCTTAATGTTACTTGCAAGAGTAAGCCGAGGCGAATCTTAGCGGCCTCGGCCCTACCCTGAATCGGAAGCTGTCCCCACGTTTCGTATCTCCAGAAAGACCTTTATATTCTTGGAGACCCTTTCCAGGAAGACGGATCTCTATCATTTCTATCATATCCTTATCACAATGTCTTCGCAATACCAATCTGTACATCTCAAGGCTCGTCCTACCAGTGAGATCGTCGCTGGTGAAACCTTTGAGGTCAAGTCGAATGCTGCGCCCAAGGAGTCGGATCTCAAGGATGGTCAAGTGATCTTCAGATCTCTGTATCTCAGTCTCGATCCTGCCATGAGAGGATGGTTGAATGGTATGGTGATCATGCATCACAGCTTTTTAGAGCTCTACTGATGTCAAGATTCAAGACACACGTTCATATGTTCCTCCCGTCCAAATCGGCGAAATCATGCGCGGCGTCGCAATCGGCACAGTTGAAGCTTCCAAATCAGACAAGTTCCCCGTCGGCACACTGGCAACTGGATTTGTTGGATGGACCGAACTCGCCGTTGTCGAGGAAAAGGCACTCGAGCGCGTTGACCTGCCTTCCAATGGCCGCACCACTGATGCTCTTGGCGTTCTCGGTATGACTGGCTTGACCGCATACTTTGGTATCATTGAAGTTGGCCAAGTCAAGGAGGGAGATTTCGTCGTTGTTTCCGGTGCTGCTGGCGCTACTGGAAGTGTGGTTGCTCAGATCGCTAAGCTCAAGGGCGCCAAGGTGTTGGGTCTGGCCGGTAGTGACGACAAAGTTTCATGGTTGAAGAATGATCTCGGTCTGGATGAGGCTTTGAACTACAAAGATGCCGACTTCACCAAGAAATTCAGAGATGCCACAAAGGTGAGATTCGGCTCCTCACATGAATGACATCAATTGAAGCGAAAATGCTAATCCATTGCAGGGCCTTATTGACGTCTTCTTCGACAACGTCGGCGGCGATATCCTCGACCTCGCCCTCTCCCGCGCAAAACCCTTCTCCCGCTTCGTCTGCTGCGGCGCCATCAGCGACTACAACAGCGCCTCCCCCCGCGGTCTCAAAAACTACATGATGATCATTTCCATGCGCATCCGCATGCAAGGTTTCATCGTTTTCGATTTCGCCGACAAGTACGCCGTTGCCAGAAAGGAATTGGCACAATGGCTTGCGGAGGGTAAGCTCCAGAGAAAGGAGACTGTTATTGAAGGTGGACTGGGCAAGGCCGAGCAAGGATTGAGGGATTTGTACAAGGGTGTTAATACTGCTAAATTGCTTGTTGAGGTCAGTAAGGGCAAGGATGGTAAGGCTAGACTTTAGATGGGTGTTTGATACCCAAGAATCGACTTTTCAAGTGAGCTTGTTTTCCGCGTATCTTGATACGTAGGTCTTTGTGGATTGTGGTCCCAGTTATATATCGCGTCTCAGCACCACGACTCTAGCTTCTGAACCATGGTAGCAGCAATTTCATTGTTGTTCTCGAACCTGAGTTGTACCTGTTCTCGAGAGGTTATGATTTATTGTGGATCGATATATTGTGGCCAGAGTCATGAACCAGTCATTTTCTACGAGCGAGACTATGAATGAAACCATTGAATAATTCCAGATTCATGGGTTTCTTTATTTTGGGGAACCTGAATGTTGTGACATGAAAGATCAAAAGAGGTCGGTCGTTATGGTCTCGGAGGCGGTTCCGCAGAGCCAAGAACGCTCAAAGGCACGGCGACCTCTTTTGACAAGATATTTCTTTGACCTTAGTGTAATGTCAATCGTTGAATGCATATCCTGGAGGAACAAACATTTTACAACTCGATTCATCATTTCAACCAAGCTCTTACTTATCTCATCACGTGCGGTTTTAAGTCCAGGCATGATGCTGAGCACAGCTTCATCAGCATGGTCGAAGGATTGACGGGATGGCCTGTTTGTGGAGCCTCATCTCTGTCGCATCCGACATCCGCGGGCGAAGCGAATAGCGTTCTCGACTGGATTAGAATTCCTACTTGCCATCCTTTAACATCATCTTCCTCATCACGCTCGTCCAGGTGCATCAGTCCGAGATGCCTGAAGCTGCCGATCCACACCGGGTTCCTAAGCTGTTTCTTGCAGTCAGCTTCACGGTCTTCTTTCTGTGGATAGCTATCTCCACCGGACTTAGTGCTGGAGAAATCTCAAAGCTCTCTGATCGCATCACAATTCTGGAAGAGCAATTGAAAAAGACTCAAGCCGGCCGCTTCGCCGACACTTAAATTGAAGGTCTCCTCGGCCTCCAGCTGGTGGTGACGTAACTGGGGAAGGTCGACTATACCATGACCTCGACAAGTCACGGCAGAGATCCGGTCATACATCCAACGAGGACAGCAAGGACGACGCTTCTGTGATCAATATGACAAACACGCGCGGTGCTCTCGTAGTAGTGGGAAGTGGCCCAGGCATTGGCAGCCACGTCGCTCGCACCTTCTCAACACACGCCTTCGAACGCATCATCCTCCTGTCCCGCGACCCCTCGCGCCTCGACAAAGACGCCGAATTCATCCGCGCTAAAACTCCATCCGCTGACATCTCGACCCTTCCCATCGATCTGTCCAAGACGTCAGACATACCCTCCGCGCTCGCCCAAGTCGACAAGGCCCTCGGCGACACTCCCCTCGAAGCCGTCCTCTTCAACGCCGCAAGAGTCGGCCCCAGCACCCTGGTAGAATGGCCCATCGAAGAGCTAGAAACAGACATCCGCATCAAAGTCACCGGCTGCTACGCCGTCGCCCAATGGGCCATCCCCAAACTGCTGGCTGTAAAAGATACACACAAACCTGCCTTCCTCTGCACTTCAGGCTCCATCTACAAAGACCCTATCCCTGAAGTCTTTTCGCTGGCTGCGTGCAAGGCTGCCCAGCATAATCTGGTACACAGTATGCACAAGAAGTACAAAGAGGAGGGTGTTTATTGTGGTCTTGTTGCTGTTGGAGGTGTGGTTGCTGATGAGAATCCTCAGTGTAATGCTGAGAATATTGCAAACAAGACTTGGGACTTGTATGAGAAGCGAAATGACCTCGAGGTCGAGATCGTAGACCCTTGAAGGCCGCTTCGGGCGCAATAAGGCAGTGGCGACTTTGTTTATGTGTCAGTCTTTAATCAACACGCCACTTCAAGTTGCAAATCATGTACACATAAGCATCGTATTTATGGAGCTGTTTGTGATCGGATTGCATGTGGTCAAGAGTTCGGAGATGTCGGCTCCTCTTCGTGCCGCAAATTCTGGAGTCGCAAATCCACCTTGTCACTTTTACCTTCCTCTTCCATTGGACAGCCACCATAATCTGTTCGGCCCTCATGAATTCACAATCTTGAAAAGCTTGACTTTCGTGTTGTATCCACAAGGGCGAGAGTCTCTGTGGCAACTACTTGATCTAAACACGCAAATGATTTCCACAAGCGTGACCCTTCACGCTCGCGAAGGGACGCGGTCCTACTCAAGCTCGTCCAAGTAGTATTATCAAGACATTGGATCTTCCCTCTCCAGGAAAGACATGATAGCCAGCCAGGGAGATTCTGCTCTTCCTAACCGAACTCCTCAACTTCCAGCATGAAGCCAGATCTCCGGTGGGTGTCCTTGGCCTTGCGATCTACCCCACCTTCGCCATCTACTCTTCCAAAACACCGACAGCAAACAGCTGCATGATGCCAATATTCCACTGTACAGATCTACAACTCTAATGATCCAGATGCGACCGTAATAGACAAATCTAAGGGCACGAGGACAGCCAAGCTCGATTTTCCACGAATGGTTGGCGGTTTGGTGAGCCGTCCCTGATCGTCACCTCGGTCTCTATTCATCCGTTGCATGGTTGCGGGGAAATATCTCTCGTATGTGATATTCTGTTTGCAGGTAGGCGTATATATAAAGTGCTGGATGGTAAGGTGGGTTGTTCGTGAGCAATACGTTTCTGCTTTTTGCATGATGAAGTACTCTACAGTTGCTCTTGGTCTGTTGCTGGCCGGCACTTCTCAGGCAAAGCAATATGGCTTTCTCAAGGACAATGGCAATGGCTCTTGGATTATTGGAAACGATGTCTGGAACATGACTCAAGAACGTATCTATGGTTCCAAGTTGTACTACAAGGATCAAGAACTTGTCGGCGAAGCTACTGGTCACTACGTCAGTTACAGTGAGTTGCTTTCAAGCTGGGCTTTGATGCCTTCTGACTGATATCCACATTAGATGGAGCAGCCAGCAACCTTGCGTGGACAAGTGCAAAGATTGTCAAGACTGGAAGCAATTACATCGATGTCCAGTTCGACGCCACTGAAGGCGAGATGCATTGGGTCATCTTCAACGGTCTCGCTGGCGCATATCAATACTTTGTCAACCGCGCTCTGCCAGTCCTAGGAGAGTTCCGCACGCTCTGGAGACTAGACAATGAAACTTTCACCAGTGCTTACAATGCAGACAAGGATGGTGTTTTACCTCCATTGTCCGAATACGCCATCTCGACCAAGATTCAGGATGAGACTTGGAAGACACCGGAAGGGAAGTATTTGACCAAGTATGATTGGTCTGGTTTTGTCAGAGAGCAAGAGTATTGGGGTGTGTATGGTGACAATTTTGGCAGTTGGTATCTGGTAAGTATTTTCCCCTTTCTTCAGCCTGGCCGAATCTGACATGAGCAGCACCCTGGCAAGGATTACTTCAACGGCGATCATCTGAAGCAAGAGTTGATGGTAAGCGATACACCGTGTCTCTCCATCTCAGATGCATACTTACAGTACATAGAACCACCGCGAATCTGCAACTGGAGACGCCGTCCAACTCAACATGATTCACGGCACCCACTTCCAAGCCCTGTCTAACGATGTCCTCCCCAATGGCAAAATCTGGGGGCCCTGGCTCTGGTACCTCAACGATGGAACAAAAGCAGATGTCGACCGCCGCTACAACAACGAGATCAATTCTTGGCCCTACAAATGGCTCGACGACGCAGCATACAACTCCCGCGTCGCTTCCGTGACAGGAAAACTCCTCCTCTCCGATGGCAGACCTGCTGCAGGCGCTGCTGTATTCCTCGGCGACAATCACCCCAACAAGACAACTTTGGACATGGGCAGTGATTACTACTACACCACCTACGCCGACAACGATGGTTCTTTCCGCTTCACAGACGTCCGTACTGGACTTTATGCTCTTCAAGCTTGGTCAAACGGCGGCAGTATCGGCGATGTCACCACCACATTTCTCAAAAACGACGTCGATGTTTCTGGCTCTGCGACTAGTAAAACTCGTCTGGATAAATTGACATGGTCTGTTCCTACTTCAAACACGATTTTCCAAGTCGGCGAGTTCGACAGAAAATCCACCGGTTTCGCTTTCTCTGGAGGCTTTGGAGCCGGACGCGTGGACAAGTGTCCCGCTAATCTGACTTATACCGTCGGAAGCAGTAAAACCGCAGATTGGTGTTTTGCCCAAAACGCAAAGGGAACTTACAGTATTGCTTTTCCTCTGCCGCTTTCGAACACCACCACTTCTGACGCGCTTTTGACGGTCAGTTTGGCTGGATATTCTCAAGGTACCACTGTTAATATCTTTGCTAATGATGTGAGGATCGGGAATCTGAGCAGTAGTGGCATTTTGAGTGATCCTAGTTTGTATCGTTCTGGCACTGTGGCTGGGGAGTGGCATCAGTTCGAATTCCCTATCAATGGGAGTTCGTTGAAAGCGAGTAACAAGATTGATTTTAGGGTTACGAGTTTATCGACCAGTTTGTGGAGGGGACCGATTTATGATGCTATCAAGTTGGAGTGGATTTAGAAACACGTATAGAGGCATTGTTGGTAGGCTTGATCATTCGTTTGAGCAATATATGGAGTGATTCATTTTCAACATGGCTTGTGGTGGTGCTAAAGTCCATACGCTTTCATCAACAGGAAACCTTACGCGTCTTTCAAATTTGGCAGTGTCATAGAGGACCTACTGCTGCGCTTGCAAAAGGTGATCTGTACCCCGTGAGTGCAGACGAATCGTCCGAATGGCTTTCTGATCGCGAACGGCGGCTTGTTAAGTCAATGCTATGGTTTTGTCTCAACCACACGGTGTACGCAGAACCGTTTCTGTTTCTGATTAGGGAAGAGTCAGGCTCCAGACGAGAAGCGCGGTATGAAGGACAAACTTGTTGGAAGTCCAAGAGCTGTTGCGACTGCGATGGTCCAGACCTTCCGATTGGTCAAGCGCGTCGAGCATGACATGTGTGATCGACACGACAAATGCCCACAACAGGTTTTGTGCACCACCGCTGCGTTGCTACCTACGCCTCTTGGTCCAAGTAGAGAGATCGTATCAGCTGTATCCTCGGAATCAAAACTATTCCATGTGCTCCGTCACACGCGTGCAATTCTGCAGGGATCTTCGGTTACACAGATGAGTCTCTTACCAGTCTGTTGCGTGGCAGATTTCGATTCGAAGGCAAGCACAACGCTTCACTTCCAAAGCCCGAATAATAACTAACTAACATCTCGAAACAGTTCCTTGATCGATTCCTTGAATTGAACGCAAAGGAGAAAGAAGGCCTTGATCTCGATCTCAACATAGTCATCATCACCGACCTTTCAAAAACTTACACGGAAATTTCAAAGTCGCCAATGAATGGCACCTGTTCACCCGCGCCTTTCCAAGGAAGGAGCGCAGGCGAGTGCTTCGAATTGCTTCAGGAGTTTGCGAGGGATACAGGGTCTGAGATTGATGTAGAGATTTTCGCTATCCTGGACGAGAGATCAAGAGATGATGACACCGTCTGTATCGTGAAGGCTTCAAAGACAACTGGAGAGATCAAGACTGTACACGGAGCCTTGAGACAAACCGATATGTCGCTTGTCAATCTTTGGGTTGGAAACTTGAATATTGAAGAATGTAGCTACGAATTTGTAGACTGAAGAATGTATCCTTTTGCCCGTGGCAACGAGCTGTCAATAGCCATCTGCCTCAAGTGTATGATTTTACCGTCGGGGACACATTCATCAGGTCCGTTTTGTTGCTCAGGTGGCGTTAAGTAAGTGGGCATAATGAAGTGCTGATCATGCCCGAAGTGCTCGATGCAACGTTCAAAGGCTCTGAAAAAAGACATCTGGTCCTCGGAATATTCCTGAAAAGACACTCAAAACATCTGAAACTGACAAAAGACCTGATACTGTGCATAATCGGGCTTCCTAAGCATCCCGGAGAAAGGTTACTTCGTGTTCTACACGAACAATGTCCCCTTCCAGTCGAGATGTCGAACAACGTTCTTGCTGCTGCGATCGGACGAAATAAATACCATATTCTGCGGTGATATCTTCAGTGTTGGTCGCAGGGTTCGCAAACCAAGAGCATTATACTCATCGCTATGATCAAGGGCAATGCTTCCAACAAGAAGGCTCATCAGAATCTTCGCTACTGGCGCCTGACACAGCTCGAGGCCGCCATAGATGGCGATGTTCTGCTCGCGATAATCGAGCCCTCGCCCATGACAACAGAATCTGGAAAGGATAACGCGAAAGCCTGCTATGTTTTGAATTCCATCTTGAACCTGCACCGATGCAAAACCTCAATCACCGATCAAGTTATTGTTGCAAATCATGAGACTGAGGAGATGCTATAGCAAAGCATCAATTCAGCTTCCGCAATGGCCGAATCACGCTCAATTGTCTTGGAAGGATTGACCCGGAAAGATATGATTACTGCACAAGGCAAAGTGGTCATCGATGGAAAAACTCTGGAAGCTCCAATTCAAGATCCAGCACTCCAAATGCACTCAGTGTTACTGTCATCTGTGGATCATCACATCACAGAGGTGACGTAGAAGCCAATATTTTCATCATCATCACCACCGTCATCCAATGCCAACTCGACAGAAAGACGAGAAAGGATCGAATATTAATATTATCCATCACCAAAACGCCAGCAAGATAAAGTTCTCAAAAGTTCTCAAAAGTATTTCAAAAAGACGACACCAGACCACCTTAATCATCATCTATCGGAAACCCCACCCTTAGTTTCATGTTCTTCAGACCGCAAATCTTATCCGTACATTCCTATTGCTAGTCATTACATCACAAGAACAGAATTGACACATACCGACTAAGCGAACCACGAAACAAGGACCAATGAAATGGTGTACAGCAAAATATCCGAGGGACACTACCAAGAAATACTGGTGTGATTCATCACTCATGATTGGTCTCAACATTTCCATCTCCTAGTGACGTTCAAATATCACTTTCATGGCGGACAATTCGGCTGTTCAGTCGCACCACATCGGAAGGCACGCAAATGGCTTCTTGAGATGGCTTTGCGACACCCGAGTTTGCCTTGTTATGGTCATTGCACCACGCATGAAGCTCGAGCTATATTTACACAGCACGAGACGCCTTCGACATGATTTGGAAGAGCTCAAAGGTCACTAGACTCTCGAATTGTTCAAGGCTACTAGCGAAACCATCGAGAAGAGGTATACTTCACCACTCGTGACCATCTAGTGTTGATATATCTCATCCCCACTGTCTCCTCAAAGCAACAAACTCCTACTTTCTTCCACTCTACAGCATACACACACGAAACCATGATTTTCTTCTCCTTTCCCATCATCTTCCTCATCACCTTCACTACCATCACAACAGCCACCCCGCTAACACCCCTCCTCTCACCCCGTCAAGCGACCAATGGCCCCCACTCCCCAACAATCATCTGGTCCTGCACCGCCAACCGCCAACCCTCCCTCAACATCCCCTCCGTCTGCGCAAACATGTGTTACGGCGCCTACTGCCGCGGCTACAGCACCACCCTAACCTGGGACAATTTCGCCAACAAAAGCTACGCAGAAAGAAAATATAACGCGGGATGTGTGGGGCCGATTTGGGATTATACGATTCAAGAAGGTGGGGTGGGGGGGAGTTGGGATAGGTGTAAGGAGGTGGGGAGGGAGTGTAGTGTGTATCCGTTCTTGAGCACGAGGGAGGGGGATGTGGATGCGGCTGGGGGGGATTGGGGGCCGGTGAGTAGGTGTGTGGATGCTGGGGAGAATGCTCGTGAGTTTCTTCTTCCTATCCTCATTTTTTCTCTGTTTTCCTCTCCTTGCACATTTTCCCTCTTTGCTACACAATAACCTTCCCACCACTTCACAGATTTACTCATCTGAAAACAAACAAACAGGCCAAGGCATAATCCTCTACTCCCTCTACTTCTCCGTCCCCCCCTTCGCCCAAAACCAAGGCTTAAACTCAACTCCACCATCCCCCTTCCACCAAATCTTCGCAAACGCAGGTGAAATCCCCTATTGCTCTGGCTATCTACCAGATCATTCCCTCTGCGCTGCCGATGGCCAAGAAGCCGATCGAATGGGTACGATTTTGACTTATAATCCTTTGCCTGCTGATGTTCGGTCCAAGCAGGGGTATCAGCAGAGGTCTTCTCAGCAGAGGTCTTCTCAGCAGAGGTCTTCTCAGCAGAGGTCTTCTCAGCAGAGAATTTTGAAATTGAAAAATGGGGGAAATGTCGATATTACAAATTCCGGTCATCATCATCATCATCATCATAATCGTCAACATAATCGTCAACAAGGCGGAAAAGATGATGGTGGATTTGGGGTGGTGGTGGGCACGAAAGTCAAAATCCCTAGGGTCAGAGATGAAGAAATGTTTGTAAGGCAGAGTGAGAGTCATGTTTACGATGGGGAACAGGGGTTGGAGCAATATGCTTATATGGCTTCGAATCTTTATTTCGAAGATGATGAGATTGAGGGGGTTGAGGAGGAGTTTGTGGAGTGAATGGTTGGGGTTGATGATGGGTAAAGGGTGGTTTCTTTTTTTTGGAATTGGTGGTTAGGTGGATGTGTGTTGCGGAAAGAACGATTGGGGGTGTGTGTGTGTATCTCCATATCATTCGAACGAGAATTTTTTCACACTGCCGGTGTTGTTCGTTGCAATAAGGCGTGGGGATATTCTTTTGCAGTGATTATGAGATGGGAGTTGGGAAATGTTAGGAACGCGTTACCGGGCAATGTCGTTCGTCTCGCCTGGATTCATGCTTGGGTTTGTTGCTTCCTCTCGACTTTACTCTACCAAGTTTGATGATCGCCTTATTCTCTCGAAGGTCGCATTGAAATCAGGGCATCGGTGATTGTGTACACTTGCCTGAAAACCTGGACTTCCGTTTGCAGTTCCAGGCGATGCAGTGAGCTTATCGCTGTCGTACATGACCAGGCACATAAGCTTGGTGACCCGATTTGATCTTCGTCGATTGGTTCTGACAGATGATGAGATGTGAGATATGGGTATTCGGAAGAAAGAGCTCTTCAAAAGCATTCTTCCATGAATTAATTTTGCGTACAAAGCTTGACCTGTCGTACTTACTGTACCACAACGCGGCTCGGACACCAGGTGTTAACGTTTCCTTCACCTTCACCCCCAAAACCATTTTGGCAAATTCTGTCCCCTTTCCTCGCCTGTGTCTTCACCATCCTCCCTAATTTCCCTCACCGCCTTCTCAAACAACTCCCTAGCACTCGGCCGGCCCAGCGGCGTACTACCCAAACACTTCCTCACCCACCTCACAAAATCTTCTCCATAAATCTCCTCCAAACCAGTCCACCACCCTTGCCTTTTCTCAATCTCCCGTCCATCAACTTTGTGATACTCTGGCATCATTTCCTGCATCACCTTTCCGAAATCGAGATTCCATATATCCGATTTCGTCGTGCAGATAATGCCATTGCTGACGATATCCGCAGATTTAAAGTTGAGATGGTGGATCAAACTGGTACGAAGGTCAAAAGCCTCTTGGTTTTCAGGGGCGGCATAACGGTACGTGCCTCTCGGGCCAAAGGCTTTATTCTCAATACCTGAAGTTCCAAAGTCTGAGAGCACGATTTCCGGAAAACGCGAGGATTCAGAAGCATAAGCAGGCCAGCGAAGAAGGATATTTTCAGATTTGATGTCATTGTGGAGAATACTTTGCCAGCGTTTTGGTGAGGCGGGAAGGAAATGTCGTTGTGTGGTTCCATTGGGCAGGAAAATGAGACCGTGATGGAGGTATGCTAGTGCTGTAACCAGTGACTTGAAAATATGTATGACCAAAGATTTAGGTATACGTGCACCATGTTTCAGGCAGCGGGAGTTGAGTTCCCAAAGATCGCCGCCATCACAATACTCCATTTGCAATATATGCAGAAACAGTCCAGCCCTGGCTTTTGTGGTTACACACTTGAAGAGCTGAATGATATTGGGATGAGCTTGCAAGTTGGTCTTGAGTATCCCAAGGAGAACGTATGCTTCGTTCGAGACAATTCCCCATTCCGAATGCGAAAAGAGGGACTTCTGCTTTGTCACTGTTTTAAAGACGTAGAGGTTTCTCCGACGTTTGGTGTAAATGTGTGGCATGACGACACAAGAGGCAGCTTCACTACCGGTGAGAAGCTCATGCTTGACAACAAAACTGTGTTCCATGGGTCCAAACTTGTCGAAATCTCCATGGCCACCGCTGTAGTATAAGCCTCTGAAATCTGCCTGATCGAGTGCGGAGATCTCGTCCAAGTTCCTGCAGCTGCAAATCCCGAGGTTATGCCAGAAGCAACGAGGGAAAGATTGTTGCTTCTTGACAACGTCTTTGATGAGGTATTGGATGGAGAGACCGAGAGTAATTTCACTTGGAGATGCAGGGAGTCTTTGATCGACGGGTGTCCCTGGAGGTGTAAATGTTTGCGGCATGAGTGTTTGCCATGCTATGAAATCTTAGATCAGTTGATGTATGAGATCGTCTGGCGTCAATCAGTGTGCTTACCCTCTGTAGAGGAAGTTAGCGATTACTTTGAACGACTCCCGGATATCGTGGCAGATTGGATAAAGTCCGCCTTGAGAAAGACACTTGTTTCTCTTAGTCTTCGTGGCCTTGACCAAAATCTTGCTTTGATCAGCAAGGTTCTTGGTCGTGCATCGTGGACACAGACAGCCAGGAATCGGTCCTCCATTCATCCTACAGCTAGGACGGTGACGGTGTCTGGCGCCAGCACCAGCAGTCGCACCGTTTGGGAGAGGTAAAGTACTCGTACTCATGACAGAAAAGAGATAGAACGTGAAGATGAATAGATGAAAGGAAGAAACTCGAATGCCGTGCCTACCTTACTCTATGGAATCTTAATGCCAGCAAATTGGGCGAACGCTATGCCATTCTAAAGGCCAGACATGTTGATAGCTGTCTCTGCCCGGAGAGACATGGACTTGGTCATGGCGACGAGTATTGTTGTCCCGATGAGCAGAGATATTCTCCAGTGGTCTCCAGCAGCCATCGAATAGGCAGAGACAGCATGGGCAAAAACACCTGCAGGCTGGACGATTCTGGCGACACCATATCATTCTTAGACATCTGGCAGATGCAAGACCTTACGGCCATAATCATGAGACTTGTTCGTCCAGCGTGTGCGACAAGCTGAGATCGTCTGGCGTGATGACGTGGATTTGCAAATCACAAACAAATCAAGCAGACGAGGGTGTTGATTTCGTAGTTGATGGACGGCCTCGTGAGGGTGTCGGTTCCTGAAATCAGGACGAGGATTGCGACTCACCAGGCACCTGACATGCACGACGTAGGTGGTGCAGACGAATCGGGCATTTTGGCATGCGCCGTCAATGCACAATGAGCGTCATGGCTTCCAAGAAAGTGTTTCAGGTTTATGCTCAGGCCGGGTAGAGACAGCACGTTTCTTGCAGAGACCATGACATGGGGGCTGTGAAGTGTTTAGTTGTGCGTCTCTGTCTTCAAGACATGCGATACAAAGAGACTTGAGGATATCGACTCGTTAATGATGCAGGAGAATTGCCGGAGGTGATGTGGTTGTTAGTTTTCTTAGCTTCCAATTGCCACCCGCACCAGACTGGAACAAGGCAAGCGCTTTTGCAGGAACGTTTGAGTTTTGCGGCGAGACGGCAACGGGTCTCCGCTTTGATTTCGAGTTTTGAGTCGACTTTGCAAGCTGATGAAAAAGTGGATGGTGTTGCTGACCCAAGAAAGGCACATAATAGTGGCGCGTCATATAGGTTGGCATGGAAGGCGATTGTAGCGCAGTACAGTATGTGTGGTACGGAGTATATGATCCAATGCACAATGATGATAAGAGAAGATGCGGATGGCTAGCGGTTGTTGTTCTTGTCCGTAGGAGCCGCAAACATTCAAGGACCCTGTCGGTTGGAGTCAGTGATTCGACGGCATAGCAAAGCCACAATTCCAGGTCAACCAAAAGCCGAAAACAACGACTTGCAAGCGACAAAAACAGACTACAAGAGTGTTTGTGCAATCGTGGTGATAGTCAGATATCCGCCAGTTATAGCCGTTATTTCAGGGAGAAGGCTTCCAGAAGAGAGTTTGTTTGACAGATTTGGAAGTCGGAAACAGTCTTGACACGGCGGTTTCCCCTTTTGCCCTTGATCCAGTGCGACTTGTTGACCGCAATCTCGCACGACGGCCACCATCCCGCCATCTTCGACCCACGACATTCGACAACCTACTCCGACAACCAATACATATCCCACGCACCGCTTGCAGTCCACTTTCTACACGACTGACTGCCGTTACGACACTTTCCGAAACGCGCGGCACTTTCAAGATTTGCAGGTCGACAGCAGCCACGGCGCACAACAAGCACAACACCACCTGCGGCATTTGCTAGCACAATTCACTCCCCAACATGGCCGCTGGGTAAGCAGCATACTCTTCCGTCGCTCTATCGAGCACGCCAGGCTAATTGCTCGTCCACAGCATCTCCGGAGTATGGCGCTCCTTCTGGCACACCATGACGTCCAACGACCGACATGCCTCGCCCGACATGCCCTACCGCACCGGTGCTCACACTCCTCTCGCCCAGAGTCGGCACGCGCCCTTGACGTCGGTCGCTACCGCCGCCGAATCTCGTACCGATCTCAACAACCCCTACGCTCAGGACAATGATTTCATGCCTACCAACGGTCGCATGTCGCCCAATGGTCCCTACTCTCCTGGCCTTCGCTCTACCATGCAGCGCCAATCCAGTTCGGGGAACCTCGAAGGCGTCGGCCAAGGCGAGATCCAAATGCAAAGCTTCTCAGAAGGCCTCCCTCCTCCGCCGCCCGTCGGTCACTCATGGAGACGCATTGATACATGGGCTGAGCACAACCACGAAGAGCTGTTCGAGAACTTGTGTGAAGGTTGCACTCAAAACGATGTTAATGAACTCGAACATGAGCTCGACTGCACACTACCTATGGAAATGCGCGAATCTCTCATGATCCACGACGGTCAAGAGCGCGGTGGTAGACCCACCGGTATCCTCTTTGGCTGCATGTTGCTCGATTGCGAGGAGATTGTTCAAGAGTGGAAACAGTGGGCTCGCGTTGGCGACGACTACCTCCGTGCTTCGTCTGCTCCTCACACTGCCCCGCAGGTCCCCAACAAGGCTTTCGCCGGTTCTTCTACTCAGCCCTCTGCTCCTCAATCCGCTCAAGGCGCCGGCTGGCGTTCGGAGCTCATGTCAAAACAAGACTCTCACCCGCCAAACGCCGTACAAAAAGCCTACGTTCACCCCGGCTGGATTCCCGTCGCAAGAGATTGGGGCGGTAACAACATCTGCATTGATCTGGCTCCCGGTCCCGCTGGAAAGTGGGGTCAGGTTATTCTGGCCGGTCGCGACTACGACTGCAAGTATGTCGTCGCTCGTTCGTGGTCTGCCTTCTTGGCCAGCGTCGCCGACGACTTGAGTACTCCCAAGGCTATTGTCGACGAGGACAGCGGTGAACTCACCCTCCGCGAATTCAAGAACCAAAATGTCGACCCTTCGTACATGGATATCCTGCGCTGGCGCACCGACCAAAAGTACGGCCGCCGCACTCCCAAGGGCCAGCGTCCTCAGCAACCCCTCCGCATCAACAGCAACGTCAAGAATGAATTCAGCAGTCTCAACGGTTTCTCTCCCTATGCTTCTCCCACCGGCAGCGACCGTGGCCGCAGTCCTCAGCGCTTCTCAAGCAACGGCAAGGCCCCTGCCACACAAAGCCCCCGAGGCCACGTAAGCAGCCCGCTCGCGCGCGTCGCCGAAGAGGCCGGTCCCACCCTCAAGACCGACAATCTGGACGCCGTACTCACCACTTCGAAGAGCAACGACAATCTTCTGAGCATGGACTCGCCGCTCCCTCCTACCATCGAGACCTTCGCCGATCAAGACCGCAAGGACGAGAAAGAGAAGGCTGATTCGGCCATCACATCCTCAGAAGAGGCGACAAAAGGTGGCGCTACCTCAGCAGACACCGAAGAGATGAAGACTGTCGAGATCTAGTCTGTCACGACGTCTAGATAGAATAGGAGCAACACAATACAGTCCTCGGCCCATCTATCGAGGCGCGGACCAATCACCACAGACTTCGCCTCTTTTGGCCTCCACCAGTCTTTTTACTGTACCTTTTAGACAGCTCTCCATTTTCGTTTTCAGTGTTTGCTTTTGGTTTGCAATTGGGTTTGTTTTTCTGCAAGAAGTGGACATTAGGATCATCCCGCACTACCTGGAGCGAGCCTCATCATCTATTGTTTCGGGCAAAGAAAGAGGACACAAGGCGTTTTCATGGTGTAATACTCGTTTTTTCTTTCTCTTTCTTACTATCAATCCCAACCCAAATCATCCAAGAGAGCATGGAAGGGACAGTTATATTGTTCGGCAGCGGGAATACTTCAATTGCAACAACGAACACAAGGAACACCACAAACACAAAAATGATATTTTACATATTTTACCCTTTCTCCTCTGTGCCTCAATGGGATTCGATGACAAGTCAAGCAGAACATGCTGTTTGATTGCTGCATGTCAGAACGACGCTTTTACAGATGATACTGCAAGTCAGAAATCATCGATTTCAATCTGATACAGGTATCTTCGCATGATCAATCGTTGATGAGAGTGGGGAAGAAATATATGGGAAAATCTACAAGTGATCTGAGAATACCAACGCATACATGACCAGATATATGTAAGAGTAACACCTTGCAAGTGATGCCCGGGCTCCCCTCTTATATTTTCTCGGACGTCTGAAAAATGTCTGTTTCTTTTTCGCTCGATGATTTTCTTGTAATATAGTGGAAGATATCCAGAACCAGAGATGCAACAAAGTGAAAGCTAAGTACTCATCAACCTCCACGTTATGAAGTCGCTTCTACATTCGACAAAGAGAAAAAAAGCGGCCTGTTGGACAAAACCAAAGTCAGAGTCAAAGAGATGGGAAAAAGGCCTTTTGCAGTACGGGAAAACGTGGTGATCAAAGTCTGAACAAGGGTTTGATATTTCATGTGACCATCATGATGAGAGAGCACAAGGGCAATTTAAAAAGTCTATATACAAAAATTGAGGTCTTGATAACCATCTATGGGCTGCCTTTAGAATAAAGGAATGGGGTTCATTGAAAGATAAAATTGAAAAAAAGCACAAGTCGCGATATCCAGTACCGTCGGGAATAATCAAGACCGCGCTATGCCAAAAGTTACGACCAAAATGCAAAAGCGATGTATGTGATGTGGCGTGGTGTGGTGTTTATGATGAGCGATTCTATGCGATCAAATCGAGGCATCCATCAAGCACACCCTCGAGTTCTTGAACCCTGCGCTCGAGTCTGGTCTTCTCATCCCTCATAAACATCCATACTCCGGCATCAATCTCACAAGTGCGTCCAGGAATCCTCGCCGTGGTCGAGTCTCTAGAAACAGGGCGGACCTCCTTGATGGGTTCCATGACGGTACCCCAGCGCTCATTGTTGTTCAATGCGTAATTGTGAGGATGCGGTGATGTTGGGGTCAGAGGACGAGAACATGACTCGGCAGTATCGGCTTCTGACTCGAATCCGCTGTCGCTGTGTAGAGAGCTAGCCCCACTGTGGCGATTGCCGCGGGGGGTGAGATCGTTTTGACGGGCCATGCGTTCGAAGTGTTCGCGGTCTTCATGGCGGCGTTGTTTTTCTGCTGCCAATTCTTCGGCCAGTGCGCGATTTGTGGCAGCTTGTTCGGCGGATTGTGCGGCAAGATTTTCGAGTTGAAGTTTGAGGTGCTGAGCTCGTGTTGTGGCCTCTTCGGTCTCTTCGCTTTGTGCTTCCCGTTCGGCGCGGGCGGCTTGAAGAGCAGAGGCTTGTTCCTTGTAGGCGGTCTGAAGGCGGTTGATGAGGAACTCGGCGTTGGTGAGGAGTTCGTCGAAGGAGGTGGGCGTCTTCTCTGATGGTAGGCCGACTGGGAAGAGTAGTGATGTGGCGGGGTTGAGGAGATCCATGCCGACAGTGCCCTCTGCTTGAGTTGGAGGGGAGACAGGAGCAGTCTTTGTTGAACCGAACCAAGAGAAGCTACGGCTACTAGGCTTGGGAGCAGGAGCTTGTGGTTGAGGGATACGACCAGAGCCGGCGGTGAAGGATGACTTGTAAGACATGATGTATTCCGACTCTTCTTCAGGCTCGGAGGGGGCAAGCGATGAACGACGAGGTGTAAAGATGTCGGTAAAAGATGGACCCTTGCGAGGAGGTGACCTTGATGAACCGTTCTGCTCTTCGGTGTCGGTAGGGTTGAAAGCAGGCACGAAGCTGACAAGAGATCTTGCGCGGGCGTGGAGTGAGGCCTTGCGGGACAGAGAGCCGACAGTAGCGACTACTCCAGGGTTGACGTTTTCCGAGATGGCAGACAGGACTTGCTTTCCAAAGGCGGCCGAGACGGTGCGCGACGAGTAGGATAGAGAGCGGGATGGAGATGCAGATGGGGAAGCCGAGGTATAGGTACTGTTGTAAGAAGTATCCTCTGAGAATGCAGTGTTATAGTTGTCGTAGTTGGTGGAACGGACGGCGGCGTGGGAGGGTCTTGCTAGGGCGACAGGCGTCTCTGGAAAGGGCGAGGACGGAGCCGAAGTATGCGAGGAAAGAGCCATGGCTTTGAGTCTTTTGTCCGACTGGATGGCTGGATGCGAAGGTGCGAGTCTGAAGTTTCGACGCCTTTCCCCACTTGGTAAGAGAAGGGTACTCCGCTGAAACAAGCAACGTCTCTAGCGATTGAATGCCAGTAGAAAGAGAAGGCTGGAGAACAAACGTCGACCCAGGCCAAGACGTACTGTTGTAGTCTTTGGATGATCTATGCAGTCGTTTTGCGACGCCTTGTGGGCAGTATCGCGCTGTAACGAGGCCTTGTTGCACGACTCGTCGAAGGGATGCAACCCAAGGTTAAGCTTCGAGGGCGGCTTGAAGGTGGAGATTGATGCAGTATGATTATGAGATGCAGTAAACGACAGGATGATGTTGCGTGTCAATTGCTGCTTTGGTGTGTGTGTGTGTAAAGGATAGACAAGGGGCTCTCTCTCTGCAGCAATTAATCCACGCATATTAATCCTGTGCTTTTCCTGCTGACGACGTCAAAATACGGTGGCTGGACCAAATCTCCCAGCCACTGCACGTTTCACCGTGTCCCTGCCGACCGCCTGTCAACACTGCCATCATACAAATGCCCCATCTGACTCGATTAAGTATTCCTTACACCTATTCTGCTTCCCTGTTTTGTCCATTCTTTTCCGCCTGAAAATTCTTCTTGAAAAAGTGTCTTCGCCCTCATACTTGAGACGAGTCGAGAAGCGCTGATCTGTCTTGCTTGCGAGTCCACAAGTCTCGGTTGTGGCACGTGAGACGTTGAGATTCGGCCTCCAACCGTTTGCAACGTCTCACCCGGACAACCCTCTTTCCGCCTTGCTGCCAATTTCGATATTGACAATGATGCTGCTCTACAACGACTTCCAGCCTCTATCTTCCCAATCGTCTCGTTCTTTCCATACCGTTGTGTAAACTGTCCCTGCCCCCCGAACTTGCACAGCGCAATAGGTAATCCCGTTTCTTTCTATCTTGACATGTGTCTGCCTATCCTCGTGTTCAATTTATTCTATTCTATTCATGGAAACATTGTGGTTCAAGGCCCTTGCCTGCCTTTCACTTTTGCAGATTCTCGAAAGAGGTTGATGCCCAGGAAACGTTGTCCCGACGGCCCGCTACGGACTGTGTGATGCCGGAAACCATAAACTGTATCCAAGGTTGGCTACCTAGTCAACAACACTCCCGGAGTCGAGCTGCTGCAGATGACGCATGTATACAATATTGTAGCATCTCCGTCATACTTGGATCATGACTTCAACCTGATTCGATTATACACAACCTGATATCCTATCATGGTGTACATCAACACTCCGTCGAGCAAAAAACTATGATGAGAAACTCAGATTTCGCGAGTGTCGTATTCGCAAAGTATGAAGACATGTAACAATGTCGTCTCTGTCTCAAACACTTTGGTCGTCAGAGACGATTGCATCAAGTAAGACATGTATCAGCACCACTGACACCAACAGTCTCTTTGTTCTACAGATCAAGTCCGACGACAGCACCATTCCATATTGATCTTATAGCAACGTGAAGAAAAGAAGTAAGATGTCTTCTTCCCACCAAGTCTCGTCTACCTTTCATCATCTGCCTCATCATTCCAGCTCCGTCCCTCGACCCATAACGCATACAAGATGACCAACACTAACGATCTCCTAACTTCTCCAACCCCCAGATCAAAATGGCGCAAAGATAAATTCTGGGCTTTCCTGTTACTGAGTCTGAACCGCGCATTCAACAAGGACCCCCTACCACCCCAGGGCTTCAAGTTCGTCCACAAGATCAACCCGCGAAAGTGGTGGTGGTATCAGCACTACGGCTTCCACCCACAAACCTATGGCTTTCAGACTTCGCAGGAGGCCAATGAGCATGACTTCCACCAAGATAGTCCAGAAAAAGATAACGACGACCAATTATCTGATATTGCAAGTGTGGGAAATAGACCAGGGATGGCGGAACAACATCCCAGTTTCTCGAATGAGAGGGCTTGGGATGATGTTGATATCGATCATATGGACGAGGTGCAGAGTTCAAGTGCTACATCAACTCCATGCCCTGCTCCTGATTCCTTTGGAGGTGGGTATACACCACATTTTGGCTGGGAATCAGGATTTGAGGATGACAGTAGCATCAACGACAATGACAATACGCGGCAAAGCAGTGCTGAAAAATCTGATGTTTCCGCGGCACTGTCTGCTATGCCGCCAACATCATCTCCTTCTCCACCACCCACAACAATTCGACGATATACTTCCATCCCATCATATCAGCCTTGCCTCCCACTTATATCAGACGACCTCGAGTCTCGAAGTGGAGATGGCCAGCACCGACCATTGAGATTTAGTTTTCAACATGGATTTCATCATTGTTCTAACACAGGGGCTAGGGGTGATGGTGATGATGACATGGAATGTAGTTGTACCCTCGAGCCATCACCGCATGATGGCTGCAGCTGCTCTACTATGTGATAACACCGTGCTCACCGTACAGGATGAAGTGGAAATATAGGCTTAGAAAGCAAGTAGATTTTTGATTGATATCGTTTTCGATGAAGCTTAAGAAGTCGCGGTGGCAATTGCTGGGTTAATGTTTTGAATCACAGAATTCACCTATCTTCCGCCTTGATCTCGGGACTGTGCAAGCGATGGGGGTCAGATGACGTGGCTAGGAGATGATAGCTACAGTGTCGAAAGGTGGGCATTCTGGAAAGAGTGATCTTTGGTAGCGCTGGTTATTGAAGAGAGAGGTGGATGTGTCATTGATGACATTGTCGGTCATACGAGGAGAGCGGTAAAGGCTGCGGATGATGCTGAACAGAAGAGCACGTACACAGCGTGAGGGACGCTAGGCTTTTTCCAACCTGAACACATGTGTTCGAGCTTGAGGAGCGCGAGTCCACGCCTCCAGGGAAATATTCACATGACTCGCCATACTATCTTGCTTGGGTTTGTTATCTTCTCGTGTAGAACTGAATCGCTCATTCGAACCTCACGCCTGCTGTAAAACGATCAATGTTGTTAGGAATGCTGGTTCCTTTATCTGTCGTCTAATCATGCGATAAGACTTGTCTCCTTATCAAGATTGAGATATAGCCCCCATCATAGCTTCAACTTCTCAAGCTCTCGGTACTCTTGAAGATTACAGTCGAGTACCTGTGTTCGGATGGGAACACATCAGAGAGCAGCCGTCTCTAGTCCCGGATCGCGATATCTCCACGACTCCGCACCCCACGGATTTTGAGTTCACTCCAGAACTTCTCACCCCCGCCTCCGCATTACCGTGAATCTGGCCTTCCCGACCTCTCCATCGGTCTCATCTTGAGGCTGTTGTTGCACTGGTTCGCCTCTATAAGAAGAACCTGCGTTCGTATGAGCGACAATGGCAAAACTCATCATCTTCACGGATCCAACCACACGACCGGGATCAAGGACGGGTCAACCCATACTTCTACATACAGACAGAGTGCTTCTTGAACGATAAGTCAAACATGAACAACAGTCAATGGCGCCCGGGAAAGCGTGTCGCTATCGTTGGAGGAGGTCCAGGTGGTGTCTCAGCCGCCCTCGGCTTCATAAGCAGAGGCTACGACGTTCGCATCTATGAGCGACGATCCGATTGCAAACCCATTGGCGGAGGTGTACTGTTGGCAACTCCAGTACTTGCAATTCTACGGTCTCATGGAGTCAACATCGATAACTTCGGCCTGCCTACCACCACCTGGTTCAGAAATCAACAAGGCCATGAGCGTGCGGAAATCCCATTCAACCATGAAGTCGAGAAGCGTATGGGGATCAAAGACTGGCACTACGGCATGTTACGATCTGGAGGCTTCGCAAAGATTCTCGAGCGTGTTCCTGAAGGCGTCATTCGACCAAATCACAATTTCATCGCTTATAAAGAACTGCACGAGGAAAATGAAGTCGAGATCGAATTCGAAGGTGGATACACATGCAGGGCTGATATCCTTGTCGCTGCAGATGGCATCAGATCCGGAGTTGCACGCCAGGCCTTTGGCGACCCGCAACTTTTTCACACCGGCATTCGCGTTTATCTTGCTTGGTGCGATCAGCTGCCAGATATCCCGCCAGCGTGCGGAGCCCTGTATCATTCTAAGGAACACCAAGCTTCATTCTTTCCTATGCTTCACGACGGTAAAGCAGGCTACGAGTGGTGGCTAGTAGAGCCGTCATACGATGGCAAGCCACTGCCATCAGATATCGAAGCCCATGTCCGGAATATCCTAGGCACTTTCGCAGATCCCCTGCCTCGCTTTGCCGACGCTACCAATTTTGACACCCAGGTCTATCGTTGGGAAGTTTATAACAGGCCCTCGCTGAAGAAATGGTCAGCTGGCCGAGTCGTCGGCCTCGGCGATGCAGTACATCCAGTATCGCCCTATGCAGCTTACGGGATGGGCATGGCCATCGAGGATGGCTACTATCTTGCGCGTTCACTGGAAAGTGTCGATCTGCGTGACATCAAAGCGGTTAATGCAGGCTTCGAGATATTCGAAGGTCACAGAGTCAACTATGTCAACCACAATGTCGAGTTCGCACGGTTCTTGGGAAAGTTCTTCCACAATTTGCCGTACCCTCTTGCTTGGATCCGGGATCTGGTATTGGATTATACGCCCATCTTGCAGTGGCTCTTGTCCAAGGAGTATATAGACATGGCAGAGTTGTCAACAGCTACCCTGAGGGAGCTTGAGGTGTAATCCGGGACCGCGATTGACTCGAGTCTTCTAAGCCATATGGATTCTTCCTTCGTGAGTGGTGAGGAATCCATGAGCGATTGTTAGCGTAGCTGAATTTGAGCCAAATTTTATGGAAGTAAAACATATTAGAGCCATACTGTTGAGAACTTGCCAGTGCAATGGTCACTTCTGGACAAAGCTGGCGAGTTTGATGGCATCTTTGACAAAACGACATAGGGCGACCCGATGTGGGGCAAGTAGGAAACATAGTTGGTTAGTACTCATTGCACGCTTTGGCCTAGTGTCAGAAGCAAGAGATATGTTGGGAGGCACAGAGGACAAGACAGCATAAGCCTTAAGATCCTGGACCCCGAGGACCATGTGGACTTGCAGTATGAGTATGAAACAGGACTGAGTTTGAACAACATTCGTGAAAACGTTCTCAGGTGTACCAACGAAAGGTTCAGATTCGAAAAGGTAGATCGTTCTACTCCTCGAATAGTCACCAAGCCTCACTCTCCGGTCTCGCGATCCAAGTCCCATTGGACAAGTCGAATGAACTTCCAGTCAAGACTCTTCTGGCGTAGCTGTTTGCCCCAGATATAAAGAGGCAGTGCCAGTGCAAGCCAAGCAAACACGATACCTGCTAATGTGCCGTATACCACTGCTGGGCCATCTGCTGCAAGCCAAGAGTTCGTGTAGAACGCGATTAGGAATGCAAAAGCCGCTAAAGCATGTCAATAACGTTCAGTAAATGACACGCGCAAAGAACTCACCTTTGAACGCCATCACTGAAACGACACATTCTCCTGCGATGGGACGGTAAGCATCTACAATATAGGCCATAGCTCCTGTAGTGCCTCCGACAATTCCCACACTGACTGCGAATGATGGTCAGAATCTGTTTGAAATGTTTCGATGGGAATGTGCTTACTAATTGCAAGACCAACGACGGGCACGGCCCAGTGGGTGTGATGATCTAGACTCAGTCCATACATGAGTAGTCCTCCCGGCATGAACAAAGCTGGAAGTATGCAAAAAGGAAGTCGATGCTCGGGCTCTCTGATGCCGCCGGCACGAGCGGTGAAAAAGTCCGCAGTCGTATCTGTTAGCTTGCCACATATAGGCATACCAATAGCAGTACCGACAATAACGGCTATCCAGCATAGTCCAGACTGCCAGGTTTCAAAATGATCAATCGTGTAGAAGTCGTTCGCGAGTGATACCGAAAGAATGACCACAATGCCTACCACGAGTCCAACCGTGACCGTAGACCAAATCACCGGCGGAAGTGCAAGTAACAAGATTGGTCGAATGAATATTTTCCAGAATGACTCTTTGGTCTGTGGAGGCGTGACGAAAGCCAGGTTTTGGCGAAATGTCTTTTTGGGTATGTTGCTAATCTCGACGCTACGCTCAGGTGAAAGCCTCTCGACTTGGAGAGCACCAAGCGACTTCTCGATATCTTTGCTAGTATGGCGTACTAGCGCAGGCTCGTGTACTTCTGGTATACGAATATATCCTGTCTCAGGCATGGTGAAGAATGCCAATATGGTGAAAGCGAAGATGAGACCGGTTCCAAGGTAGTACAGCGCTCGCCAGTCTGTGCTCAGAGTGAACAGACCACCGAATATGCTTTCTAGAGGAGCACCAGCTGCCAGAGCGGCCGCGAATATCCTGTCCAGGCGTGTTAGTGCATGATCAAGACAAAAGCTCTTCTGATAATTCGATTGTACTTACGCCATATAAGTGCCTCTTTCGTGCAAGAAAAACAGGTCCGCGACAGTCAATGGCGCCACGCATTCGGCTGTTCCTGCAAACCAACCCATCACCAGTCTAGCTGCAAGCAGGTTGCCAAAAGAGTTTGCCCGCGAAGCCCAGATCGTTGTAACGCCGAACAACAAGAACGACAGTACGTATACCTTCCTTCTACCATATTTCAGAGCAACGGGGACCCAGAAAACGTTTGAGATGTCTTGCAACAAAGCAGTAGCAGAGAACAAGTATGCAGCCTTTGAGATACTGCTTGAGAATCTGGCGATGGATGCAGGAGCGAATGACCCAGGGATTAGGGGTGATGGAGGGTAGGCGTGGAAGATATCGATGGTGAGTTCGACGATAGCGATGGAAGGACCGGCGGCCATGAAGTTCGACAATACAAGTGCCGTACTTGTCAAACTCATCAAGTAGATCTTGTATGCTTTAGACCTGGCATGTATGTGAGTTTCCGTATATGGTATGCTCGATGGAAACGACTCACCAGTTCAGTGGATCGTTGGGATCATTAGAAGGTTTGGGGTACAAGATCCGCTCGTTTGTTCCTTCCCTTGTGAGGCGGACTGATCCAAGTGTGCGCACTCGGTCCATATTTGGCTCACTAATCTGAGCAAATTCGATATCGATACTTCGAGAAGACATGCTGGCTGTACACGAAATGTATACTGTATATCAGAGAGATTGACCGAGCAACCCTGATTTATAGCAACAAGTCTTTGAAGAGAGGGGTAAGAACTTTATAGCGGCAGTGGTACTCCGCAGAACGGTACAAGGGTTGAGGAGATCTGGGACCCCGAGTCGTCAACTAGGCCCAGCCTAGCCTGGGCTTAATAGTACCCAGGCGCCATCAGCCGGTCTGGCGGGATCTTTGGAGAACCCCAAAACGCCCGATTCGAGTCAAAAACCCAGTATCCAGTCCGGCTCATAGACCCCATACATTCCCCCACACAGACCGACTTGCTAGCAGCATTGACATAAACCATGAGGCCGCTCTTGCGGGGCCCCATGGCCCTCAATTCCACCATGTGACTTTCCGTCAACCACTTACCGCACCGTCGACATCCATTATTCTCCGTTACTCGCATCTGTGAGCCAAAGTATCGCCATAACCGCCGAAGATGCCACATAGATGTTACCAGTGCATCGCAGTAGTTCGATGTTCACTATGTAATCACAGATGCTGTTAGAGCGCTTCAATGAGATTCTATGAGATGACGAAGCAGCCGCTGGTGATGAGAATCATTCCAAAACTGAATATAATTGAGAATTAGAAACCCGCCTCCGTGATCAATGCAGCTAATGAACGTCTACTATAGACTTGATAATCCGCTTGACTTCATCGCAACACACATCAGTCTCTCAGGCCCTAATATAGACTTATTCTATTGCTTCCTGGCTTGAACGGCGATACTACACGATGGGAATGTTGCCGCAACATTTGTAAAATCTCAGGATGTCTCGGCTGGGATGACAGGAAGCACTACATAGTTGCTGTATCTGGGACCGAAATGGAGGTGGTTGATGCCTCCGAAGCGTTCAGGTGATCTGAGCAGAAATCAGTCAGAAGAGTGTTCAGAATATGTCGTTGTATGTTAACTTACCTTTCAGGTGATTCGTGGCTGAAGATACCAACACCCTGGGTATCACCTCCACTGATCTCAAAAGATAGTTTCTCTCCTTTCTGCAAAACGATCTGAGTAGGCCACACTTCAACATCTAGACCGTAGATTTCACCTGGGACCACGGGCTGCACATCCGTAGAGAAGTAATCGCGCCAAGGTCTGTACTCTCGGTGGTTCGGGTGCTCTTTGTTCACTTTGCGCAAGCTCACGCGTTGCCAGCCTTTGCTCACGGGGACCGGGTCGCCAATTGAGCCCGTGTAGAAGACTTCGGACCCGTCTGCTCCCCAGTGGCGAATGGTGACAAAGATATCAATATCTTTGGGCGAGCCTCCAGTCAATTCAGGCGTGACTGACACATTGACATGAGCAACAATATGACCAGTGATCTCCACATTGGTCTCGTAGGCGCCGGTTATGAACCGAATATACGAGTTGTCATCAGGTACAGTCAATGCCGGGTAAGACAGACGCTTGTGGAATGAGCAGCTTGGCTCGTCTGGCGTAAAAGCAAGGTCGGGTGTCAGGTAGTACTTGGTATAGATAGTCCTTGCCAAAGGCCATTCGCCCTCAGAGCGGAATTGAAAAGCGCGACCGGAGGCTGCATCGATGGTGTCGTGCTTGGAAGGTGTCTTCCGGATCGCAAGCTCGACTGCTGGCTTCTTGCCTTGTGTCCAGCCTGCATAATCGTCGTTCTTACAGAACGCACTGAGGAAGCTCTTTTGTAGCTCGACATCTGCGTCGTTGTAGAAAGGTAAATCATGCCTGCCAGAGCCAAGACGAAGGAATTTGTACTGCGAGCCCGCTTGGACAAATCCTTTCAACGTTTCCTCGAAGATGAACGACGATGTTACCAAGGTTGCCAACAGAGAGCAAAGGGACCTCGATAATGATAAAGATAACGGTCCAGTTCCTTCAACAGACAACTAGGATGAGAGCTACGACAGTACAAGGACAATTCAAGGAAGGGCAGGGATTGGAGAGACCTTGAATTCCTTTCCAGATCGGACTTGAAACCAAGGAGCGAGCACGGCGATTAAGGAGATGTTAGGATAGCTCATACAGACGAAAAGACTGTGAAGAGCTTACAAGAATCAACCAACCAACCTATCTATTAGTTAGGTTAAGATACTAAGACACCAAGATTTTAGGATAATGTACGCTTCCCAAACCCGTGATAGATTATGATACGTTAATCTCTAGATCTCGACTGATGCTATAAAGTTCACGAACATGAATTCAGTCGGGTACGTTATCAAGAGTCTACCTATGGGCAAAGGTATCCAAAGCACTCAGGTTCTGAGCGCAGTAGTGGCTACATACAAGCGGCCATTCATAGCGCAAGGTACGCATCGAGGATGGACTAATGTTGGACTTTTTAACTCGATACAAGAGACATTTTGTATTCTTCCAGCTTGATGATAACGCTAACTCCGATCCTACATAACCTTCCTTTTTGCTCTCCACGACACTCGATTCATTCTGTTCTAAGATACGTTGTCTATAGCCGGGTAGAAAAAGAGAATCTTAGCAGAAGTAGCATCCTTTAACGAACTTGAGCCGGTGCCATACGGAGAACGAATTCGTCGAAGTTGCGGAAGTCGAGGACAACACAGTCGCCATTGGCCTTTTCCGCTAGTGCGTAAGCAAATTCCGGCTGAGTCACCCATGGGACATTATTGCGGAAGGCCGTTTTCTGTTTTTCGTAGATCATAAACATGGCCATCCGAAGCTCAGTCCCTGTGGTGTAGGCCCAATCGCTTGTATCTATCGTACCCTTGAGCCCGGTAATGCCCACACTTCCTGCTTGTCTCATGTTTATCTCGGTTGCGTAGTCCCCTGTAGAAGGCGTATTCACCTCTTGAAGCTTTGCTTTGCCACTGGGGAGGACTTTGTTCATTGTTAGTAAAGTAACATTGACATGGGCAGTCAGAACTTACTGATGGATACCGTGACACGCCACCAATCGCTCAAACTCCTTTGGGGCCAAACCTCTTGATCGTTTCCCTGCAGAACACTGGGCAACATATGAGACTATAATCGATTAAAATTGCTACAGTATAAGACTTGGAAGAGCTCAGAAACGACAAGTTATACTTGCGTCTTCAAGTTCAAACTTCAATGTTGAACAACAGGATGTGTACATACATATTGGAGGCCTTTTGTCCGCAGCGGGAGCCAGAGCTGAAAATCGGGGTTGTAATAGTTGTTGATTGCGGAACGTACTTGCTCTGCAGTCGCTTCGAACACTGTTTTGGTGACCTTGGCATCATTGAAGGTCTGACCTGGTCTGAACGGCTGCCAGCGAGCATAACAATCTCTGGCGTCCACAACATCCCAACTTTTACCGACTGGCTGAGCGCCGAATGGATCAAGCCCACCGAGTCCCCGGGAGCCATACTCGGGCGATTCCATTTCGTAACATGGAATAGCACCTGCTGCACCGAAGAGGGCTGCTAGCAAAGTGATCGATTGGGAGCGCATGGCGTGCAGTGCACTCTTGCAACAGAAGAGATGGAATTATACGAGTGTGAAGATTTGAGAGAATGCGAATCAGCACTGGAACCTATGAAGACAGAGAAAGAACCTTGCATCAGACAGGGAGCCAGAACAGATATGTATAGAGGATTTGAAAGTGGCGTCGTCGTGATAAAAAGGGAATAACGCGCGCAGGGGGGTATTGATACGTAGGAGGATATGATCGAAACACGTGCAAAATTGAGCTTAGCTGCATATTCTCACCGCAGATATCGTATCCTGCGCGCGTTATAATTAAAATTGATTGACCACCGAACACACGAATCCTGCCAAGATTGGTGGTCATTCCTCAAACACGGGCAGGATGCGCCAGTATCCATCATAATTCCCCCGTAGGATTTACGCCATTACTGAATCAAAGAAGCGAGGCATTAGTTGTTCTTGGAAGGGGCTTGGCTACATGGTTTCGTCGTAACATGTGGTCGAGTATCTATTTGAGGAACATATTTTAGTCGACCTTGACAGCTCAAGGCTCGGGACCCTTGTCTTTGAGATTCACTGCAAGAATGATCGATCAGTGCTCACTCCTCCAAAGGATTCGAGAGTCTAGAGCACCTTTTTATATTCTTGCCCAATATAAACCACTTCTGCGGAAATTTGCAGCAGTGCGTGATTTGATGGTACGCTCTGTCTAGTAATCAGCCTTGGCAATCGGGCTGCATTTCCGCAAGGGTATCGTCCTACCTGTCTTTCTCCCTGACCTATAATCTTCACATTCTCTCAAACCTTTCCAACATCATACATCCTTTTGTCACCCGTTCAGTTTCCACAGGGAACTAGCGGTCATGCACGTCGAGACTGTGTTTAGTCTGGTGGTGCCGGCTCTTGCCTTCTTCGGCGGAGCAACATGTCTGCCTTCAAAGCAATATTCCGACTACGAATCAGCGTTCAGAGACAACGATCTCACCTCCAACCATACAAGCCTCACAATTCGCCAAAATGCAAAGCTTGCTTTGAGAATTTTGCCCTTGGGCGCATCTATTGTCAGCGGTGTTGGATCGAGCACTGGTAATGGGTGAGTCATGGATAGAAAAAGACCAACTGGAAACGAAGACTGACATGACGTGTGTGTAGATTCCGAAAACCTTTGAGGGATCAGCTGAGATATAAAGGCGTATGTATAATTTAACAATCCGTTGTGACTGTGCTCATATATGTTGCTCTAGTGGGATGTCAATATGGTTGGCAGCAAACAGAATGGAGACATGACGGACAGAGTAAGTTTGCTCTGGAAATTCTCAGATCTACTTCTCATCAGCAACTCAACAGGACTTCGAGGCCACTAGTGGTTTCGTTATCGATGAAGCTCGCAATGCAGCACGCAACTCATACGGTTACAAGCCCAATGTTGTCTTGGTAGGTCGTACTCGATGTATTATATAAGATGGCAAAACTAACAGTCTCAGATGAACGTGGGCACCAATGACGCAAACCAAAATAAGGTACTTCACTTCAAATTGTGGCTTGACTACAATCGAGTAGTCACTAACATTATTCTAGGTCGACGGAGCTGGTAGCCGATTAGAGGGACTGCTCAACGACCTTTGGAGTGCCGATGGCATGTCAAAAACATATGTCGTTGTTTCATCTGTCATTCGACGAAATGATGCCAAGGCAGAGAGCAATCGTATAGAAATCAACGAACAGTACAAGTATGTTTCTCCGAACAGCTATCTATTCATGGATCATCATCGTCTAACTTCATTGTCCTTCTGTTCTATCTTAGGAAATTGATTACTCGCCTTAAGAGTACCGGAAAGCCAATCACTTATGTCGATATCGACATTCCACTGAATGAGCTGAATTCAGATGGAATCCATCCCACGTATGTTCAGACTCCCACAGTCTCAATGTCTGCCGCTAACGAGAACAGCGATGCTGGACACAAGAAGATGGCCGTCAAGTTCTGGTATGCCATCGAGTGGGGTTATCAGTCGGGTCTCATTGTGGAAGCTTCTCCAATGTCCAAGGCAACAGGCAACACGTGTGACAAGCAACCTGGTCAGGCTCAATACGGCGGTATCACTCAAAAGGGCTCAGGTGACTCAGATGGCATCTATTACCACAACAGCCAGGAGATGGGCACTATCTGGTCTTATACTTCCGAGTTCGATCGTGATCAGTGGTTCTTTACCAGGCTCTATGGTTCCCAATACGATGACATAGTGGGCTGGTGGTATGCCAACGAGAAGCTGTCCTTCGCCACGTGGAAGAACAATGGAGGTGGCAAGTTCTCGAAGGTCGCTGATCTTGATACCAAACTCTTCTGCAATGTTCAAGGCATATGGTGGGTTGACATCAACAATGATGGATACGATGATTTCCTTTGCGTTTCGCCTAACGGAGATACATTGGCTTCCATCAACAATCGAGACGGAACTGCCACAAGCCCACCTACATTCAAGAATATTGGCATGATCAAGGGCAACGTTGGCTACAAGCAGGACCGTATCAGATGGGGCGACATCGACGGAGATGGCAGAGCCGACTACATGATTGTCGACGATAGTGGAAATGTTCATGCTTGGAGAAATTCGGGTACCTCTGACACTCCTTCCTGGCAACCTCTTGGCTTGCGATTCACCGCCAAGGGCATGGGCGATCAGCGTGGCGTCCGCTTCGATGATATCAATGGCGACGGGCGCGACGACTGGTTGTGGGTGGACGACAAAGGTGCCACAACAACTTGGACCAACTCTCGAAGCTGCAAGAAGGGAGGGGCAGGTGATGGACTCAACGTTGCTTGGCGTCAAGGATTCTGGAAGGGCGCCTCCTCCGGACCAACACACGCTGGTGTTGGTGCCAATGGTCGAAACAGAATCCACTTCGCGAGGATCTATGGCGAGGCTGCCTTTGGACTTCTACCAAAGGCAGACTATGTGTATCTGCAATCAACGAAGCAATCCGACGGAAAGTTCAAGTTCGACATGAAGGTCTGGAAGAACACTGGCGGTGGCTCCACCAAGCTCAAGGCTGATGGTAACAAGTACTGCAATATGCTTGGTCATGAGGATGGACGACAGGATTACGTCTGGACTCTATCGACCGGCAAGATGACTGTCTGGCCCAACTTGGGAAAGAAGTCGGTCAGCGGAGACAATGATGTATTCTGGGGCTCGCCCAAGGACCTCTGGAGCCCTGGAAAAAACTACGATCGCAGGGATCTTCATCTAGTCGACTGGGACAATGACGGCGCTTGCGATATCGCATGGGTTGATCCCGACAACAACAACAAGGTTTCTGTCTGGCTCAATAACTATAAGAAGACTGGAGCCTTCGACTGGACATACCTTGCCGACCCAGCGCCACAATTGAACTGTCCAGAGAAGAGAGGTGTCGGTATCCACGATCTCGCTGTCAGATTCGCCGACGTTTCGAACAGCAAGATGTCAGACTACATCTGCATCGAACCTGACGGAAGGTTCTACGGATGGACGCACAACAATGATGGCTCTTGGGAGAAGATCGCACAGTTCAAGAAAGCCGAAGGCATCGATCGCGCCAATCTTCGATTCGGCAACGTCAACGGACGGGGCGGTGAAGACATGATCTGGGTCGACAAGTACACGGGTGACGCTACTGTCTATATCAACAACGGTAAGATGGACACTGGGGGTAGCAACTGGTGGTTCTTGAAGAGTGGGAAGCAGTACTCAGGCTCCTGGGCAGGTACCTGTCAATACTTCCCCGACCTCGACGGAGATGGCAGAGCAGACTTGCACTCCATTATGACTACCTTTGATAACCGTGGAGAGACCTTCTTCAACCGTTGCGGTATGACGGATACTACAGGTGATGACGCGGGTTGGGCCCCAGGTCAAGACCCAGGATTCGGGGCCCTGCCATCTCCTGGTAGCGATGAAAAGCCAGGAAGCGGAGGCGGTGTTCCAGCTCTTCCTTCTACTTGCAAGGAAACTTGCTGGAATGTTGCCGAAAACAAGGAGACTGAATGCAATTACGACGGTACCGAATGGGACATGGAGCCCAGAGATGACGGTGTTCCAGAGGATGTCTTGAACATTCGCAAATTCGCCGCCATTGGAGACTCTTACTCGGCTGGAATTGGTGCTGGTGACAGGCTTGGAAGCGTATACGACGCTTTCACAGACGGTACTGGTAAGTTTGCAACCTTGTCACTATGCGATATACGCTAACCTTGCGATATCAGACTTTGCCTGCGCTCGATACGATCATGCATACCCATATCTGATCAACCAAGATTCACGAATTGGAGATTCGGCAGGTCGCAACTTCCAATTCCTCTCGTGCTCTGGCGCAGTCATGAGGGATGTGCTAGACAAGCAGATCCCCGAGCTCGATAGCAATCAGGACGCTATTACCCTGTCCATCGGTATGTTCTTCCATTCTGTTGGCAACGAGAGCAGAAGATGAATTATGGTGCGAAAGCCGTTTACTAATCCCAATTACTGTCCAGGTGGTAACGATGTTGGTCTGATCAACTTGTTGAATTCATGCATTTACCAAATGGGTGTTTTTACCAAAGGACAAGCCGAAGCCGCTAAGCTGATCGCAGAGGCGGATAAGGATTATGCATGGGCCAAGGACTTCGACTGGGACGCCCTCTCTCGGGGCTGCGAGGGTCAAATCGAATTCAGCAAGTCACTGGCTACTTCGGATACCTTTGGTACAAACCTCGATACCTTGCTGACAGCAGCCAAGAAGAAGTTGAACAATGGGTATGGCCTTGCTATCACTTTTGCTCAGTGACTTACTAACGGTAATCCAGGGCGAAGATTCATGTCACAGGATACGGCAAGTTCTTCGGAGAAGAATTATCAGACGAGTGCGATAAGGTCACTTGGACGACGTGGATCTACAAATTGTCAAACCTCGGGCAACCGGCCGAGTACTTGACAAAAGCACGTCGCTCAGAGATGAATAAGTTGGTTGATTATGTCAATGCACAGCTTGTACGTTTAACCCTCATCTTGAACGTTGCTTGGAAGCCATGCTAACATCTCACTCTAGCGATCTGCAGTCGAAAGAGCTGGAGATTCAGTGAGATTTATTGACTACGACTATCTTCTCGGTAAGTATCGCGGCAGGTACTGTGAACCAGGAGTAGATGAGTCTACGAGCGAATCCAACACCAGAAAAGGCCTCATGTTCTACGAACTCAACACCTGGGACCCTGCGGGAACAACTCCATGGAAACGCGATACCGATGGTGGCGAGCTCAGCGGGACATTCTATGGTGATATGCTCATTCTCGGCAAGATTACGCAACTTATGGATCCTGATGCCGAGCTTCACCACGACAACGGTATCACGAGGAAGAGAGATCTTGTTTCTCGTGCCGACATCGCCGACTACGTGTTTCCCCGGGGTTACGCACGAGTTTTCCACCCTCAGATTCCATTGCATGAAAGGATTGCAGACTTGGTTATTTTCCAAATGATGCTTGATCATGAAACTCGAAGAGGTTATGCTGAATGGACCGATTCGAACGAGAACACATATTGTGCCCTGTAAGTATACCTAGTCATCTATCCCTTCTTCGCTGATCGTATGAAGTGACAACGACAATGACGACAGCAACAAGCCCACAAAAGCTGTGAACATCATCAGGGAATACAAACAGAATTGGCAAGAACCTGATATCCCGTTCAAGACAGAAGCGAACTGGCTCTTTTACTCGGTCTCACAAGGAACGGCATCAGCATGTGTCGATGATCCACCTCCGTTTGGAGTCGCGAACATCCCAGGCGGCAACAGTCCGAACTTCCCAGTCGACTATCCCGCTGGCACTTATCCCATCCAAACTCAAGATGGCCTGTGTGCATACAAGAACGATGGAAAAGGGAATCCAGGCGCGCTTTGGTGTGGCAATGTTGCACACAGCTGCAAGCCCAGTGGTGACAGAAACTCAGGAATCAGGTGCCCAGATCTTGCGAAGAAGCAAGACTGGCAGACTATCAATCACTACCCTGTCGCTACTTGCGAATGGTAGTCGTCAAATTGGGAAGATTTATAGAAAACCTAGTTAGATCTTTACCTCTCTATCTATAGTAAATATAGTTACTCTTTCTTCTTTCTTCTTTCTTCTACTGATCATGCGGCCAACAAGTCTCCGGACAGCCGAAGCCACCTCAACGTTTCGATCTCTTTTCTTTCAACGCATGTAACGCAACCAATTCTTGATCAAAACTTTCCAATGGCACGTCGAACTGATGGTCGAAAGACCTCTCTTGAGATTCAATGATTGTGTCTTTATTCCAATTTCGATGGTCGGTACGCCAGCCCGCGCGCGAGGCCGAAATCGACATTCAACACTCCTAGCCCGACAGCACAACACGACGATTCATTGGTCTGGGCAAATGACAACCTTGCTTACTTGATTTAGCCAGTCTGGAGGCAAGCCAGGATGACTTTACGGAAGCCCAGAATGTACCGTTACGCAAAGCCAGCAGTATCATGCAGACCACGGCACGAATGCTAACAGATGACACAACGGACAGTCATCGGATATGCCCTCCTCTTACGGAAAGCTTTGCGCGACTGATGAACGAGCTTGCCAGATCTGCGAAAGCGATAGGTCTGGGCTAAGGAGAGCGCGTGCTAGATTACAAGCCATGCTAGAGGTTATGTTGTCGCTCTTTCCTAAGTCCACGAATGGCAGCGAGGTGAAAAGGTTTAGATTCGAAACCGGATGGAAAATAGCCGGCGCCGGATGCAATTTGCTCCCGAACATTTGATCATACTTGCACACCACACACGCAAGTTGACTCAACATGTAACGTCATGATCTATAGTATGGGCCTTTCACGCTCTTCAATCATGGTTGAGCACAAATATCTTCCCGAGAGTTATATAACATTTGTCATCAGGAAAAGGGCGCCATGTTCGCAGGCCCCAATATCTGGAGAAACCTGCATATATCTTCCATCGCTCCAGCACCACTCTCGGTCTGACTTTCTTCTCACTCTTCGCTATCTGCTCAAACCGGTCTCTCATCATCGTGCCTGGAATCTCACTACTTGCAAACTACCATTATTATCATGGCTCAAAACACCATTCTCTTCCTCGGTGCAGGAGGCAACATTGGGGCTTCATCCGTTAAACTGTTCAAGAGCAAGGGATACAAAGTTGCATCAGTCGCACGTACGATCAGGAAAGAGGTCTCAGAACACTCAGACCTTGTCATGACTGCCGACTTTAGCGATCCAACTACAATCAACAGCATCTTCGAGACTGTCGAGCGAGAACTAGGCGTACCGAACGTCGTAGTATATAATCGTAAGTAGTGCCCTGGTCTGTTATAGGTCGCCCAGACACATGGGAAGATGTTATGAATGACACCCTCTGTATGCTTTTCCATGTGTGGTATTTGACATGGCTAAGTCTGATGATAGCTTACTCATGGTCCATCGGCACCGATCCTAGCAACCCACTCTCAACACCCATCGAAGGTGTCCAGAAAGATCTCGCAATCAACACCGTGAGCGCCTACGCAGCAGCTCAAGCCGCGGTAAAAAGCTTCGACAAACTCCCCAGTGATGCGAAAAAGACCTTTATCTATACCGGTAATACGAGCAACACAGCAGTGAGTTTATCCATTTCCTTTCGGAAATGCAGAGTTGCTAATGATTAATTGTTTAGATTGTGCCTATGGCTCTCTTGCTCGGTCTTACTAAGTCTAGCACTTGGTATATGATCCAGAGTCTGGTAGCTACACCACGTTCCATTTCCGCTGGTTACCGCTTCTATTACGTGGACGAGCGCACGCCGGCGGGAAAGGCAATGCACGGTATGTCAGGGCCAGCACATGCGGAGTTTTTCCTAGAGCTTGCTGAGAAGGAAAATCAAGGAGAGGCATTGGCGACTTTCGTCAGAGGAAATGGTTATACTAGATTTGAGGGCAACACGGCGGCTATTCTGCCGGTACGTACTTTGGAGGATATGGTGGATGCGGAGTACGGTTTACCAGGCACTGTGGAAGCAGAATATGGGTCTTTACTTCTAGAACGGGCTTCGATAAGCTAGAGACATCGAGGTAGATGTAAGCCGCAAGTTGAAAATGTCTTCGAGTGAGTTAAAGACACTAGAGGTCCTCGGGAGATTATCAGATTCGTCCATCAGTATTGCATCAAGCACAATCCCTTACTACTTCAATAAACGCAGTCCCCTAAACCACATCATACACCCAGTAAAAGCCACTCTGCCAATGGACCCGATACCTAAAACACCAATGCCACTGTAGACCCACGAATCCCAATTCCTAGCTCTCCATGCACTCATCCTCAAATTCGCCGTCTCCAAAAACGGCGCATAAATTTGCTTTCCACCCTCTCATCTCCCTTCCTTGTCAACAATCATCTGCTTAATCAGAACCACAGCTACTTCCTTCTTCTTCGCCGCTATTCTCGCAATCCCTTTTGACCTCTTCACATCCCTACTAAACCCTCCATCCTTATCAGTCACGATTATCGCAATCTCTTGACAGATTTCTACGGCGCTGAAGGAGTGTTTTGTGAGACTCAGACCCACGCCGGCGGTCACCAGGCGGGCGGAACTAGACACGTAGGTTAAGAAAGGGGTAATGCTTAGGGTAGGGGTGCCGTAGTAGGTAGTTTCGTTTTCTGAGCTGCCACTTAAATGGATGAGGAAAAGGGAGTCGTGTGAGTGGTGAGTGGTAGAGAACTGCACTTTGAAGCGAGTATGCTGTGATAATCGATATCCGGGTTCTGGTTGTCCAAGGAGGGATTTGACGGGTGGTTTGATTTAGTGATCTTGACCAGCAAGAATTGCAAAGAAAATCTCATACTTCCGGGTTACGAGCACTCTGCATAAGCTAGTGGCTGCGATTTTGCTGTTACCTATGTGTTTTGTGTCATGGTTGTGGAGGATACTGGGCTTGGGTTACCTGCGTGAGTGAAGCCGCCGGTGGTCACGACGGCCAAGATTCGCTTTTTGGAGTATCTCGAAAGTCTCCATCATGAGTGTCTGAGCAACTTTGAAGAAGGAAATGGAGAATTCGGGATCAGGATTGTGGTATGAGGATGTTTTGGCTGCCGTTATCGGGTATTGGGGGCCAAGCATCCGATGATATTGTTCAAAGGATTCACATATCACACCAGCCTACAATTCATTCTCAGAGCACTCTGACCGTGGAATACCCATTCGAAGGTGTTTGTATGAGCCTGCGCAATTGTCACACATTCGCATGATCTGTGCCTAGCAAGCGTGGCCTTCACACTAAGCGTACACCGATATCAACCTCGATATCCGTCTATAGCAAGCAACAGCCCTATAATGCCGTCAATACCAACATCTTTAGCTCAAGATACCTCAAACCTATTAGCATGTCCAGTCGGGTCTCCGAGAAATTGGCTGGGGAAAGCAAATTAATCCGCTTTTCAAGATACCCAGGCACGTCGGGAATACCCAACTAACTCGGTCAGTGGGTTAGACACAATTAAGTCTGTGTAACAAAAGAGCCGTGTATGCCAGAGCATTGTCAAAAGTTGCTGGATCTGTCGAGAAGTGTATTTATTTTGATCTCGACGTGATTGATTGACTAGACGCCGTCGGAGCCGCGTTGCTGGGAATAAAAGGACAGTCGGACGGTGGCATGTTTGGCAATGTGAATTCGACTCATCAGGGTCACCAAGACGCATCGCGCTTGCCGCGTGTTGGAGCAAACCCACGCTTTCTTCCTCCAGATTCTGAAAGAGTAGACACAAAGCACAAAGATGAATTCAAGTTGAAACAAAAGCGTCAAGTCAAATGAGATTGAGAAAATCGGCAAGAGCAAAAAGTCGAAAGTCAACATGAAACCGCGCAGCAGCCATGGACTCTGTAATCTCTCTTCGCTGTTTCCCTTTTCCTCTCTGTATATTAGGGAAATAGTGGTCTTGTACAATGTGGCGTCTCTCTTCTCCGTCTCTCTCTTTTTTTGCCATCCTCGGCTTCCCAGCTCTCCATCCTATATCTTCCATCTTCTTCTGTAGCTCGAAAAACAAAAAGCAAAAGCACTGCGCGCTCTGGTTGAAAACGCGAAAAAAAACAAGGCAAGATGCAACACACAAACATGTAAAACGGAAATATGATGGAAAACACCTCCAGCTCCTTTTGCTGAGGCATGATGATATGCGCCGACAGCGGTCAAACACCGTCCAAAAAGCTGTCCTTGTATGCCCAGATGAAAGGTGGAACAAAGAAAAAGAAGAAACCCCCGTTACAAAAGAGACGCGTGAAAAATGTGCGTGTCGTTCTGGATTTGTATTCTTTCTCTTCATTGGTATTCGGCGCCGGTGGAAACAATGCCTTGAGGCATGGAATGTTGCATGTGGTGGGGTTCCATGTGATGAGGCTCCATGTGGTGAGGGTCCATGTGGTCGCGCGACATCTGGCTCATGTGCATGTGCGATGGAGGAGGGCCCATGTCGCCGTGCATGTCAGAGGGCATGCCAGGCATAGGAATGTACGAGTCGTTGACATCGCCTTCGGAAAGGTCAATGCCTTCTTCGGGCTCTTCGAGGTCTTCTTCGGAGAAAGATGTACCATCAGGATTCGCGTCATGGGTACGACGGTGCTGGGCGAGATTGTCGGAGCGAGAGAAGGCCTTGTTGCAAAGAGGGCAGACGTAAGGGCGTTCGGAAGTGTGAGTACGAACGTGTCTGGACGGAATTAGTACAAAGACTTTCAACGGACCAGTAAGCTAGACTCACCGCTTCAAGTGCTCTAACCTCTTGAAAAGTCGGCCACACATGGGGATGGGGCACGAGTGAGATTTTGAAGGGTAGGGGCTGTTCATGTCTTGGACAGTAGCGCTGCGAGCACGGCGGAAGACACCGTTAGGTGTGCGCATGACAGCGGCCTGGGCGTAGTTGACGGGACGGTACTGATCACCGGGGTATGCTTGTGCGTACTCGTCCTGACCCATGGGCATCGAGGAAGGCGGCATGTCGTCAACAGGGGTAGCATGACGTGAGTAGTCCTTCTGCTGGCGGTTGGGAGTGGCTCCTCTCGGCGAGTCGTGGTAGACGGGGTCGACATCGTGGACAGGGACGGAAGAATGGCGCAAGTCACTAGGACGGTGGACGGCGTGAGAAGTGACGCTCTGAGGAGTAGAACTGGGCGGTTGCTGGGTTAGCGAAGAGCGGCGTCTGCGCTGCTTATAGGTGGGTGAGCCTTCAAGCGCTGAGGGGAAATGGTGAAGAGGACGCATCATCGAGGGGTACTGAGGAGCAGCCATGGGCTGTGCGACAGGCATCAGGGGGTTGTAGTATTGTGACATTCCCGGGTCGGGCATGGCAGCGTACAATCCCGTCTCTTCGTTGGCAATGTAGGCGGGCTCGTGGTGGGGCTGCTGGTGCATCTGGTGCTGGGGAGGAGTGATGGGCTCGTAGCTCAGACCGCGCTGGCTGTAGTCTTCGAAATGCGACGAGACGAATGATGGAGCGGGCGAGTATTCCATGTATGCGGGCATGCTGCTGTGGCGGGCGGCGGCGTTCATGGCACGTTCGTAATGCATGATGGGGCCGCAGCTCTGCTCACGTGTCTTGTGGACCTGTGCTGGCAAGGGCGCCTGCATGGCCATCTGCTGGTAGGTTGGCATATGCGTCAACATTTCCTCTTGCGGCATCGCTAGGGGCATACTTGTTGGCTGCATCATAGCCCCCGGAGGTGGTCCCATCGACTCGGCCGTTGTTGCGGGAGGGCCCATAGGCTGAGGTGTTCCGGCTGCTGCCGCCATCGTGTTTGCTGCCATTGGTCCTGAGCTCGTGGCTGCGGCGTTCGCGGCGAAGGTGGAGCTGTTGGTCTGTTGAGCCTTGGTAAGCTGCTCAAACAGAGACTGGCTCGAGTCAAACTCAAACGAGAGTGCGGGTTCGCTGACAGCTACCGTGGTAGCTTCTTGGCCCATCTTTTCGCGCTTCAGGTCGCGTTCCAGGGCGTCGAGGAATAAGCGGTCATGAGGTACGCTGTACCAGTAGAAGACCTTCTGCTTCTTCTGAGTGCGGATGCAGTTGTTCTTGTACAGGAAGTCGAGGAAGGGGCTTTTCGGCTCTTCCAGCGAAGCGTCAGTGCCAGACTTGAGGTTTCGCAGGTCCGAGAAGATGCCCTCTTCAAACTTCTTCGAGTTCTTGACCGGGCGACCGAATGCCTGGAAGCGGAACGACAGGCATCGTACAATGTCTGTACCTGAGATGTGGAAGAGGTTGCTCCTGTAGAATCAATGAGCAATCATGTCGAAGCCGGTCTGTCAGCGAACAATCACGTACCATAACACACAAGACACGTATTCGCCAGTGGGTAGCAAGAAGCGGCGGATGTACTGATCCGGGGACCAGTCGACGGGAGCTGAGATCAAAAAGTACTTGACTGGATCCGTGTCAGTAAGAGCCAAAGCCTCCATTGAAGAGATGGACAAGACGAGGAGGAGAGAGGCGACGGCGACATACGGTTGTCGACTTGCTGCAACGCGACGACCGAGTCTGCAGGCAAGCTCTGTTGAGCATCGTGGTCCAGGAGAAACGTCTCTGGTGCTACCGAACGACCCTGAGGCGGGCCGGCCATGACAGCGTGCTGTGTCGAGTACATTGCAATGTAAATCTCGCGCGAAAAAGGCTATTATAATAAGGGTGATGTGCCAATCAAAACTGCCGCAATCAAGTGCAACAGGCTCAGCTGCTAGAGGGGGGGGGAAGCGAGTGTGGGAGAGTATGGATAGGTAGGGATGCTTGATCGTCGACGACGGACAGTATCGAGGGCCTGCCTGCGATAACGTTGTATAGCGTTGTACTGTGATACAAGAAAGAAGGGGTTGGCAGTGAGGAGAGAGAAGCGCGACGACGTGTCGCAGAGAGAGAGGAATATGGGATGCGAGTGTTTGAGAATGACAGAGGGCTGAGGGCTGCGGGAGGGAAGAGGTTGATGAGGCTCGATGAAACAAGTGCAGAAAGACTCGAAACCCGCCAAGCCCGGCCGTGCCCTGTTTGAGACTCTCTAGTCCAACGCTCCAGCGCCCTCTAGCCCAGAACCTTCGCATCGAGCACTGATGCCCTTCCACGAGAACTTGTCTCTTTCTTATCAAGCTCATCTTGTCTGCTGTCCCCATCGGGAGATGGTCCGCGGCCAGGCCGAAGTGTCTTCCTCCTCTCCCAATCCGTCATCTATAGCGACGACGCGTTCCCAGAAATAGTCATTCCCTCAAGAAAGCTACATGTCCAGGCGGGCGGGCGCACGCTTACTCGAGGGCCTACCGCTTTTGTTCACCACTAAAGCCACATCAATCTCGGCCGTTTATTCGATAATTTACTGTCTCGTCGAGCATGGCCGGCTAATTGCCAACCACCTCTTTTGCGTCTTTCTCAGTCAGGTCAATCGTGTAGAGATACCATTGCTGCTCCCATGGTCATGCAAATTCTCGCCTGCCTTCCGAGTACTCTCGACATCGTAGCACCTGCGTTGGTACCTGCATGAACACGGCGGAAAGGCTGCTGGCGGCTGATCCACACAACGCTCTACACTTGAAACACGCGCCGACCGAAACGGTGAACTGCACTTTGCTTCGAACTTCTTGTTTGCAACCTCGTCGAACTCTCCACTCCAGATGCCAGCCTCGCTGTCTCCAAGAATAACATCTGCTACCACACCTCAGCGCACTATCACAATCCACTCTCGTCATGCCGCCATCACTTTGACAATTTCTGGCAATGGAATTTCTCTCTTTTCCTGCACTTAGCCTCTTCAGCTAACAGCTATCTCATTTCCCGGCTGCCGTCACCGCTCCTTTTTTGCTTCTTCTGCTCTGCTTCTCTTCCGCTTCCCGAGCCGGCGTGCCCGCGAGCAAGACACGTACGAGCTGTCCAAGCGCTTGTGCAGTTTTTCCATCATTGATCATCACAGAGCCGTCAAAAGATCCACCATGCAGCGTGCGTGCAGCGACTGGCTGGTAAATGTCCTCATCTCGGAGCTTTCTTAAGCGCCCAAGAGTCATGAGCGAGTGACCCATTCATAACCTACATCGTGGCGCAGCACATCTGTACGGTGTACCTCGCCATAGAGCACCATCGTTATTCCAATCCCACAAAGTGCCCTCGGGCTAGACTGTTGTGGAGTCTGGAGAAGAAAGTGATTGGGTTTGATGCTTGTCTTTGATTCATCAAGACGTGTTACACGACCACACTCTGTTTTTTTGACTGCCGTCTGTACCACAATCTTGCCTATTTGTCAAGCCCTGCACACACCCTTCCTTCGACGCTTTTTTCTCCGAATGGACAGGGATTGCTGAATGGAACCTTTCAGAAGTCAAAAGTGCGCGAGGTTTGCGCAAGTCGATCCGGGTCCATCACGCTTGGAGCGCGTAATTTCAAGCCATCGAAGAAGTGGGCGTTCAGCTGGCCCTGTTTGAGATTAATTGGAAACATGTCGATCACCCCAGGTGGCAGTTCGTCGCTGACTGCATGCCCCAATCGCGGCCACATCCTCTTGGGCACCACTTGTCTACCTTTGTTCTCCTGCGCTCGCCTATTCGATGCTCGTATCTGGCTGGTTGGCTAAACGCCGTCCCTGTCCCTTGATGACGACAACAGGTCTTTGAATAGTAAAATTGCTACCTCACGTGAACAGTCGGTAAGCTGTGATCGAATCAGTGATTGTACATTTCATGCACAGAAAAAGGGATGCACTCGCTTCCGGGATTACGATCTCTATTTCCTTGACCAATATATCTCTCTAGCAATCATATTGGACCAAAACTCAATTCACATGAGTCGCTGTTGCTCCGTAAGCCTGGCCAGGTATGCATTCTCCTTTGCAAAAACACAGCCGAGCCTGAAACTCATGACAGCTGAGTGGCCTCTATGCAGCAAAAATGTCCAGGGACCCTTTGACCCTTCAGATAGACCTTCGGACAACAACTCCTTCCAACGATCTCCTCTGCAGCCGGAGCGTCGAAATGTCATGTTTTGCGCACATGCGACAAGCACATATTCAAGGTTGAGATCTTGCATTGAGATTAAGAGCACTCATGGACCTGCGGTTCGTCTCATGTGTATCGCTGAAACGAGCAGCTCCATCTCTTTTTCCCAAGTGTTTCGTCGTTGTCGTTGACGGGCCGGGCATATGTCTCCGTATCTGTCCGGGCCGGGTCGGTCGAGTACGGACGGGTTTCGAGAAGAAAGGTGCTTGGCCTGAGGATGTGTTATGGCGTATTTGCTTGCGACAAGCTGCACGTTTGCTCTCACATCACATGCCACAGTAGATTGATCTTGTAAGGCTGGGGCGGATGGACGACATGTGGTGGATATCGGCAGAGACATCCCTGTTGCGCATTACTCTTGCGACAGAGATGGTGTGCGTTTGAGGATCGAGGAGTGCATGGATCTGTCGGTGTCTTGTTTCTTCTGCTCGAGACCTGCTGCACTGATTAAAAGTGCACGAGAACATCCACATGGTCTACCTTGCTGACGAGTCGTTGCACTGTACGGTGTGCGCGAGATTGATTGATGGAGAAGTGTTTCCGTAGACCGCAAAGCACCCTGCGCCCGTCAGACCATGTCGGCAGTTGGCTGTGAGAATCGTGATCAGAAGGAGCCGGTTGCAGGTGCCCTCTGAGATTGATGTTCTGGAGGAACAGCGGTCTAGGATGAGTTATCGCGATGGTGTCATGGACTTGTCGAGCGCATCACCGCATTGTCAACGGGCATGCGGTGAACGGCGCGGGAGTGGAGGGAGAGCGGAGAAGGAAAAGCCAAGCTCTCTAAATATCCACGAAAGAATGCTTGCTTTCACATCCGAATGTTGCAGCAACACGCTGTTTAGACGACGCAAGTATATCAATGAGTGACTAGGCTTCTTTAACTATATGACTTGGTGGAAGCAAATGCGAGATGTTTCCACCAGCAATCAAGCACTCTGCGCAACATGGTGGTATACAAAAGCGAAGTGTCTGGCTTCGAGGCCATGAAGACAGATAGGCGGGATATTTGCTCATGAAATCATCATGTAACAACTATATGAGCCTTACAAAGCTCTCGAAAATACCAATGGAAGCTCAAGACCTCGGATATACCAAAGGGCTTAGGTAGAAAGTGCCTTATCACAACGCACAGGGTGACCCGGTTTACGAGTCGCAGAAGCTCGGACCACATCAAGCCAACACCCCGCATCAGTGACGACGCATCCAAGGCATCTCTCCTTGAAGCTTCACGCTTCGCAGTCTCCAACTCCCAAACCACCAAAACAACTTCCACCATCTTACCCAGCCGTATACACTTCTGATCTCTTAGACGACTAGTAACGACTCTTCTCACCACAGCAACATCCAACAAGCATGAAAATCATCGTGACAGGCGGCACAGGCCTCGTGGGCTCCGAAGTAATCCGCTCGGCTATCAAGCACCAATTCATCACTCACATCTACGCCGTCGTGCGCAAACCTTTGGACCCCAAGCTCGCAGACAACCCCAAAGTCACTCAGATCATCCACGACGATTTTGAGAAATGGGATGAGGATCGATTGATCAGGTTATTTGAGCATGAAGGCGTGCAGGGTTGTATCTGGTCAGTCACTTCCCCCATCACTCCCAAAGATACTGGGCTAGTGGATGACAGTGCTAACAGAAGTGTCAATCACAGGTGCGTAGGCGGCTGGACCAACAAATTCCCCTCCCTCCAAGAATCCCAACGCGTCAACATCGCCATGCCCCACTCGGCAGCCGAAACCTTTTCCGCAATCCTCTCCCCTTCCTCCTCCGCCATCGCCCAATCCAAGAACAAACGCGGCATCGCTTTCCGCTTCATCTACATGTCTTGCACCGGCGCCGAGCAAAACCCCTTCGCATCCCTCTGGTACGCAGCCGACAGCAGGAAAACAAAAGGTGCGGCGGAAAAGGGGCTTTTCGAGCTCGCGGATTCGAGGACGCCGGGGAGTTTTGAGGCGTATGCTATGAGGTTGGGTAAGGTGTTGCCTGGAGGACAGAGTGTTTATAATCTTTTGAGTATGGGGAGTAGTACTAGTATTTCGGATACACTGGTGGCCAGGTGTGCCATCAATCTCGTTCTGGATGGAAGGACGAAAGAGGAGGGGGGTAGAGTGTTGGAGAATGCGGATTGTCTTGGTGACGATTGGGCTCAGATCAATAGTTTGTCTATTGAGTAAGACACGGGAGAATGCGATGAGATGAATGAATTCGGTATGCAAGCCAAGGTTATGGGCTTCTGGCTTGATCGGAGTCTTTTGGTATTTGGACAGGGATGAGCATTGTTTATCCTTCTTTTCTTTTTTTCTTCTTTTCTTCTTTTCTTCTTTTCTTCTTTTCTTCTTTTCTTGTTAAATCCGTCGGCCTTCTCGGCTGCTTTGAAGGCATCTCGGCAGTTATACTACCCTTTTTATCGTCCTGCTTTCTCGTTGTCCCTCTGTGCTCTCTGGTTTCTTGCTATCCCATCTCAAACCAAACACCAAAAAACAATGCAGAAAATCAAGCAAGCAAAAGATCACAACGAAAATCAAAACAAAAATAACAGGGAAAAATCAACTTACGCCATGCATCCAGAACAGCCTGGACGACTTCATTGGAGATTGTCATTTTGAGCTCGGCGAGAACGGCGCCGGTGATGTAGGCGTTCTTGTCGGCGTCCCAGCGAACCATTTTTTTTTTTTTTGCCGAGTGGTGTTTTGGTGTGAGATTGAGATGTGGAGGAGTAAGCTTCGAGACGGGTGCAATCTGTCTGGAAAGATTGATGTGGTTGGTGTGGTTGTGGTTATGGAGTGAATGGTGTTGTTGTTGGGATGGGTGAGGAACGAATGATGTCTTCGAATATGATGTGGAGGAAGAGGAAGGAGAAGATAAGCGGATGTGTTAATGGTGGGAGAAAGAGTCGAATCAATGTGAGAGAAGAGTCGAATCGATGTGAGAGAAGAGTCGAGTCAACGTAAGGAAAGAGTCAAATCAGAGTGTGAGAAGGGTAGAATCGAGTCGATGTTAAATGAAAGGTCGAGTCGACGAAGTCTGTATGGTCCGAGGATCGAAGCGTTCGTGTATAATTGTGTCGAGCTCAAAGGGGTTGTTCATGAGATCTTTCTTTCACAACAAAACGACACCAACCTGGACATTGAACTTGAAGAGCCAGAAGTGGGAAACGGTGATAAGAAGAACTTGTGTGTCGAATGGTCTTTTCATCTTCCTTCTTGTAGTCCGCAGAGCAAAAAGATATTGAATGAGAGATAGAGTAATGACCATCTTGGAGTATTTTGATCACACGCTGAGAGATCAACAGTTCGCACCACACCTCTGAACTCATGACCACAACAGCCTATACCGAGTGGCAAGATTCTGATCTAAGAGGCATCCCGCTCGAATTCCTGTATGCTCTTTCTCCGTGTCTGACAATGGGCCCTGGGAAAAGACACCACGTGCCCTTGGTCCTTCCATGATATTTTGCCTACCTGTACTATGCTTGCACTCATAGAGTCCATCCGGATTTCATCAATGGAAAATACAAGACGCACGAGTAAACTGACCATTTGTCTTCGACTCTAATCTCAATGTCAAAAGCAGATTCGCTGCAAACTTGTTCGCGTCAGCAAAGATCTCCAATCTCCAATTCTCCAAAGTCGGACCCCAACAGGATGTCGAGCACCAAGACGCACTCACCCCGGCCTCACTGATAGTGAAATTATTAATCCCCCACCTTCACGAGTCAGGCGATTCCAAGGACCGAGACTGCTCGTGAGATTGATAAGCCGATTGAGGCCCGCCGCATTACTTCCATCCGTCTTTCAGATTTGATCTCTTCTCGTCCTCCATATCCTAACTGTTACACAAACTCAAAGAAAAAATGTCTGCAACGAAACTGTTTGAGCCGCTTAAGCTGGGCACGGTTCAGCTCCAGCACCGTGTGGTCATGGCTCCATTGACCAGACTCCGCGCCGACAAGGAACATGTTCAATTGCCTATGGCAGTAGAGTACTACTCTCAGAGAGCTTCGCCGGGTGGTCTTATCATCGCAGAAGCAGTACTTATCTCACCGGAACACGGTGGCTTCAGACATGCACCTGGAATCTACACCGAGCCTCAGATCAACCGCTGGAAGGAGATCACAGATGCTGTTCATGCTAAGGGAGGTTTCATATATGCGCAATTGGTCTCTGTTGGCAGAGTCGCAGATACTGGAATCTTGAAGGAGGAAGGAAACTTTCCTCTGATCAGCTCGAGCGAAACACCATTCACCGAAGGACCGGATTCTCTTCCCCATGCTTTGACGGAAGAGGAAATCAAGAGAGCAGTATCCACCTTCGCCCAGGCATCCGAGAACGCCATGGCTGCAGGCTTCGACGGTATTGGGCTGCATGGCGCAAACGGCTATCTCATCGATCAATTCACCCAAGACACCTGCAACCGCCGCACCGACTCCTATGGCGGCAGTGTAGAGAACCGCTCCCGCTTCGCCCTCGAAGTCACCTCAGCCTGCGTCGATGCTATTGGCGCCGAGAATGTCGGTTTCCGCATCAGCCCCTTCAGCACATTCCAAGGCATGAAGATGGCGGACCCCATCTCCCAATTCTCCCACCTCGTCCGTGGTCTAAAAGATCTCAAACTCTCCTACCTTCACATAATCGAATCTCGCGTCATCAACAACGTCGACTGCGAGAAACAAGAAGGCATTGAACCCTTCATCGATATCTGGGGCCGAACGTCTCCCGTACTTGTTGCTGGTGGCTTTACTCCTGAATCAGCTAAACATGCGGTCAATGTTGAGTATAAGGATGTTGATGCTGCTGTGGTGTTTGGACGTCATTTCATCTCGAATCCAGATCTACCTTTGAGGATCAAGAAGGGTGTAGAGTTGAATGGGTATGATAGGAGTACTTTTTATACTCCCATGCAGAAGGAGGGGTATCTGGATTATCCTTTCTTCGAGCAGAGTAAGGAGGTGGACGTTCGAGCTTGAGGTAGTGTTTAGATAGGTGGTTGTCTGAACGAACACATCCTAAGAGTATTGAGATCGTGCCGCGGTGTGCTGTGCTGTGCTTATCTCCAGGTTCTGATTGCAGTGATAGGTATTGATTGAATACCAGCGGATCGACGAAGATAGGCCAAGGAACGATCTATGGATAATCCTGACGCGACTTTCCGCTTGCATCCCGACCTGTATGAATAATCGCCGTACCTTCCTTCAATAGCTGCGACACCGATGGTCGTTGCCGTTAGGGATAAGAGATTGTTAATGCGCTGCGGCCAAGGGAATGGCGCGTTATGCACGTAGAGGTCTTCATCGCTGTGCTAGCAGAGAGCTATATCGCAATGACATGTCGAAGAGCAAGACTAGAACTCAGATTTCAATTGTTCAAAGTCAGGAAGATGTCGCGGTATGGACGGGCGCGACAGAACGTTGGCCGTCAACGACGGGTGGGCTCGCGTCCCGAGGTCGGCCCGATCATTCACTATTATCGAAACCTCAGTCTCCTGTCTTTCCACCACCATAATGCTTTTTACACTGCGGAGGCTCTAGCATATGATGGAATACCACTGCTTGACTCGAATGAGTGTGAAGTTTAACTACCTATGTCGTGTCGGAGGCCTGATGCATCCTGATAATCTCCATGTTGTCGCAGATCTGGCGCTCCTCAACGACGAAGGATTTAGGGCAGATGTGGAGATAGATCGAGTCGCATACCTCAAATGCAACTACGGTCCTCACGTTCCTCTCATTCACATGTCCACCTCATACAGCACGCAGTACTGAAAGCATCAGGGATTGAAGAAAGAAAGCGAGAATTAACCGCATTCTTCTGGAGTGGAGACCTCTCCATCATGGCTTCCACCCTTCAGCCTCCACCGGCCTCCTTCTCTTTAAATAGTGAACACATCGCCAAAACCCATCGCACTCTCGGTCTCCGCTGCCGCGACAGATACTTCCGCGACGCCATGGTCTGCGACGAAACCGGAACAAAACTCTACGCTTTCACCGCAAAAGACCTCGGGTCCTCATGGTCGTTGCGGCGGAGCCTTGTCGACGCGAATTCGGGAGCACATCTTCTGGACCTCCGCCACACAAACTGGAGCGTCAACAAATGGATCATCGAAAACACAGTAGCCAAAGAAGTCTGTAAAATCAAAGATGTCACTTCTTCCAGAAATGGCGGGTTTACTGCTGTGGATGTGCAGTTTATTGATGATGATGGAGGGATCACGAATCTGGAGATGCGCTCGTTTGATAAAGCGGTGAGTAGGACGACTTTTGGAGTCGAGGGGGTTGTTGTTGCTGAGATGACGTTGACTGATAATAATGATGCGGCGTTTTTGCACAAAAGGGGATTGGATAGGACGGCGTGGAGACTTGAGGTTGCGGAAGGAGTGGATGTTTCTTTAGTCATTGCACTGGCCTTTGCGAGAGCTGAGATCTCGCATTCTTGGCGGAGGTAGCGAAGGAACTTGTCCCAGAGGTTAATGGCAGCTATGGACATAGGGCATTTGTTGCTGTGGTCTTCTATGCGATAGGTTGCAGCTGACTTCTGTAAAACATCGCTGCCTACACAATGGCCGCTTAAAGCATCGTCATCGCCATCATCTTGTTCCTTAAATCTTGCTTGTAAGTATCGGTGACCGCACCGCAGATCAAAACCTCTCTCAATCCTGTCAATGCTTGTAAAGGCTCGAGAACACCTTGTACTTCTTCCACACTCCTTACAGAAGAGTCCCTTGATCTCACAATCCCTCTCTTCTCCGACTCTAGAACACCATCGTTCCCATTCTGCAACCTCACCGTCAATTTGTTCAAACCCTGCTCTTCACTCGCATCCTCATTTCTTGCTGTGTTGATCGCCCGTACCAATTTTTGGACTTGCAAGCGTAGACCATGAGTCAATCCGCTCCCACCTACATTATACTTGATCATCCCCGTATACTCATCTACGCAATCCACCGTCATGACCACTTTTTTTATCTTCCCGATATACTTTGCTCCTCCCCACCCAGCCAGGAAATCATACGCATGTGACGGCGCCAATCCTGACGCAAGCACCCAGCGAAATCGAAATTGGATTTGATCGTAAGATATCCAGAGCACGAAGGTATTTTCGCCATATAGGATTGTTGAGCATTCTGCGTGTAATTGGCGGCATGCACTGAGTATAGAGGTTTGTCCACGATGCCAGAGGATGGTATTTTTTGCGTATTTGGCGGATGGTAGAGATGCCAGGTGGGTTTTATGTGCCGTACTCGCCGCTGATGATCCGGTTGTTGCTTCTGCGATCAAACTGCCCGAAGAGGTTTTTGTTTCTGTGTAGGGTAGGAGGTAAGAGTAGATCTTGCGACGGAGCTCGTAGGGTAGTCGCAAGAAGGGGAAGGTCTGGCGAGTATAGGGAGCATTTAGAGGTGACTTCTGAGAGGCATGAAGGGCGAGTATCTGAGCTGTGGATTTTGTTTTGTAGAGGGCTGGAGGGAGAGTGTGATGGGTTGAAGGTTGGATCGGGAGGTAGTAGTCGCGACAGTTGTGGTGGCCAGTGTCTGTTAGGGTCGACATTGTTGATGATTATAAGGGACAGAGACAAAGATTTTTGGCTAACTGTATCTCAATTCAATTCCCGAGATCATGGACGGATTGGATGATTGTGATGAATGTTTGATTGTTTCCCTCGGCATTGGAAGTCGACCATCAGGGTGACGACTTTGACTGCGGAGGCACGATGTTATCAGACACCAAGGCTTAGCTTATCAAGCAATCTCTGCATTCGCCGCGCGACCAACGTTCCGTATCAGAAGACACGGAGTCCGTGCGTCCGGGGGTGAAGCTCAGCTATTGATGACCTTTCGGAGTGCAGACGACTCCTTCTCCTTGTGACTACATGGTTGATGAACATGAGCGTCTTGTATCTATGCCCTAATGGGCTGTCAGACGTTCATTCGTGTTCTCAGAATGTCATGTTCTCCAGTATCCCCAACGCAGGGGTTCTTTTGATCTGAGTACCTGAATACATCGCCAGATAGACCTCCAAAGCCATCGAGTCTGGCACGACATCTACCAGATCCAGAAACCCATTCTCTGAACACATCGGTCCGCGGACATACCAGGAATAGAACTCCTTGCAAAGCCATCTGAAATTACGGCCGCCATGCATATCGAACTCCTACCATCCGAGCTGGTCACAGACATCTTCCTCGCCCTGCCTACCATCTCCTCCGTCATCGCCCTCTCTTCGACCTGTCACCGTTTCCGTCAAGTCTTCACATCCTCCAAAAGACTCCTCATCCTATCTCAAGCAGCCGAGAACGAATTTGGCCCTACACAAGACATCATCCAGATGGTCACCCACAACGCCTCCCAACCCGCTCACCTTCGTCGCACTGTTTCTCTCTCGTTCGCGCTGATTCGCTCCATCGTAAAAGTCGGTCGTGTTGCTACAAAATGGGAGGCTGTATATCCCTCCAAGAAGTGGAAGTCAGACTTTGAGAATAGAAGGTCCATTTCCGATGACGAGCGATTGCGTCTGAGACGAGCATTATACCGCCTCTGGCTCTTCTCTCGAGCCTTCCATGACGGCACGACTTTGCGGTGGATGCGAAGTATACCTACACTGCAGCACGAGCGTACATTGCTGTTGCGAAACTTCAACTCGGTTGAGTTGGCCGAGATGCTGGACGTCCACAACATGCTGCGGGATACCATCAGCAACAACATTTGCCCTTCGAATGGTACTGTAAACCGCAAGTTCCAGAAGCGCTTCCCAAACTCGAACCACCAACTCATCTTCAATACTCATCTCAACTTTCCACCGCCATCATCATTCGTGCCAGACGGTGCTTACCACTGCTCGGACGTCGCAGCATCGAAATGGCACAACAAGTACGTCCCCACCGCCAACCACGAGCCAGGCGCCGAGGGCTGGGGCGACGACATCCTACACTACTACGTCATTGAGGACATGTTGAAGCTCGATCCAGAGCAACTCATGTTCCTAAAGGAGAATGCACCCTTCAAAAGGCAAGTCGAGGATTACATCAGAAGCCAAGGCGACTGGTTCGACAACAATGGCGAGACTTTTGTCCAAACATTGCAGCAGGTGATCCATGATCGCGGTCAAGAAATGGATGAATTGAAAGATGCGATTGAAGATGGAGAGTTGGGTGTTGCACTGAAGGAGAGAGTGGTATGAGCGCAGAGAGGTTTGTAGAGATTGTGGACAATACTAAGCTTCGTGGTCCATCCCTGCGATCAATTCCTCTACACGCTCAGTGACTCTGCCTGCGAGCATCCATCAAGCAGTGTACGCAACCTCTCTTCGTGTAATCATGAGCCTGTTCCATTTTTCCAGGCGAGTCAAACAGTAATGTTCCGACTTTTTCTCTCGTCTGCAGGTGAAAGCGGCTCAGATGTTCGTTCCGAGCGCTGGAGCACAATCGTTCCTTCCATCCTGGACAACAGCAGGGAGGAAGATGGATGTCGATAGTGCAAAAAGAAAGAAGATTTGCCCGGTCTAGGATTCGAACCAACGTCTGTAGGGTAGTGCTTGGTAGCGACCGAGTAACACAATTCGGAACACAGCAGCCGTTCCCTCACACCACCCCACCACCGGGTGAGAAAGTGGTGGTCTTGTGCAAAACTATACTATCATTCCAGCCATGAGCTACCTTTGAGCTGAGGTCCCTTTCCTTCCCATCCATTGTGTAATGATCTCCTTGACATGCATGCTTTGGCACAATTGCGCTTTACCGGGACATCCCCAGCAGCCTCGATCCTTGGCTGTTGTGCCTTCCATTCCATGAGTGAAGCGCCTTGTTTTAGCAGGGAAGAGCGACCCTGCATAGTCATTTGCACGTGTGAATTCATCAACGCGCGATCTTCTCCTCCACAACCACTGTTTCTACCTGCACTCCTCCACGATTCACATCAACCACCAGATTCGACATTTCTCGTTACTACTGTCGAGGACTGCAGTGCACGTCACTCATCAGCTCGACAAATTACTCGACACTTCGGCCACTGCTCGTTTCGCCTTCATCGCTGCCTGTATCCCTTTCGTCGCGTTCATCGGTTTCTGCTGCTTGCTTGTCTTTTGGTAGACATCCATCGCCTTGATTTTCTCTGGAGAGTCTGTTGTCTTCTTCTATGGAGCTCGGTTGAGATCTGGCTACAGACACCTACGACTTCGCGCAAGACTGGTTCCAAGGACTCAGTTTTCTCCCCCTTTGTGAGTATATCTGAGACTCTACTCAAGCTGGACCCACTGACACAAATTTGTAGAGCTCTCTCAATGAGTTATATTGCTGAATACGTGTTCGACTATGGACAGCTCGAGTCAAGCTTTGTGTGCGCTTTGAAACATTGGAAGCCACAAACCGTGTCTTTCCTGGAGTTGCCTCCCGAGATACGCAACATGATCTACAACTTGCTGGTGAACGAAACAAAGGATCGTAACCAACGTCTCCTCGATTTCGAACCCGGAAGTCTCTTTGCCGCACCATCTCTGAACATGCTGCACACATGCACGCAGGTGCAACAGAAGCTTTTGCCGTTGTACTTTCCATCATCACCCCACATCTCCGCATGTCGTCTCGGGACGGTCTACGTACACGCACGTTCGATTATGCGTTCCAAGCTGAGGTTGTTGTCTGGCTGGACAGAAAGGGACCGGACGCTGCGGATTACTTCCATGCTTTAGTTCTAAGGTCTTCTGATCGTCCATATATCAACTGCTCGATCAAAATCCACGAGTCGATGGGTCTGAAAGCCAAAATCTGGGCATCCTGGACGTCCAAAAGACACGAGGGCCTCGAAGCGTCTGCAAATCACACACTGGCGGAGAAGATCACTGACTCCCTCAAGATCTCCAAGACTGGACTGCTGGGACTACGGCATTTCGAACTTGCCGAAGAGGCCATTGAACAGCTTCAGCGCAAGATTGAGTCTTTAGACTGGACGGGAAGGGCCCTGTGAGCAGAGATTGGACTTTGAGAAAGACAGCAATTCTTCGTGCTGACTTTGATGGATGGAATGGCATGAACAAGTCGCTAAGAACACAATGATTGCTGCCTCCAAGGACAGCATCACATCACCTTTCACAGCTTTATACCTGGCTCACAATCTCGCTCTTACCATCAAGGCATAGTACGCTTTTATTTAGTAAGCATCACTACACCTAACTATCTGCTAGCATCTTCCAACTTCTTCGTGATGTCTGATTCATGGGATAAGACGTGGGTGTCTATTTAATAGCTTTGAGGCAGGGTTACCTTAGCAGGATCAGATAAGATAGCTATGATCAGACAAAAGCCTTCACCCACCACATCGCAACGACATGCTGAGCTACAAAGTCATGGTGTATGTACAAGTAGTCGGATAATCGAATGCCTGTCAGTTCTTATTGTCTGAATTGCTCGAGAGCAAGTTTCGACACACGCTAACCTCGGCAGCCTGAATTGAAGCCCTTACCCCACTCGAGTAGACATACTTCCATTCATCCACCTATCCTAGTTTGTGCCGTTGCAATTGCAGCTACTCTTCATCCCATGATCATTCGGGGTTTCTATGCCTGCCTATTTGAGACCGGAGCCCTGACTTTGTTCCGTCGGCAAAACATTACAATGCACGCCCAGGCAAAGACGACCTCCGTACCAATTCAGGTATGGCAGACCTTCTGATTTATGCAATGTTTACAGGTTGATCAATCTGAGACAAGATATATAGTCCACCCCATTGCCGCCATGGAATCTCTAGACCAGCAATATCCAGATCTTTTCAGCAGTTGAGATCATGTTTGTCAACATTCCTATTGTGCTTTCGCTCAGTCTTCTCTGTGGCAGTGTAGTCGCCGCACCCAAGAAATGTCCCAAGGGTTTCGTGACCACGACGGGCACGAAATTCCAACTTGATGGCAAGGACTTTTACTTTGCAGGCACGAATGCTTACTACTTCCCATTCGACAACGTACGTCTCTTCTATGCTGATCCTTCCATTGGATATATAGATGGCTGATACCCTGCACAGAACCAGACAGATGTCGAGCTTGGTCTCACGGCTGGCAGAAAAGCAGGTCTTCCTGTCTTCCGCACTTGGGGCTTCAACGACAAGAATGCAACATATGTCACTGGCGGACTACCTCAATATGGAGCCGAAGGTGCCGGAACCACTGAAGTCGTCTTCCAGAGATGGGCAAATGGTAAATCCACGATCGATGTCACACCCTTCGATAAAGTCGTCAATGCAGCAACGAAGGTCGGCAGCAAGTTGATTGTACCTTTGACCAACGATTGGGCCGACTATGGTGGTATGGATGTGTACACTGTTAACCTTGGTGGCAAGTATCACGACGATGTGAGTAACGATGTCCCACCTTTGACGACATCTTTCGTGTTGACATATCCATAGTTCTACCGCGATCCCATGATCAAGGCAGCATTCAAACGCTACGTGAAAGCCATGGTCACACGGTACAAGAACTCTCCAGCGATCATGGCCTGGGAACTCGCCAACGAACCCCGCTGCGCCGGCGACGCCGTCCGCAATCTACCCAGTTCTGGAAACTGCACAGCCGCTCTCCTTACCCAATGGACCGACGAAATGAGCACATACATCAGAAGCCTAGATCCCTACCACCTAATCACCTGGGGCGGTGAAGGCGGCTTCAACGACCCCAGCAATGAAGATTGGGCATACAATGGTTCTGATGGTGGTGACTTTGACGCCACTATCGCTTTGCAGAATATTGATTTTGGAGTGTTCCATACTTATCCTGATTGGTGGAGTAAGACGGTTGAGTGGGCGGATCAGTGGATCAGGGATCATGCTGCTTCGGGTAGGAAAGCTGGAAAGCCTGTTGTTCATGAGGAATATGGTAATCTTTTCCTCTTCTTTCAATGCCCCTTCTGATGGACCAAAAGCTGACAAGGACACTTACAGGTTGGTTGACAGCCTCCGCACGACTGCAATATCTCAACAAAACCGCAGCTGCCAATGAAACCAGAGTCGCCGTCATTGGAGGTTGGCAGAAAATCTCGCTGGAGGAAAAGATGAGTGACATGTACTGGCAATTCGGCTACTCAAACTACTCTTACGGTCGCAACAACAATGATGGCTTTACGATTTACCTTGACGAGTGAGTTCACTGCGAAAATCGAAAATGCTTGATGCGAATACTGATTTTTGTGATGCGCAGTGCTGAAGCCAAACCTCTTGTTTACGAACATGCGAAAGCTGTTGCAGCCCTGAATCGTTGGTGAACTCCGTGAGTTACGCAGGCTTATTGGTCTTCAAGAGAGGAGGATGATAAAGATGGAAGCGGATGATGAGTCGGAAAATGGTTCGGAAGACGAGTCTGAAGACGAGGTGGAAAATACTTCTTCAATGACCTTCGCTGGTGAGGAAGAAGAGAGATTGGGAGGAAGCATCGATGTCGACCGGGCAAACGTCGGGAAGTTCTCCAAAGTCCATTTTCCGACCACAGGTCGCACTTTACACATGTTTCTTTGTCAATCGGAGGCGCATTCGCATTTCTGTGGCTAAGTTTCTTCTTCCTTTCCTTGTTACCATAGCTAGGCAATCAGAACCCCGTTGCCATCGCTCAACCAACCAAGCAGTTCGTCCAAAACACACTCTCGCTTATCCGCGGTGCCTGATATATCCCTATCAGAAGGCAAAAAAGGTTTCGACCGACTTTATCGAACTCATGTGTATCAGGAAGACCGTTTTCTTCTCCTTGACCTCCGTCGGGCCGCTCTGGGTGGCATCGTTCAAGACTGTCCATTGCTCGCACGCAGGGTCCAGAGAGCTAAGTTCAGAGGTGAACTGATACAGCCACGACCCCCTGGTTATGGATGTGTTAGTCGCATAGCCACGACGGCCTCTCTATTCGCAGCGGGCGATCTAAACCACGCCGGAAAGCATCTCTAAGAACTTATAATAGGCCATATCGGGACCTTTGACCTTGGCTTTAGGAGCAGGCGGCTTGCCTCCGATCAGATTTAGGTGAGTAATGATGGGAACGTGAAAGAGAAATCCAGTTCGGAAGCTTTTGCACTCGCTGGGATAGTAGTGTTGACCAGACTTGATGGCGCACAAGACGGCTCACAATTTCGTCCACTGTACGTCACTCGCGGTGCCTTAGGGGACCCGGTATACTGCAGGCTTCCATACACTCGCGCTTTTGGCTTCTCGTTCTTCTTTCTACAAGTTTCCACCCAATCGTCTCTACAGGAGTTGAAAACTCAGCATCGAGCGTTTACTATTCGGTGACACAGGCTTGTCTTTTGTTATCAATTATTTTTCAGGGGCGTTCAATATCATGGCTGAAGGTTGGAGAGTCAGGAGGAAAGTTACATAGCCAAAACATAACTCCCCAATGATAGATACCAAGAGCTCATCCAAGTGCAGCGTACCTATCACAGTATAATTGTGTTATCGACGATTCTCAGTGTCCCGAGACATCTTTCAAGGTGATTTGTTAGTGATTTTCATGTTCGTGTGCGATGAGCTTGCGGTAAAGGTACACCAAGTTGAGTGCAAGCCTTGCATGTGGGAAGTATGCTGGATGCCCACAGCAAGCTTTGTTCATAAACATCGAGACTCAAGAGCGAGTATGTTGTCACCGCAACTCGATTACAGAGCTCCACCGTCTCGTCCGTACACTCGACTCAGGATTTCGTCGGTCGCTTATTGAGCTTGATTTTTTTTCCCCAACCACAAAAGCCATACACGAGCGCACACGACAATTTTACCATCTCTTCCTTTCAACTTCGAGACCCGCACGGCCTATTATCACCATCAGGTAACTCCTAATCTCTCTCTCCTGACAGACAGCACGTTGAACTAACACAAGGTAGAGATGGAGGGTCAGGATCGTGCCCGTCAACAGAGCGCTCTCGACATCGACTTTACGGTAGATGGCGCCGACATGGACACGATGCGCAAGAAGGTCCTTGAAAGCATCGGATTCACCATGGTCCAAAACGATGGAGATGAATCGATGGGACTACCGAGGTTCCAGCGATTGACGAGTCGCGACATTCAGACGATCCATGATTCTACTCACTATGCTGCTGTTCAGAGTCAATCTATCGCTTCGCGTTCTGTCGAGCCGGCTCTCGGGGCTAAGCATCGCATAAGTACCTTTTCTCATATACCCTCTTCTCTTTCTCGCCAGGGCCAGGCATACTCCTACGATCAGCCATCTGTAGCCTTCGACGAAGAAGACTCGACCCCTGCCGAAATTGCTGCCCAAAGACGCGATGGGTTACTTGACGGTAACATCTCAGCTCAGGGTCAGGCGACACAGTCTTCCTTCCAGGCCGATACGGAGCTGATGCAGCAGTCTCATCGCCCTCTACCCACTTCGCCCTATCATGTCCTATCCGTTGAGCACCATCGCGATGCAGGAATTCAGCGTCCGGCTTCCCCCCGTCGTCGTCCTCTGCTGGATCGACTTGATGATCTGCGAGCTCCTGTTGACGCTGTCCTCGATTGCGCTCTGCCCGCCAGTCAACGTTTCTCTCAGTCTACTCGTTCTGCTCGCCGAAGCGAGCGCAGCATCATGAACACCTACAACTCCCCTGTCCGCTCTATGGGTCCTGGGATCCCTACCATGGCTTCATTAAATTTGAGCATACCTTTGTATCTTCGGGGCATCGAGCAGCCGCGTAAAGGTGGTAACAGAGACTTGAGAAATTTGAGCTTTGTCCCATCACCCCTTCGCAATGAGATCAACTTCTCAACCTCCGACAGGGACCTTCCCTCGTCCTCCAGCGAGGAGATTACTTCGGTCGCCCTTGCTCATGCTTCCGAGACCGCCATTCCTTCTCACGGGCCCGAGCAGACTACTACTCTTCACGAGTCGGAGAAAACTATCGGCGAGGAGCCTCCTCGTCAGCCGGAGGAGGCTATCTCTTCTCCCCAGGCCGAGCAGGCCGCCTCTTCTCACGAGCTGGAACACACATCCCTCGCACACGAGCCCAACTCGGTGCATACCACTCCATCTCACGAGCTTCAACAGCCCACTTGTTCTGACCAGTCCGAGGGCGCCAGCTCGTCTCAACAATCCGAGCACAATACTCCTTCCCACCCACCTTCTCTCGAGCGCATAGTTCCTTGTCCGTCATCGCCTCGGCCTCGTTTCTCAAGCCAGCGTAGCTACACCTCGTCACTTCATCGCTGAATTAGCTAGGCTTCCGGTGTATCCGTGTCCACGAGCATCTGGTTCCTCTGGGCTCTCTGAATACATTGGCAGCCTTCGTCACCTGCTTCCATGTTTCTCAACTACGGCGAGTTTGCTCTCGACAAAGATTTACGCTGAGACGCGATAGATACCACGATCACGAATATCCAAGTTACCCAATATCTGGTAGAACAGTACAGTCGAGGAAGCATTGAGCATACTTCCTTGAACCTTCTTTGTTCGAGATTCTGGAACTCGACATGAACTTTCACCGATTCTTTGTCCAACCGAATGCGCTGTTTCTGTTGCTTTGTCGCTTTCTTTCTTCGCACATCCGGAGTACTACATCGTCAACTATGCTTCTGTGGTTTCTTCAGACGCTTTTTGTGACTGGGCGTCCTTGCTCAAGACTTATTGCGTTCACGGCAGATACTAAAGGAGGAGTCGCTCAGCATGGTTTTTTTTTTGCTATGAATGTCTCGAGGAGAGCTCATCCGCACACTTTTCACTTTCTTGATTTCTGTATTGCGTTCGGCATGTGAACTTTAAAGTTCCTTGGGGAGTTGGGAGTTGGGCGCTCACTTTCGCTTTGCGTCTGTGCTAATTGCTTTTCGGGTTTGTTTTTGTAGCTTTTGATCTTGGAGAGCTCAAGGAGTTTGGGCGATCAAAGATGGAATTTCGTGCTAGCATACTAGCGTAAATAGATAAACCCTCCTCTTCCTGTGTCATCACTTGCACTTTCTATTATGTGCTGTTGTTGCTTTCCCTTCGACGGAGAGAGAAGATAGATCAATCGCACAAGCAGCAGCGCAGGCCATTAAGGGCCTGGTTGATCGGAACACGATACGCACGCCATATGGTCGTAAACTGAAGAAAGACACTCTAATCGAGGAGGATGCCATGCTCTATACAGAGAGGGACGGAAGTTTTAGAACACATCGCGTTGCACTCCTTGCACCGGAAAAGAATTTCGACCATGAGAGAGATGTGCTAGATTTTGATCTGCTTTTTCTCTTCTAGTTGCAGAATTGGGACTTATTGCTATTCCTTTGCTCCGGATCATGCTAAAATGGTCGCGAGAGGTGTTCGTTCTACTAATGCCATCTGCAAAGGTCGTTTTGATTGGAAGAGGCGGGATGGCCGATATCTCTTGCTTGATCTTTGTTTCTAGCTAGCTTTCGTTTTCCCTTAGTCTCTTATGAGATGGAATTGGCTTTCCATAAAGCATCTTCATAGTTTGCTTGTAGAGACGCCTTTGTGCACATTTGCTAGAATAACGTAGCAAAGGATAGCACCATGGCCTTGATGAAGCAGCATTTGGTTACATCAAAGCGCATATACAAGCACATCTCTCACATACAGAAAGCAATTTTCCGGTCTTCGACTTCTATTGAATACCTATTCTAGCAAGGATTGTGGTATAACATCATATCAGAGCGCAAGATGTCTCTAAAACTTGTTGTCTCGTCTGCTAGAAGCATTATCTCCATAGTAATATGTGTATACAATACTTGTCGCATTATGTCATGCTCATCTAGAAGAGGTTGTCGCCAGTCCATCGCCAAAAAGTACTTTTCGACTATATGATCTTGGGAACCCTAGATGTTTCGTTTCCTTGTTGGAGCCTGTCATCGAAAGTTCGACCAAATGTCGATTTCGTTGCTGCTCGACAAACCTGCATAAAGTCTCCACTGGCTTCCATGCTGGCTCGCTCTTTGAGCCTGTGCCTCGTACTATAAGATTTTTACGGAAGAGATACTTTGTGTTCCAAAAGTCGATTTTAGTGATTGTATCCATTACGATTCTCCTTGCTTGCTTGCTGTTTTTTACTCAATCCTTATTCCTTGCTTATCAGTGATTCTGTCAAGGAGTTTCGCCTTTGTCTACTATCCGCTAGAATTTTCTAGCAAATTGTAGTAGCAATCATGGCCTTTGTTGGGGTAGCATTCGTTGGGATTGGGTAGATATATAAGGCTGTCTCTCCTCTCATAAACAGAGATCATGTCTCACACTCTTAGCTTTTACTAGCTCATGATCCCGGAAAGCAAACGGCCTTCTGGAATAACTTTGCAGCCTACTGTCGAGACAGCATCCTTTTGCAAATATCGACACTAATGCGTCTTACGTTTTGGCATTCTGTCTTTGACAGGTCGTGTGTATACTTTGAATTCCCTCTCTCCTTCCTCTCTCGGTCTCTCTTTCTCCTCACGATCATTACAACTCGCTAAATCATCCATCACAACCGTAGTAGTGTCGGACCATGACTTGCCTCCTATAGACGTTGCTAGTCTTAATGCATCAGTCCCTGAGCACACTGCTGCATCATCTTAGCCTCATACTGGGAATGTCGCCCTTGCTCACGATTCTGAGGCCGCCATTCCTTCTCTCAAATATGTTCAACGATCACAGCAGCTCCGCTTAGGTAAGCACACAACGCGCAGAAGCTTAGGGCTCTCATGATTCTGATAAGTTTGCCCATCAGACAGAGCTTTCTGTCATGGAGTCCACCATCGCCTTCAAGGTCAAGACCGTTCGCGGGCCCGCTTAATGCCTTCTATTCATTTCTAATGAGACCTTTGTAAGTGATCGTCGTCTCTTGACCTTTTCCTTGTGCTAACGCTCCTGAGGGTTTCCGTGCTTCTATCAGCGAAGTTTTTCCGACCAAGACCCACCCTGTTTCCCGTTCTTCCTTATTGTATTTTCACCACCCACAAACAACGTACTCTTGTCCGACATGTCCTTTCTCTTTGCTTATGGACTCTGAATTCTCTGACAAGCTGGAGACACTGGAAGGGAGCAGCGACACCGTTGAGCACCTACCACGAGATGGGGTTTATTGAACGACTCATCGAAGGCTGCACAGCTAGACTTCCGCTTCGGCGCTTCCAGCCTCAGAATTTGCAAGTTGGCTCTGGAGGGCCTCCAGACTGCGAACGTACTCGACAATATGCTGGCATGCTGATCGAGAAGGTATAAACTCAGCAACAAAGCAAGAAGCGCCCCGTACAACCTTCTTATAAACTGAGCCAGTCACCCACTCTGAACAATGAACATCACCTATATATACCGAGATCTCAGCAGCATGCTGATCGCGTGCCATTCGTACCCAGATGACCCAGAACAGGGACCTGCACCACGCTAGTCGAGTCGTAGCCATCACCAGCACACAGAAGAAGAAATGAGAGGAGAAAGAGGAGTGACAAGACCAGTCTTCTTGACAGGTGATGGACAGTTTGCATGCAATATCTTTGTCACCCTTGGCCAGGAAAACATTGACAGGTCCACCGTCACCCCCCGCAGTATTGGTTTTGTTGATCTCGATGTGGGCGCCATCATTCTCGACTTCGCCATCAACGGAGAGAGCTTAGTCCAGCCCCGACTCCGTGCCGCTTTCAGAGCCTAATCTCTGGTTGCTCGAACAATGGAGACATCGGATACTCATCAGAGGCAAGCGCGTCAACCTCCATGAGCCGTCACCACTTCGCGCAGTAGATTCAAGGCGAGGAAGGTCGATCTGCTTGGTACCATCGTCGCTAACTCATCTGATCTCGTGCAAGATGGCTTCTTCATCATCACCGCTGGACGTCTCAAGCTTCGAGCCTACCTCGGGGTAGTATACCACAAGTAGAGTCCGACTGTACCAGACTTTATCAGCGACTCGGAACCAGAAGCAGCGTTCGACCCATCACCTTCGGGTTGCTGATGGGGTTGAGAAAGATAACTACTTTACCGACTTCCGTGGGCAGTTCTGGGCGGAAGCTCGCACACGCGTGATGTGACTACTAGAAACTGCCACGACCCTCTTCGAAACTTTTGTCCAGACTCCAGGGGCTCTATCACAAGAGGCTCTTCTCGGACAACCGTGAGTTGGAGCAGGAACTCCGCTTGAAGTTCGGTGCGCTGGCAAGCCGCGAAGGAGTTCCTCCGACGCAAGGGTTGCCTTGACTGCTAAGGAAGAGGAGACCACCGAGTCGCTCGGCCAGGTCAACGAAACTGCTGTTATAAATACTCGCTCTACCATCAACGGAAGAAATAACAAGTACAACAAGACCGGCAGCACTATGTCGCCCTCGTCCTTGTATATAGACCCTACCCTCGATGTCTGATTCAAAGACGCTGTCTAATACATCTTGCTCACCGGATGTCTTTGCAAGAAAGATATTCACGCTCTAGAACAACATGCTGTTGTCAACTACGACTCCAATAATCTGGAGAGATGACATTAATGGCCTGTTGGTATAGAGAAGCCGCTTGTCCTTGTCTCAACTGGGCACCAAGATGGAGAGACATGCCAAGTATACAGCAGGGTACCAGGCGAAACACGCTCAACGAGGTAACAGCCGCTCCAGTCAGTCTGAACGTCTGTTCGTAGTGCAAAGAGGTGACGTTCTCTTCTTGCGCCGCAAGACACAATCCACTATACAGCATTGTGCGGTAGACGACGCAACCAGTACAGTCCTCCTCACTGTGCAACTCCTCAAGGATGCTGCAGAGGTCCATGGTCTCAAAAGTCTAGAGGAGACAAGTCCACCGAAGTCAGAGTGGCCCCCAAACGGCAACAACATCCGCACTGTTTCGATTGACACGTAAGTTGCAGATGACTGTTCGCCAGGAACAGAATGATACTGACGTGTTCATAGAGAGAGTTGCGTTGTGCCCAAGGATATGACTCCCCTACGAGGCTACAAGTACGCTCAATATATGATCGAGCTAGGTGTCGCCTTCATTGATGTAGACACCATCTGCGCTCACCACCACGACCGGGCTCTAGAAAAGAAATAGGAATATCGTTCTCTGCTTTTATCATTACTGTTGATTACGTTCTTTGGAGTTGCTATCCAATGAGCGCCAGAGCCTGTAATACATGTTCCGCCCTTGACCGTGAGTACTGCTCCTTCATCTCTTATCGACAAATGCTGAAAGTGGTAGAGCACCTTGACAAAAAAGCCTTGGTCGCAAAGATGAGCAAGGTGCAATTGTTCTTGTTCCTGACTTTACACGCACCCACGCACCTTCTTCTCTGTCAATGTACGTACAATCTTCATCAACGCTGCGTTCTTTCAGTTAATTGACCCCTTAGTATCAACATGTCAGAAAGCGCGGTCAACCGAACCATCTTCCCGTGACCCGTCTGCGAGGAGACCTTTGCATCCCCGGGGGCCAGAAGAGCTGATTCTGTACGGCGAGACGCACGACCCTGAGCCGACCTACCAGTACTACTTCCGCAAAGCCTGGTACGTGATGGTGTTCATAGAGGACCCTACCACCCGAACCTTCGTTGCGCTTCGGTCTTGGGCACCTGTGAAGCTCTAGGTCATGTCGCTAGGTCAACGCCAACGGCAACCATATCTGTGGCCGTGATTATTCTCTTCACGTTGCCCTCGGCCACAGCAGTGTTGAGCCCTCGACCTAAGCCCTCATTCCACACCCTTTCTCTCCTTTCCCGCCCATTCATTGACGACTGGCACGATACGACACAACTCTGTAGGGCATTTCATCGAGCGCCTTAAGGCTCTTAGGCACTTCTTGGGGGATATCGTTTGCCTCGGTCAGTTTCTCCAGACAGGGATCCTTGAATTGGAAAATGACTGTCTCTCTTTTTGCTTCTCGTTTAGTTTCTACACAATCAGAGCTTTGTTGAATTATCTTTCCCTTCGAAATTATCTTGGAAAGTTGTAAATGATGTATGCGGTGTATCATTCAGAGTCATTCTAAGCCATCAGTCTAACTCAAAAGGCTCGATATTTACCATCGATCGCTGCTTCCGTCCCTTGCTTAGCCTTTATCCCTTGCTTGTACTCTATACTATATATGAGATATGAGATCGAGGAACCTTTGTCGACTAGCTACTAGGACCGTCTGCCCAACAGGACTAGCAATTACAGCCTTACATTCTAGCGGAAATTATTGAGCTAACGCTTCTTGTCGTTTAAAAAGGCAGGACTTTCACTCTTAGCTTTTGTATTCTCTATCAAGTCGTAAGATCATAAGGACTACATCTCCTGGCGAATACATGTACTAATCTCAGAAATATCGTGCGGGCCTTTGGGTATATAAGAAGCTAGTATCTCTGGACCACAAAGATCTGCTAAAATGATTTTCAAAATGTAACATGCTTTTTAACATTGCTATATGATCGAGAGAAAGCAATATAGGATCACCTCCTCTCTCGACATCTAGATAACTTGTCCATACTACTAACTAGGTTACTGCCTTCGAGAGAGAGCACTTCCTGAAAAGGCATCGTCGTCGTCGACCCGGCGCTTACTAAGCATTCGACTCGACGACAAGATTCGTTCCCACTCGAGGCCCGTCGAACTCGAATCCTTGTCATATAAACTCTGCTTTTGTGTTAATCTCTCTTCTTCCTACCACAAAAACCACACGCGAGTAAGTACTTTTGCGACCTCATCTTCTTCAATCAACAACACCTCTTTCCACCAACATTGCCTCTTTTTCTTGTCAATCTCTCATTACTGAGCTCCTTTTGCATTACTAGTACCGCCTGCTATTACAACCCTCTTCTTCCACCACCACCACCTCTTTGAGTTATAATAATTTCACGATCCTAGCATACCCCTTGATTCTACCTTCCCATCCACAAAGCGGAAGACTAATACTTGTATCTCCAGTCATGTCCTCAATCACCGTTTGGAAGGCCACCTCCGATCCCTCGACCACCCTCGACCCTATGTCTTACATCCACGACGAGCTCATGGCCCTAGCTCCGACTGTCACGCCCAAGACCGACACCGAGTTGAGAGCATTCATCATCGATGGTCTGATGGCCAAATTTGGCAACAAGTACACTCATCCTTATGATGTAGAGTACTTGCTCGCTTACATTGTGGGTAACATGGATGTTACTGCTGCCGCCAAAGTCGCTACTACCGCTGCCTACGATCACGACAACTGCTCTACCGTCTCTTCAGATGGAGGGGTTGCTCTGACTGCTGAAGAAGAGGAGCTTCCCTACCGCCTTAGCTTGACTGGGGGCCACCTTCGTGGCTACGTCCAGGTCGATCCCGCCACCTACGCCAACGACTCCACATGGAGATGGTAAAGGCCGTCCACGAGCACAACGAGCCTGATCCCAGCAGGTCCGCCGACGACGTCTTCTGCGAGCAGGTCAAGGCTCTCATGGAGATGAAGAAGACTTGAAACGTCCTCTTACTCGACAACAATAACGAAGTACACACCGGTGGCTCCGGAGACAGCCGACCTCCCTGATTTTTGTTCCATTCATGCATATTTCTTTTCTCAACGAGACAGACGAACGAGATGACATACGACATACAACACGCAAAGTGATGGAAGCTGAACAAAAAGGAGTGGCTTTTTTGTTCATTACATACATAGGAGTGTGTTTTTGATGAGCGACAGAGGTGGAATACATACAACAAAGGAAAATTGAAAAGTTCAGAAAACCCCATAAAAGATATAAAACCCAAGCTAAACATAAGACTTCAATCTTACCAAAATCGCTCCTTTTACGACCCAGCACTTACTAAGTATTCGACTTTTCGACTCGACGACGAACTTCTCCCCCGATTCGAGGCCCGTCAAACTCTTGGTATATAAACCTTCTGCTTTTTGTTTTGGCTTGCCTTGCTGCCTTTTCCACCACGACAACCACTTTACGCGAGTACGGTCTTTTCTTCCATTAAACCCTATCTCCTTTTATCACTCCTCTCTTGATTTGTCAACTTTGTCTCCCTTTTGTCATTCATGTCCTTCATCATCTTTATCTTTCTTGAATATCGTGAGTACGCCTTTCTACTTCCGCACCCCTTGTCATCCACAGGCTAGGACTAAAACGCGTAATCTTCCAGCATTTCTGGTGATGGTTAATTCCTGCCGCGACATGAATTCAGTGAAGAATTACACCCCCTCTCCCAAGGCTATTAGCGAGGAGCTCGCCCACAAGGTCGACTTCTTCGACCCCATGGCCGAGAACCGTACAATGGGCGCCATCAACACCATGGCCCTCTATACAACGGCCCTCCTCGGCTACGTCTCCTTCTTATCCAGCAGCCCAGTCATCACCCTTGCCACACCATCTCTCGCCTCCCAGGAGGATAACTCAGATCTCGACGACGACATCATCCCTAATGGCTCGTGAATATCTCGAGCGCCAGCTCAAAAGATACTCTCCATCCATCATCAGTCATGTAGCTTCTTCGCCAAAGGACAACAGCGAGCCCACTTACACCAACTTGAGCGACACGACTTCTTTATAACCTCCATCAAGGGAATTACGCCCCCGCCAGCTCCTTCTTGTGCTATCTGTGGCAGCCCCGTCATGGACTCTGTCATCATTCATTCGCACACCCTTCCCAGCAGCCCCGCCGTCGATTTTTCTCCCAACTCCCCTAACAACCTCTTCACCCTCTCTGACCTCGAACATCGCGATCCTGATTACATACAAGCCGACTCCATCATCTACGCCAACGACAGCACTTGGAGATGGTGGAATTTCTTGCTCGAAGGTCATCCCTAAAGCACGACCGAGGAGCGATCAAACACTCCTACCGGGAGGTCAAGGGGTCTTTCGAGATGAAGGAGATGGGAAGAAGATATGATCTGGTTCCAACAACGAAACCTGCAGAGAGATCGGTGGCGCTTAGGGTTGCGCGAACGACGCGCCGATGCGATGACCAATAAAACAACGAAGGAACGTGGAGTTCAAAACCAAAGAGAGTGTATTTTTATCTTTCAGTATTACGACTAATTACATACACGACGGGGGGTTCTTCTAATGAGTGACGAAGGGTGGGCGGGAAGATGCAGGAAACGAAGGAAAAGGACAAAATAACCACACAGCATAAATCCCAAAAACACAAGACTTTGTTCCTACCAAAAATACATTACCGTTCCTTGTCCAGATTATGTGATTCCTTGTTTTCCCTTCTGACTTGTGCTATGATTATTGGGTAAGTTGTCTTGCAGAGCGCTCCGCTCGACAGCATTGATGATGAAATGGTCTTGCAAAGAGAGCGGGTGAAAAAGGGGCTCTCAAGGGACGTTGACGTGATCCCGACAAGATTCTTGCGTTTTGACGGCTAGCTGGGGAAGTACTCCGGAGGTTGAGAGCCTAGGAGAGGGGAGTAGAAGAGTATGAGAAAGGAGGATGTGGTGAGGTAGATGTCACATCCACATCTCGGTCAAGCCGTCGAAGGCGAACCATGGCTTCTCGATCTTCTCTGGTTGAGCGTTCTTCGCTGGCTCCTCGCTTCTTTTCTCCAGCATCCTATCTTTTCGGAAGACGGTCATGAAACTGACTGGACTGGATGAGGGACTGACGGTTCTGACGCCGGACGTGACAGTAGTGGCACCAACAGTGACAGTAGCGATACCTGAAGTCACAGTCGTAGGTCCGCCAGTTGTGACCGTACCAACCGTGACTGTAGCAACACCAGTAGCCACAGTCCTGTCAATGCTCGTGGTGACGGTAGACCCAGAAGCCGTGACAGTAGCATATCCACTGGGGACTATGATATCCGAAGTGACAGTCACAGCGCCAACAGTTACAGTCGAGGCGACAACACTTGATACGGAGCTGGAACTGCTGATTGATGCGACCAGCTGAGTAGAAGTGTAGACAGCTACAACACTAGTTGCGGTACCCACCACTGTCACGGTACTGCCGCCGGAAGCGATTGAGTACGTAGTGGTAACTCCACCCATGGTTTGCTCGACGACGACGGTTTCGGCCGATGGAGCTGCCGAGTTGACAGATCTGGTTCTGGCTGCCACCACACGTACTTGTGTAGCGATTGCCATACGAGTCGTGGGCGTGGTACTCGTAGTCGTTGATGATGGAGAGGGTGAGCTAGTGGTCGAAGGAGGATTCGAGCTTGAAGTGGTCGAAGGCGGAGGAGGCGGTGGCGAGCTTGACGTCGTCGAAGATGGAGCAACACTCGACGATGAAGGAGGCGGGGGTGGTGTGCTCGAGCTGCTCGAGCTAGAAGTGGCAATAGTAGATGAAGACGTTGTCGATGGGGGCGGTGGCGGAGGGGTGCTCGAGCTGCTCGAGCTGCTAACGTCTAAAAAAGACGGTGTTGTTGGGGTGGCCGACGACGAACTCGGTGTAGTCGATGCAGCGGATGGAGTTATCACAGACGCTCCTGTAGGATCCTGACAGATTGTTGTCCTGGATATGGAATATCCTTCAGGTACCAAATCTGAGGTTGATGATGACGACGTGCTTGAACTGCTAGTCGTACTTGGGGCTGCCGAGCTAGAGCTGGAAGAGGTCTGACTCTGTATCTTGTATGCATAGTCTCGACCAGCAATGGGCTGAGTCACGTTGCTCGAGCTCATTAAATGACAAGTACCGTTGCTTCGATCATAACTGTAGGAATTACATTGTGCGTTGCTGTCACAATAAGGAGCACAGCCTTCAAAGCTGCCTGACTGTACAGTGGCTACATCGCCTGGATCTGCCCTTGGAGAAAGGTTGGCAAGAATGGCGAAAAGATCTCTCGCCGCCTTCTTGGCACAGATGACAGCGTAGGTGACGTTGTTGCCATCGGTGAAGGTGTTGCCATTTGCTGCGATCTGATCGCAAGATCTCGCACCGACAGGATTGGTCGGTGTAGCCGAGGTCGATGATGTTGTGTTCGAAGCTATGGTGCTGCTGGACATTGTTGAGGTAGTCGAGTTGGACATTGTCATCGAGCGACTCGATGTAGTGTTTACACTCATGGTGGTAGACAAGCTGGCCAAGCTGGAAGTGCTATTCGCAGGTTTTGTCATAGATTGACTCGAGGTCGAGCTGTTCGAGAATTTGCCAGACGAAGTCATGGTCATGGTCGAAGATGGAGCCGTGACAATGCCACTAGTCATAGTCATGGTTGAGGATGCAGCAGTGGTAGTACTGTTATTGGTTGAGTTACTTGCACGGTTTTGAACAAGAGCAAAGGTGGTGCCGTTCTTTGTCATCTGACTGTTCTGGTCGACCGAGCTGTAATACGAACACATCATCGTGCTGTTGTCGTATGATGTGCCAGCACAGCTAGTACTGTTCGCACACTTGTTCAAGCACATATCGATACCAGCCTGGGCAGCAGCTCGCTTTCTCATGAGGTTGATCAAGCTACCGCTGTAGATGGTGTTGTTCTGGATTTGGAAGGTCACACCTGCAACTGTGGAAGCTGTTGCTGAAGCGGTTGACGACGTCGACGTGGACGAAGCTGTTGAGGACGTCGAGTTTGCTCGAGAGGTAGAGCTTGCGGAGCTCATAGAGCTTGACGTTGAGTTTCCGGAAGACATTGATGTGGAGCTGACAGCACTTGAACTCGAGTTCGTGTAGATACCACTAGAACTGCTGCTTGAGGTCATGGAACCAGAAGCGACAGTACCCGAAGACGAGCTTGACGAAGTTGAAGTGGTTTGGTCGCCTGTTTGGCGTTTTCTCAACGAAGCTTGCCCGTATGCATGCAATGGCTGACCAGCTATGCCATTGTCAATCGGAGGAGACCCCGCAACCTGTCATTGTGTGAGCTTTCGGTCAAGAGATTCGTGCAAGAGCAGCCAGAGAATGCAGAGCTCGTAAAGACTAGAGGACGTACCAGTTGATCCGGCTGCGGCCAAGCGTATCCAGGCGCGAACAGCTGCACGAGGCAGACTGCCGCAAATGATACGTCTGTGAAACGCATCTTGCGTGTGTTGAATGCTGATTATTGCTGTTCCAGTATGGGGCTGAGGTGTGTGAGCAATAGAACGAACGGGAAGTGTGAGAAGGGAAAAGTCGAGGAAGAAAACCCCGAACGTCAGCGTGAGCTCGGTGCTTTGAAGCATGCCATAGCTTAAGGAAACTTCAGTGGAGAAGAATGCTTTTTCCAGAGCATTGCATAGCCGCTATACCGCCTGACCAGTAGAATTGTTGTGATCTGACCTTGTTGTTGCTACAGGTATGGAGCCAAACCTTTCTTTTGTGATTCAATTGTGGACCGATGTGTTGTTCTTCCGTGCAAGAGGCCCATGCTAGTGCGGATAGACGGGTTGAGTAGATGCTGAGATCAGAAGCTTTAGCACTTGGGTGGGTGTAGTATGAGGAAAATGCAGTAGAGGTTGTGAGGTGGACACGAGAAGAAGACGAGGAAAAGTCAATTGCGTTGGAAGATGCTGCGATGATCGAGCTGTGACAGAGTTATAATCTGTTAGCAAGTCACAAGGTGACAGATGGGGAAGTAGCTACCAACCTGTGGAGCTCCCAAGAAACCTTCCCCGACTTGTGCTGCTCGAACCATCTCAAGCGTTTCTCAGGCACCACACCTTAATTCATTGAAACAATGTTATGATTATTTCTTCCTTCTATCTTTGGCAAGGGGGAGCTGATGCCCAAACGTAAATCCAGCAACGCTTTTTGACTTGCCCAAAAAAATGGCCCTGGTGAGGATATGTCATCAAAGGAAATGCCAATTGTGAACGCCCGTCCTCCCTGAAAGAGATGATAGCTACGTGTGTTGTACAAAAGAAGATACCTATGAGTCTGGGGCGTTCTCGTTGCCAGCTGCGGAGACTGTCTCGTCGACCATAGAGACATCACCGCCAGTGGCAGCCGGTGTATCGTCCTCGTCCTCGTCCTCGTCGTCGATCACACGAGCAGGCTTCTTTCTCCGCCTTTCAACAACGGTGTCCTCTTCGTCACCTCCCTCTGCCATGGACTCATCCCCGCCGTCTCCTCGAGCTTCCTTTTGAGCGTCATCCTCATCGTTGATCTTCTCGGCGAGTGCTGAGTTTTCGTTCTGAGTAGCAACGGCATCATCGTCGCTGTCGCTGTCTCCGACCATCTCAGAGCTCTTGAACTTGCCCTTGGGCTCGGCAGCTTTGCCCTTTCTCTCAAGCTTTCTGCGCTTCTTCTTCTTGGGCTTCTCGCCGTCTTCGTCGTCAGAAGCAGCCGAGGTACTGCGGCGTTTTGACTTTTGACGCTTCTCTTTTCCGCCAAATTCGGCATTGCCATCAGCGTCAGATCCCTCATCCTCATCGTTGATGATGTCTGAATCACTGTCGTTGCCCTTCTTCTTCTTTTTGCTGCCCTTGGGCCTCTTTTCTCTCTTCTTGCGACCACCAGTTTCCTCATCCGTAGTGTAGTCCGCTTCTTCACGGGCCTTGCGCTCAGCTTCTTCTTCAATCTTCTGTTGAGTGATTTCGCGGTCTTGCTCTTGCATGCGTTGTCTCTCTTCAACGATCTTCCTCCTACGCTCTTCCTCTGCCTCTTCCAGTGCTCGTTTCTCGTCTTGGCGCTTCTTAATTTCAGCCTCACGGGTTTGACGAGCTTGTTCCAGTCTGGATGCGTTCTTCTGTTCGAAGTCGCGTTGGCTCTGTAAGGCACGATCCAACTGCTTGCGCATTGTATTTCTTCCCATGCTGGCACGCTGTTCGATGTCGTTTTTGGGGAAAGGTGGGTTAGGTGAGCGAGCAATAGCCATAAGGCTTTCAATAGCTTCGTCAAGGCCATTGGCAGCAGCTTCAAGATCAACGAGTGTTCTTGTGGCTTCCGGCAGGGTATAAATGAGTTGAGCGATCTGGATTTGCACGAATGCAACATTGAACTTGAAGTGAAGTTGTTCGGGTGATGATTCCAGTGCACGGTTTGAGAACTCAAGTGCTGTCTTGATAGCCTGCAGACTCCTCTCCTGCTTGCCCTTCATTAACCAAACACGACCCAGACAAGCGAGGATACTGGGATCATGTGTGCGGTCCTTGGCAAGTGCAGCCTCGTAATTCTCGATCGCACGGGCGAATTGCTTGACTTCGACAAAGGCATGGCCCATGTTGATGAAGACGCTGGTATCTTTCAGGGTTTCACGAACTTTGCTGAAGACTTGGATCGCTGTTCCATAGTCTTTCTTGTCTTCGATCAGAGCAATAGCAATACCCTGAGCAGCATAGGCGTTGCGAGGGTCGAGCTGCAAAGCCTTGTCAAAGAACTCGATGGCTCTGACATAAGTCTTTGTGCGCTTCTCTTTGTCTTGATCGGTATCTCTGCGCATCTCTCGTGCAACTTGCAGGAAGAGGTTGCCCATACCGGTCAGTGAGTATCTGTCGTGCTTGTCATGATGTTGAAGAGTGTGCTTGTAATGCCTCTGCTCTTGATCCTCAGCAGGGTTCATTGTTCGCTTCTTTGCCTTGTGAATGTAATGACCGTAGAGCGCGCGAATGTCGAGATTTCCTGGTTCCGACTCGAGCAACTTCTTAACCGCTTGAGCACCTTCTGAGGGGTTCTCGCGGAGCGCAATGTATGCAAGTCTGATCCTTGCATCGGTATAGTCGGGGTGACGCTCAAGCAGGCCTTGATAGACTTGGTTAGCCTCGTCAAGCATGTTCTCAGCCTCGTAAGTTCTGGCCAAGTTGTAACTGATCGAGGTCACAAGAGAGTCGGTGTCGAGTTCACTGTCCTTTGCACCAGCCTTGACACAAGCATTGAGAGCAGTCTGGAACAAGTCTCTGGCTTGACTGAAACGTTCGGCTTGGAAGTGGAAAGCAGCCATGTTGTTTAAGAGCTGTGGCGGGACCATCTCACGGAGAGCAACCTTCAACTCGGCTTCGTCCTTGATGTCAGGACGATCATCCTCATCTATGTCATCCATCTCCATCTGCTCGACCTGCTGAAGGCATTGCAGACTTCTCTCGGGGTTCTCAATCTCGTAGAGTCTGGCAAGGTTGAGAAGAACGTATGAGTCGGGAGTTGTCTTTTTCTTTGGGTCCTTCCAGCTGTTGCGAACACCCTCAAGAAGAGCAATGGCTTTCTTCATCTCCGCTGATTTGTCCTCTTTGGCACCAGCGTTTTGGTTGGAATAGACTTCCTCAGCATAAAGCAGACCAAGCAAAGTCATGGCTTCAGCACTCTTGCTAGACTGAACAATGTTCTCGAGACGGAACTTTGCGCCGGCCCAATCCTTTGACAGAATCTTGAGTTGAGCAGCACCAAACTTGGCGGGCAAGTAGCCCTTCTCATCTCCACCTCTGGCTTGATCGGCTCTGTTGTAGTAGTCCGTGGCCTTCGCGACATTTCCTTCGGTGTGCTCCTTGCGAGCCATAAGATACCATCCATCACTGGCGATGGCGTTGACGTCTGTAGCTTCAATAGCTTGTCGAGCAAGACGCTCGACAGTGGGCCAGGCCTTTCTGAGGATAAAGTAGTTTCCGAAGGTGGCGCATGTCAAGGGAAACTTGTTGTCAAGTTTCCATGCGGTCTGAGTGTACTCGGTCATGGCCTTCTTGTAGTGTTGTTGGAACTCGGGCTCAGTGGTCTGGAACCTTGCGCTCTGGTCGAGATGGTACAGGCCGAGAAGGATGTTCGCGATCTTTGACTCAGGGTTAACATCCAGTGCACGTTGCCATGCGTTGTGGGCTTCATCCTTGTGGCCAAGCTGCCAGAAACAACAGCCTATTCCTATTCTCGGATCCGGATCTTGAAGATGTGGGGCACGCTCAAGAGCGGCCTGGTAGTTGTGAAGAGCATCGGGGTATTTGCCAAGGGAGTAAAGAGCTCTGGCCTTGCCCATGATAGCCATCATGTTGCGGCCTTGCGAGACGCGCAGAGAGTCTTCGAAGCATTTTGCAGCCTGGCGGAGGGTATCAAGGCGTTCTGATTCTTGAGCGGATGATGAAGATTTGGAAGGTTGTAGAGAGGCACGCAGGAGGTAGAGGACACCGCGGGCGAGGAAGAGAGGAGGGTATGTGGGACTGATGCGCGAAGCCTCGTTGAGAGTGGCGGTAGCCTGTTGAATGTAGAAGTCCTTGTTGCGCGCTTCCGAGGCGAGTTGGGAGTCTGCAGATGGATTAGCTACATGCGACACAGCAGAGGAGTTTGAATGTCGTACCGGGCTTCAGGCGAGGAGCTTCTCTACACTGCTGCAAGCGCAACCAACACAAACATGACAACAGCGACAGCTTGTCCTCGGGCTTTGCGTTGCGCGACAGAGAACTGAGGCCCCTTGAGACAATGTCGATGGCGTGGTCGATCTTTTGCTGCTTGGCGTAGGCCAAAGCGATGGTCATCCAGTAACCTCGTGCGACATTCTCGTTCTCAAGCAGAGTACACAGCTCGGTAGGATCGTCCATCAAGTCCTCGAGATTGACCTCGACTGCCTCTTCGGCATCTCCACTTGAAAGAGGTACATCGAGCGCGGCGGGGATGTGCGAGAATCTGGCAAGAGCAGTGGAAGCATCGTCGTCGTGGCCATCAAGGCCGTTTGCGTAGCCGTTCTGCGTGACAGCCATGGCTAGAGGTGGTTGCGAGGATGAAATAGTAAATGCGCCGAAATCAATGGTCCATGGATCGGCGCGACTGTCGATATAGAGGTTCTTCCAAGTCGGGGGAAGGGCGCTTGATTCCAGCGGGCGACAACGGACTGAGATGAGTAAGAGGCGATAGAAAGATAGACAAAAATAGGCAGGCGCACGTCGGCGTGGATGTCGGTGATGAGTGAGTTGAAGGCCAGCGCGAGCTTCACAAGTTCCATGTCCGACTAGAGAAGGTTAGCCGAGACGCGTCACTCCAGATGTGGCAGCTAAGCCGATCACCCTCGTCGCATACCACAGTCCTGTGATACATGATCATGTTGCCAATGCTGCTTTACTGAATGTTTTGTTTGTGAAGTGCCCATCTCACACACGTTCGCTTTGATCCAAATCCCATGGGCTGGTTATAAAACTCACCATGTCGTACATGCGCCGCCCTTCGGCTACTGGAGATCGAGGATACACCAACGGAGATGGCTACCAGTTCCCACGACGCTACGACCTTGATGCCACCAGTAGAGACAACAGCGCAGATGAAAGAAGCCGATCAAGAGGTCCTGCCGCTGGAGCTGGCTATGGTGGACTAGGAAGAGCACAGGATGATTACATTCCCCGAGTCGGCAGTCCGGCGCGACTTGACCGCAGCAAGAGAGCCAGTGGAGAGGGGAGAGCCTTCAGCAGGAGCAGGAGCAGGGCTGCTTCTCAGATGCGCAATGCTGAGGCTAGCCGCCAGGTCGAGGACATCCTGCGCTCCATCGACCGCCATTGGGGACAGATGGCTTCAGACAACTGCGTTCCTGTCAAGGTCGCCCTGCAACTCATGGACCAGAGCTCTCTCGGTCTTGCCAATCAGTACGACCAATTCCAAGATACCCACCAACAACTTCAAAATGCTCTCAAGGCCATTGTCAACCAGCACCATCAGGGCTTCAACAGTTCTATCGGTACTTTCCATCAGATTCAGTCCAGCATTCTTTCATCTCAACAAAGAGTTCGCACCTTGAAGCAATCCCTCGTCCAAGCCAAGGGAAATCTCCGTACTACTCGTCCTGAACTCAAAGCCTTTGCCCAGTCAAGTCAGAGCTATGATCAGATGCTCCAAACCCTGGCTCACATCGAGCAATTACAACTCATGCCAGAAAAGCTTGAAGCTCAGATCTCAGAAAAGCGCTTCCTCGGTGCTGTCGAAACTTTACAAGATGCCCTGAAACTCATGCACAAGCCTGACATGGAAGACATTGGTGCTTTGAGTGATCTGCGTGTCTACTTCAGCAACCAAGAACATTCAATCACCGACATACTCATCCAGGAGTTACACAGTCACCTGTATCTCAAAAGTCCTTATTGTGAAGAGCGATGGAAACAATACACCAATCGCTCCACTACCACCGGCGCTGCCTCATTTGAGATCGAAGGACGCCAGCTATACCGATTCCTCGAATCTTTCGATCCTTCTCAAATCTTGACTGAAGACACATCGCGCAATCCGGAAGCTGACACGTTTGCTTACATACAACTTCTGGTCGAATCACTCGATCGAATGTCGCGACTTGATCTCGCCATCGATCAGATTGAGCAAAGACTGCCTGTCGAGCTCTTCCGTGTTGTCGAGAGATCATACACCGAAGTCGAACAAAAGTACCCTGGCCTGATACGTGGTGCCGCAAAACAGCAACACTTCCAGCTTGATAACATCAATGCTGACATCAACCAAGACAAGAAGATGATTCTGCAAGACATGCTGTCAACCTTGTATGCTAAATTTGAAGCCATCGCTGAAGGCCATCGTGTTCTCCATGAAGTCATTGGCGGTATATTATCCCGTCAAGGCAGTGATGAACCTGCTCTTTTGCGTAGCTTCCGCGAGCTCTGGAAGTTGTATCAATCTGAGATTCGCAGTTTGTTGCATGACCACCTGGCTGCTAGTGGTAGTCCGGAAAACTCATCACATCCTGAACATCATCATGCTGCGAACATGTTCAAGCCTCATACTAGAGATCGAAACAAGCGAATGTTCAAGCTGGCAGACACGGATAGCAAATCTACTGAGTTGGCTATTGAGAAAGAAGATCTCGATTTCATTCTCAAGTCGTCAGTACCTGGTCTTGCCGCTACCGGCACAACACCTGCCACGAAAGACGCCGAAAACGAAAAGAATGAAGACCGCTCAGCAACTGGCCACAAACTCTTGGTCGAACCCAGCGTCTTCAACATGGGCATCCTACTCCCTCCTTCCCTATCCTTCCTGACACGACTAAAAGACATTGTGCCCCCAAGCTCAGAAATCGTCCTGAGCACTCTCACATCCTTCCTCGACGATTTCCTTATCAATGTCTTCCTCCCTCAACTCGAAGAAGCCCTGGCCGACATGTGCATGGCGGCTTCCGCCGAAAACGATGCCTTCGTTCAAGATCCCAAATGGCAATTACGTGCTCAAAAGCCCGTCTTCAAGGGCACATCCAATTTCCTCGACTTGATAAAAGCGTTTTGCATGTTGTTGGACAGCCTACCCCACGATCAAGCTTTCAGTCAATTGGTAATGGCACAAATGCGTATCTACTACGACAAATGCTACAACTATTACCGCGGTTTGGTGTTGCGGCCGCAAATCGACGCCACTGCTGAGCGCAAACCGAAAAGATCAGCAGCGTTGGCGGAATACAATGCGGATATGCGAGATGCAGTTGCCACTCTTCTTGCGCATGAGGCGGAAAATGCAGATGATGTGCAGAGACTCATGCAAGAGCAAACTTCCGCCCTGATCGCCAATGTCAAGAGTTCTCCCCTTGCAGAGGCGGATTTGATCTTGGATAGGAAGGCTATGGTGGGGTTGTGCACGTTGTATAATTCCACGAGATGGTTTGTCGCTCATGCGGAGCAATTGCGGCATATGTCTTCCTCTATAAGTGCGTCTACATCTGCCACTGCCACTGCATCGACATCCCGCCATCAAACGAGAAGATGGACTACGCTGATAACGCCGAATCCCCACGCTGCGATCTATCTCCCTCTAGACACCCAGAGCTCTCGCGACTTCGACGCCATCACGACTTCAATGACCGACTTGGGCCACCTCATCCTCCGCACCCTGCATCTAGAACTCCGCCTCCAAATCCTCAATGGCGTGCAAGCCGCGCTATCATCTACCTATCTCCTCCGCCAACCATACAACGATCCCGACCCCGCCATTTTACAACTAGCCAGACAACTAGTCACGGCAGACTCAGACCTAGAAACCCACCTCCCCACCCCACAACACCGTCTCCTCCTCCTCCACCTCGCGCACCCCGCCTCTTCCTCCCTCATCTCCTTCACCCCTTCCATCCCAGCAATGGACGCGCCTTCCGGGATCGGCCGCATGCATCTCAACATCCTGGTCCTCCAACAAGTGCTCAAAGATATAGAGCCGTCGTCGTCGTTGCAAGCGGCTGCGGATTTCTGGTCGTGGTTTGAAGATTCGCCGACGACGATGGTGAGGGGGGTTGATGAGGGCGTGCTTGGGAAAGAGGAAGCTAGGGAGTTGGTTAGGTTGTGGGGGTCTGGGAGGGGTGATGTGGGGAGGGTGGAAGTGGAAAGTGCGCTTAGGGGTTTGGATTGATGGGGGGAGTTTGTTGGATTTGTGTGTGTTCTGGTGTGTGTGTGGGGGGGAATGCAATCGTCGTTTGTGCTCTCTCGGTGGTTTGAATGTGATTGTGCATTGTTTACTGTGTTCTTTCGTGAGTGCTCAGGGAGCTGCGAGATATCATAGCCCTCGAATCCAGGAAGCCGTAGCAGTGACTTTATTGGTGCAGCATAGCCATGGCAGTGTTTAAAGCTTCGTAGGTAGCCACGACCCTTCACTTTTTCCACTGATAAGCTCGAATACCACTGTCTCACAATTGGCTATCTTGGTCACATCTCTATGGCTACGTTTCCTGCGTTGTGGTTCTTCTGGACATGTACAAAGATGGCAAACATACTGGATACAAAAGTGGAGGTGACAGGTTTCAGCAGATATGGTATTTTTTTCTTGTTTTCTGCAAATATGTTTGATGTGGGTATATGTATAGCAAAGACAAAAGCAGCATCCTTCTTCTCAGCCTCTCGTCAGGAAACAGCAATACATTTTCTCGTAGCAACATCATAGCAAATCAAAGCGATATATGACCACTCAGTACCAATGCACTCTGTCCACATTATCTCTTCATCCCATTCGCCGATACCTTCTTCTTTTCTCCCGTACCCATCATCTTCTCATCTTAGCCGGCTGCGAGGGCCATGGAAACTCAAAAGAAGCAAATCTCTTCATGTGTTTGTTTGGTGGTGAAGAAGGCCACGTAAACTCCGAAGACGCCTGCAGGTTCTTCAGACGAGCAGAAGGTTGCAGGGCATCAAGGTCTTGATCAGGATCTGAGGATTCTGGTGGGCGGAGATAGGATGGTTGGAACGGATCGTCGAGGACTGGCGAGGGAGTGGAGGACTGTGGGATCGTGGTCCTAGAGGCAGGATTGGACGATGATGGCTGAGCTGAGGATGGTTGAGAAGGTGCCGATGCTGGGCTGGCTGCGAGGATGGGAGTGGTATCTAGTTCTTGCTCAGTGGGGAGGCCAGGGTTCGAAGATGTGTCCATTGGGTCGGCATTGTCTTCGTCGTTTGCATCTGTTTGGAAGAACTCTGATTGGACGACAGCAGAGTCGGATCGCTGGCGGATAATTTGAGAGGCACTTGGAGTGGGAATTGCGATGTCGCTGGTATCGATGTTGACCACTATATCTGCCTGAGGCGTAGCTCTTGGCTTCCAATCACAGATGGACTTCTCGTAGACGGCGTCGAAACTTGCAGCACAGATGTGGTTGGTGAACCAAGAATGTTGCAATGCTTTCTTTGCCGTGAGACGCTTGTCTTCTTGCAAGGCGAGTAGAGATGTGACAAAGTTACGAGCTCTCTTTGGCACATTTTCCCAAGCCTGCTTGCCTTGGTCGATGTCGGATAGGTCGTAGGCGCTGTATGAGCGTGTATTGACTGGACCAATGTCGCCGTCGCTGGGTCGGTGGTCGAAAGCAAGGCTGCTTGTCAGCATGAGTGCGGTCACTGTGCCGACTGACCACATGTCGATTGCACTGCTGTAGCCTTTGTTGCCTGCGATGGTTGGGTTGAGCTTGTTGACCTCGCTGTGAAGTCGGTCAGTACGAGATTCCGGAACTATAGAGTATCAACATACGGAGCTGCAAACCCAAACGTGCCACATGTCGAGAACATGCGGAACCTTGCACCAAACTGGCTGGTCGAAGCACTCGACGCACTGATCCGCTTTGCTATACCGAAATCAGTGAGGACAACGCGACTACCGTCTTCCCAAGATGACATGAGGATGTTTTCCGGCTTGATGTCTCGGTGGACAACGCCTTCACTGTGTAGATACTCGACGGCTTTGAGCAGCTGGCGAGTGATGACAGCACTCAACGAGTCGCCGAGGATGCCGCCTTTATAGAATATGTAAGAGAAGAGGTCGCCGCCAGTCATGAGTTCTTGCATGATGTATCTATAGAAATTAAGTCAGTACCACCCACTTGACGCTCAGATCACCAACTGACATGTGGTGGGTAGTGATAAACACCTTTCTCATGTCGATGATGTTTGGCTAGACGCAGTCAGTACCATGTCAAAGCATCAATCTAGGACCGCATACATGGCTCAAGTCTTTAAGAATGTCATACTCGACCTCAAGTCTGTGAATCTTGCGGAGAAGCTTTGTTGGTTGCAGTTTGGATCCATGATTCGCAGTAGCTTGCGTTGAGGCTTGCTTAGGAGCACCTTTGTCGTGATCAAGCTTCACACCAGCCAGAGAGACAGCTTTGCATGCTAATTGTTGACCGGCTTTGCGGTCCCAAGCGATGAAGACCTTACCTTGACCGCCAGCACCGATCAGCCGAGAGGATATATCAAACTCGTCATCAAGACGCTGTTGAATGTGTGAGTATTGCAGTACTAACTCTGCCCAGCTCCTCGCCTACCTTGACTTCACAACTCATGATGAATGACATTTTGTGCTCATTCTCGGGAGTGGTCTCTTTGTACTGCACAAAAGTTGATTTCGAGAAGTAGAGACAATCGCCGTCTTGCAGAAGCACGGGACCCATTGACTTGGTGAGTTGATGATCGAGCCTGACAGTAGAGCTATCTTCATCGGGACCTTCGCGGACAAGTATGGTCCCATTCATGGAAAGGTCCTCAGCATAGACCATTGGAGCGACATTCCAGGTGGCAGCATCCTCATCGAATTGTACGCAGCGAAGGACCAGATGACGACGGGATATGGTTGTATCATTCTCATCGATATATCTAGATTATTGAGTTTGTGTTCAGTGTCGGAAGGTGAAAGGCCAGCATACTGTTGAAGTTGCTTGCATCCGAGAATGATTTCTTGCTTTGGCCAGATACTCAATGCATCTATAGGTGAGGCATGAGAGGTTGGGCTTGAGATCATGTCCTGCCTACATACCTTCGGCCATTCGGCGGCTTCTTCCATTCACAAACGTCAAATTGGCAACAGGAGGTTGTTCAGTCATCGTGAACCCATGTATGCATCACTTTTGTGCAAGTGAAATTCGAATGTAGTGGAAATCGATGGTAGTGTCGCTGGCCCTCGGACGTCTGATTCGGCTAGCGCGTGTCTGCTTACATAAGCGCTCTCCACAGTCTTGGCGGTCTCGCACTCGCGCACCTCTCAATTTCAATCGCACAGCTTGAGCTTCCCCTCTCTTTCCTCATCACCGCATTCATCTCGACAATACTGTAAGCTTTTATCGCGCCTTCAATTGCTCTTCCCATACTAACATCTTATCCTTCAGGCCAAGATGAGAGCCAAGTGGAGAAAGAAGAGAGTCCGAAGACTGAAGCGCAAGAGAAGAAAGACGAGAGCCAGATCGTGAGTGTTTCTCTATCCATTCTTCAATGTGCGCACTTCCTAACAACCCTTACAGCAAGTAAATGACTCGCCCCGACAACTCGATCATCACGGCTTCTTGATACCAATCCACACATCATTGGCGTTTTCTCGCTAAAGCCACCACTACTGTCGAAAAACGCATCTACTACTCGCGACACATCTTGGAGGCCACCACTTTTTCTCACAAACCTTGTCGGATTCGCTCGCATGTTTCCGCCATCTTTGCAGCCGATCTCTCACGGTTGGCTCGGAAGGCGCATGTTGGCAGCTTGAAGCTGAGGAGGGGAAGAAACCAGGTGTTGACTGTTTGCTGGAATGGCTATCACACAGGGGAGTCGGTCAATGTTTTTTCACTCATCGAGATTATCATGGAGTGTTTTATTTGCCTGGCATTGGAAGGATGTCTTCACTTCTCTAACACCGGTGTATGCCTCATAAGCTGCACCTTTGGGATCTGATGAACCTTGCCATTGCGGTTGGCTGTTCTGCTGCAAAATCAGAAAACTGCTATTCGCAAAAATCTTCGAGTTCCACCGTGCACATGTGATTTTATAATGCCTTGTGTTTCACGCTCGCGTGTGACATCGTTCTGCGCATTCAGTGTGCGTCGACCAAGATTTTTTTTGTGCGTCCGACCTTGATGGCCCACAGTGCTGTCATAGGTCGGTCCGACTGTGCTTGAAGACGTCCTTGCTTCGACGTCGTGCCTTCTCGTCGACCTTCTTCCAGGTCAGCGTCTTGTCAAGCTGCTACACGACGTCATCGAGACAGCTCTTGAGCTCAACTTTTCTTCTGTTCAAGCTCTAGGCTCAACCGTCAAGTCGAAGTCCTTGTGCTCGGCTGGTCGTCAAGCTCGACTGTCTCTCAATGATCAATAGGATAACATCAAAACGGGACTCGTGTTGCTCATAGGTTCACAAGTTGCCAGACTTCCACGAATTGTAGGAGCTCTTAAGGGCGTCTAACAACGGCTCAGTCACTCCTTTCTGGTCCTTCGTAGTTCTAGATGTACGAATGGTGAGGTGGTATCTTGCTCATACCCTCGCTCCAACTGGATGGCAAGGTCGATAAAATTATGCTCACGAGATCCTCCTTCGAGGATCGGAATGTTCAGCTTGGCTCTCTCGACATTCAGTACATCGCCTCCGGCAGTTACTCAAGCAAAGCCTTGAGTATACCTTTTCGAATCTGAAGTATCACGTATGACCTTCCCCCAAGGTCAGTAAGAAAAAGAGCACGCTACCATGATTCGCGAAATCGTCATCGTCATCCTCCTAGAGTATGTCAAACAACGAATAGCTCTCCGTTAGTCTTCGTCCAGGTCATATCGTCGTCAGCATCTGATAACTCTTAGTGCTAAGACCCTTGCTGTCACTTCCCGAGCACTGCTCGCGCAATGTTCTTCGTCATCTTTGTCATGACCTCAGACACTCAAGTGCGCAAAGTTGGGCACGTTCTGCTGGAACTCGTAGACGCAGGCAAGTGTATGAGACAATGGTGTGATTCGAAAATCCAGGCTCTTCTTTTTGCCTTGTCTGGAGAATTGATGGCGTCCTCAGAGCCACGGACATGATTGATGGATGATAGATGCTTACGAACTTGAAGGGCGGGTAGTGTCTTTCACAACTCAGACACTCAAGTGTCACCTTGTGAAACACCACACCCAGACGTCGACAACGATTGAGAGAATCAACCATAGTCAATGCACGGCAGGGTCATACCCCTGACCATCTTTTCTGACTTTATCTCGAGGTTTCAATAGCCACCTACACTATTCACAGCAATCAAATGTGTCCACATATACTCCTCCGTCCTCACGATACCATCAAATCTGTCTTGCCATACTCTCGTGGTGTGTTAAGTGACTTAACAACTAGATCGCGTTCTTGGATTTCGGCAAGGGAAATGCTACCTCCCCACGTGCTAAACTTTGCCATGCATGCAGCTGCAAAATTGCACGATTTCAACATTTCCAGAGGTAGCCTCCGTTGAGAGCGTGATAGGTAGTGCCTCTCTATGGATGACTAGAGCGATCTTGAAAACATTGTGCATTTCTACAGACCAAACAACCTCAGGCATGGCTATGGGAGATGGCTAGAATAGATAGAACTTAGCACACGGGGAGGTAGTTCGCTGCCCGACAGAACGTCGGGGATGACCATATCTTACGACCTGAGATTTGATCTGTGGAAAATCTGGTAGGAAAAATAGCATCTGGATCACCTTGACACAACAAAATCATATTGAATCAAGAGCATGTCTTCAAAAAGTACAAACCAAATGAATGCACGGACCACGCATCGGACGACGCTAATTAATTGATGCCCCAGACTCTGACGCGAGACGCGCTCTCCTGCCTTCACTTTACTGCGGCCCTTTGACCAGAATTGACAAAGCAATCAACCACGGCGCATTATGAGTGATTCGGATTCCTCCAGCTTGTCATCGGCGCCGCCGACCGACGACGAAAAGCCCCTTGCTCCCATCTTTGCAAAAATGGCAAAAGGAAAGAAGGCTGCTCCAAGAAAGAAGAAGGCTCCTGTTACTCCTCCAACTCCGCCATCACCGCCCCGACCAAAGAGATCTCCTTCGCCGCCGCACCAAGACTCTCTAGCCGACAATCCTGATGTCGCCGTATGTCCGCCTGAATATACACGCGCATGAACGCGACAAAGCACGCATACTAATTCACAATTGACAGTTCCTGGTCATGTTCCGATCTCGCTTCAGCCATGCCTTCCCACCAAAGCTGCCCCACCTCGGTCCTCAAGATATTGAGAAGGGAGTCGCCGAGTCTCCACCCTCGCCGCAAGTCGAAGAGCTGATGTGCGCAATGCTCGCCCTTGTTCTGAACCGAAAGAAGCCGGTCGAGTGAGTCCTGGACATGCCCCCTTGGACTACCAACCACAGAACTAATACTCGAACAGACGAGGTCACCATGGTCGCGCAATGGAAGAAGCCCTGTCTACGCAAAAGCACCAATGGCCATTGTCCTGGAACCGCGTTAACCCCCTCGCCGGCAGCAGAACCTTCCCCGACATGACCCCCGCCGAACGTTTGAACCTCCTCCGCACTCTCGCAATCTGGTCGCTCACGTCATCTGATGTTGTCTCACAAACTATCAAAGACTCTTACAAGATCAATCGTCGCGAAGACGACATCAACCAGCCGCTGTCGGTGCAACACTGGGGCTATGATGGCGACAAGAGAAAGTACTACTTGATTGAGGGGCAGGATGACACCAGCTTCCGCGTATACCGCGAGGCCAACCGCTCGTCGCAGAACCCTCAGTGGTGGAGTGTCGCCGAAACCATTGACGAGGTCAATGCCCTGGCAGAGAAGCTCGAGACCAAGGATACCACACAAGCCGCTCGCCGCCTGGCCGACAAAGTCAGAGCTGCTGTGCCACGATTTGAGGCATCGGAAGAGGTAAGCATATTGCGGATTGAATTCTTTACACGTACTGACTCTTGCGCAGAAACGCAGACGACGCGAGTACAGACAAATGCGCAAGGCGCAATTCACAAAGCCCGAACCCGGTTTCTCCCTCTACGAAGGTCGCACCCGCGGCAAGCGCATTCGATACACATACTCCGACAACGAAGACGAGTCCGATGCCACGGGCTCACGCCGCTCCACAAGACATTCTGGAAACAATACACCTGCCGAATCTGGTCCGGTTGTTACAGCCAGCGGCCGCCAAGTCCGCCCTGCCAGAACTGGTATATACGGCGAATCGCTGCTCAGTGGCCAGGCTGAGACGCCAGACTACGCTGCCTCGGAGACTTCGCGCACTTCAGGAGGAAGAGCAACCAGAAACAGCACACGCATTTCTCCACTCAACGAGGATCGCAAGAGAAAGTCGCGAGGATACAATTCTTTTGACGAAGACAGCGACGAGGAAGATGCGCCTTCTAGCGGAAATGAATGGGATGGCGGTGATGATGATGAGAATGAAGAAGACGATATAGACATGGCTGACGGAGAAGATGAGGATGAGATGGATCTCGACCAACAAGAAGAGCCAAAGAGCCTGATCGTCAAGCTCAAGTTCAAGAAGAGACCGCAAGAACCTGTCAAGACGGAAAACGCGCCCATCGAGGAAAAGCCACCGCCTGCAACCGACCCCGCTCGTGTCTCGATGGCTAGACAAGAACTCGAAAACCTGTCCACTCAGGACGAGCCTGTAAAGACACAACCTGCAGAGCACCACCCTAAGCCCATGAACGTTATGGACTATGAGATGCCTACACCCGCTACCTACCACGCCCACCCACCTCCCGCTCCTTTGCCTGCAGTCAGCATCCCTGACCAGCAACAAGTCAACGGTATCTCTTAGGAAGACGACCTGTTTCGTTCTATTTCAGTCACTCGGAGTTGAGTTGGAAGTTGAGGAGTTTAGCATCGGCATTATATCCCCTTTCTTTTTTTTTTCTTGGTCAAAGCAGGTGGTTTCTCTGATAGCAAAAAAAGAAGTTTAATGGAGTAGGAATATCATGGATCATGAGCATCGAAAAAACCCGTCCTTTTTTTTTTTTGCTTTTTCTCCAACGTTTGTTTGTGCTATATCAGATAGAGAAAGATGAGGGGGTGGACAAACATCATCGAAAAACGGTGTGATACAAAACTCCACCCCACTTCTCATGACTTTCTATGGAATTCTGAACCGCTTAACAGCTATTACCTGCGAGATCAGATGACCTTTTGTTTTCCGTATGTGTCCAAATGTGGAGTATGTGTCCAAATGTGGAGTATGTGTCTCTCTTGATTTCAAGTTTTGACGGTAAGAAGGTGTAAATTTAGGAGCGAGCAAGCAAGCAGCACGTGTGGAGACACCTATCTGGTTTTTTTTGGAAGTTTTTTTGGGGTCAGTATGATTGCAGAGAGTAGTAGACAAAAAACGGTTGGAAAAGCAGAAGAAGAAGGAAAAGGAAAAGCAGAAGAAGAATGATGGGGTAGGTATATGGTTTATTTCTTTTGCGGATATGTTTATGTTGGATATTTCTCTTCGATTGTTTTTGCGTTGGTGTAGGTCTTTCTTCTACTTTTTGTTGTATCGCATAAGCAAGTCACAGCAAGCAGTGAATGCTCAGTACATTCTGACAAGATCATCACGCGCGAGGCAAGGAAAAGAGTAGTGTCGATATCGCATATTAAGGATGTGGGTATCGCGCACTTTGCCCTCCTCTAGCAACAGCCGCAGCAAAAGCACTACAGATATCGCAAGAGGGGAAAGCAATACTTCGACTTCGACGACTACATCTTCGATAACTTATGATGAGACGAGTTCGCTGCTTCCTCACGAACGAGCTCCTGCTGTGGTTGTTGGGTCAAGTCATCATATGACTGTTCCACGACATCATTATCGACAGAGCAACCACAATCACAACCACAACCACCCGCCTCATCATGCTGGGAATTATAATGGCCAATATACGTCTACGACATCTTCAGCTTCAGCATCAGCATCGGCATCAGCATCACTCCACCATATCTTGACCTTGCATCCCCGTCAAATCGCCCGTCTGGAGAGAGAAAGAGAAGAAATACTCGAAGAGGAAGAGGGGGAGGGGGACGAAGAGCGAGGGATGGAAAGATGTATGTTGTCAAGAATCGACTGTATAGAAGTAGGGTTATGGCACGAGAGGATCAGAGATTATGAAGCCGCTGAATTGGGGATGGTGAGGGCTGAGGAATTAGGATTGTTGCTGCCTCAGCAAGGTGAAGTGGGGAGGGAAGGTGAGGGTGGAGGAGATGAGGGGAGGTTGAGTAGAGTGGACACTCATGTTGATTCGTCTACTTCGATTACGGATTTCGCTGACGTGGAAGGAGGAAGAGGAGGAAAGAGCAAAGTGGATAGGAGCAGGAAGACCAGCAGTGTTACTCGTTTCGGCTCTGTTTCCTTGTCGCTGAATCATGTTCATCCTTTCTTCTGGGTGGATATGCTCGGTATCTGCTCGCTTGTCCTCCTCATCCTTGCTCTTTTGCTTTATATCGGGTTGCAGTTGAGGGGCTTGGATAAGAAGCAAATTTGCGCGAAGGATGGAGGAGGGCTTTGGGTTGCGGTGCAGATGTTGGTGGGACTTGGTGCCGGATTGATATTGCAGGTCCCAGTCAGCAGAAGATTGGTGCCTTTCGTGTTGCCTGTGTGGGTTGTGGTTACTATCGGGGTGGTAATCGGGTTGAAGGAATGGGCTGGGTGTTTGGGTGAGTAGAATGGACGTGGAAGGAGAAGCTTGTCAAGGACATGAGTATTGTTACTGAGGATAGAGAGATCCGAGGACGAGCCCAGCCGTTCAAAGACCTGAAGACAAACCTAAGCATCGAAGTTGTATCACAAAATGCATTATCACCGGCAAGAATGAGCCCTTACAATACGCGGTGAATGAACAAGACACGCAGCTTATGACAGTGCGTGATTATCAGCTGGAGTTTGCCGTGTAGAGCTCTTGTTCTTCGCAGGTCTTCTCGAATGAACAGCACATAGTCTATGACAGTGACGAGTTCACCAGCTGAAGTCTCTCGGGAGTGGCTCGAACAAGATACTCGGTGTATTATTGTACCGGAGATCCTTCGACAGTGCAACGACCAGAAGTGGCTAGGAGATTCTCGTTGCGTGTTCAAGGAGTCAGACGGACTCACCTGTTAAAGACTAGCAGTTGCGCGTTCCGTTCGTGAGAAGTTCAAAAACGGTCGAGACTCCCAGCCTCATGGAATAATGACGAGCATTATTGTCCGCGGCTTTGTCGATGGTCGACGGACACGACTCTGTTTTGCCGGAGAAGACCAAGCCAGACTGCACGACTTATCGAAGTCAAAAATCCTCTGTGGCGATGGGAAGACTGTAGATAGTTCTTCAGATCGAGAGAAAAGCAAAACAAACAGCATGATTCGTGGAAGAAGGGCCCATCCAAATCTCTCTTGCTGGTTAAACGAGATTTCCTTTGACAAAATATATTGATGGTTCGCTTGAGTGGCAGGTCGGGTGGGGTGAGAAAGAGCAAGTGCAGCCACTGTTTTGAAGCAAGGCTGGTTCCGGAGACCGAGCTCTGACCGTTGTAATCTTATCGTCGGCAAAAAAGAAAGGTGTAACGGGGATACATGATGCTAGCTAAACAGATGGTGTTGGAGGAAGAAAGGCGAGCAATGGTCTGCGACGGGATGGAGGCGAGAAGACGATATGAAATACAACTCGTGTTGAGTAGTTGTGGGAGCAGAAGAGCGAGCTGTTTGTATCAGAGTGAGACTCGTGTCAGGACAAGCAGGCGCTTTGTGATTCAGGAAGGAGCAGGCTGAAACACGCTTGCAGCACCAGCCGGGGCAATGATCCGCGGAAGGCGCGTCGGTCTGGCACCTCTCAGACACATTTTTGCAATTTGGCAAGAGCCTGGATGGACATGTGACGGGTGGTTGTCTATGGATGATTGCTGTCTTTTGTGTTATGGATGAGGCCTTGAAACTGCAAAGTATGATCCTGACACTGAACACTCCTAGACTCGCACTGGTCGCGCAGAGACGCCACATTCACCCTCTTCTACCCACGAGGCTGCGGCTGATGTGTGCTTGATCTTTGATTGATCCACCCGGTGTACAACCATCAAGTACTTGCCTACTACATGGTGCGAGTGCCTCTGGTCAACCATCCGCCAGCATCTCACCATCCTCACCCTCACCCAACCTCTCCTCTCTTTCCCCACTCATACTCTACTTCACGCAGCCATGAAGGGAAAGAAGCTGGCTCTGGGCCTGGCGCATCTTGTAAGCCGCTCACCTGCATATACGATACGGGAACACATTGGCTGACACTTGCCTCGAGATTGGCCCGCACAGAGCTGATGATCGCATGCCCACTGCAAACCCCCTCCAAAGTCCACCGCCGTCACCGTATCCTGGACGTCGCGCTCCTCTGTCCACAAAGGTCGAGTCGGATCTGCGTACAGCCTGTGCCGGTGTTCTTGTCAATACCAAGCCTTCGCACCACTACGTCCCACCAGAAGCACAATTGAGCGCCACCAGCGAGCCCAAGCCAGCACTCGATTATGAAGCCATCAAGAGATCCGCATCCACGCGCAAGTCCCAAGACTCGCGTCCTTTCCCACCGCGTACCGATTCAGCAGATGATAAACATCCCGTCAAATATGCATACCGTCCAGACGCTGCCGTTGATCAGCTCTTCACAAAGGCCGATGCTGCTATTGATCCCGTCCAGGCTGTCTTGGGCAAGAGCAAGTATGACACACCCATGGGAAGCCGTACCAAGACTCCGGTGCCCATCAATGTTGTTTCTCCCACTGGGGATGGCACCGCACGACCTCGGGTTTCTAAGCGTTCTCTCTCTGGCGAGACGAATGGCTCTACTCCGCACACAGACCTGACCGAGTATACTTGGACTTCTACCGCCCCTACATCCGCCGCCATTACACCAGCCCGTGCCTCGAAAAGAGCCTCTTCGCACATGCCCTTCGAGCAAGACGTACCCATCAAGGCGGACGCGAATGCCATCGAGTGGATGCGCAATGAACTCGAGCGTCGTCGTCAAAAACAAGCTGCCCAGGAAGAACAAACTGCCGCACTACCGCCATTATCTCGCCCCCCTAGCAGAGCACGAAGCATTCGAAGTCTTCGTGACAACATTAAAGAATACATCCGTCCCAGCAGTGCTGGAGGTCCTAGCAGAGATCCTAGTCGGCCACCTAGCAGGTCACAATCACGCGCATCTCTTCGATCAGATTCAAAATCACGAGATCCAGATGCGCGTGGTGGTTGGCGAAGTTGGGGACGTACTTTGAAGAAGGAAAATGCACAAACAGACGTCAGCAGATCCAACTCGGCAAGAGGGAGAAGCGATGGTTTGAAACGCTCAGGCTCCAAAAAGTCGCAGATTGATTTGAACCGCGAGCTGCCTCCGCTTCCCAGTCTTGATCAATGGAAAGAGGCAGAAATTGCGATACCGACACGACCTGCACCTCAAGCTCCAGTACAGAGCTATCGCCCGGCCAAGTCTGACCATAGCAGAGGTCAAAAGTCAGTCGACAGCGCGATGAGCGAAAAGGACGAAATCATTGCCGCTCGTCTTGGCTCGCCCGTCAGGGAGAAGCCAGAGGTATACATGCCAACTCGCTCTCCGAGATTTTCTGCAGCCACAAAGATGCCAAATCTGGGTTCTGCCTACACCAACGATCATGTTGTATCATCTGGCCTTCGCAGCAAATCAGCTGGCCCGGCTCATATCAGAGATCCGATATCAACTGTACCAACCATATCTTCCCACCATGCAGGAGATTCAACAAGTACTAGTCATTCAAGATTGAGATCTCCAAGCAACCCTGCCTTCTCCAACACCATCCCTGGATTCTCTCAACATCGCAATTACGACAGCTCCAACATACCGACACCCCTCGGCAGCATCAGCAGCAGTTCTACCGGTAAAAAAACAGATAAAGCAACCAGCAAAGACAAACATGATCGCAAATACCGGCACGTCATGAAAACTCGCTCTCCACCACCTGTGCCGCCAAAGGAAGCGGGTGACAAAAAGGCATGGTGGAACCTAAAAGCAAAGAGCAAGAAGCAACCACCGGGATGGATGGAGCAACTCGAAAAAATGGGCGTCAAGGATGGCGTTTTGGTGCCTGACGAGGCATGCGGTTCTCCTCATATCCGTTATTAGAAGGATATAAAGGGCATGCCAGGGCTTTATGGATTTATGACGACAAATCACTCTACTTTATTTATTTTCTAGTTTGGCGTTTGGGGAGCTCCTTTAGCATATCGGAGTGAGAGACTTGGAGGGAACCAAGCCAGGATCCATTTGTTCGGCGTTTATATCTTGACTGCCTTCTCTTTCGTATACCTTATTTTTACATCGTCTATCGATGGTATTGAATTATCAATTCTATCACCACCAACGTATTCACTCGAATGTCATATCTGGTGGATCATCTACTACGGTGATCAAGAAAGCCGTAGAGAATGGAAGAGATGTTGTTAGGGCGGGAAACAGGTCCTGGTATACGATGTACATTCGAGGGATATTTTGCACACTTCTCTCGGGTCTGCATCCTCTGCGCTGGTCCTTGACAGACTTGCTAGAAGTCTTCTTTGCAAATTGCTTGAAACTTGGATGTTTTCACCGGGTATCTTCGTCAAGTCCATCACCCTGGTTACTTGGATACAACAGTCTCAAAGACTCGTCGAGGATTCGAGGTCGAACTAATCCGCAGATTACGACACATGCTGTTTTTCGCCATCTGATGTACGAATTTGGATGGTCAGAAAGGCCTCATGTTGGGGCAGGATCGTGGTTCGTATGAGGTGGATTTTGTTCGAGAATTTGGAGCTGTGCTTAGCTCGACTGTGCATCCTGCGAGTCTTGACGCAAGCCATCCTCACTCCCTGTCGCATGGACTTGTCGAAAAGGAGGTGGCGTCTTTGTTATGTTCAGCCCTCGAAGAGCTGCAGAGAAACTGCTTGGACGAGACTGAGCCGCAGCGACCAGGTAATCCGCGGTCAAGACCACGACCAATCCTTGAAGCACAAGAAACGCCGAGGTGGTCGGAGCGGGATTTGGTGTTCTCCAGAGAGGCATTGTAATGAGATGTGCAGTCAATAAGTCTTTCTGTGATTGGGATGCAGGTTTCTCAGGAGATGGATAGTTTCTCGTATACGAAAGCAACAAGGCAGAGAGTGAATAGCAGTTGGTGGTGCAAGAGGTGAGATGGCTATTATTACGACTCTCTTGGCAGGGTCTTGCGGAGCTGCGAGATGCCGAGTTGCAACTCCTGAGTGGTGAGTGGTGAGGAAGTCGCAGCCGTTTGGGCAGTCGCAAGCGTGCTTGCTACGCGCAACGCTTCAGAAGGGCAGGCCAGCTTACACAGCCCATTGCTATTTTGATCACCTTCTCTCGACACGCTGCGACAAGAGCATCCATGCCATCGCAATCCAATCCGCGTCGCCATTGAACCCCCGTACAGCACACGTTGGTTGCCTCGTCTTTGTCCAGGTAGCCTTACCGCCGTCTACCGAATGGTCGCATCTGCCTCTTCCACCCCGTATTGATCCGCGAACAACCCCTCAACCACCATTCTCACGACGCGATCGCCAACTGTTGCGCATACTGTCGGTACACTATCCTTGCAAACATGGCCGGGAGACCTCATGGTCAGGCGTCCCCGTCTGCCAATTCTGACCTGCTACTGGACTTGGATGACCAGCCTGTCTACAACTCTGGCAAGCCCCCGCCGACCGACGATGACCACCTGCTTCTCCACCACAACATAGACGCATCCGATGCCCCTCGCGCTTCAACAAGCTACGATGACTTTGTGGGCTCCTCTTCGACAGCTGGTCTGCCCGGAGGCCCTGGCGCTCCGAGTACCACTGGCCTACACATCCCCATGCACGAAACTATGGGAAGGCAATACTCGCAGACTTCCGAACTCAACAACTACCAGCCATATTCAGACCTTGACGACATACCCGATGACAGAGACTACTATGCTTCAGGAGGAGGTGTCGATGAGGACAATCTACCAGGCTTGCATGAGACACGCTTCACCAGTCATGGTCGCAATAGAAACAGCATAATGGGAATAGGTGGAAGCATCGTAGATCGCGCCAAGAACATGTTTGGTGCCAACACCGGTGGCTATTCAGAAATGGATCTACCCTTGACAGAGGCTGGTGCTCGGTCTTCTCACATCGCCTCAGGCGGTGTTGATGCCCTCCCCTCTGCGCCTCCGCCTGCTAAGCGCACTCCGGGCGCAAAGTTCAAGTTTGGTCTTGGTCGCTCAGGTCCGGACCCGAATGCTTCTGGCCCTCGCATAATCCATCTGAACAATCCTCCGGCAAACGCCGCGAACAAGTATGTGGACAACCATGTCTCGACGTCCAAATACAACTTTGCTACTTTCTTGCCCAAGTTCTTGTTTGAGCAGTTCTCGAAATATGCCAACTTGTTCTTCTTATTCACAGCCGTCTTGCAACAAATTCCTGGAGTTTCTCCCACGAGTCGATACACCACGATTGTGCCACTGGGGATTGTCCTTTTGGTTTCTGCTGGTAAAGAAATGGTTGAAGACTCGCGCAGGAAGTCGCAGGACAGACAACTCAATACTTCCAAAGCTCGCGTTCTTCGAGGCTCAACTTTCCAGGACAGCAATTGGATCGATATTGCAGTCGGAGATGTTGTTCGTGTAGAGTCCGAGGAGCCATTCCCCGCCGATCTGGTCTTGATGGCCAGTTCTGAACCTGAAGGTCTCTGCTATATCGAGACTGCGAACCTCGATGGTGAGACAAACCTGAAGATCAAACAAGCAATTCCAGAGACTGCCGATCTTGTCAGTCCTGCCGATATCAGTAGGCTTGGTGGCAGGATACGCTCTGAACCTCCCAACAGCAGTCTCTACACATACGAAGCGACCATGACAATGCAATCTGGTGGTGGAGAGAAGGAGTTGCCGTTGAACCCGGAGCAACTCCTTCTACGTGGTGCTACTCTCCGAAACACGCCATGGGTGCATGGAATCGTCGTCTTCACAGGTCATGAAACCAAGCTTATGCGCAACGCCACGGCTACTCCGATCAAGAAGACTGCTGTCGAGCGTCTTGTGAACGTGCAAATTCTCATGCTTGGTGGTATCCTTGTCACACTCAGTATCATCAGTTCAATTGGTGATCTCGCCATGCGTGCCTCCTCGGGCGGCAAGATGTGGTATTTGGCTTATACTCGCGTTAATGGCGGCAAGCAATTTTTCAGTGACTTTTTCACCAACTGGGTTCTGTACTCAAACCTGGTACCTATCTCGCTTTTCGTCACCATCGAAATCATCAAGTACTGGCAGGCCATTCTCATCAGCTCCGATCTGGACATCTACTACGACAAGACAGACACACCCGCTAACTGCAGAACGTCTTCTCTTGTCGAAGAGTTGGGTCAAGTCGAATACATCTTCTCAGACAAAACAGGAACGCTTACATGCAACATGATGGAGTTCAGACAAAGTTCCATTGGTGGTATTCAATATGCCGATGAAGTCCCCGAAGACAGAAGATCAACTGGAGAGGATGGCGACATGGGCATATTTGACTTCACTCGCTTGGAGCATAATCGAAGAAACCACCCCTCTGCTGAGATTATCAATCAGTTCTTGACTCTTCTGTCCACTTGTCATACCGTTATTCCGGAGACAAGCGCAGAAAAGCCTGGCAAGATCAAGTATCAAGCAGCTTCACCCGATGAGGGCGCTCTTGTAGAAGGCGCGGTCACACTCGGATACAAATTCATTGCGCGCAAGCCACGCTCAGTCATGATTGAGGTTTCCGGACAACAACTTGAGTACGAGCTTTTGGCAGTTTGCGAGTTCAACTCTACCAGAAAGCGTATGTCGACTATCTTCAGATGTCCCGATGGCAAGATCAGGTGTTACTGCAAAGGTGCCGATACCGTCATTCTGGAGCGCCTGGGTGGTGATAACCCATTCGTGGAGGCCACTCTGCAACATCTTGAAGAGTATGCCGCAGAAGGGCTGAGAACACTGTGTCTTGCCATGCGTGAGGTTCCGGAGGTGGAGTACAGAGAATGGCAGCGTGTTTATAGTGAAGCAGCTACCACTGTTGGCGGCAATAGAGCGGATGAGCTTGACAAAGCAGCCGAGCTCATTGAACACGACTTTACTTTGCTTGGTGCCACAGCTATTGAGGACAAGTTGCAAGACGGTGTCCCAGACACGATCCATACTCTCCAAACTGCTGGCATCAAGATTTGGGTCTTGACTGGTGACAGACAAGAAACTGCCATCAACATCGGCATGAGTTGTAAGCTTATCAGCGAAGATATGACTCTTCTCATTGTCAATGAAGACAATGCCGCTGCCACTCGAGACAATTTGCAGAAGAAGTTGAGCGCCGTACAGAGTCAGTTCCAGGCCGGCATCACCATTGAAACTCTGGCGCTTGTTATTGATGGCAAGTCTCTGACTTTCGCGCTTGAGAAAGACATGGAGAAGATGTTCTTGGATCTGGCCGTGATCTGCAAAGCAGTTATTTGCTGGTATGTATCTTCCGTCTCTCCTCACTGAAGTCTGCTGACCTGTGGTTTAGTCGTGTCTCACCTCTGCAAAAGGCGCTTGTGGTCAAGCTTGTCAAGCGTCATAAGAAAGCCATTCTCCTCGCCATCGGTGATGGTGCAAACGACGTCTCAATGATTCAAGCCGCACACATCGGTATCGGTATCTCAGGTGTTGAAGGTCTTCAAGCAGCCAGATCGGCCGATGTGTCCATCGCTCAGTTCCGATACCTTCGCAAGCTGTTGCTTGTACATGGAGCGTGGTCCTACCAAAGAATCTCCAAAATGATCTTGTATTTCTACTACAAGAACACGGCTCTTTTCATGACACAGTTCTGGTATTCGTTCCAGAACGGCTTCTCTGGAGAGGTCATTTTCGAATCTTGGACGATGAGTTTCTACAACGTTCTGTTCACGGTTATGCCTCCCTTCGTCCTTGGCATTTTCGATCAATACGTCTCGGCACGTTTGCTTGATCGATACCCTCAGCTCTACCAACTGAGTCAGAAGGGCGTGTTCTTCAGAATGCATTCCTTCTTCAGCTGGGTGGCGAACGGCTTTTACCACTCTCTCATACTTTACTTTGTCTCTGAGCTGATCTGGTTGTACGATTTGCCACAAAGCGACGGCAAGATTGCTGGACACTGGGTCTGGGGAACTGCTCTTTACACAGCCGGTCTGATCACCACGCTCGGCAAAGCGGCCCTCATCACCAATCTCTGGACCAAGTATACTGTGATTGCGATCCCAGGCAGTCTTGCAGTCTGGTTCATCTTCTTGCCCATCTACGCGACTGTTGCACCCAAGCTTGGCTTCAGTATGGAATACGCTGGCGTTGTCCCCAGACTGTTCCCTAGTCTTGCTTTCTGGTTGACCATCATCGTCCTGCCTGTTCTCTGTTTGCTCAGAGATTACGCCTGGAAGTACGCCAAGCGTATGTACTACCCTCAAGCCTACCACCACGTCCAGGAAATCCAAAAGTACAACATCCAGGATTACCGACCTAGGTATGTATTTATTTCTACCCATCTTTACACATTAACATTCTCGCTAACAATACAACAGGATGGAGCAATTCCAAAAGGCCATCCGCAAAGTTCGCCAAGTACAGCGCATGCGCAAACAGCGTGGTTATGCTTTCTCGCAGACGGATGAATCGCAAGCGAGAGTTTTGCAGGCTTATGATACCACGAGGGAAAGAGGAAGATATGGTGAGATGGCTAGTAGCAGGAACTGAAAAAAAGGCACTGCGTTGCATTGGCATTGGCATTGCAAGGGTTCGTTCAACGTGTTTATATGCATATGTATGGGATATGATGAATTCCGAAACGGCGTGTTCTCCACGCCTCTCTCTATATCTCTTGCACGTTCTTTTTCATATGCATCGATGTTTTGAAAGAATGCCAGAAAGAACGGTGTCTCTGAAAGCATGATTGGAATGTTACTTTAAACCCTAAAATACAGAGATTCTACTCGACCACCTTGCTACTCAGACTCCTCTTGCCAACGTCCTCCAGGCATGAATGAAGACAGAAAACAACCCTCGCAGCTTCGGCCTCTAGGAGCACACACTTAGGGTAAAACGGCGTTGTTTGGCATAAGAGCGGACATCGCAAAAGCGTCATTCTACTACCTACCTCTTTCAGGATTTGGGGACTAGATCTTTGATTTATAGAGTACCTTTGTGAAATATGTATTTCCAGATGTTTGATTTCTTTTTAGTACTTGTTGACTTGTTGGATAAGATGGATGGTTCTGTAAAGGATGTTGAGAATTGTAGATTGTCATTTGGAAATTGGGGGTTCTTGTGAAAAGTTATTGTTTCTTTTGCGAAATGTTTGTTTTTATTCTCTTTGGTGTACGGTATGCTGTGGATTTGAGTTTGCAGCTATCGGGTACTTTTTATAGTATATTGTGTTTCTACTATATAAATCCCGATCGTAACAAAACCGAGAACGATATTGAGGAATGGCGAATGTGATGACGAACAGCATTACGACGACCAAAGGGTTAATTGAAAGCAGTGGACTACTGTTTCCAACTCAGAAGCAAAGCAGAAGGAGATTCAACGCCTTGTCGAATGGATCGACTTCTACGGCGTGCTCGAATCAGTCCGCTGGCAGTTGATTGATTGGATCATGAATTTTGCTAGCAGTGGCGCGTTCAGAGACACTGATTTCCACGACAATCCGGTTGATCTTCGAATCGCGACTGCTCTGCGCGACCAAGATTTTTTCGAATGGGCTATCAACAAGAATTCTTTCTGCAATTGTGAAGCTCAGTACCATCTCAGCAGTATTGACTGTGCTTTGGGCCTTGGTGCCTGGGCGCCAGTGTTCGACACACATGTCATCCATAAGACAGACTGGCAGCCGACTTTGCAACATATCGATCATCGTGAGTGGATTAACTCGCATTCGCATGGCGTTGAGCTGATGGCCATAACTCGCTGCTACTGGCAACTCATGGTGGCGAAAAATTACTCCATCTATTTGTCTGCGGAAAAGGGCTTGCGGCCTGGCCTCGGTGTGCTGGATGCATTCTTCAAACACTCTCCTGCCGACAGCGAGCTTACCTCTGTAGAACGCGGGTGGCGTCGTACAGATGTCTATCGTAACATCTGGACGAATTGGGGACACACCGTAGGATAAGATAAAGCACGACTCGTTGAGCAAGTCAATGTCTGGATCAACATTGCCCAGGATATGATCTTGAAGTTCTTGACACCCGCTCCTGAAGAACCATATCGCCTGAGGCTGGTGCTTGGAGGGTTCTGGAAGCGGCACGGGTTCCCTTGGGATTATTGTGACAAAGGCAAGTCCGAAGGTGGCCTTTTCAGCTTGATCGCGTATCACGATTTGACCGAGTTCGAGAAGGATTTGTGTCACTTCCAGAAGTCTGCTGACGCTTAGGCTTGGGTTGAGTGGTGACTGACGAAAGAGCGTGGGAAGTAGAGAATTCGATTTCCCTCGATGAGGTTGAAGTCTGATGGTTGAGTGTGCCTAAAGAGATGTCGGATGGTGTGGATAGCAAAAGGTGTCTTTGGACTTGATGTTCTGGAACATAATCTGGCGACTTCGCTCCAACTCGTCAGACATCTTCGCTCGTACTGCGTATCTCACCCCCCTCGCCCCTTTCTTTCAGGCCACGAGCTTCCGTCAAATCCATTGCTTCTTTTCACGGGAACGAACGTTGGAACTTGCGTGCGAAACGATAAGACATTGATCTGCAGTCGGGCTGAGAAACAGATTGAAGGGCCGCTGTGTTATGTGACTGCGATATGCCAGACTGTTTTTCCTGTAGTCGCGTTCATGCAATTGAGATGAAGATACATGGGGTCTTGTACCTGTTGTCAGCGTGGTGAGAGAAGTCGATGTGGTGTCAAAAGGCCGAAGCTGAAAGCTGGAGCCGGGCCTTTTTGGTAACGACGCCCCTCCATGCCAACGTCTTGCCTATTCCGTTTCTCTTTGCTGTGGAAAAGTTTCAGTTCGCTACAGGGACCTGGAGACAGATAAACATGACATGCGAATCTTTGAAAAATTGCTATCTTCGATATCATCTGTCAGACTATTCAGCTTATGCCGTAGCCGAGTCACCCCTTCCCCTATGCGTGTTCTCAACGGTGGGCGCTCGTACCCAGCAGCTCAATATAGCACTCTAGCCTGCCTTGGCCGGTAGCCTAACATCAAGATATCTCGTATCTTGATCCTCCCTTCCCAACGGAGCCTCCAAAAAGCTTACCTCCCTTCTTGTCAGATACACATGTGTTCGAGAGCTAAAAGCTGTTTGCCGGAAGGTCTCGGTGGCGGCTGACTGGTGCCCTGAATCCGGTGTTAGTTGAACTGGTTTTTTGCTGGTATAAACGGTGATTTTCGCGCATAACACAGTGAACATGTTCAACCTAATCTCTTGACGGCTGGCTGGCTGGCTGTCAATACTTTGTTAGTATAGATATCTCGGTAAGCCCATGGTAGTACCCACTTTCCTCCTTTCTCTTCCTTGACTTTGTATTCCTTCTATACATCTTGCTCTGGCATTGTTGCGTATCAAAGGCCGAGCAAGGCGAAACCACACTCATTATCTCTCGCCCACCATGGCAGTCTACAAATTACGCATTATCATCATCGCCGCCGCCATCGCAACAAGTTTATTACTTCTCTTCGGCGCCTACTCGCAAAACGTAATCACACCACAAAATGTCTCCGACCTGACCAAAAACATCGCGGCTCATGTTCCCGGCACTGGCTCTGGAAGCAGCACTGCAAAAACTGGAAATGGCGTTTCTTCTTCTTCTTCATCAGGGAAGAAAAACGCATACATGACACTTCTTACAAATACTATGGACGCCCCTGAAGACCCGGCTCAAGATCACTATTTCATGGCCACTAGGATACTAGGATATCAATTGTTGCATCAACCCAACACTAGAACCCAGCGTGGTTACCCTTTCGTGGTGTTGGTGACTGCAGATGTAAAGCAAGACCGCCGCGACCTCTTGACTTCCGACGGCGCCATCGTCCTCCCGGTCCAAAATCTCGAATACAACACCACGCGCATCCACGGCGAAATGCCACAATGGAAAGACGTCATGACAAAACTGCGAGCGTGGGAATTGGTCGAATATGATCTGATCGCCTTTTTGGATGGCGACTTCATCTTAAATCGCTGTTTGGATGGGATTTTCGACGATGGCGCCACGATGCCAGCAACTCTACTCACTTCCAACACCCTCCCCACCGATGAAGGCGAATTACCGTCCACATACGTACTAGCCACAGTAGCAGAAGCGAATCCTTTCCACAACTACCCACCCACCGCCGCTGCACACGACTACAAAGACCCAAACTACTTCAACGCAGGCTTCTTCCTCTTCCGCCCAGACTTGACACTATTCCACCATTTCGAAAAGATATTGCAATTGGAAGGTCGTTTCGACCCTCAATACCCAGAGCAGAATCTTTTGAACTATGCATTCAGGAGGTCCGGCCAAATGCCTTGGATCGAAATGGATGGGAATTGGCATATCAGGTTTCCGACCGTGGGGGATATGGAACAGGGGGTGGCTAGTATGCATGATAAATGGTGGAGTGCTCATATGGATAAAGGTCTACAGCCGTACTACGATTCTATCAGGTGGAGGATGGAAGGGTTCTATGAGGTTACTAGTAAGAAACAGTGGGAATTGGCTTTTGAGTGATCGGATTTATGTATATTAATGAGTCTCCTTTTTCGTTATCCGTTCTTCTACTTGATGACTATATTCCAACTCGGGTGATCGTTTGTGGTTAATTGCAACATCATATTCGTGATTGGAGAGACAGGTGACAGAAGAGTTGTAAAGTTTGGAATTATATCATGCTTTTTAATCATAGCAGATCTGAAATCTACTGTAGGGTCCGAGAAAGTGTGATGCTCCGTCTATCTGAACCATCCATCTAAACCATAAGTCCCTCATCAGCCATATCCACATCACCAGGCGCGGCCTCTTGACCGGCCTCAGGCAAATCTCCTTGACCAGCCTTGACCTTGCCTTGCTCATACGTAACACGTCTCCAACCCTCCTTCTCACTAGGGTCCTTCAAGAACTCCACAGTGGGGAAGTAGTGCTCGTTCTTCTTCATGGTGGCAACCCAGGGTTGGTTGTCAAAAGTCATGATCTTGAGACGGAAGTAAGTGTTGTCGGGAATCTTGTTGGTTTCCTCGACGAACTTGTCGAGATCTGGTGTGGGCACACCGTTGACGGCTGTGATGAAGTTTGTGGGTGCGAGACCGTACATGTATGCTGGTGAACCTGCGATACGAAGAGAGATGTATACGTCGGAGTGCACCTTCTTGATTTGTTGGCGCACGGCGTGGTGAGGACGGTGGAGTACGGCACCACAGAAGACAACAGCTCTGTCGGTCTCGAATTCGTGTGTCGGCACAGTTGATACCTTGAGGTGGACCTCCTCTCTCTTGCGAAGAATGACGGCATCCAGATATTCGTTTCTGTACATGACATCGAAGTCTGTAACGCGGGTGACAAGGCGGCCGTTGAGGGTAAGGATGATGTCTCCTTCCATCAAACCACCAACGTGGTCAGAGTCAACCTTGCGAACGATGAAGAGTTGATGTCTTTCAGGGTCCTCCTTCTCAACTCGGTCAATCCATTCTTGTGACAAGCCATGAATACGAGCTTCGCTCATCTGCATGATATGAGTCTCAAGGTTGAGGATGCGGAGCTGAGGTCTGTCTCCATTCTTGATGTCATCGACAACGGCATGAAGCGCAGAGGTGGACATGCCGAGATGGTAAGATTGGTCGCGACCGTTGGCAGTGCGCTCACCAAGGTAAGTCATCCACAAGGCTTGGACGGTACCATCTTCGGCAACAAGCACACCACTTCCGCAGCGTTCTGACAAGCTGGTGTCGACAGTGATGGCGTCCAGATTGACAGCGCGGTATCTGGGAGTAGTAGTGCTTGCGGGAATGGCAACAGAGGTGATGTCGGTCACGGCAGTCTTGGCAACAACCGGTCTGAGGTTCTGGTTGAAGCCGAAGAAAATGGTGCTTTCACCTTGTCTGATGGGAGTGGTGGCGAGCTTAGCAGACTTTACGGGAGCCTGCACTAGGCTGGCGTCGTACTGTAGGATGGCGTAGTTTTGCAGAGGGTGCATAAAGATGACCTTTCCATCAACGATGATCGAGTCGGCTACGGTGATGGTGATGTCACACATGTCGTAGGGCAAAATTGCTCGCGACACAATAACAAGACCCTTCTCAGCGTCAATGACAAGACCAAAGCCAATCTTTCTTCCTTTGGGGAAACCGTCAAGGCGGAGTGGTAGGCTGACTGAGACTCTGACGAAGCTTCGTACGATGTCGACAGCAGCAGGGTGTTGTGCACCGGCCATTTGAATGAAGTTGGCCTTCTTGGGCTGAGGTTCTACGGCAGGAAGTTGCTCGGCAAGGGTAGTGGTGTCCCAGAGACCGGTCTTGTCATTTCTGACGTGGAGCGACATCTTGCGGTGCCAATGCCTGTCGACGGAAATGATGGAAGTATTGAGAGTGTGCATGTCGCGAAGGTGCTTGTAAGTGACAACAACACGAGCGCGGTCAGGGATGGCCTTCATGACTTCGACAAAGGCGTCGAGATTAGGAGTAGGCTTGTTGTCGATGGACTGAACCAACCATCCGAACTCGCAACCCTCGAATCTGAATGAACCACCTGCTTCACAGCAGTAGACACCATTGTCCTTGAGAGTGACTGCGTAGAAACGGGCTTGTTGGTAAGAGAGTTTGTGGAAGAGAGCTCCAGCAGCCGAGACGTAGCGGTCTGGTGTGATTGCGTGCAGGTCTCCAACATCGATTGTAGCTTCAAACTCTTCTCCTCCTCTTTGGACCAAAAGCTTGACCTGACCGCCAACACTTGAGTCGAGGATATCATCCAGGCGGACAAATTGTGTAAGGAGCTCGTCATTGACCTTGATCAAAACATCACCCTCTTCGATCTTGCTGTCTGCCGGGCCCTTGGGCAGAACAACCTCAGCAACCAGCATACCAGTCTCCTTGGGGAACTTTGCGCGAACCTCGGCTTCACGCTCAGAGGTCAGACCAAGTCTTCTGCACTCATCGAAGGGCTTGATGAGGAATTGTGTTTGGATGCTTCCTCTTGTGACGTGTTCTCCTTTTCGAACGAGTTCCAGCGCTCTGAGCGGTCGGTCCAATGGCAAGAAGTAATCGGTAGCGGCACCATCTTGTCTTCCTCCTGCTTGCAAAGCGACAGCGAAACCCTCAACGTTGACGACGGGACTGCCCGAACTTCCTCCACTGGCAGCGGCGGCAGCTTGGATGTAGTTTGTGTTGAAATCGCAGTATCCTTCCGAGTATTCCGGGGCGTTTCTGTCCAATCTTGAAATAACACCAGACAAGATACTGAGCTTTTCTCCAGCGTCGTTACCAACAACTCTGATTTCGGCACCAATGCGTGCGAGGTCGGGGCGGAGTTCGATGGGCGCAAGCTTCATGTACTTGATGGCTTTGGGGTCGAATTTGAGGAAACCAAAGTCGTGGACGGGGTCGCGGTATACGGGGTAGACGTCACATTCCTCGTGGTTGTCGAAGATGCAGTATCCCCAGAAGGGTCCGGAACCAACAACGTGCTGTGCTTTGTTAGCTTGGGCGCATTGTTGTCTGCAAGTGCCAACTCACTCTGTTGGTCAGGATATAACCATTCTCGGCGTCAACGACAAAGCCAGTTGCCTCGCTCGACAAAGCCGGATCGGTATCAAATGCGCTGGTCTGGCAAAAGTGGATTGAAACGACTTTCGAGACGACCGTCTCAATGGTGCGCTGCCATTCTACCGAATCGGTGGTAGCCGAGTGTACGATAGGCTGGGCGTCCACTTCCTCGTCGTCGTGTGCGAAACCGTTGGTGTTCTCTTCTGCCGAAGCATCTGACCTGAGCTGTTTCAGAGGTCTGTCTTGTACAGAGTTCGGGGCTTCTTTACGCTTCACGCGAGTCTCTCCATTGTGCTGGCCGTCCATGCTACGAAGTGTCGATGTGTAGCGCTGTGTTTGGGCTGATAAAGCGATCCGAGGAAGGTGGGCGGTATGCGAAAGGATGGGTGTAGAGCGCGAGGGAATGGTAGAGAGGCGAGGCGCCGGTGTCGAAAGTAAAAGTCGAGGAAAGTGCGAAGGTCGGCGGATTTCTCTCAAGAAAGTACAAAAGCTTCTTTGCATCCAGTTGTGCGCAAGCAGTCAAGCATGCGCTTTATATCCAAACAACAAAGAATGAATCGCGATGGATTTATCGAACTTTCGTTAAAATTTTGGGTTTCTTGCTCGTTCGATGACTTGCCATCACCTTGATCATCGTCACACCTGAAACAGGAAAGTTTGCCGACTGTTTCTGACCACCCAGCCATCTTCCTCGCGTCTTGTCCGCAATCAACATCTATATCTTACAGCGACGATTCCATCACTTTGCGATGGTGATGGCTCCCATATCAGGTCGTGTCTCTTCGTGCGCCGGTTCAAGACCCAAGCCTCACTTATGCAGCAGTTGTGAACGACCATCAACTGCAGTCAGCTAAATGTAAAGACAATGGTAGGCCGCGCTTATTGTGTCCCTCACTCGTTTCGATGTAATTCAATTCACTTGCTTTTCTGGTCGATGAATATCAATCTAGCTTCCTCTTCTCGTCTCTCACACACACACTTCCTCGCTCTCACTCGCGCAACCTCACCCCAAATCCTCTATAAAATATCCCTCTCCCCTTATCCTTCCCTCTTCTCTCCAACCACTTCTCTCCAGGCTCCAACCTTGGAGCAACCTTGACCTGGCACTCTACTCTCTCTTGAACTCATCCCTCTTCTCTTGTCCTGTTCCAACCTCCACTTCTTGATCATTCATCGACGTGTCGACCACATTTCGATCCACCTTCGTCCTTCAGTACGAAGAACCTGGCTTTCCTCACTGTTTCCGCCGGCGGTTACTCTGATTGGGTTTCATCAACCTAGGACTTCACCCGCACATCTCCCTTCCACAAGTTTCGAGCTTTATCAGGTCTCTTGAGCTACCTACCTTCTACTCTTTACACCAGTGCATCGATCTCCGAATTCAACATCTTCAACTGCTAGACAAGATGAACAATCCGTCCAACAGTCGTCCGAAAACCCAGGGCAGCATGCCTCCCACCCAAGCAGCCCCCTCCGGCTCGAACCATCAAAGATCTCAGCGATCAACCTCGGGCCAGATGCAACAGTCGTCTTCAACACCTCAGCAATTCAATGCTTCATTCTGGGTTGACCCAATGACCGGCACTCAGTACTACGGAAACAATCCGTACGCTCCACAGAACGTTGCCTATGACCCGAACTTCTACATGGCAGCCTCCCAACAAACATCCAACCCACAGCAAATGTTCAATTCTCAACAGATGCCCAACACTCAGCAGTATGCCACGACCAACTTTGGTGGACAGAGCTTCCAGACACCGCTCAATCCAGCTGATGCAACACTGCACAACTGGGCTATGACAACCACGCACGAGAACAGTCGTCTTGGCTCCAACATGTCCAACAATGGATGGGGTTCGAATGTGCAGTACTCCGGCCAACAGTACCCAGGACAGCAAGCTTTCGTGCCCCAGGCCTCTTTCCAGCAAGCTCCTGCTCAGCAGATACAGTTCCAGCAAGCTCCTGCTCAGCAGATACAGTTCCAGCAGAGCCCAACTCAACAAGCCACTGTTCAACAGACATTCATTCAGCAATCGCCCGAGGCCGAACAGAAGCAGGAGATCCATGACGATTACACCATTTACGACATGAATGGAGATGCGAGTGCGCAGCTATTGGGCGAGCTCAACGGTGCCTCTCGCTCACCTACTCCCCAAGAACATCAATCGCTCGAGGTCGCCGACAACAAAGACGCAGATATGTCTGAGGACGTGATCGGTTTTACGGCCGATTCTGCGCCTTCAATCAACGACTGGTCGGACGTTTTCGCAGGACAGCACGGCAACGATTCTGCAGATGAAATTTTCAGGAGCTTCGAGGCCGAGATGATCAGCGCGGAGGCCGAGAGGATTGCGCACAGACAGTTGGAAGAGGAAGTTGATCAGGTCATTGAGGACTTGAAGGATGAAGAGATGCAAGGCATTGTCTCTGAAGACCAGACTGTCGTCGGTCACACGTAGGTTAAGCCCTGCACTTTGGATGAGATCTTCTACTAATCTTCTCACAGTCCCGAAGATACTGACATCACTTCGATCACCGAGCATGATCACGACGTTTATGCTGAAGCTGACGATTACGTAGAGGATCCCCTAACCACCGAGCAAGTCGACACTCCTCCCACCTCGCCAGCCCAGATGTCAGAGGAAATCGCTGAGAACAATGAATCAGAGGAGGAAGTTGATGAGGATGATAGATCAGAAGAGGACGCCGATGAGGACGACGACGTGGAGAACGTCTCCGAGCCAGAGACCACCGAAGTTGAGGTCCTCGACACCGAAGCCACCTCGGACCAAGAAGCACACAACTTCGGTGTCAAGAACCCCGTTCTCATCAACTTTCAAGGCTATACGCTCACGATGGGTCCCCTGAAGACCATCAAGACCAAGGCCATGAACAAAGAAGACAAGGAGCTCCACCAAAAGGCCACCAAGCTCATCCCCCACCACCTCCCTCCTTCGCGCTACTGGACCGCAATCCTGCACCACTCAGTCGCTCCCAACAAGGCCAAAGTCGAAAAAGACTTCATCTGGATGAAAGGTTCCAGAGTAAGCTTTCCCTTCCAACTACCCTTCCAAGTACCCTTCCGAACACAACATTACTAACCATTTCTTCAACAGTTCAACACCGTCGAAACAATCTACAACAAATACAAGGAAGTCACCACCGAAGACCGCCATCAAATCCTCTTCTGCAACGAGCCGGCTGAATTCGACGATGCGCTGGAGGAGTTGGATATTTTCGACGACAAGCTTGTTGTTTTCCGCGCTAGGGTGCTGCCTAAACAGGTCATTGAGATTGACTGAACGATGGTGCTGAAGAGTGCTGGGTCCCGAACGTTCTTACTTGATACCATTTGAGATGGTAATCGTTTTGCTGGAAAGAAGAGAGGACACGACTTTACGAGATGCGATTATGATTTTTACGGTTGCGGGTTTTCCGGTTTTGCATCAGCTGTTTTGCTGATTATCGAGAGGAAGGGGAAAGAGAGCGAGGAGACGAAGGAGACGAAGGAGACGAGGGCACTTTTGCACAGCGAGCTCTTGCATTTTTGATCTTTTTTTAACATTCGGCTTTAGTTGCTTTATCAACTCGAGGCTTTTTTCATTTCTGCTTTTGAAGGTCGTCGAAGGTCAAGATGATGACTTTTCGATGCCAACTGAGGCATATCTCTCTATCATCTTTTTGCAGAGATAAGACCTCAATTTCCTAAGTATAACAATGATGAGTTGTTTTGCGAATTTGTTTTCCCGCTGATGTGTGTGTGAAAACTCCAATAACTCCTGTTGTGCGTTCCCGTGGTATCGATATTTTTGCAATTCCTTCTCTTTATCCTTCTTCGGTATCCTCCATCACTCGAGTTTGTCCAGGTGTTCTAGTCGGGTTAGGACAACTTGTTTGCTTGTTTCTTCGATCTCGCCGGCGAGGAAGACTTCGTCGAGGATGGCGTAGACCTGGTTTTGTTCAATTTTGTCAGCACTTGGCCTCTGATTGTCTCTTCATCCTTCCGCTACCCTTATCCCCTGACCCTATCCACCTATATCTCTTCCTCGTTCCTTCTTCTCTCTCTTCATCCCCCCTACCATCTTCCACCCCCTCCTCTTGCTCGTTCCACTCACCTTGTAGAAGTTAAACACCAAATCCAATTCACAAACGTTTCCGAAAAACTGATCCAACACTTCGACAAAGAAGTGGATCGCCTCCAAGTATGCGAGTTCGTTGTCATTGGCGTCTACGCATGCGCAAAAGAACAGACCGGCGTAGCGGCGGTAGACTATTTTGGAGGAGCCGCGGAATTCCACGAAATTGGATTGGTGTTTTTGGTCGCGGGGGGCGACGAGGCGGTGGATCTGGAAGGGTGGGTGTGAGTCGGCGTAGAGGAAGGTTGGGAGGGAAGTGGTCGTGATTGCGAGTGGGGGTGTGTTCGGAGGTGGTGGGTTGAGATGGGGTCATGAGGGATAGTCGCATACCTCGCCTTTTAGCTTGACCTTCTCTTCATCCTGTATGAGTGTCAGCGCGTTGTCAAGCTTACGATTGAGAGAGAGAGGGTAGATACACTGTATGGCGCATACCATTTGGCCAGGCGCGTCTTTCCCCTGTATTGCTCAGTCTATACCCGTTAGAAGCCGATTTGGGTCTTCTTACTGTCGATTTTGTATCAAGATGAAAGAGAGGACCATCGTGCCTGATTTCTTCGAATTGTCAGGCCGATGGAGTTGAACACCTCGATGGTTGGATGTGGAATCGGACCCCCCATCATTGTCTTGGCGTTTGTGGATGCGGAGTTGTGTGTTGCTCTTTCCCGAACCACCGCAACTTCTTTGCAAGCATCAAATCAAATCAGTCTTGCATGTTCAAGAAGCGTTGACTTGGTCTCAAAGAAAGGCACGAGACTGCGTTCTCGACCGATGCTATAAGCTTTACAACATCCTCAGGTAGCTTACCATTTCCCTTGATACGTCCTTGTTCGGATCCAACATCTGAGCTTCTATCAATCTCAGGATGCTTTGATGGACCTGATATTGTAAACTCCACCACTCGACACCCCAGCCAAAGGCCTTCAGATCGGCCTTCCAATCAGCCACAAACACAGCATCCGCAATCACTGCAATGGTCTGGGACAAATTCAACCGCTCCAATGGCGGTGTTACTATCGACTTTTATCCAAACACACTTGACAATATTTTCTGGTCAAAGGAAGGCATTGTCGCAGTTGGTGGCAGTGATCATGTCAGTCTTTTTGTGAGTTACAATGGTTTCTGTCTTCAGCGGTGCTTTTAACACGACTAGGTACCACGACTCAAAGCTATCGCATCAGATGAGAGAAGATGGGACAAGATCAACCTCAAGACAAACTTCTTCACAATAGAGGAGATTCAGCTCCAGCTGCCTCTGACATGGAAAAACTTCTCTGTCGGCGAAGAAATGTCGGAAGCCTATATCCATGCTCTTGACTGGTCCCCTCCAGGCCTTGGCAAACACAAGCGAAGTGTGCTGGCCGTTCTTACCTCAAATCATATCTTGTCAATCTGGGAGTGTGTTGGCAAGCCGGAAATTGCCACAGACTGGGTCAGATCTTGTGTGATCAACCATGCCCTCCAGGCGCATTACAAGGATATGGATAAGCGTGATCCGGAGGAAAGTGAGCACGATCATTTCGAACGCCTCAGAGCAAAGCAACGTATTCGAGCATTCACGTGGAGCCCGTCACCACCCGATCCTTCGTTGTCAGGCGCTTCGGGTGATTGCACAGCGAGAAGTCCCTACTTGGCTGTATCGAACGACCGTGGGGAGGTCCTCATCATCAGACTGCAAACGCCTTACGATGTCCTGGAGCCTGAAACTTCGCATTGGACCTTGTCTGTTGCAGAAACCTTCAGCGTTGATGTTTCAGAAACAAAGCAATCACCCTTAAGTGCTTGTATGCCAGTAACGTTCAAGTGGAGAAGCCCTTTTGTGGATCAGTTAGCATGGAGTCCATGGGCTCTAGACTCGAGCAATACGCTGACATCAATACTGGCTTTCACATTGCAATCGTCTTTGCAATGTACCAGCGTCAAGCTCAACGAACTAGGAACTCACACTGATGTAGTCACCACTTCTTCTGCATTACTCCTGGGGGAAATCTCAGACACCCAAGCTACTGGGTGCATGAAATGGGCTTCGAAGTTGAATGGTACCAAGGAAGCATTTCTTGTATACCCGACTCGCAAGTCGTTCTACTGTCTACAGGCCCAGCCCGGTCTGAGTCTGGATATTCAGATTTCGGCACAAGAGATCAACACCCCTTGGGACGAGATCGCCGGTACGTCATACACAGTCTGGATGCCTCGGAAACCTCTAACAAATCGATAGGTCTCTGTTTCGTTCAAGACGACAACGACAATACATCTGTACAAATAGCATACCACTTGGGTTCTGGCACTGACCGTATCACAAGTCTGGCTTTGCCCTTCACCGCAAACTCGGCGGTCGGCTCTTCTACCTGGCAACATGATTTACTTAGAGGTCAAAGACGCTTTAGTGATGAGTACAACCTCGCAGGCAATGTCATGGCCAGAGCCTATGGCTTGTGTACATCACCTTTCGGCGACATGGTCGCTGTTAATGCCAGCTTCCACCCGAGCGATGGAGTTGAATACACGACGAGCTCTGATGAGGTTTCATATCTGATCACGAGTCAATGCAACGATGATTTGCAATTTGCTTTGGCTGGATCACCTTCAAATCCACATGGTATGTCCAAGCCTTCGCTCACTTACTGGCTCTACTGACATTCACTAGAACTCACTGCTGAGGCTTTGCTATCCAGCTTGCAAAGTCTTTCCGTGCGCGAACCTGAGGCTTTTGCTGATGAGAGTTTTGTCGTGGAGCAAGTTATGCAAGCACTCGATCTCGCAGAGTTGCCCTCAAGCTACTCGAAGCTAGGACAGATCACAGAAGATACGCCTGTCGACATCATCGTGCGACAAGTGAGACAGAACATCTTGTTCAATCGAGATAGCGTTCAAAGTCGTCTTTCACAACTCCTCAAGTATGTCAAAGGAGACATTCCTAAGACACCGCCGCTCGATGCTACGGTCGTGCTCAAGATCGTGACAGAGATAGCTAGACTACCACATTTTGTCGCCGACGCCAGCTTCTTGAGTCATTCAATCATGCAGATACATTGCTTGATACTGGCGAAGCTTCAGGCTCGAGGTGGCAACTCTGATGCTGAAGCCTCAACCTCAGAAGAGGAAGAGATCGAAAGTTGCGAGATCTGCCGCAAGAACATCCCTTTCGAGAGTCTCCGATGGGCCAAATGTGTCAACAACCATCAATATCGTAAGTCGTCCGTAAGCCGTGTATGATCACAACAACTGACATTACATCAGCTCGCTGTACACTCTCTTTCCTCGCTATCCAAACACCAGGCACAGCCAAATCATGTTCTATCTGCAATGCTCAGTACATCAACGAGTTCGTTATGCCTGCTTTCAAGGCTCCAGAACGCAGAGAGCCGACGAATATGGATACTGGAGTAGAAGAAGATGATGACCTGATGCAAGGGACCTCAGATCAAGAGCCTCATGTATCTTTGGCACGCATTCTTTTTGCGGCATGTGATAGATGCGTTTGTTGCGGAGGCAAATTTACCGGATAGTCTTAGTATGCACTTACCCGCATTCCTTACGACAATGGTGTGTTTACCACTCGAGTTCGCTCCTTAACGATATGGCAACACGGACTAGCTCAGCAGTATTTCGAACATCGCAGACATGGACAAGATGTACACAATCGCGTAGCCACTGAGAACAACTAAATCCAAGTCGCCTTTCCGCGCACAACACTTCCAAAAATGAACCCAATGCATGAGATTCGAATGTCGGCCTCGCCCGGAAGATCACCGCAGGTCACACATCAGCATGAGATAGGAAGTCCAGTACGAAGTCTGCATCCAGAGTTTTTGGTGGAATCGATCAACAGCCAGGCAGACTTTGGTAATCGAACATTTCTAGACGACAAATCACCAGATGAGGAAACACACATGCCGGATATACCAGAACCACATCCATTGCCTGATGGCCGTCATTCGCGTATCGAGAGGCCAATATCCAAACAAAGGCGATCTGGACATTATCTGGGTGGCACCACAGAACAGTTCCAATCGAACTGTGCTCCAGAACGACGGGCTCCTTCGCCTTCATCACCACCCTCACCTCGTTCTCCAGTGGGCGTGCCATCTGACTTTGAGAAGTACCAGCAGATGACGCGTGAAGCCTGTAAAAGCGGATTCGACAGCGATGACGACTCCTATATCGGGTCGGTCGACGAACTGACACCTGTCAGGCCAGCCAGGAGGAGTAACATGCTTGTCGACGGCCTCTTTCACCACAGCTCGCCACAAGTTCTAGAAGAAGAAAGTCCTATACTCCCGAAACATCAAGACTTGGCTGTGGCCCATCAGATCAGGGAAGTGCACTCTCTCACCATGCAAGCTCTGACCGGCATCACCTCTTCTTCAAACCCACCACCAACGCCTCCACCAATACCTACTCGCGACTCACGCTATCTCGACTGGCGAAACTCTCGGTACCGCTCTGTCTCGGCACCTACAAAGAAAGTCACCATGGCACCCCCGCCCATCGATACCTCACGAATCTCCACCCAAAATCCACACGTCAAAACACCCTACCCCTTCCGCGCCGTCCACCGCAAAGAATTCGGCCGCCAGTTCTCATCTTCGGAACCAGCCCTACGCAGCCCTCGCGTCCACGACAGCATCCTTACCCTCAGCATCCGCCGCAGCAACCCACACAGCAAGCTCCGCCTCTCCACCCTGACCATCCCTGCCAACAGCGAATTCAGCGCCGTCAAACACCGTCACCACCATTCCTCCTCCGACCGCCCCAGACTCCAAGATTTCGACGATGCAGAATTATTTCGTCAATTGCGCAGACATTATCAGAAATTGCTCGGTCCATGGCGACATTTTTCAGCCAGGAGTCTGACGTTGATATGTGTGAGTGGGGATGCGAGTAAACAGGCAGATTCAGGTTATGGCTGGTTACTCACTCCACGCTCTCCACGCACCTTGGCCTACAAAGGTCTGAATGATACATTCAGTGAAGAGAAGCTATTGAGGTTTTTCAGAAACCCAGCAGCGGCGGGGAAGAGTAGGTATGCTTGGGTCAGTTGGGCGCATAGATTGGCCGATGCGCCGGCGGTGGTTACTACACCTTTACCTGTCACTGCTTCGGGGCCTTCTTCTGCAATTGCTGATGGCAGTGGAGTCACACCGATTTCTGCCACTTCCGGGACGTCGACGGTCAATAATCGCTTTTCAATGATTAGGAGGTTGGAGCAGCATGAAGGGTTGGAATTCGTGGTGTCGTGGTCGGTGAGGAGGATTTTGCTTGTGTTGAGTGCGGTGCTCGCGCTTAGTCTTGCTGCTACATTGCTTTGGGTTTTCTTGGGGAAAGGTTCACATGGTTCTGATCACGGTGCTGGGTTCATGGGTGCTGGGGATAGAGTTGTTGGTGGAGTGGTCATGGGGATTTGTGTGCTGTTGATTGGGGTTGCGGGTATTGGCGGGTGGATCGGGGTTAGTTGGCTGGTGTTGTAGAGAGAAGCTGCTCTCTTTGATGTCGTTTTGGATGTTTCTTTTGCGACTGAGCATCGCATTTCGCATTTCCCTTCTTCTTAATACTGTCTTCAGAAAGCGTTTTATGGCCGTTTAGATCGGATCAAAACATCAAGCTTTCCTTCACTGTATGTGTCATAATTGTGTTTGCAGGCCTTGTCGAGGTTTCGACGCTCTGAGATAGATCAAATGTGCTAGGTGTCTGTGTCCGATGTTGGAAGACAAAGTTGTTCACAGGAGGTCTTCCTTCCCAAAGTGCGCCAAATTGGAAAGTCGCGAACATGACGCGTCATTCCCTCCAATCAAACGCGTCACCTCATCTCCGAAAAAGCACCCCCGACGACACAACCACCGATCAATCCACAAAATCATCAACTCATCAGATCTAAATCCAGCAATCGAATCACCAGACTTAATCAACACCTCTCAAGCTTCGATCCAGCTACCATTAGAAATCCTTCAATCTCGATCCCACCGATACACTTCTCCAAGGACGAATTCAGCACACACAGAAGACGAAAAATCATGGATATCGACGACATCCTAGCCTCGGTGACGACTTCCGACCGTCTACCCCAACGGACAGCAGATCTACAAGCTTTGACGCGGGCTTGGGTGGCGGAAAGATGTGCGCCTGAATTATTACCTTATCCGGAAGAATTGATCGAGAGGGTGATGGAGAGGGTGAAATTGCAGGTGAGTTGGGTGATTTTGTGCTTCTGGAATTTCTTGAGATGTAAGGGAGGGGAGTCTGAGAAAGCGAGGCTGAAGATGGAAAGAAGAAGACAGAATTGGTGGTAGAAAGATATCAAAGTTCCTCGAAGAAGGGTTAGCAGGAGAGAGAAACGGAGGAGATAAACAGGCTGCGAGGGAGAAGATCACAGGCGACCATTCGACCACGAGCACAAGACACGAGGAACAAAGACCAGAAGGAGGAGAAAAAGCTGACAAGAAACTCTTTCGAAAAAGTAGATCGAAACCGTAGAAGACATGACGGGAACAATGGACCCCTCGGCAAACTTCAACCTCATAATAACACAAACCGAACTGGAAAGATTCAAGTTCCTCATCCGCTCTTTCCTACGAGCAAGGATAGCAAAAGTACGTTCTGCTCCATCTCCCCTTCCCACATTTTCCAAACACACACACACCTCTTCCATATTCCTTCTCACCCACTACCAACATCACTTCCTGAGGAAACATAAATGCTAACCGAGCCCCCTTTACAGCTAGACAAACACCCCCATCACCACCTACCCTCCCCGAATCTCTCACCAACCGAACAACAATACCTGACCCACCGCTGCACACTCCTCTCCCACCACGTCCAAACCTCCTTCCTCTCCTCCTTCCCCGCACAACTCCAAAAACTCGACGACACCGCCGGCGGAATTTCAATGATCGACGCGCCGGATCCGGAAACAGCGGTTTTCGTCAGGATGCTGAGGGATGCAGGGACGGTGGAGGTGCAGGGGGAGGATGGAGTGGGCGTGGTGGAGTTGAGGAGGGGGGATGTTTGGTGTGTTAGGTGGAGTGCGGTGAAAGAGGGAGTGTTGAGGGGGGATGTGGAGATGGTTTGATGTGCGTAAGAGGGGAGGGAAGGTAGAGAAAAGGGCTGGTGGAGTGTTTTCTGTGCTATCATGGAGGCAATAATGAGAAGCCATGCAAGACCACTGTCGTCTCCACACGATGCTAAGTCAGAACGTCCATTTCAGTCTTCTGATACGATATTTGTTCTCCTTTGCAAGCGATATTGTGCAATAGTACCTGTATGGCTTGGGTATTCACTCTGCAAGCGGAATTCCAGGTAGCGCACCGCCGCAGTACGTATGTTCTTCAGCGTTCTCACGACTGCCTCTTGCAAGATATGACATGATGCAGCGAAGAACATCGATGAGCATGTCATGTCAAGTGCCGCCGAGGAGTGATGGCACAGCTTGCACAGTTGTTACTCTGCAATCGAGAAAAGCAATTTGTATCATCATCTCGCTTCACCACTGGAAGGCCATCCGAAGCGTCACGCTGTCTTCTCCCAGATATCCCACCAATCAACTTGAATGTTATCAGAAGACCTACGTGGGAGACGGAGTTGGTGTATGACAAATCACATACAGTTTCACAGAGTTAAAGCAGTAAGATAGAGATGATTGTTGAACGCGTATTTGATTTTCGCACGTTCGGAAAAAAACTAAAACTCCTGTATCCAACTTCCAGTCTGAATAACAAGTAGAAAAAGAAAAAGGGCCCACGAGTCACGCCCCCAGATGACGCTCACCCAAGTCCATTGAACAATGTCAAGTCTTGGGCATATTGCGAAACCTTTTGAGATGAAAAGAGGGCGGACGTCAGAACTGGCCTGTAAAGCTATATAAAAAGACGCCATGTAGAGGTATTAGGACGCGATGTGTGGTTGAGAAAGGTATGCAACTTTTAGGTGGTGGGGTGTTTGTGATGGCTTAAACGGATGAATTGAGGATGCGGGCGAAGTCATCGTCGTTGATCTCTGCCTGCTGTTGGACGGGGCTTGTGTTGGCTTGGCCTCCGAGCTGGGTGATCAGTTGTTGTGCGGCTGCGAGCTGAGCCTCGAGACTGGCGACTTTGGCTTCGAGCTCATCGGTGTAGCTCATCTTCTTGGCGCGTGATTTGCGTGCGGCCATGGTGTTCTTGGCACGCTTAACAGCAACGGGATCGTTCTCGTCGACGATGATAGGCGCGTTTGCCTTTGACTTCTTGCGGATACCAGTGGGACGGGCGCCCATTGAGGGCGAAGCGGTGACTGAGGCAGCGGTGAAAGATCGCTGGCGAGCCTCTGGGATGACCGGAGCAAACTGTTGCGGAGAAGGAACCTCGAAGGCTGAGGTCTCATGGCTGGAGAAGAGAGGATAGTCGTTTGCAGGGTATGCCATGTTGTCGTTCATGTAAGGAGTCGTGTTGTATGACTCGGCTCCGAACAAAGGGGTATCGAGGTCGGAGAGGGCGGGAGAGTATTGGAGGTCCGAGCCATTGGGGGATAACTCGGGAATCATGGCAGAGGAGGGAACGGAGCCCATGGTGTCCATGGACAGCTGCTCAGGAGAGACTGTTTGCACGTTCTGGGTGCCATGGGTGCCATGGGTGCCAAAGGCTTCGGCCCAGAGGGCGTTCATGGAAGTCGAGTCGTCGGAATAGAGAGGCATGTCAGCGCCGTTCTTGAGACAGCCGCCAATGTCCAGGTTGAGATCAGAGCTGGTGCCGTTGTATGCGACGTTGGGTTCGTTGAAGTTGTAGAGAGACATATTTGCGATAATGTCTGTGGTAAAAATGTTGGGTTTTTTGTTCAGAGAATCAGAAGATTTCCACGGATAGGTTGGCACTGGTGGGAGAGGCAGGCTGTTCTTAAAGGACTGCGGGCAGACGTCGGGAACTTTTTGAGCGGTACGGGTAGGCAGAAGAGCAGTCGCGTGGCAGTTCTGCGAATCGGATTGCTTATACGTAGGCAGCTGCGTCAGATCGAGCGACCGCACAGAGGGAGAATGCGCAAGTTTCGTAGGCGTTGCGAAGAGGGCGAAGTCCTGTTCGAATGCTGGTTGTGGGGGCGTATGCCTGGGGGAGTTCTGGAGAGGAAGACATGGTTGTGGTTTAAAAGCCGTGGTTGGCTGAAGTTTCTTGTGCTGAAGGTCCGAAGACGACGAAGTAGTAGAGAAACTCAAGGGCGATTGCTCTTGAGAGTGTTTAGGAAGTAGTGGACGAAATTGTCTTATTGCTGGTATGCTGGGCGACGGTATGGGGGGTTTATGCAGCCATTTTGAATGCGTAAACCTAATTGTGATGATGTGTTTGAAGTGCGTGATGATTGAAAGGAAGGAAACGAACGAATGGGCACGGGAACGGTCACTTACATAGCCCCAGAGGGAAAGCCTGCCGCATGGGCCATCTCAACTTGAACTGTGACTCACAACTCCGCTTCACGCTAGCTCCACTCTAATTCGCTCATGCCTTCTCGCTCGTCCTTCCAAGGTGCTTTCTCTTCGACATTCCTAGTCCCGGATCCCTCGAGTGATACCTTTGTCGTCTCACACCTCGTTAGCATTGAGAGCGCTCAATTTGACCTACCCTCTGCTATACAGCAATCTTTGGAAGTTGCCCAAGAGTCGCATTTTGTCCGATCTCGGCATCCTGCTTATCTTGCCGCAGCCCGCTAGTCTGCGCCCTTCCCAGAACATGACCCCGCCATTGGTTGGGGTGCCTGCCCTGCTGCCTGTCAATTTTCAGGCAGTGGTTGCATGTAAGACGGCCGGCTTGACATGTTTGTGTGAATAACCACCTCGCCGAGATGCAATCCGTCGCCTTCAATAGGCATGACTTCGGTCGACCATGGAGATCGAGTGTTGAACAAAACGGTAAAGGGTTGGCGATGATGTTCTTGACCTTGATACTAGGAAGCAGAATGTTCTGTTGATCCTTGAGGTTGATTGAGTGTTCTTGCCGTTCAAGCGCCGAGTGCTGTTTGGTGTTTCGAGCGAAGCTGATGTGATTGCAGTCGATGTTGTACGCAGTTGCGCAGTATCCGTGGTGGCTGCAGAAGCTTGGATTTGTATACTCGTCAATTCAACGAGTTCCTGCATTGGATTGGAACGGTGCATGCGAGACTCGCGGTGTTGATGCCGATGAAGTCGATGGACGTTGAGGGCAGGATGACTGACGTTCAGCATTTGTCGGGAGCCCTCATGTCAGCTTGTGAATCTCCATGGATGTTGTCAAAGAAGAAGAAGCATCTTGCTTGGCAGTAGCGACTCTTGACCCAAGGCCAAATAACTCTCGACGAGTTGAACCGTGGGGTGCTCCTGCAGCGCCATGTCAAGCTCGATTCTTTCGATCCATCTTCTTTCGGACGGAAAGGAGACTCCGCCGTTACTCGAAGAGGAACCACATGAACGGTCACTCACGACGGTCGCTTTCACTGGACTCGACAAGAAGCAATATCATATTGGATGAAGAGCGCAGAAAGCAAGGTCACCAACTAGAGCGGAGTTATCGTCTGGCCACGAGGACCGTCGATGTCTTCTGATCTCACCTTCAGTCCACATGTTCTTGGGCCACTGCCAACCACAACATGCCAATAGTTCATCTCCAACAGCTGAGAGCCGGCCAGGGAGTGTGTGCATATAAAAATCTCATCTGTGGCCCTGCGTCCTTTCCTCTTATTGCTGACTCTAGCGTCAAATCCACCTGGAAGCGAGGCTTCTTCAAAGCGATATGGCCGAGATACTGCGTCGTCCAGCTGGTTCGCGTAATCGTGTTCTCGGTATACTTTTCCCATCTTCTGCAAACACACCTGCATTTATGCAGGGCTGTAGAAATGTACAGTGTTTTTGAGATTGGTTAGGTGTCCACAAAGACGCGCTGTATGTTGCGGCCTCTCTGGAAACCACCTCCAACACAGCAAGAATCGTGCAATTCTGGTGCTGTACGCGTAACAAAGTCTAGCATACGGGCAGCGTATAACTCTAGAACAGTGATGGTCGGTTCTTACAGCCCCTTGTTGTCATGCCGAGTCTGACAACACGACTCCCGCGGTTATCAGCAAGCATAAAAATGCACTCTGATCGCGGCCTTAATCTCGACCTCGACCTCGCACATCCTTCAAGCATACATGAGAATTCAAAGCCTTTGATGACCACCATCGCCGACAAGAGCGACCCCGTTGCCCAGAGAGAAACCATAGCAACATGCAGTTCTAGGCTATGGGCGTGGTGAAGTGACAGGCTAAGATCTAGGTCTCTGATTCTTATATTCCGATGAAATTCTTATCAGTTTGAAGTACGCCTTGGACCTACATGTCGGGCACCTCATGACAGGATGAAGATGGCATTTACCTCATAACTATACTGACTGAGCATCCCTTCTTACAACCTCGGATTGGTATTTCGTACAGATCTGATAACACTAGGGATATCACCATGCCATGTCTCAATCATACTCTGTGGATTGTAGTCGCGACCGATAGTTCAAATATTCGGTGTAGTAATGCGCAGGAGATAACTTGATCAACTTACCTACATAATTACCAAGCATCACAATACCATAGCAGGAGCACCAATGTACAAACTTCTCAACCCACCAAAAATTCCTACATCTCAAAACCCACATTTTCCATCAACCGAACACACACCTACATTTTCTTTACCTACTCTTCCTCTACCTACTCTTCCTTCCATCCCGACAAAACCCCAAACCCACAAACTCATCCAAACCCCCGACCTCGGCATCACGTCACCTTCCACCGAGCATTTCCTTTCCCTTCCCCTTCCCTTTTCCAAAAACGTCCACACACGCCCTACCGAGAACGCTTCAACCACGACATACAAAAATTAGTCACACAGAGAGTACGAAGTGTACACCAAAGATATCAACCACAACAATCGACATCTTTCGATCCCGTGCAAAGCTTTCGTTGGGATCGCGGTGGGATTTCGCTTGGCGGGTGTTGGCATCGAGAGGTTGTTTTCCGCGGGTTGCCGGTGGAAGAGGGAGAGAGGTGATGGGTGAGGGGTGGGAGGGAAAGTGCGCGAGTCATGGGTGGAAGGGACAGGGTGGGAGGTGTGACGATGTTTTTGGGAGGTGGAGGGATGGATATTGAGATTTCAAGAGCGAGCAGCGCTATTCAAGTAACACGATGGTATTTCATGGTACTTGTAGGACTACCAGGGCTTAGTATAGATCGAGTAGGTGGGTGGTAAGTGGGAAAAAAGATAGGATCTGCGAAATCATGGATTTCTCTCCGGCTTTGCGCTGCTAACAGGTACGTTGACATATGTTTCATTCCATGGATGAATCAATCTGCCAAAATGCAGTCTTCTTAACACCATGCTTTGAAAATCTCGAGCAACAATATCTACCCATTAAACCCAAGACCTCTACACTCCTCATCTTCCCTCAGCGCACCTCTGATCTCTTCCTCTCCAACACCCAATCTCACCCTACCAACCCTCTCACCCCTTCTAACCTCCAACCCCACAATACCCGCCTCCGCCAGTTCTTCCGCCGCTGATCCCATACCTCTTATCCTCGCAACCTTGCCCTCTTTCTTGCCTGCCGCTCTTCCTCGTTTGCCAGGCGTGGAGATACCGGGTAAAGCAGGAATAGGTTGGAAAGTGTCGGGTGCGAGGAGGATATCGTGGAGAGGAATCAAAGAGGATAAAGCGGCCATGCGAGCGGCTTCGTCGATGATGTCGCCGAGCGTGCTTTCCGTGAGACCGGTTCTGCGGATGCGACCTAAAAGGGCGGCGAGGAAGAGTTTTGAAGCCAGGGGTAGAGAGCGTAGGTATGATGCCAACGGTGTGGAAGTCGCCTCATTGATCGCACGCTTGATAGTCGAGATCGTAACGACACCTTTTTTTGCAGCGGCAGCTTTCGCCGGCACTATTGCCGTTTCATCATCATTGGTTTCTGTAGGCTGTTCAGAAGCTGCCTGGTCTGCGGCTGCTTTATCTGATTCTGCGATTTCGACGGCGCGACGACAGATATCTAGAGCGCGGCGGGCGTCTCCTGATACAGCTGCTACTTTTCTGCTGGCGAATTGGACAGCGTCGGGTTCCACTACTACCTGTCCTATACCCTCCAATCTGCTCTCGATGATCTTAATAAGCTGTTGATGTGTGTAGCCGGGGAAAGTGATTCGCGTAAGACCTAGTCTCGAACTGATTTTGTTGCTGAGTGTGCGTTCTGGCAAGTCCATGGTGTTGGCTACGGCAAGTACGATTAGGCGAGAGTGTCGCAGTTGAGGCCAGTTGAAGAAGTTGTACATGACGCCTTGTGATTTCGTGACCAATTGGTCGAGTTCGTCCATCAAAACGACACAAGGAACTCTTCTCGGACTGGGTGTGCTGAACTCACGTTCTAGCAATTCGAGTGCATGGGTAGCGCTGACACGTTGGCCCTTGAGTGCTTCCCAGAGCAGAGAGTATGACTGATGTGGGTCTGTGACTTTCATACCGTTGATCTCGACAAAAACGAAATCATCTAGCTCGTCGGCAGACACTGCTACATTTAGTGCGGCTACAACTTCTCGTACTGTTGCTGTCTTGCCGGTGCCCGGAGTGCCAGAAATGTAGATACAGGATCCAGTACCTGCTGAAATGGCAGTCTCGAGATGTGCGTAGACTTCACCAAACTCATCTTCGCGGCAAGGGAGTGCATTTGGTACGGCGGACACGTGCAACGTGCTGCGAGCGAGCTGATGTGGCGAAGCAGTAGTATGAGAAGGGGAGAGCATGCGAGTACCCAAAGGCGTGAACTCCAGAGGCCTTTTCGCAATTATACGGCGATGTGTAGGAGTTGTGAGCTTGCGAGGTGCGGGATGCTTGCTTCTTGATGTTGGTGTCGCAGAGGTCAATTTCCTTCGCTTCCTCGGTGTGGCAGTCTCGCCATCCTCATCGTCAGGTATCACGAACTCGTCCAAGTCTCCTGGCATTGTTGCTCTGGCAGTGGATTTACGTTTGCGAGTTCGTACTGTTTGACTGTCGACCAGCTCGCAAAGAGACTGGAGATCCTCGACTCCACGATAAACGTCCTCCCAAATGAACTCATCGGTGTAGGTGGTTGTGCGAGTGTTACAGCCTCTTCGACAAATGAAGATCTTGCCGTAGTCTTTCGAGTTCTTCGGAATTTTGCCGGTTGGAAATCTTGCATTGAAACCCTCCTCGGAGAGAACTGTAGCCTTGCCATTGATAGTCTTCAATGAGTTTTCGTCCAATCCAGTAGTGATGTACAGTTCGTTCTCCAGAAAGTCGTGTCTCTTTTTTGATTTGTTGACGATTTCCTTTTCGGAAGAGAACCATAGGAAGGAAGCTTTCATATCATTGATCATTTCTCCATCATCGTCTTCAATTTCTCCTTCTGCAAAGTCCTGAACAATGGCGACCCAAGCTTCGTTTCCGGCAGCTTTCAGCAGAACCGTATCTCCAATGTGACATTCGAAGTCACCCATGCGAGCTCCGATAATGGCCTTGTTTGGTCCATAAATCCATTCCCAGGGGAGATCCTCAGTACCGAGCTCATCGTCCGAATCCTCTCGTAGCACACCTCCGCCTTGAAGGAAATGCCGTGCCTGCTCAGCTCTCGTGCGTCTTTGTTTTTGAGCCATGTTTCTGGATGTGATTTCCGTCAGTTGTATAAATCAACCCTTGCTGTCGTTCGAGACGCACGCGTGTGGATAGAACACGCCTTGTCGCGTGGCTTCGTGATGGAAGCAATCAAAGCCGAAAATGGACTTGTATGCGCCAGCGGGGTGGGAACTTTGAAGGTGTTGCTTCCAAACGTCAGAGCTGGAAATATCACGACCAATCTAGAAGATGTCGAAACCCGCAGAGCAAGGTCAACAGAGTGCGTAAATGGCTATCTTAATGCTTTGGGGAGTCGGAAAGGACAAGGAAGACTAATTGCGACGGTGTTTTCTAGTTGACCTCGGATCACTTTCTGTACAGCAACTCTCCCAAGTCAAGAAACAGCTCGATGAGGAGACACAGCACCTGACCAACTCATACGCACAATTGCGCGCCGCTCAACAAAAGTTCAAGGACTGCATCGCATCGATTGTCGCCGGTGTCGCAAACTCGGTCGCCGACAAGCCCTTACTGGTTCCTCTGACCTCTTCCCTCTACGTCCCTGGCACACTCGCAAGCACCGAGACCGTCCTAGTAGACGTCGGAACCGGATTCTACGTCGAAAAGACCACCGAGCAGGCAAAGAAGTTCTACGAGACAAAGGCTGAAGAGTTGGGAAAGAATGTCAAGGATCTCGAGACCATTGTCCAGGGAAAGAACCAGAACTTGAGAATGATCGAGGAGGGTGAGTGCACGATTGCTGTTCGAATGGAATGGACACTGCTGACACAAGTACAGTCATGCGCCAGAAGGTTCTCGCGAGCAACCAGGCTTCTGGTAGCGCATCGGCCTCGTCGTAAACAGCTTCCTCTGAGATTGATGAATACCTACCTCTCGTGACTCTCAGCAGACTAGCCGTCCACGCATAGGAAAGACACATTCTCGGCATACAGTTCATAGAACGGAAAACCCACGCAAGACCATCAGTTCATGGGAATCGCCCCCGAGCGCTGCCGCGTCATTTGATGAGAAGGAACAAACTGCTCAGAGAAGCAACTGAGCATCAGGCTCCTCACTATTCACGGGCTTATTATTGAAGATGCACAAGTCTAGCAGAGACTAACATATGCGTGTGGATTGTGGTGGCTAGTCTAGTACAGGCGACGTGAGATGCACTTCTCAGATCAACCTTCTGTGCCGTCAAATTACCTTTGGGCTATCAAGAGAGAGAGTCAAGAAATGCAATGAAACCAGAGCCTCGTCTTCAAATCGTCATCCGCACTCAGTGACTTCTTCCAGTAACTATGTCCTGCACGCGCTGCAGCACTTGCAAAAGCACAATATGACCCTTGAGCTTCTCCTGTCTGTCGTCCGAGTCCACTGGGAACCAGCTCTGGATGTCCGCCTTCCACTCCGCGCCCTTACCAACACGAAGCTCGTGGTTCTCAGCAAGTTGAGTGGACCACTGACGATGCTTGACATCGACAGTCCAGCGCTCCTCGAACCATGTGACTGCTTCCCTGCCTCCAACCGCACCCGGTGTAGGTGTGTAGCCCTTGTTGAACACTTTGGCCAGTTCTACTTCGTATCCGATGTAGGGTGCCTTCATCTCAAACCTCCAGATGATTTTCTCTCTGATAGCTCTCTTGTTGGGAAGAGGTTTTGGTATTCTCCCCAAGGTCTCAAACTCGCAAAAAGAGTGTGCGAGCCGGGCCTTCTCGGCATCTATGTTGACGTAGTAATCGCCATGCTCCCGAATCCATTGCGGAAGATGTGTAGACTCTTGCACTTTGAGCGCCGAGATGTCGAGTAGCCAGGTGAGATCAGTGACCGTGTCCGTCACACACACCTCGAGAAACCTGGTACGGCCGAAATTTCCTTCCAGCCTCTTGTACTCGGGTTCAGATTGTCTGAAGGTACCGTTGTCCTGATGCCACTTCTTTGTGATCAATACATTGCCACGACCGTCTTTGAGATCGACTTCGATTGAGGCCGTGTACTCAGGCTTAGTGTCGGCAAGGTCGTTGGTGAATCTGTCGCAGGGATCGAGTGAGTCCGTGGCGCTGAGGAACCGGTGGAGGAGGCTGTTCTCAAGCTCTTTGTCACCAAGTCTAAGGTAAAATTAGCAAATGTTTCCGCTCGTGCATTGTACAAGCTTACTCTTCGGTGACTTTGGCTCGGAAGTTGTAGGAATCTGCCAACATGTCCTTGTAGTCGGCCAGGTTGATCTGCGTGAACGGCTTGTAGCTCAGCAAGACCAGCGTACCAAGGTGGACTCTGAAATCAATGTGACCTTGGTGCCAATGAACTTTGCTCAGTGTCTGCATAACGCGATCCTTCATCAGTCTGGCATTCACCAGGACATCTTCCTGCTTCAGTATGCTGTCTTTACTCTTTGCAGTCTTTCCAAAACGTGGTTGCTGCATCCCGCCAGATGTGTAAACCAGCGGAAGGGCGTGGTCTTTGAGACTGAGTGTCGGGCAATCGTTTTGGATAAGATAAAGTCTCTGAATCGGACTGCTTTGAGCAACTACCTTGCAAAGAAGGCCCTTGATGCGGAGAAGCGCTTCTTGCACGTCTCGCACTGCGCTACCTCTGACGATGAAGGATGAACGAGAGACGTCATACTCGATATGACAATTGTTCTCCTGGCGGATCTGATTCAGACGATCGAAGTTGCGTTCTCCCAGTTCCTTCTCTGGCGAATATTCCTTGGATGGCCATACAAAAGATCCCTAATACCCAATCAGCAAAGGATCAGTGTGCTGCAAATTACACATACCATTGCTTCGAATTGAGCATCGCGAGGGGGGCCAATCGATTGATAGCGATGTTGAAATGTCGGATTGTCTTGTATGATGTTGGTCTCAAGGTCGACTTTGGCGCGGGCCACCTGACAAAAGTTAGTAACATATCGACATAACAGCAGGTAGTGAACAAGCTACATTATCAGGAGAACCCCAAAAGAAGAATTCGAACTTTTCATCGTACCAGATGGACGTATTCGTAGCACCACTGATGGTAGCAATGATCTGGGCCGGGTTCTTGATGGTTAGGTTTTTTGGGAATCTCCAGGCACCACTAGCTTTGTCGCCCCGAGCCCTCGCTGCTTGACCTTCGTTGATGCGTACAGGCTCATTGGGTCTGTTGTACTTCGGCTGCAAGGGAAGTTGCTTGTTGCGTTTGGACGGCATAGTGGATGTTGTGGTGAGGTGATCTGAGTAATGATTGAGAAGGTGGAGGGAAATAGTGCGTGCAAACGCGAAAGTGATTGTTGGTCAGATATTGAGATGTTGTGAAGGAACAAGTGAGAAGAAGGTCGAAATCCAAGCGCAAGGGAAGCTGCATGAAACCTGCATGTCGCCCCACGATCAATCACGATGTGCCTTCCTAAGTGGAATCTTCCTTTCGACAATTATGCCAACACCAGAGAACATCGTGTGTTTGAGTAGCTGGCTGAAACGATCTCTCGGCAAACTGACAGCTCGGCTGTGATTTGAGTCTGTGCCCCTGAGTCTACATTGATGAGAAAGCGTGCCCATAATAATGAAAACACAGAAAACAAGAACGACAGCATGTACAAGGCAAACAAAAATGAGGTTACTGTAAGGTCGTGGGTATCAATCGTCGTTATCTCGCCATTCTACTTGATTCTCCTGAGTTCTTTAGAACTTTTGTCTTCCTAGCGTGGGTTTCCATTCAAGCGGGTGTGTTTCAGGGGTAGCGTTTTCGTCTTCACGCCATACCTTGATGGTCTTATCGGCTTCTCCAGATAACAATCGCAACCCTGAATAAGTTAGCAATAATTCATACGAGTGTGATAATGGCCTTGAAGCGGAAGACGTACCAGTTTTGTCAAATGTACTGCTCATGATACCAGCCTCGGCGTCCAGACTACCAGGCTGAGCAATCGAGTCAAGTGATTGATATTTATAGCCAGTCTTCCAATCGAAGAATGCAGCCGAGCCATTGTCACCACCAGAAAACAAGACGTTGTCCTCATTGACCGACAAGGTATTGATGATGGCGTTGTGGCCGTCGAAGTTCTGCATGAAAGCACCTTCCGGGCATTTCCACTGCTTAACCTGACCAGTTGAAGCAGAAGCGAATGTGAACTCGTGAGGTGCTGTGCAGAGTGCTCTAACACCCTTCTTGTGATGTGTCAAGACGCCCATAGTCTTTCCGGCTGCAAGATCGTACATACGAACAGTGCTATCCAGTGAAGACGATATAATCTGTGGGTCAGCTTCCTGGGTCACGATATCGGAGACAGTTTGCTTGTGACCACTGAGCACGTGGATGTTGGATCTTGTTCGCTGTTAAGGAATTAGCACGTTGCGTTTGATATAGAGGAGGGCAGACTCACCATATCCCAAACGCGGACCACGCCATCTCTACCTCCGGTACAGAGGACATCGAGCGTAGGATGTAGACTCAAGGTGTAGACACCACTCAAATGACCATGATAATCGCGGATGACCTTGTTGGTCTCTAGATCCCAGCATTTTACTTTCTTGTCCTCGGCGCACGAGAATAGGTACGGGTGTCTTGGACTGAAAGCAAGACCGCGTACGGTGGAGATGTGGCCAGTCAAGGTGAGTTTCAGAGTGCCAGAAGCTAGATCCCAGATCTTGATTGTGCGATCGCCTGATCCAGAAGCGAAGTACTGGTTTCCAGGCTCGACAGCGAGAGCGCGAACCCATCCCAAGTGTCCAGAGATGACACGCATGAGCTTCCAGGGAGCCTTCCACTCCGGGCGTGGCTGTCTTACAACATCTCTTCGCACCATGCTAGAGCCAGGCAGATCCCTTTGTGGTGTAGGCCCGTTCGCATTAGGAGGCAGCTTTCCAGCACCATTGGCGCGCAAGGCAAGGGCATTTGAAGTTCCAGCAGTGCTCGATGGTGTTTGCGCAGAGACGCCCTCAATCATTTTTGCCATTTTGGGATTTGATGCCTGCTCCTCGGTCTTGGGCTTCTTTCTAAGAGTCGACCGTGATACGGCAGCATTCTGCTTTGCCGCAAGGGCCGGAGGTAGTTCTTTTACGTCGGCATATTCTTTATCGATTCGTGATCTCAGGGCGATCTTCTGGGCGCGTTCTGCGGGCGACGCGACTGGTGGAGCGATGGCAGGTCGAGGGAAGTTGTCCAGCGCCGAGGGTGCGCCAAAGTCGGCGGCGAATATCTCTCTGGTACGTTTGGCCGATTTGTGAACCAGATCCACCGGTACTGAGTCTGCTGTCGTTGTCATGGTTGTGGTTGATAGATGTCTCGATGCGACCTGGAGCGCAACTTTCTTGTCGAACTTCGAAGCTTCCGCTCACTCGCGACCACCTCACTTCCCCACATTTCATCATTGGATGGAAAGAGGTTGCCAACCATGGTTACTCGAGTACACCTTCTTCCTTCGACTTCTCTCAATCGTCGCCGATTGTGTTTGGGATGATGAGAGGCACTATTGCAGTGGAGAGTATTTGTTGGATAAGACAAAGTTATGCATAGATGGACAAGAAAGCTCAGTTGGCTATATTATTTACTTCATCCCAACTTCCTGCAGACATCCATCTCTAGCATTACAACGTCAGATGTATCCTCGCCTGTAGAGTACGAGGAAGGACTTCCACTGTCTCTTTGGCTGCACTCTTGGGCGCGTTCTTCGGAAGCTCCACCAGTACCCTTCTCAACGCCACGATACCCGCATGCCCGTAGTATTTCAAGAACTTTTCAACATGTGTTTCCACCAGTGCTCTAAGGACGATGAAATGTGTTGGTTGCAATTGGGCCGGCGGCGTGTTCGCAAAGTAGCTCAGTGCTCTCCAGTAATTCGTCGGTGGGAAGGGGTTTTGCATCTTCGACTTGCTGAAGTCTCGCAAGGATAAACACCCATAGCCTATAGCAAGACCTGTCATACGGACTTTGTGAAGCTCGGCGTCGATGTAGCTGTCGTCGACAAGTTGCCACCCTACTCTGGCCCTTCCCTGACGAGTTGTCTCGTCGCCGTATATGCCGAACAGCACTGGGCAGACCATGTGATATTTGGCAAGCAGAATATCGAGGAGTGAAGTCGTGTCGTTGAACAAGAACTCGGTTTTTGAGAAGACCGTAGCTACGAGAATCGCAACAGCATCGACTACCACTACATTGTCGTTACAAAACTGTTTGAGAGCGTTTTTGGCAACAAGGTTGAGTAGGTAAACAAAAGGTGCCGGCATTCGTCTCTCCACGTTGTCCGGTGGTATGGCAAGCAGAGGAGTAATGTCAATACTCGGTTCAGTAAATTGTCGAAGCTTTACGAGAAGCTCTAATATCTTCTTGACCTATGCACAGATAGTCGGTCAGTAAACGCGCTGTCGATTTAGCCTTCCATAAGACTGCAAACTTACCACTGCCCTATTGCTGACTTTGTCGACAGTGAATTGACCCATCAGCATGTTGAGCTTTCGACGATAGTCTCCGATGTCTGTGATGCCATACGAAGGGTTCTTCTTGCATTGTTGCAGAGTATTCCGTCTCACTTCCTTCAGACGCTTGTGAATAGTGAGATACTGTTTGTGCAGAGCTTCCAATTGCGCGGGTGTGGACTTGAGTGGTGATGCAGCAGCTGCTGTTGTGGTGGCTGTGGAGGGTGTAGTCGAGGCTGCCTGGATCGAGGGTTGTGCTACAGGCTGGGTCGTAGGGGCAATGCTTGGTTGGGTAGCAAGAGTCTGAGCAGGCTGAACTTGGGGAGGCTGAGCTTGTGATTGTCCGTTGACTGGTGCTTGTGCTGGTTGGGCCGCTGCTTTTGTGGCAGCAGCTGCAGCTGCAGCGGCAGCGTCTGCTTCTTCCTTTGCCTTGCGATCCGATGCTTCCTTCTCTTGATTCCTGCGCAAAGCGTCTGCCTCATCCTTCTGTCTCTGTTCCGCAAGGCGCGCCTGCCTTTCCTGCAATTCTTTCTCCTCCGCAGCACGCTTCAATTGCTCCTGCTCTTGTCGTTCAAGTTCGTCCTTCCTCCTTTGCCTATCAGCAGCTTCTCTCGCAGCCTTTGCGGATCGCTCAGCCTCGAGCGCGCGATGTGCCTCCTCTTCTTTCTGTTTGCGCTCTCGTTCCAGCTTCAAGGCTTCAATCTCGGCAGTCTCGATAGCATTCCTGAGGATACGTTCATGTTCCGCAGCCGCTTGCGCAAGAGCCTGTTGGTGAAGTCGTTCTTGTTCGGCGTCCCTTTCGTCCTGTTGCTGTCTCCAGGCGCGTTCTTCGTTGATGTGTAGCGTGCCGAATTCCTCTGCTAGTACCTCGGAGCGACGAGGACTATGACGATAAGGCGAATTGTGGCTCCTCTTAGATTGAACGTAAACATTGCTTCGCGGTGTTTGCGACGCCGGACTGGCTGTGCCAGCTCGCTCCCTGCGAGGAGTTGCCATTGTGGTATAGGGATGTGGAAAGGCTGTAAAGCTTGAGTTTCAAGACCAAGGGACGGCAATTGAGGAAAGGGACCTCAGACTGTAGCACAAGGCAAGGAAGAGTGACTATGTCGTAGTGAATGGCATGCTCAAGATCATAGAAAGCAGTGAAGGGTAGAGGCGCGAACTGCTATCGAAGCATCAAAAGTTCACAAGCAAAGCGATGCTCCTGCTCCAGCTTTTCGAGTCATGAAACCTTGCCGGCAAGCGACAAAGAATCAGGCCCAAGCTCCCAAACTCCGGCCTGCGGGACAGAACCAAAGAATCGAAGGACCGACTTCAAGCTATTGCTCACTTCATGTCAATGTATACCAGGCAGAATGGCGTCTTGAAGAGGCACAATTGTGTAAGTTGCATCATAGAATGAGAGAACCGGGTCTGCACACAGACAATACGACCGATCCGCCTGGCTATTCTTATCCATCCTAGTCTAACAGGTTTAACAAAGGTCTCATCGCGTAATCCTGCTGTGCAAACGGCCTGGTATCCGGTCACGCTTGGCGGCACAGCTATACGGAAGTCTGTCACGCATGAAACTGTAGAGATGCACGATACTCTTGGAAGAGGTGGAGTAGCTCGTGCAGAATGGCCACGTAAGGCGACCTCTTCAGATAAGCCTCTGACTTGGAGAGAATTGTGCAATTTGATAGATAATAACCTACCAAATGACTATTGAGATGCAGAGTCAAAGTGACAAACTTTAGCACATGGGAAGAGTGCCCGGGCAGCGAGAGATTGGATGCTGCTGCTGTTGGATGAAAGGCATCATGCCGATTGATTGAACATTTGACGTGCAGCCCAAGCAGACGGAGGCTCACGGGAAGACCAACGAGTCTAGTGCTTCAGGTGTAATAGATAGATGGGACACCCGCAAACGTGGGCAGGTCTTTGTCCAAGGAGTCCAGCTGTCCACGAATCGAAGCGGCATGACGCAGATAATACTGTAGCCCTCTCCACGTCCAACACCTCCTCCCGCCTTTCTCCTTGTGCTTTTTCTGGATTCCATATCTACCTTCTTCCACCCTTCACCTTCCACCCTTCCTTCCCTTTCGGTAACACACGCCTGCCTTCTCTAGTCTCTTCAATCATTTCGAGACTTGGAAGTGGAAAGAGCCTTGATCCCGCCCGCCCAACGCTTCTTGCTTTTGGGGAAAGCACGACCTCTCAGGCTCGTCAGCCGAAGCCCGTCCAGGCTTCATCGGTCTTTTCGTCGACAGACACCACCAACACACACTTACACTCCATACCATCATCTTGCTTGTGGCACCCGCCCTCCTTTAGAAGCAGCTCATCATCTGGCATCTCAACTCTTCCTGACTCTATTGCCACCTACACTCACAGAGACTCGCTCCTACTTGTGCCGTCGTCGTCGTTGTCATAGCTTTGCGCTAGCTCCGAGGTCCACATCACCAAGTTTAGCTGCTCAAGTTAACTACCACTCCCTCTCGCGTGTCAGGTACCTTTGCATCATCTCTGTTGCGCCCGCACTCATTTCTGACGCCTGTCCTGCAGATAGCCTAGTATCATCAAGCTTCTGCCAACCACCCCACCACTGTCGTCTGACATCCTTCCGCCATCCTTCCACGCCGCCCAGTCATCCTTTTGACCAAGCGACAATGGACCAACACGGACAGAATGGCCCTTCCGGCCCTGGTGGTCGTCGCCTCCACATTGCACACAGACGTAGTCCTTCTGAGCTCACTCCCCTAATGAGTACGTTGTCCTTCCACCCCGTTCTCGACCCCACTGCGCTTGTCTATCGCAATGGCCTTTCTGACACTCTCACAGTGGAGCAACTCGCTCTTGCTCAGCAGATTGAACTTCTCCAACAGCAACAGCAGCAGATCGCCGCGACTCACCAACAGTACGTCAACCTGGGCATGATCCAACCCCAGCAACAACTACCCAACCAAGCATTCGCCCAGATGCAGGGCCAGATGCCCAACCACAACTTCCAGTTCCCCCAACAACAGCAACAACAGCAGCAGCAGCATCTGCAGTTGCCCGGCTCTATGGGCCCGCCCGCAGGCCACCGCCGTAACCAGTCCGCCATGCCCAACATGACCATGGGTCCCCCACCTGCTCCTTCAGCCGGTTCTTCCGGTACATTCGGGGAGTTCAGCTTCCCTGGCGGTGCAAAGTCGGAAAATGTCAACCCCAGACCCCGCAACAGCGGTTCAGTCAGTGGTGGCAGTGGTCACAGCAGAAGACACTCGCTCGCTCTGCCCGAAGCAAAGAAGGCTGCCGAGATTGCCGAGCAGAAGCGCAAGCAGTCAGGCTTCCAGTTCCCTATCCCTGGTGCCGCTGGTGCCACCCCTGACCGCTCCGTGAGCCCCGGTAATGCCAACAATGACATGCCACCCCCTGCTAACAACTTCTCTGCACGTAACTCCGGTCGCGGTGGACACGGACGTAGTCAGAGTCTGGCCGTTGGCAATCAGAGAAATCAGCGTGGTGGCCCTGCTTTCCAGTTCCCGCCCCCTGGTGAGATTAACAATGTTCCTGAACGCCGTGGTAGCCAGGGTCATGGAAGAACTCAATCACGTAACTTCGATGGCAACTGGCGTCAGCAGCAGCCGACCATCCAGGAACAGCATGCTACCAACATGGGTAACTTCCAGATGAACCAACACGCTGGGGCCCAGCCATTCCAGCCTGGCCACCGTCAACGCGGCTCTGTCAGCAGCCAGTCGATCAGTTCGATCAGCAACTTCCAATTCCCCCAGCAGCCTCAGCTTGTTCAGCTTCCTCAAGGACAGGTTCTCATGCAGCCGAACATGTTCGCTACCCAAAACTTGAACGCTCTGCAACTGGCTCAGATCCAGGCTTACCAGGCCGCCGGACTTCAGCCCCCAATCGCCGGCCTGCAAGGACAGCAAGGTGGTCAGCAGATGACCATGCAGCAACAGCAGCAGCAGCGCAAGACTCTCTTCACCCCCTATTTGCCTCAGGCTACACTCCCCGCTCTGCTTGGCGATGGACAGCTCGTCGCAGGTATCCTCCGTGTCAACAAGAAGAACAGAAGCGACGCCTACGTCACCACTAACGACCTCGACGCTGACATCTTCATTTGTGGTAGCAAGGACCGCAACCGTGCCTTGGAAGGCGACCTTGTTGCCGTTGAGCTCCTTGACGTTGACGAGGTCTGGGGCCAGAAGCGCGAGAAGGAAGAGAAGAAGAAGCGCAAGGACATGACCGATAGCCGCGGTACGTCCATGACCGCTGTCAACGATGCTACCACTCAGCCGGAATCCTCCGCTGCCGAGGGAGGTATCCGTAGACGTGGTAGCTTGAAGCAACGCCCCACCCAGAAGAAGAACGACGACGTTGAAGTCGAAGGTCAGAGCTTGCTCCTTATGGAGGAGGATGAAATCAACGACGAGCAGAAGCCCCTCTACGCCGGTCATATTGTGGCCGTCATCGAGCGTGTTGCTGGTCAGATGTTCTCTGGTACCCTTGGTCTTCTTCGTCCCAGCAGTCAAGCCACCAAGGAGAGACAGGAGGCTGAGCGCCAGGGTCGCGATGGTGGAAACCAGCGCAACCAACCAGACAGACAGCAGGACAGACCCAAGATTGTTTGGTTCAAGCCTACCGACAAGCGTGTGCCACTGATCGCCATTCCTACCGAGCAGGCACCCAAGGACTTTGTTGAGAAGCACCAGGACTACGCCAACAAGATTTTCGTCGCATGCATCAAGCGCTGGCCCATCACCTCCCTTCACCCCTTCGGTACTCTTGTCGAGCAGCTGGGTGATGCCGGTGACCTTAAGGTGGAGACCGATGCTCTTTTGCGTGACAACAACTTCGGCCCTGACGACTTCTCTGATGCTGTCCTCAAGAACGTTGGTTACGAGGACTGGTCCGTGGCCAAGGATGGCGAGGCCGCTCTGGAATCTCGCCGTGACTTCCGTAACGAGCAGACCTTCACTATCGATCCCAACGGAAGCGAGGAGCTCGACGACGCAATTCACTTCAAGACTCTTAGCGATGGCCACGTTGAGATTGGTGTTCACGTTGCTGACATTTCTCATTTCGTCAAGCCTTCATCTATGGTTGATCGTGAGGCCAAGAAGCGCGGTAGCGGTGTCTATCTGATGAACCGCACCGTCAAGATGCTTCCTCCCAAAATCAGCTCCGAGATATGCTCTTTGAGTCCTGGTGAGGAGAGATACACTGTCAGTGTCGTCTTCAAGATCAACCCTGATACTGGTCGTGTCCTTGACGAGGACACCTGGATTGGCAAGGCAATCATCAAGAGTACTGGAAAGGTCTCTTACGACCAGGTCGACAGTATCGTCAACGGACAAGGCAACTCTGGCCTCGAAGGCGAACGTGCCAGTCAGATCCAGCAGCTTCACAGCATCTCTCAGAAGTTGCGTCAAGCCAGATTTGGTGATGGTACCACCAACAACCAACCTCTCCGCTTGATCTACCAGCTGGATGACGAGAACGTGCCCGTCGAGCACAACATATTCGACTCTTCCCCTGCTCATGAGTTGATCGAGGAATTGAGCCACAAGACGAACTCCTTCGTTGCTCAGAAGATTTTCGCTGGCTTGCCTGAGAAGGCCTTGTTGCGTAAGCAGGCTCCACCCAACCCCCGTCGCTTGGTGACTTTGAGCGAGCGCATGGCCAACATTGGCGTCGACGTGGACACTTCCAGCAGTGGCGCCCTGCAGAACAGTCTCTTCCAGATCGAAGATCCCGATGTCCGCAAGGGTGTTGAGACTCTTCTGATCAAGGCCATGCGTCGTGCGAAGTACTTCATTCCTTCCAAGTCTCCTGCAGACCAGTACCCCCACTACGCCCTTAACCTGCCCTTGTACACCCACTTCACAAACCCCTCGCGCCGCTACGCTGATATCGTTGTTCACCGTCAACTCGAGCACGTCCTTACCAACGGTGCCGTGGAATTCACCGAGGATGTTGAAGCTTTGGCAAAGACTGCCGAGACCGCAAACACCAAGAAGGACTCGGCTCACGCTGCACAGGAACAGAGTGTTCACATCGAGTCTTGCCGCGCACTTGACAGAAAGAGTCAGGAGCTTGGTGGCGACCTCATCAGCGAGGGTATCGTTCTTTGTGTCTACGAATCAGCCTTTGATGTGTTGATTCCCGAGTATGGCTTTGAGAAGCGCGTACACTGCGACCAGCTTCCCCTGAAGAAGGCCGAGTTCGACAAGAACAAGCGCTTGCTTGAGCTCTACTGGGAGAAGGGTGTCCCGTCCTCGGCCTTCGTCCCCGAGGACGAGAAACCCAAGGCTAGCCGGGCTAACAACTGGAACGCCGCCGCAGCTGCCCGCGACTCTGCTGCAACTCGCGCCAAGGAAGAAGAGGCTCAGCGCAAGCAAATGCAGACCGCAACCATCTCCACTGACGACGCTGATGCTCTCTTTGATGACGATGATGACGCTGTCTCCGAGATCACTGAACAGGCTGCCGGCGTGTCTCTCAACACAGATCGCAACACTCAGAGTATGCCACCCTCGCCCACTCGCAACGGCATCTCTTCTCAACATGGACCTCAGCGCACAAAGTCTGACTCGAAGATCCTCCACACCACTCCTGAAGCCAAGCTCAGCAACAAGGATAAGTACCTGAAGCTGTTTAGCCTTCGCGAGTCGGATGGCAACTACATCCAGGACGTCAGAGAGATGTCGAGGGTGCCGGTCATCCTTAAGACGGACATGACCAAGAGTCCTCCGTAAGTTCATTCATCAACAAAGATAACCGTACGATACTAACATGTTTTGCAGATGCTTGACCATCAGATCCCTCAACCCCTACGCGTTGTAAAGGACTGGCTGATGCCCTCTTTGCAAAGCTTGGAACGAGTACGAAGACATTGTACGCTTGCTCTGATGCAATCATCAATACCTTTGCCTGATGCTACTTACACAGGGCACTCTTGCATATGTATCAAAAAGAATTCCACAAAAGCCCATGAACACTAATTTGGGACGAAAAAAATAAAATGAAAGAAAATCACACAAAATGAGCGGAGGCAGGTGGTGAAGTGGACTGTAGATGGACGAGGATCTTGGACGACCCAAAGCGATGTTTCATTTTTCTTATGGTTAATTTCTTATTGATTAGAGTACTCTTTCATCACCTGCTTCCGATGAGCGTGTTGTATTTTGTAGTTTAACAGCGAAATTGATATACATTAATCATCAAATCTGGACTTTGACCATGGCCATTCCCACTTGACGTCCGGCAAGGCTCTCTCAGCAATGATGTCCCACTGGTCAATCGGCTTACTCGTGTCGACCAAGACAATGCTACCTCCCTTGGCGACTGTACCGTCATCGTGGGATTCGACACTACGGCCAGCTTTGCGGCAGTCTTCCTGCAGTTCATCGACATGCTTCTCGACGTCGGACTTGGGCAAGTCGGCACTGGCTAAATCTCAGCATGTTTGTGAGTCAGTCAACAGAATACATGTCAGACGTACTACATCAGAGATAGATGAGGCAAGTAATCGTTCTTGGCCCATCGTTCAGCCTTTCCCTTATCGCCTCCTTCAACGGCCTCTGCACGGCAAGCAGCAGCGAGCTCCAACAATTGACCATTCTTTACAGCCCTCAAGGTCAATTTCTTGACAAAGGCATCTCCAGGTTCCAGCACATCCAATGTTACGAAGATGGGGTCAAGTTGGTCTGCAGAAGGTAGATGCAATCCTGAAAGCCAAGCCTGAGGATCAGAGCCACATATAGACTGATCGATATTTGAAGTTATGGTGACGTGAGGGATGAACTCGTGGGTTTTGGTGTTTGGAAAGTGAGGGGGTATGGTGGTGGAGATGAGGGTTTGGAGAGCTTTGTAGAAGGAGCTGTCCTTGGGAGGGACGATCCAGAGAGATGAGCCGGGCATATTGGACAATTGAAGTGAGATGTTGAATGTGATTAGAATTGAACAAAGCAGTCCAGAGGTCAGAAAAGACTAAAGCGACCAAGTCGTGATGCCATGATGGGGTGGTATAGAGCTAGCTCGGCACGTGATATGTGGAAGCGGGAACTTCGCAGGGCGGGTTGGCGTCTTCGGGCTTGGACAGGTCGAAGCTGTTAAGTTTATTGACCGCGCACGAAAACCTACGACACGAACGAATCGAGTAGATTGAACCGGATAGTTATTGTCGCGGATATCTCTGGATGAACCAAGCGTGTTTTTGAGTGAAAACGACCCTCTTCACATGGATTGAGACGCGACAAGACAACACGCACGACTTGGTTGTTACACCTCCACACGCTTTACACAGCACTATACCAACGACACCATGTCGGCTTTCTCATTATCGAGGACCGAGAGTCCACAGGCTTTCGTGTCTAGTTTTGCGCCGCGTGTTCGTACATACCAGAACTCGCTGCTAACACCGGCACTGCAACCACAAAATGCCATCGCGCCTTTGCGCACGACAAAGCGCGGTACTACCGCCATCAACTACTCCGAGGACCTCGAGACCGATAGTCTCGTAGAAGACAGCGATGCTCCGCGACGACCCACCGGCCTGCGCAGTCTGCGCCAAAACGAGTCGCAGACAACCGTCACAACTGGAGCGGTTCAGTCGACTGAACTGACGAACCCCGTCGACGTGCAAGGCATCTGGCGCGAATGGATGGGCAAGCCCAAGAAGGCAATGACAGAAAGACAGGTCATGCTGCAAGCACAACTCCCTTTCAACCTCGTACCCATCCGCATCGACCTGAGCGTCAACCCTTTCCAACCAGAGGCACCTCTACCCAAGCCCAACAATGCGCGCGAACTTGGCGTCGACGAGAACTCGCCCGCATACAAGGCCCCAGACATGACACCCGAGTTCCGTATCAAGGACAGCTTTCTGTGGAACCTACACGAGTCTCTCATGACACCCGATCAGTTCGCAAAGGTCTTTGTCGACGAATTGGACTTCCCTCTGGAACGCCGTCCCGCTCTGGCCCTCCAGGTATCTCAGCAAATTCGCACACAGCTCGAGGAACACGCTGCCGTTGTTATGCACCCGCTGTTCAACCCTACACCCACCACCGACACCCGCCCCATCTCGACTCGCCCTCCCCTCTCGCGCGAAGTTTCCTCTACACCCTTCGCAAACACTCCCGCTGCACAACAACCACAGACCAACGGCGTCAACACTCCCAATGTTGCCCAAACACCCTTGCCTAACGACGCTAATGTATCCGCCGTTGCGCAACCTCTACCTCCTTCCTCCGTACACAGCCCCGACGACGCCTACCGCTGCATCATCTCGCTCTCGATCAATCTTATGAATAGACTTTACACAGACAAGTTCGAGTGGTCCCTCATGCACCCGCCTGGCTTCCCCGAAATCTTCGCCAAACAAACTTGCGCCGACCTTGGTCTGTCAGGAGAATGGGTGCCTGCAATGGCTCATGCTATATATGAAGCTGTCCTGAAGCTGAAGAAAGACTACTGTGAGAACAATGGCTCGTTGCTTGGTGTTATTGGCAGTGGTGTTGATGCTTGGGGTCAAATTGACAATGAGGCTGCTGAAGTACACGGTGATGGCGCACTCGCAATTGGAGAAGCAGCTGGATGGCGTTTTGACAACGAAGACTTGGGAGCTGAATGGCAACCACGCGTGGAAGTCTTGAGCAAAGAGGAGATCGAGAAGCGTGAAGGAGACCGCGAGCGCCAGATCCGTAGAATGAGACGTGAGACGGCTGCGCGTGCTACAAACGCTGGGTTTGCACCTCCGGCTGCATTGGGCAACGACTACTTTGGCACTCCAGCCGGCGCTGGCGAGGAAGAAAGAATGGGCAGAGGCGAGAGAAGCAAGAAGAAGAGGCGCTTCCGCAGTCTCAGTCCAACGGGTCGTGAGACACCCGACTTCACAGCTGCCTTTGGTGGCGAGCAGGGCAAGTTGACCGAGTCAGAGCGTCCCGTCTGGCAATGCAATCACTGTCGTATCGGTGGAAGTGCCGTCTGGGCTGTGCGTGACGGACCTCAAGGACCTAGAGTAAGTGCTTGCAACTAAGTATGACTGAGCTGCCACTGACAACATATTCCAGACACTCTGTAACAACTGCGGTCTCCTTTACGGACGCGACAAGCGTCTGCCACCCTGGGCAAAGGACCTCTACCTGATCGAACAACCCAAACCCAGCAGGTAAGCCTCATATTCCTCTCCTTAACTCTCGCATGATTTGACTAACATGAAATCCACAAGACCCGACCCACCACCACACTCACAACATCACACCCCTATGCCCCACACACCCTCTGGCTTCGTCCCCAACATCCACCGCCTACAGCCATCCCAAAACGCCCTCCACGCCTCCTCCCACAGTCCCCATCTCCGCCAGCAACTCTCCGACATGCCAGACGTCTACGCCGCCACCGTCCGCGGAGGAGGCCCCTCCATGTTTGAAGACTACGCCGTGGAAGGCGAAGATTTGGACTGGACCAAAGTCACCGACCCACGCGAGAGAAAGAGATTGCAGAATATCATCAACGGCAGAAAGTATAGGGAGAGGAGGTTGGCCGCTGAAGCTGCCGCTGCCGTGCATTCGGGTGCTAGTCCGGCACCCATGCGATAGACGGTTGAATGCTTTTCTTGACGCACGGGTGGGAAGAGCACCGAGATCAGATAATGATAGTGGACAAAAAGGGCGGGTTTTTTAGAGATTCCTTTTTCTTTTCTTTGCTATTGGCTGCATTTCTTGGAAGAGGGAGGCACGAATTGCTAATTTCACGTCTCTTTAGATGGGAAAGGCACACACTCTGATGAAAGATGGCCTTTTAAGGGTTTGATCAGTTTTTATTTTCTGGCTAGCATTATTAACCAATACCACTCATGCCACACACTTTTTTTTTCTGCGGGAAATTATCGATACCGGTTTCGAAAACAAAAAAAGAAAACTCCGGATCAAAGAATGGTTGTCGGCGATGGGTTTACTAATAAGGAAGCTAGCTAGCACCAAATTCGTCTCTTTGAGATGTGGTTATCAAAAATGGTCTCCAAGGGTGTAAAGACGAGCAGTTCCATCGCTTTCGAAGCAAACTTACAGCGCACTTTTTTCGCCGGGTGTTCGAGTGGCTCGGCTCTGTGAGTGCAACTGAGATCGTACCGTCGCTCTCTCTCTGGACGTTGTTGCGACCTAGAACATCATCCTGCATTCTCGTGGCAAATGGCGAGGGCCATCTTTGGCAGGGTTGGAAAGTTCGATTCTGGTGCGGATTGGTGTTTCCATCGTAGCCGTGGTGCGTCGGGCCAATGTGTAATAGGCGAGTCCAAATGCTTTCGTAGCCCACCTCTGAGCAAAGCTGGTTGGACGTAATATCGGGATTTGACTGTCGGATTGTTGCTTGTATAGTTGCTTGTCTGGGGCGTCAGAATCACATGTACTATTACATGGCCATCGCTCAATAAAATCATGAGTGCTTGTTCTAGAAAGTCGCTGTGATACCAAGAAACCCAACTGAAGCTGGCTAGAAACGAAGGCATAAGCGCCATAGCTTTCTTGGTTGACAACTACAACGTCAGATTGTCTACCCCTTCGGCTACCAAGTAGTTGGATCCAACCAAAAACCTTTCTACTGTCCTTCGTCTTGTCCGTGTGCCTCGGTACCGTGGAAAGCATCACCGAATGCGGAATTATCCATGCTGAAATCAATGTCCTCGCCTGCGCCGCCATCAAAATCAATCAGACCATCACCAGTGTCAAATTCGCCAAAGTTCGCATCTCCACCGCCGTAGAGATCACCACCGCTTGTTTGGTTTGATGTGTCCGGTTGCGGGTTGGCCTGCTGTTGTGGTTGTGACGGAGCTTGCTGCTGTTGGCCTGGCCAGTTTGAGGTGCCCGGGGTCTGAACATCGGTTTTGGGAGTGTCGAAGTTGAAGTTACCGGTATCAAGTTCCATGTCATCTGGTAGCGAAAAGTTGCCGGTATCCATTGTCTCCATGTTCTCCATGTTTGTGTCCGGTACACTAGGAGCAACAGATTGTAGGTGTTGTTGCGGAGGGACTTGCGGAGCAGCGGGCGCTTCTTGAGTAGACAATTGCGGTTGCTCTGACTGTAGCAATGGAGCTGGGGCAGGTTCGGCAGAAGCGCCTGAAGCGGACTGCAGAGATTGGGCTGCGTCTGAACCGGCGCCGTCCATCTGCGTACCAGCCATGTCCATGTCTGCAGGTGGCGTTCTCTTCTCCTCTTTACGGTAACCTCCTTCGCTGACCATGGTAGCTTCTTTTTGTGCTTGAATCGATCCACCAAGGAGTTCCTCGACTTGCTCAATGATCTGAGTGGCATCCTGGTCATTTGTCTTTTCCAGTCTCCAGAACTCGGCCGTCGACCCTGAGGGCTTCCATGAAGCGTTTCTCAATTTCTTCTCGGCCTTGACCAAGCCCTTGCTCTTGCGGAGACTGTCCATTCTTCTGGCGTGTTCTTCCTTCATGCGCGCAATTTCACTTTGCTCCTTCTCCTTGTGTGCCTGAACGCGCTTTTCAAACTCTTGCAGTTGCTCTGATGAGATTTTCTTGTATGCAGCGGATGTGTCCTTTGCCTTAGATTCGGCCTTCTCCAGTGTTGAATTGGGTGTGTCGAACAAGCCTTCAGTGAGGCCAGCCAGTTCACCCATCAAGCCGAAACCAAGATCCATAGGAACGATTTGACCCGTCGCGAAGGGAGAAGAGTAGACCTCGTCCATCCAGTCATGATGTTGCATGTAGCGAGTCAAACTGATGTCGCGTTGAGTGAGGTGATCAAGCAGGTCTCCAAGAAGCACGTTTTCTTCGTCCTCGATGCTGGTGTCTTGAGCCATCAGAGCAGCAGCTGAGGCAGGAATATGGGCAGGGGCGTGTTGGCGCGCGCGCTTAGCAGGCGAGGGACCGGTATGGCCTTGCTGGGCTTGTTGGTAGAAGTTGCCAGAGAAGCGAGGATTGCCAATGTGAGCCATGGGGCTTTGTTGGTATGCGGATTGGTTGTATGCGGGTACACCAGGAACAGCAGCGCGGCCAGGCATGTTGAGCTGGGGCCACTTTTCGCGGTCGTGCAACATAAAGTCCTGTCGGTCGAGGCGGCCCTGGGATTCAATCCACTGACGTTCGGCCAATTGCTGGCGGGATTGAGGAGACAGAGGGAGTTGTGAGGTGGGAAAACAGTGTTGAGGGTCAGCCTGGCTGTAGTGAACAAGCCAGAGACTCGGGTCCGGAGGTAGAGCGTGGACGGTAGGGTTCTTGGACATGAATCGGTATCGTCGACGAGCATGACAGGTTACGCTGTCTGCTCCAGGGCGGTAACCGCTGTTGTGTACGGCGACCTCTAGTGTCTGGCACATATTAGCGACTCTGTCAGTGGAACTGGAAGTGTATGCGACGCACATAGCCTCCAAAGTCTTGAGTGAAGCGCTGCTCGGGGTCGACCCAGACATAGCCGTCTGTAGGGAATTGATTCTGCATGCGACCGCCGATCCAGGTCAAGAAGACAGTGCCGTCCTGTGGAGCACTAATGTACTGCCACGACATGGGAGCCACTTGCTTGACGACCTTGGGCGCATCGAAGAGATACGTGTAGGCGCCATCGATGTTGAGCTGCGGGGAGAAAGGATATTTGTGTCCAGAGATGAGATGCACATGGGGCAACTATCAGTCGCATGTCAGTTTCAACTACAGGTTACAAGATGCATATTGACGACTGACAAGTTGAGCAGGCACTCCGAAGCTGGGGTCTGCCATGCTGGCTTGCATGCTTGAACGCGTCGATGCGCCGGTCGCTCTGGGTAGAGAATGAACGGTGGAAGCCCTGGGTGAGAAAGTATTATGTTCACTTTGAGACGGCGACACGAGATGCGCCTCTGGATTGAATTGAAGATGTGCTCTTTTGATGATGCCCCGGCCTCATTCACATGAACTTGGAACGCGTTCAACACGGTCGGCCTGGCAGAATCGCGCCAAGCTTTCTGCTTACATAAGCCGCCGTCCCGCAGCACACCTATAAAACTTCTCGTCCCCTCGCGCTCCAGCTTTCTTCGGGCATCCAAGTGCACGGGCTTAACGTATACCAGTGAGGATTCGTCCGAGGTTATGTTTTTGCTAGTTGAAAACTATCAACTGACTGCTCTTCATGGACTCACGTTCGTGAAGGAATTTTTGGAACCAAACAACACTCTTGTTACCACTCTTTTTTTTTTTCATTGATGCTTTCGCTGACGCGAGACATTGAAGAAGAAATATCGAGTTCTGCTGACCATCCTCGATGTAGCTTCGAGCCATCTCCCACGATCCCGACTGTAGCTTCGAGCCATCTCCCACGTTCCCGACTGTACTCACCCAGGCTGTAGAAATGCACAATGTTTTTGAGCTTGGTCCGTTCATGCGCAGAGACGCGCTAGATGTTGGGCTCTCATCGGAGGCTATCTCTAAGATGGAAATAATTGTGCATTGCTCCAAGACGCATACCCGGAACACCCAGAGACCGCGTGCACTTCATCGAGATGTCTGATATTCGCCATCGCACCTTCCTGGGCATAAATTCGTGCTGCACTCTGACACTCTGTTGTCCAGCTTGCCGGCCGTAGGTGCTTCCCACGAACATCATCCGTTGTTTTGATTAGCACCATCAATTCAAGGTCATTACCATTGTTCATCTACTATTTTATTCTCACGTTTTCGCTACGGGCAACTTGCCGGCAGCAAATTATCATGGCACCCGGGCCGCCTCCCTTCGGCTACACTTATCATCTCAGATTGCCTCCGAACGTTCGCCCCAAGACCAACCACACTGTCACCAGCGACTCCTTTGAGGACTCCACTCATTACACCAGACCGCCTTTGAATCTCGAATCTTGGGTCAATCACAATGTCAACACCACCCCATCGTATGAAGAAGCAGACGAAGCAACACTGGCTCTGACTCCGACTTTGCCTCTTCCCTTAGCCTAGATGGCGTCTCCATGGGCTGGGTTCCATGACTCTTACTTCATACTGGAGTATGATGTGAGCCCATGGTTTGTGCATAAAGTTGTGGATGAAAACGGAAATATCACGACAGTACGAACTCGACGTTACTCTCTGCATCACCAATTCGAATCCGGGACGCTGACGAACCCACTGCCGTATTCATCAAGGCTTGACCCGACGCCGCTCTACAGTATTGTATCAAAATGGATGGTCCTGATTCATCGCCCAAGCGATCCTCTGAACAACACCCAGAACTCTTTCCTCCACTTTTGGGTGTTCCCTGCAAGGGCCTGGCTTGGTCGTGACGATTGGTTGGACTTTCAATACACCAGCATGTTCATTGTCACAGATGTGACATACATCTTGGCATTCGTGTCGCTCCTGATCCAGGACAAGAAAAGTATGCCCATCGACCTTGAGTTCGGAGCTTACAGCATTCGACTCCAGGCCGTGTTGAGCGAACGAGCACGTGCTTTCCAAACACCTGTTTCGGAGACGCGTGGTCGTCTGAATATCTTTCCGACATACCAAAACCAGAATGGACGTACAAGGAAGGTTCTTACACACGGAGACAGCGCGGACCTGTCGATGATTTCGAGTCTTCAGTGGTGTAGATGGTTTCCATGAGTTATCAATATTAGTTAGATCACACCCCTCTATTCACTTCTGTTTATTCGTACCATCAACACCGAAATTACATTGTCTTTCACTATGAGCTTCGAACGAGACCTGTATCTAGTGAGAGCGTATAGACTAGCTCGTCTCTGTAGACGAATCTAGGAGACCAACAAGATCGTGCACTCCTGCAGCCCTGACATTCGAGAGACGATCGCATGGGGATGGTAAAGGTGACAGGATATCGCATGGTTGTCAATTTGGAAGGCAACATTGGCCCTCGTGCGAGTTCCAAGATGCATGTGTCTCTCCTCTACCACAAGAAACGTCGTATGGATAAACAGCATGACCTCCTTGCATAACAATATTTGGCGCTCGTTCTCATTGCAGGTGACCCGAACTCGGTTCGCGGAAAACCGATACATTGGAATATCCATCAACCTCTGCTTGGAAGAAGCGGGTCCATTGTTCGTGGCCAAAGGGGGCTGCGTAGAGAAGTTACCTCGCATCACACACATGGCCTGACCATTTGTATCACCATACGGAGGCCTTGTGATGCTGGATCAGCGACTTGTTCGATGTCGATCGTTTTTCGAATCCAAGCCAGGGCGTGGAAGTATCGGCAGTTTTTACTCTATGCCTTGCGAGTTCACGAGGAGGATTGTCTCGATGGCAGCGGAAATATTCATCAGTTTGTATGCCGGTCGGAAGCAAGAGAAGAAACTAAGCAGATGACAGATGCACGAAACAACGACTCAACTCAATAGCACAGACAGCCACGCACTCCCGTATGTATTTATGGCATGACAGCGTCAAGAGTCAAGTTCAAGCGAGAGCCGACCTGGTCCATGTCGAAAGCCATCTCGCAGATCAGGGTGGAAAGAGATGCTGTATCCGGGCGCGCGTCTGTGCGACAGTCGCTACAAGTACAGTGGGAGGAGGCGCAAGCAATCAGGTCAAATGGTCAACTCATCTCTCCAATTCTCAAATCGGCCATGATTCATATTTCCAAGTGTCTCAGACATCCTCTTTCGAGAAGCTTTCCTCGTGCGACACAGAAACCAAGAGATGGCAAGTCCGAAACAGCGAAGCGAAATGAGTTTCCAGAAGAGGCTTCGCTGATTGGAAGGTGCGGCACAAGCTTGGCTTTCGTGCAATGCAGGCAGGGCAGGACACCCACATCTCTTCCTTCCACTGCTCCATGACCAAACAACCATTTTTCAAAGCACTAGCTACATGCGTGTCAAATTGCGTCTCAGGTGCAAGGTACCCTCGGCTTTGGTCACACTAGCAAGCTACTTTCGGCAGTCGCCCTATTTGGGATGCGCGATGAACGTATGGTCCAGCCTAAGGGCTAACTCTGCGACCACCGTCTCACAATCAGACCTTCCTAGTCACGCTTCCCGTATGTAGTCTGTACGCATGCACTGAGATTCATGGCTTTCGCATGCCCAACGTTCGTATACGCACCGTGCTCTCTGCGTGCCTGGCGATGGTCTTCACGGCGCTATCGTGATCTTCGATCATCCATTCCGGGAAGTCAGCCACTATTTATCTCCACCACCATCTCTCTGAGATCTACCACTATACATACTTATAGTCCTCCCCTATCCTTTTCTTTTCCCTCGACTGACAGGAGCGACCCTTCTGCTGCAGTTTCCCTTGTTTGCCATTTCCGTTCCCTTGCATTCTTTCGTTCAACCCAACCTTCCCAGCCGTCCCACTTAATATTTCTAATCCAAGCTCGACTGGCCTCAAAAAGTCAAACAACTCCGGTCACAGAATCTCTTTGACATCGTTTCACGGCAACCCCTTGGCAAACAGACGCCTTTTGATACGACTCGAGCTGGTGTATGCCTACTTTTGTCTCGACTTCCCTCTCTCTTCTCTACACCACATTCGTTTGACAGCAGTTCGGTATGCGGTTCCAAGGAGTCATTGGCGCTGCCCTTTTGGGTTCATCAGCCCTGCAGCATGTCGCTGCATCCATGCAGCCTGATGTAGAAGGGGATATCGTCAACATTGATGGTGACATCGTGAACGCTGAGCGTCTCGAGACCCGTCAATCGGCACCAGCAAAGATTCCCGTTACTGGAGTCACTGGAAATGGTATTCAGCCTAGACTGGAGCTTCGCACTATGCAGCAACAGTATCCCGACATGTTCAATGTCTTCCTTCTCGGTCTGCGCAGTTTCATGCAGGTGGACCAGTCAGATCCTCTTTCCTACTATCAGATCGCTGGTAAGTCTTTCATGAACATATCCCGCATTCAAAGCCCAAACTCATACATTTCTAGGTATTCACGGAAGACCCTACGTCCCTTGGGATGGTATTGGTACTGCTCCTGGATTTGGTGGTGGTTACTGCACCCACACTTCCAACATGTTCCTGCCGTGGCACAGACCTTACCTGGCTCTCATTGAGGTTCGTCATCACATTGCAGCCACACGAAACTTCTGCTGATCATGTTGTGTACACAGCAAGAGCTTTACAAGCATGTTCAAAAAGCCGCGCAGTCCTTCCCCGCCGGTGCAACCCGGGATAAGTACGTTTCCGCAGCACGTAACTGGCGCTACCCCTACTGGGATTGGGCTGCAGCACCCTGCTCTGGCTGCAAGGCGTTCCCTGCTTTGGTCAGCGACCAATGGGCTACTGTTACCACTCCCACTGGTGTGCAGACCATCCCTAACCCTCTTTTCCGTTATGATTTCCACCCTGTCTCTGTTTCTGACATGGTCTACAATCCTGTAAGAGTTGTCTTTCGCCGTTGGAAAGCAATATTCTAACCTTCGACTAGTTTGCATCTTGGGACGTGACAAAGAGATACCCCTCATCATGGGATGCCTCTGCAGGCAGTCAGAACAACCTGCTCAACCCCATCTTCGCCAATAGCCAGGTCAACTTCCGCGACCGTCTTTACAACCTTTTCACCAACTACAACAACTTCCATCAGTTTGGTGACTCGGCATGGATCACTGCTAGCTCTACCAACGCCGACAGTCTCGAGTCGCTCCACGATGGTATTCATTCAAGTATCGGTAACAACGGTCACATGACTTACCTCGACTATGCTGCATTTGACCCGGTATTCTGGTTGCATCACGTGTAAGTACGAGTTGTGGTGCTGTCCGATTTTAGCTAATGTTCTCTAGTATGGTCGACCGAAGCTTCGCATTATGGCAGGCTATCCACACTGATAGCTATGTTGAGCCTCTGGCAGCAGTCGGAAGCACTTTCACCTACCCTGCTGGAACCATCAACGACGTGAACTCGGGTCTTACACCTTTTTTCAAGGACGCGGCTGGCACCAACTGGACTTCGGCTGACGTGCGCGACACAACCACTCTTGGATACACCTACCCTGAGCTTCAGAACGGCGCAACTGCCTCAAGTGTTCGTGCAGCTATCAACAAGCTCTATGGAAAGAATGCCGTTGCTGCTAGTGCATCCGTGAATGTCAATGTCGGAACCTCTACCAGCAGCGCCAACCCGGCAAGCTCAACCACTTCTAAAGCGGCAAGCTCGACTCCTTCCAAAGCAGCAAGTTCGACTCCCGCCAATCAGCCTGCCAGAGCTGCCTCAAAGCCGAGCCTAAGCAGCATCTGGAGAAGTCGCCCTGTGCACATCTGGAGCCCTTGGTGGAAGCGTGACAACATGACCGGCGCCCCATTCTACAGCATGAACGGAACCAACGGCACTAACGGCACTGACGATTACCACCATGAGTACATCTGTAACATTGTGTCGCAGAAGTTTGCCATGAACGGATCCTATGCCGTTTACGTGTTCCTCGGCAATGTTTCATCCAACTCTACTGAGGAGCTGCAGCTTGCACCCAATCTAGTCGGTACCTACTCGGTCTTCTCCAACATGCCTTCCGAGGACAACCACATGATGAACATGGACCTCAAGATCACCGGAACCGTTCCTTTGACCACCTCTCTTCTTGAAAAGTACGAGAGTGGAGAGTTGAGAAGCATGCTCCCCACCGATGTCGAGCCTTATCTCCGCAAGAACCTCCAATGGAGAGTGTCCAAGTACGACGGGGGAGAAGTCGCCGTCGCACAGGTGCCCGACCTTTCGCTCAACGTTGTGCAGGCTCAAGTCACTCCTGCAGCTGACGAGACCGAGTTCCCTCAGTGGGGTGCTTTCACTGCTCTCACTAGCGTCACCGCCGGTAAGGCTGGTGGCTACAGTGCTCAGTACTGGACTTGCCCCGAGGATGGCTCTCCTTTCGATAACAGCTACTCAGGCGAATCGACCAGCCCTGCACCCAGCGCCGCTGCTCCTTACGGCAATGGCACCGCTGCCTCGCCAGTTGCTCCCCAGGGCACCGCAGCTGGTACTGGCTCAGCAAACCCCTACATACCCACAACCTACACTGGTGCGGCCAACATATTGAGCATGTCTGGCTATGCTGTCGCACTGGCAGCAGTAGCCCTTCTCATCTAAACAAGATGAACCCCTTCAATCGTTTATAAGTTTCCTTTTTTCTTGTATGTGTCACGTCCACAGGTGGGCGGAATCTTGTGAAGCAAAATAGCCGCAACAGCGAGCAGAGCTCGAGCGGTGGATAGAGTTACAGAACTCGCACGAAAGCTTTCGGTGTAATAGCTCGAAACAGCAATAATAATTTCATATCTGTCTCCAACAACTTGTCCCATATTCGTGAACTGAGACAGCGAAGCATTACTTGATCAAATGTAGAAAGGTGAATATTCTTCTTAACTCTCGATTATTCTTCTGTTTATTATTTTTCCTTTCCGAAAGTCTAAAAGTCCAAGCTTATCGATAAGGACGGGAATTTTGCAGGGCTCCGATGTCCGAGTTTGGAGGATCGAGATTTCTGACCTTTGCATTTTCTCAAACCAAACAAGGAATACACAATGGCGCGAACAAAAAGCAAGAAGGACAATCGCCAGAATGGAGTGAAAGCAAAGCCTGCAGCACCGGCCAAGAAGTCGGCGCCGCCGCAGGACGATTCGGCCAGCGAAATGTCAGACCTCGAACAGTACGACGCCCCAGCTGGACAGGACGATATGGATATGAGCGAGGACGACAAGGATGCTGCCGAGGAAGAGTTGGAGAGAGCTGTGTTTGGTGATAGCATGGGATTCAGAGCTGGATTGGCTAGTTTCGGGGCTGGTCTGGATGATGAGGACTCGGCCGATGAAGGCGCTGCTGCTTCTGGCGACGAGCAAGCATACGACAACCTCGCGGATGCCGACTTGTTCTTCACCGACGTTGGCGCATCTACTGAGCTGCAACCTGTCCCGGCTACTGAAGAGGAGGAAGAGGAAGAAGGAGCAGCATGGCAGGACAGCGACGATGAGAGGATGGTTGTGTCATTAGCCTCAGTCCCGCGACTGCGCAAGTTGAGGAGAACAGAGGCCGAGGATGTCATTTCAGGCAAGGACTACGTCCGCCGTCTGCGCAAACAGTATGCCGATCATACATCAAGTCTACCATTAAATTTGCTGACATTGTTCTAGTTATGAAATGCTCAACCCTGTACCAGACTGGGCTGTCGAAGCCGCCCAAAAAGGACCTAGAAAGAAGCGCAGACTCAGCTATGACGATCTCGATGCCGAGTCGGAGGACGACATGGACATGGACGACGACGAGGAGGGCGATAACGACGACATCTCCGCCGAGCCGCTCAGCAAGCTGCTACAAGGAGGAGGACTTGTACGACGAACAGAAACCAAGAAGCGCAAGTTGCGACCCGAAGTGCTCGACATTCAGCGCACAAAGGACATTGGCAGCACGCAACCCTCGGCCATCACCTCTCTGCAATACCATCCCGAGCTCCCTCTCCTCCTCTCTTCCGGCCCTTCGTCGACCCTCTACTTGCATCACATTGTCGCTTCTCCTCCGGCACCCGAAGCCAACCCTCTTCTCACCTCTCTGCACATCCGCAAGACTCCTCTCACAACAACCGCCTTCCACCCCAACGATCCTCGCATCTTCCTCTCCGCCCGCCGCCGCTACTTCCACGTCTGGAACCTCGAGACTGGCAAAGTGGAAAAGATTGCTCGTGTCTATGGACACCAACACGAACAGCGCAGTATGGAGCGTTTCAAGCTGTCTCCTGACGGTCGCAGCATGGCTCTCATCGGTAGTGCTCGCAAGGGCGGTGGTGTGATCAACATCCTCGACGCATACACACTTCAGTGGGCCAGCCAAGTGCGCATTGAAAGCAATAATGGTATCGCCGATTTCGCCTGGTGGCGCGACAGCCGCGGTATGAGTATCGCAGGCAAGAACGGAGAAGTCACCGAATGGAACATCGACGAGCAGCGTGCTGTAGCTCGCTGGCAAGACGAGGGTGCTGTTGGCACAACCACTATTACCCTTGGAGGTGACAACGGCAATGCTGGCTCGCCTATTGGTAAAGATCGCTGGGTGGCTGTTGGCAGTTCCAGCGGTGTCGTCAATATCTACGATCGTCGCGCCTGGCTTGTTGCCTCCTCTGGCAACCCCTCTGCCTCGCCTATCCCCAACGCGCCGAAACCTACCCGTGCGTTGGACAATCTTACCACACCTATCTCACACCTCACTTTCTCGCCGGATGGTCAAATGCTCGTCATGGCTTCAAGGTGGAAGAAGGATGCTCTCAGAATTGTACATCTGCCCACATGCACAGTCTTCAAGAACTGGCCTACGAGTAACACTCCTTTGGGGCGTATTACTGGAGTTGCTTTCGCACCGGGTAGTGATGGACTTGCTGTCGCGAACGAGCAAGGTAAGATTAGATGCTGGGAGGTTAGAGCTTAAAGAGTTGGCCATGCATATATGGTGTACAGGTGTTGTAATCAAATCATCTCGAGAGACAGGATGCTCTCTTTTATCGTCAGCACCGCATTCAATGTCAGCACCGTATCTTGTTCGTGATCGTGTCGCCAAGTTCTCCTGTTAGGTGTTTTGGTGTGAGGATCTTCTGCAGTATTTCGAACAATCACGTCTCCGTCCAGCTCTTACTCTTCCACGCCAATATTGACACAAAGCACCTTCCAACATCGCACGAAACCCTCAGTAACTGATCATGCTAGACTTGTACCTATCATGCTCTCAAAAATCGAGTTGAACACAATTTGGAATCCATGTCAGGGTTGTACCCGCGGCGTTTGAGTGATGAACACAAAAATGACCACCTATGACGTCTGCGTTTACATTATTAAGCTCACGTTCGATATATCTCTTCGTCTTCGGACTACCTTTCCGTCTGACATCTCTGACATTCACGAATCCAAACATGACTTCAAAAACCAGCATTGACCTGTACACCGCTGGTATGGATAAGAACCCAGACTACCGAGGTAAACATCAAGACTGACTTATCAGGCACTCCCAATGGCCACAAGGTACACATTGCCTTCGAGGAACTGGGTTTGAACTACAATGTTCACAAGATCGATATCTCCAAGAACACTCAAAAGGAAGAATGGTTCTTGAAGATTTGCCGTAAGCTTGCCGCTTCACGTATCTGGCAAAGTGAATTGAAAGCTGATGATATATACAGCTAATGGACGTATTCCTGCCATGGTTGACAAGACTTCTGGCAAGGACAAAAGATTGTTCGAAGGTGGTGCTATGTTGCTGTACCTGACCGACAAATACGACAAGGAGAACAAGATCAGCTTCGATCACGATAGTGATGAGTATTGGGAGACTGTCGAGTGGATCGTCTGGATGCAATCTGGTCTTGGACCCATGCAGGTAAGTGTTGCTCTTCATCTCCGTTGAGAATATCAGCCTAATCAGATATCAGGGACAAGCAAACCACTTCTACAGATATGCACCAGAGAAGATTCAATACGGCATTGACCGCTACCAGACCGAGACCAAGCGTCTATACCAAGTCCTGAACGACCGCCTGGAACAGCAAGAAAAGGCTGGTCAAGGTCTCTGGTTGGTGGGTAACAAGTTCACCATTGCAGACATTGCCTCCTTCTCCTGGGTAAATTGGGGTGCCTGGGCTGGCATCGAGACCAAGCCTTTTCCTGCCATTGAGAAGTGGATGGAGGTCATCAACGCCCGTCCCACTGTTCAGAAGGCTGTCAACATCCCCGACGAGTTTAAGTTGAAGGGAATCATGGCTTCCAAGGAGAAGTCTGAGCAATATGCTAAGGAAGCTAGTGCTTGGGTCATGAAGGGCCAGGAGGCGGACCAGAAGAAGCATGCTTAAAGAAATGGATGATGGCCACAAGACAGTATGTGGTAGCCCTAACGAGACACATATTAGCTCATACATAATGAAGACAACAACAAAACAGCAGAATGCTTGACCAGCTTCCAAGCCAGATCCGACATTTCTCAGACTCCTTGATAATGATGCACTTTCCCATCTGCCACGCCCTGACGACTTCGCATGCCTCTTCTGATTGCGTTCGTATTGAGATCGCATTCCATACCATATGGTTATTCGTCTTCGAGGCCGATCAGACATAAACCAAGACTCGACTGTTTTGATGCTCGATCGGCTAAAGTAGAAGAAGGCGAGATCGACACAGCATGCACACCCCGCAGAACGTGCATCCCTTCCCAATCTGAAACCACTCTTCTTCAACAAACATCCCCGCATGGAGCAAGTGCAGAAAACACATCCATGTGCTTTTTATCATGTAGGCACAAGGTCATATGATGCCCTGTTGGCCTGTGATTTGCTTCTTGGCCTGCAGCTGGAGCCGATATTCTCTCCATTCCTACCGAGATCAAGTCCGAGCGAGTGGATTTGCTTTGAATTGGAGATGCCGTCATGTGTTGAAGCAAGGAGTATGCATACAGCACCAGATCGCCCCGCAGTGAAGTTGGAGAATAGTTGTAGAAATGCGGGCAGGGCAAGTGCATGCGGGACTCGGTAACTCGGAAGGTGCAGTGCAGCTTCACTTTGATGATGATGACGGGGGAGGTCACTTCTATAAATGTTTGTTGATGCCCAGAGAATCTTTGATGGTCAGTTGAGGTCGAATTGAATTGTTCAGCACACCATTTTGAGACGACCTTCCACACCAACATCATGGCTTTGAGACGTACTGTGCAGTGGCTTGTGGCTGCTGCCAGTGTTACACAGATCTCTGCCAGTCCACATGGCCTTGTGCCTCGACAGGATTCGCTACCTATAGGAAGGTGTCCTGGCTACAAGGCTACCAACGTCCAACAAACCAGTCAGGGACTGACTGTAAGTAATATCGCGTCCTATCCTCGAGTCACACATTTGACTGATCTCACTCCCAGGCCCAACTCAGCCTGAATGGCCCAGCTTGCAACACCTACGGTCAAGACCTCGACAACTTGAAGCTTGAGATCACCCACGAGACTGGAGACAGACTTCATATCAAGATCTATGATGCTGAGGAGAACGTCTACCAAGTTCCCGAATCTGTTCTCCCACGCCCAGTTGCACAAGGAAATGTCACTTCTGCATCCACTCAGCTCCTCTTCAATGTTGTCGAGAATCCTTTCTCTTTTGCCGTGTCTCGTCGTAGTGGCGGTCAAGCTCTCTTCAACACCAGCGGATCAGATCTGGTTTTCCAGTCGCAGTACTTGAGACTTCGTACTCAACTTCCCGAGAACCCTCATCTCTACGGCTTGGGCGAGCACGCTGATCCTTTCCAGGTGAGACTAATCTGATCACGTATATTCAAGCCATGACTGACGAATGTGCAGCTAAACACTACCAACTACACTCGTACTCTCTGGTCTCGCGATGCTTACTCTATTCCCTCGGACAGCAACCTGTACGGAAACCACCCGGTCTACTTCGATCACCGTGGTGCCGATGGAACTCACGGCGTCTTTCTCCTGAACTCGAACGGTATGGACATCAAAATCAACAGCACTGCTGAAACTGGCCAGTACTTGGAATACAACACCATCGGCGGTATCATTGATCTCTACTTCGTAGCTGGACCTTCGCCTGTCGAGGTTGCCAAGCAGTATGCTGAGGTTGTCGGTCTGCCCGCAGAAATGCCATACTGGGGTGAGTTTGGACCTATTTCATGGATTTCTCATATTTCACCAATCAATCTCTAGAGATATGATACTGACAACGCGTTCAATCTAGGCTTCGGCTTCCATCAATGCAGATACGGTTACCGTGATGTTTACGAGGTCGCTGCTGTGGTCGCAAACTACAGTGCCTCCGGCATCCCCCTGGAAGTCATGTGTATGTCTCCGACATGATTGAAGTCATGAATTGATGTACTGATGAGCCCCTAGGGACGGACATAGACTACATGAGCTCTCGGTAAGAGCGAAATCCAGCGAGAGAGCTGTTCAGAACTAATTGTTTTGTCAGACATGTTTTCACTCTTGACCCGGAACGCTTCCCTCTGGCCAAGGTACGAGAGCTGGTCTCCACCCTGCATGCTAGACAACAGTCCTACATCGTCATGGTGGATCCTGCTGTGGCATACTACAACTATTCTGCTTTCAACAATGGTGTCGAGGCAGGTGCCTTCCTCAAGAGATCAAATGGCTCGATTTACCAAGGCGTTGTCTGGCCTGGTAAGCGGAACACTCGCATCCCTGCATTGAGACAGTACCTAACACACAACAGGTGTCACTGCATTCCCTGATTGGTTCGCAAGTGGAACTCAAGAATACTGGGACAACGAGTTCACCACCTTCTTCGATGCCGACACTGGTGTTGATATTGATGCGCTCTGGATTGGTATGTTCTATCGAGAGCCGAATCGCATTCACATCCTAACAGCCTTACAGACATGAACGAGGCGAGTAATTTCTGCCCCTGGCCCTGTAGCGACCCGGCCGGATATGCTGCCTTAAACGGCTTCCCACCTACTCCTCCGGAAGTGAGAGCAAATGCAGGCTACGCGATCCCTGGCTTCCCTGCCGACTTCCAGCCCGGCTCTTCCGGTCGCAAATTCAAGCGTCAATCGAACAGCACCGGCACTCATCTTGGCCTCCCAGGAAGAAACTTGATCAATCCTCCTTACAGCATAGCCAACGACGCAGGAAGCTTGTCCAACAAGACTCTCGACACTGATCTGTACCACGAGAACGGGCTGGCAATGTATGACACTCACAATCTCTATGGTCTCATGATGTCGACTGCCAGTAGACACGCTATGCTGGCTCGCAGACCCACAAGAAGACCCATGATTATCACCCGCAGTACCTTTGCTGGCGCTGGTGCTACGCTTGGTCACTGGCTTGGTGACAATATCAGCAGCTGGGACAAATACCGCGTCTCGATTGCTCAGATGCTCGAATTTGCAGCACTCTTCCAGGTACGTGTCTTTCCATCGATCTCGCACAAATACACTGACAGCCTTTGAACAGATGCCGATGGTAGGAAGCGATGTCTGTGGTTTCGGAGGAAACTCTTGGCCTGAGCTGTGTGCCAGATGGGCTACTCTTGGTGCATTCTACCCATTCTACCGCAACCACGCAGAGTTGGGTACCGCGAACCAAGAGTTCTACCGTTGGGAGTTGACCACTGCTGCCGCCAAGAAGGCCATCGATACACGCTACAGACTGCTCGACTACCTCTACACAGCCTTCCACGAGCAGACCCAGACCGGCAAGCCATTGTTGCAACCTCTGTTCTTCGCTTATCCCGAAGACGCCAACACCTTCCCCATCGAGCATCAGTTCTTTTACGGTGAGAGCATTCTTGTCAGCCCTGTGGTTGACGACAACAGTACAAGCGTTACCTTCTACCTACCCAATGACATCTTCTACGACTACTTCACCTACGAACCCGTCCGTGGATCAGGTAACTGGGTTACCCGCGACAATGTCGACTTCACCGATATCACCGCCCACATCCGTGGCGGCAGTATCTTGCCTCTCCGTCAGAACTCAGCCAACACAACCACTGAACTCCGCAAGCAAGACTTCGTCCTCATCATCGCACCTGACCTAGAAGGCAAGGCTGAGGGAACTTTGTACTTGGACGAAGGCGATGCCATCGAACAGCCTCAAACCAGCTCCATCACTTTCAGCTACGCCAACGGCACTTTCAGCATGGGTGGCACTTTCGGCTACCCTACTGATGCCAATATCGTGAGTCTCACTGTCTTGGGCCAGAGTGGTAACGCCACGACGGTAGCCAGGAAGAGAGATTCTAGCGTCGTGTTTGACGTCAAGAAGAAGTTGATGACCAAGACACTTGGTGTGCCGTTGACTGAGTCTTTCGTCACCACCCTCGTCTGATACACACGATACGAACAAAATACGAGATGAAACAGAGATTCAGAGGAAGAGAAACTTGCTAGGTAGATTGAGACAAATGAAGTTACGAACATGGGTAGACGGTTCACAAGATCCCATAGCTTACGACAATAGCATAACGAAATGAGAAAAGGATGAATGACTCCTACCACACAGTATCCTATTAGAAGAAGTCTCAATGTGAAAAGTGCAGAAATCCAGGGGCGAGTGAGATGAGAATAGAAGAGCCAATTCTTTGATCTGACGTTTTCCATTGCCCTCGGAATGGTAAGTAGTGAATGGTAAGTAGTGCTGCAAAGGGGAGTTCGAAGACCATACACAATCTATACTACCACTCGAATGTACGATCAAAAGTGATTCGTGAAGAGGTCGAGATTGCAAAGGAAGGTGCGTTCAGGGACAACATCGTAGCTCTGATTGTTACAAAAATCACCATCGAAGGAAAGGTGAATATGTCAAGAAAGAAACGAACGATACATCTCGTCGAGAGGTGGTTAGATTGAAAGTCATGCTGGAGATAGACTCGTACAAATCACTTGTCCTTCCAGACGATTCGGATGCTGTGAATTGAGAAATTTTGACAATTAATTATGTTTGCAGAAGTTCCGCGATTGCATAGCGTGCACGCGTTGGATGGTGATTAGAAGTAGATATTGTCGCTCTTGGTTTGCTGTGCTATGGCCTCCGAGGAGATGGGGAAATTGTCGGTGTGCACGAAGTGATACGTAGAATCGCATACGCCTTCGGAGATCACTTATGATCGGCTGACGTTTACGATGTTTGAGGGGCTCGAGAGGTATGATTTGGGATCTGTTATTCTTCGGTTCTCGGTAGGGGTTTGCGGACCTAAGGGGGCGTCGCACGGGGAAGTCAGGAAAGTGTCGTCGTTAGTCTGTGTTTCAGAGGCGCGAAGAAGCAATGGGAGATCCTAATTTGTAAATGTTTCTCATTACTACGTGGCCCTCGATTCATATCTTCGCAATATAGCGTGAAGAGGGCAGAAAATGGAGCATCTAACCGAGAACCTTGTCAACGACCGAAACTGAGATGAAGATTAGTGGTATGCTCCCGATTTCAATGATTCAAGGAAAACTCACCACTCATGCCAGTGTTGTCGGGCTCGACGTGGGCCTCCTTGACCTTGCCATCCTCAATGACCAGGGCGTAGCGCTTGCTGCGGTGGTTACCGAGAACGGGGGTGGCATCGAAGTCGAGGTCGAGAGCCTTGGTGAAGGAGCAATCGGGGTCAGCGAGGAAGCGGATCTGTGATATTCCAAATGATTAGTTACTGCTCATACTCGAAGCGAAATGGCTTGTTTGCCAGATGACACTTACACCGCTCTTCTTGTCAGCGTCAAGGTCGTGGGCCCATGCCTTCATGCTAAAACGGAGGTTAGGTCCGAGAATCGACAAAACGCTCTTGCAGCATTGCTAGCTTCTTACACAAAGGGGTCGTTGACCGAGACGACAAAGACATCACCGGCATCCTTGAGGTTCTTGTAGTTGATGTAACCGGGAATGTGGGACTCGGAGCACGAGGGGCCTGTAAGGAGATGGAATGTTAGTTTGCAGCTTCCTTTTTCGGTGTTTGCAGTTTCAATTGATCATTGAACATTGTGAATTCCAGAGCTGGTGGAAATTGTTGTATGCAAGCATGTTGCCGGCAGCAAAGCTTGACAACTGTCCGGAAGCTGTATCAACGCCGTGGAAACCCAAGAGATTGACCAAGCACTAGACTTGCTGCCGGCATCCAAGGTACATGTGGCTTGTTGCGCAGAGATGCGCCAATGCAGAAAGAGAGACGATGCGCTAGAAGGAAAGAGCAATCTTACTGAAAGCAGCAGGGACACCAATGATGAGACCCTTGCCCTTGAGGAGCTTGGGGATGGAGACCTTGTTGCCGGGGGAGTCCTCCATCAACTCAATGTCCGGAATAGAATCGCCGACCTTAACCATGATGGGAGCTGAAGCGTGGAATGAACGGTTGACGAAGGGGGTGCGTGCGTTGCGAAGAGTCGAGGAAAGAGCAGAGCGAGTGCGAGCGGTGAACATGATTTCGACTGGGGAAAGGTGTTTCTTTAATTGTCGGATAACGAAGAGCAGGTGAGGGGTAGGTGGGTGATTTGGAAGAGGCCAGAATAATGGAGGCTCTGAGCTTAACGACGGGGACAGCTGCGGATAGCAACCAAGCTTTTCTTCAAGCCATTTGATTGGTAGTTCACTAATCTACGACTGTCTACGCAATCGCTCCAACAAAAGCTGCCACGGTCTCCGTACAGACTCTGGAGACTGGGGGAAACGTACAAGGTTGACAGGCAGTTTGTATGGAGAAGTGTTATGCGCCGCTGCCCCTAGTTCCCTCCTCCTTCCTCCACCAGTGACCGGCATCCCTATCGGTGCTATACCAAAACGTTTTCTGTGAGTTTCAATTTCCAAACAGTTTTGGAATTGTGCTCCGGGTAGCCCTCGATGCGTTCAGCCTTTTGATCCGGATGGCTTGCAAGATGCAGCTTTAGCGGAGCCGTTGACGCCATTTCAACTATTAGATCCAAGCTTAACCGTGAGAGTCATCAGCTCTCCTTTGTCCTGCAGCAGTGGGACACATGTCACGGATGTTTTTGTTCAGGAGATCGGTGCTCGTGCGAGGATGCCGGCCGGCAGACGAGCGGTATAGGTGATGGTTATGCGAAGGACGAAGAGGACGAGGACTGCGATGGCCTACCACATTCCACAATCGGTGACAGCGGAAGCTTTCTGCCAATAATCGCGATGCCGATCTTGACTCTCTGCTATCGACGGCTTTCACACGTATTCATCCAGTAGCCAAGCCCAATTTGTTTCCTTTTTTCTCTTCCGACTCGAGGGACGAACAAGGAGGGCAGATCCACTTTACGCTAGCCCCGGCGTCCTTTTGCACTGCACAGAGCCTCGGGTTGGTTTCTGGCCCTTCTACCCTGCTTTCCGAGCTTTCTCTCTTCAATTTCTCGGATACCGTAGTTTGCGCTTCTGTCGTCTTCAGCCTTCTGGAGACTATTCGCATCGCCAGCGCCCAGGACATCTCGAGGCTTCAATCCACACCGCCGCTTACGAGCACTCTGACGGCGATACGACGACTCGGCAGCAGCCTGTTACATCACGCACCCGGCATTCGCTCCATCACTCACATTGCAACCCCGCTTCCATCTCGACAAAGTCGCCAGTGTTCATAAAGATATCGACATCGACGCTGTGCAAATTCTCTGCACGTCGCATGAATTAGATCAGATACGTCATTGCTTGCAGGATACCATCAGTCGCAACCATGGACAACCAGGGAGGTAGCGGCAACACGTCGAGCGACTTTGTAAGTTGAGCGTGGCCCTGTCTACAGACAAAGGCGCAATCTTTCGGGTACATTGGCTAATGTGGATTCCGTGTTTGCAGGTTCGCAAGTTGTACAAGTAGGTCATTGCTTTGCGCGCTCGCGTCGAGTCTAGAAGGCGTCGTCTAATTGGCTATCGATAGGATGTTGGAGAGCCCGCAGGACGAGAGTATAGTACGATGGGGCAATGAAGGCGACAGTTTCGTCGTTCTCGAGGTGCGTATACCGCGCATGCTGCTACGCGTAGGCTTCGCTGACGACTCGGCCGACAGAATGAAAAATTCACGAAGCATATCCTGCCCAAGCACTTCAAACACAGCAACTTCGCCAGTTTCGTGCGTCAGCTCAACAAATACGATTTCCACAAAGTCCGACATAACAATGAAGAGGGCGGCGTGTCTCCCTATGGCGCTGGTGTACGTCGCTCACAACCACAACAACGTAGTCGAGAATGGTAGGACTGACAGTTCGATAGGCGTGGGAATTCAAGCACCCCGACTTCAAAGCCAACAACAAGGATGCGCTGGACAACATCCGCCGAAAAGCACCTGCGCCGCGCAAGCCCAATGCCATGATGGACGACATGATGCCAACTCAGCAGATGGACCTATTCAACACACAGCTTGTCGCAACACAGCAGCAATTACAATCCATGCAAGAGCGCTATAATGAGCTCAGCATGCACCATTCGATGCTCCTTCAAGAACTCATTGGTGTCCAGAAGACTGTCGTCAACCATGAGCATGTTATGCAATACGTCATGAACTTCCTGCAGTCGGTTGATGGTCAAAGGCGAAGAGAAAGTCGCGTCGCCAATCCCTTCGCGCCGCCAGCTGCTTCCGCTGCCAATGGCAAGCAGCCACCTCCTGCACCCATTCCGGAAGATGAGCCTGCCTCACCGCTACAACACGCTGCGAAATTGCTGTCAGAAACTAACGCAGACCACATTCTCAACACTCGCAACCTTGAGCATATGAATGAGATGTCGCTAAGGATGAATTCGGCTCTTACTACACCTCCTCCGGATTTAGCTCTCAGAAATGGCGCCAGAATTGCCAGGGGCGGTCACAATGGTCCCCATTCAGCAGCCTCATCCACATCCATGTCTTACGGCGAACTCGATAATCTGGTCTACCCCGTCGGTCAGACGAACGGCATCGATCCCATGTTCAGCGAACACATCCACAACATTCCTTACGCACTGCCACCTAAGGCTCCTGAACCTGCACCCGCACCTCCAGTCGCCGATGGAAGAAAGAAGAGCATGCAATACGATCCTGGTTGGGCTAGACAGCCTCAGGTTTTGCTTGTTGAAGACGATCAGACTTGCAGAAGAATTGGCGGCAAGTTCTTATACGCTTTCCACTGCGCCGTTGACAGCGCTGTAAGTTTGGATTCATGTCTTCTCGTTACAAAAGTGTATACTGATATCTCCACAGCTCGATGGTCTGGAAGCAGTCAACAAGATGAACGCTGGCGCAAAATACGATCTCGTATTGATGGACATCATTATGCCTAACCTGGATGGTGTCTCGGCCTGCCATTTGATCAGACAGTTCGACAACACTCCTATCATTGCTATGACCTCGAACATTCGCAGTGACGACATTGCCATGTACTTCCAGCACGGTATGCCAGCAGTGAGGATATTTCCCGCAATGATCATACTAATTCTCTCACAGGCATGAACGATGTGCTTCCGAAGCCGTTCACAAAGGAGGGACTGCTGAGTATGCTTGAGAAGCATCTTGGTCATCTCAAGAAGTCACCACCACAGATTGAGGGAATGCCTCAAGGACCACCACCCCCGCTTGCCCAAGTTGTTGCGAAGAACTCATTGAAGGCCGAAGATTCACCCGCCACCTCCCCAGCCACCATTAGCAACTGGACTTCACCTGGAAACACTCTGGGAATGTCACCAGCGAACAGTGAAGCCGCCGGAAACGAATATGGCATGGCCGTCCAAGGCCACCCGTCAGGACCCTATCACATGCAATCTGGCATGCCGCCACCTGGCATGCCCACACAAGTCAGCTACGGTGGCTCCCCTCGTGGTATGCCAACAGGTCTCGGACCACAACCTGTCGGCCCACACAGACGTCAAATATCTGACATCTCGGGCGGACCTGGCGATATAGGACCGGACGTCAAGAGACAGCAGATGTTCGGTCCTGGACCTCCACAACATATGCCGCCGCACATGGGCCCAGGTGTGCCCATGGGACAACCACTACAGAACCCGCTTAACCCTATGCATAGAAGACCTGGTTAAGTGGGCGGCCTGGTGGTTGCCTTCGGAGACAGTGAGGAAGCATACATCACACGAGTTTTAATCTGGAGTCGTATTTATTCTTCTCAACAAACCGTCATGATGATTGCAATGCCCGGACCGCAATGATTATCCTGTGGTCTGGCTTTGTGACCCAAGACAGTTTCATGTCAATGTTCTTCATGCGACAAAGCATTTGATTGGCGTTCTTTTCTCTACTGTTATTTTAGATCTAGTTTGTTGGTATATGGTTTGTGAGCCGACAATTCAAAGGTGTATGCATGGAAACCATTGCATCATCCGTCTACCTTGATCAGCTTCGCTCGCAATTGCTGGGCTTTTTGCCATGCCAAGTTTCTCAGACCGACAAGACGCTCATCGGGTGGCAGGTACTTCTTCGCGTTGACTGTTTTGATCGCACCTGCCCATGGTGGAAGATCTGTCTTGGACTTTGCTTTCGAAACATGAAGCTTGACGCTGCATCCATTCTACTTCTGATCAGTCACGACAAGATCCATTATCATCATCCAGCCTCTTTTTATTCATCCCGTATATCGATCATCCATGATGGCAAACCCTGCACCTAGCCTTGAACCCATTGACGAGCTCTACCGGCTCCTCGGCGATGCAAACAACCAACTTCAAATTGCCAAAGATCAGGCTACGGCTCTCGAAGAGAAGGTCGAAGCTCTCGAAGAGAAGGTCGAATCTCTCGAACAACAGGTTGCCGAGCTCAAGGAACAGCGCGATGCTGGAGACGATCCTTCTGTCCAGCCAATGGAGACGTCCTCGGATACCCAGATCCCCATTTCACCACTGCCTACCACATCGCAGTCGGGTTCATCCGCACCCGCAACTGTGCCTGCACCTGTACCTGCACCTGCACCTGCACTTGCGCCCACGCCTGCATACGCTATCGAAGACATTGACTTCACCGTATGGGCCAATGATGCGATGGACGCCATACACATTAGTCCTGAAGCCCGCTCTCATATCGATGACAGGCCCTGGAAAGACCTAGAAACAAAGTTCCTCACCGAAATCTCTGAGTTCGAAGAGAGGCTGAAATCCAAAACTGCGTCCAAGTTGATAAAGGGTTCAACCCTAAACCCTTTGGAACCCACCCAATACTGCCTCAGGGGCACAATAACCAAAATCGACTGTATATGGACCCTCGAGGAACCGGGAAAGTACTGTTGTAAGAAGTGCTTCCGCAATAAATGGCTTTGCGTCAAGTACAATGAGCAGAACAGAAGAGTGGAGCTGTTGCCATTGCCGGAACGTCTTAGGCCCCAGGAATTCGGACCGCTGTGTTTCACGGGAAACACTCGCGGTCAGAAGATGACGGGCATATACGAGGGGGTTTGGGGATGAGGATTCGACAGCTTAGAATAGCAGTGCTGCTGCGTACAGTTCGGCGAGCGTTGAGGAAAGACAAGGAAACAACTATGCATGTCGAAAACACAAAGGAGGACAATCATTCATCAGAAGGAGACACTCATTCATGAAAGGACATCCTCACAACGAACATTTGCTTCCATACCAAACCATCTTACGTTGTGACAACTGGATTAGAATACTTGCAAGGCAAAGAACATCCGTCTTGCTAACATATATGGTTTCCAAACAACAATACGGATACTCGAGGCTCTTAAGGTGGAGTGCAAGATTCGAACTCGAGTCCTTACAAGGTCTGGCTTTCCCTCTCACATATGATAAGCTTAACGATCAGCAGAAATACATTGGCTGTGTATTCCGCTTGGTATGCAGTAATCGGATGCTTACAGACAAGAAGAAATACGATCACTTCAGACGACATCGTTGAGCCTTTGGCTGCCCCTACAGACAAACATGCACAAAAAGAAGATTGCCGAAATCTTCCCTCGTTCATTTTCAAACACAACAATGTTCTTCTACAATAAGCTTGTCAACCACCAACAGTCTATTAAATAGCAAAAAAGACCTCGCCAACCTCCGACTCGATCCCCCGCCCCCTTTCTTAAGCAAAACCTCGTTACCAAAAATTCTATGCGGCTGTGCTGTTTCATTTCCCCACTGTAAATAAAAAAAAAACACCCCCTCATGCACTCCCTCTCCAACACAGAGGAAAATCACAAAAAAGAATAGCTAAGCTTGGTTTCGATCCAAGGTCCTCCGGGTCGCATTTTATGAGCTCCGTGAAGCTGTATGAGCCCGGCGCGCTACATTTTTTTGTTAGTACTGTGGTTGTGTGATGGATGGGTGAATGTTACGAACCTTCCGCTGCGCCACTCAGCTTTGTGGATGGTGAAATTTGGGTGGGTGGGTTTATAAATGGAAAGACATGGGGAAGTGGACTTGGGGGGGTATCATCGATTGGGATCTGATCGTTCTTATGCTTGTGTGTATTTGTTTATGGTGTTGTTGTTACTATTTGGTCAGATCAAGGGTTGTGTTGGAAGAGTGCATTTATTTCTGTTTTGCTGAAATTCACTGCACGAAAAGAAACATTGGCATCAATGTCCGTCATAGCGAATAGTCTTCAAATACCATCCATCTAACCCTCAATACTTCGCCTTGAACGGAATCGTCTTCATCTGCTCCACCGGATTCGCTTGAATTCCAAACAACTTATAAATCCACTTTAGAATAACAAAAAAACTCTCCGGTTCACCCATATGTTTGATTCCCTTTATGAATCTCGCTTCCTTGGGGGCTCCATGTAACAAACACAACCAATAATCATCGATTGGGAAGATCTCATCTTCCGTGCCGTTGACGAGTAGCAATCTTGCACATTCTGGTTTATCCAAAGTTCCATCTTCGAGGAGGGAGAATTTCTTGGCCTCTTTTTTGAATAGGGAGAGGTCGGAGCCGTAGCCGTATTTGTAGGCGAGGGTCGTGGCGAGATCGAAAGGGTATTCGAGGTTGTTTACGTTATCCAGCCATTCTTCATCGAACATGTGGTGTACGCCGCCGCCTAGTGCCACCACACCTGCAAGACGAGTAGGATGGGTGTGGGCGAGACGGATGGCGTAGTATCCACCCGTCGAGAACGCCCACACGCATACTTTATCTTTGGCAATGGCGGGTTGGGTGTCTATCCAATCGAGTAGGGAACTCCATTGGCGGTCTGGGGATGTGGGATCGGAGGGTAAGGCGGGAGAGTCTCCAGTACCGGGGATTTCGACGACGATGCTGCCGATGCCGTTTTGACGCCAGCCTTCCATCCAGACGGCTAGTTCGGTGCGGTAGCCGTCGAGACCGGTCATGATGAGGACGACGGGTGCTGGGTTTGCTTCGCTGGCGGAGGAGGGTAGGAGGTGGTATATGGGGATTGTTTTGCCTTCTCCTTCGATGGCATGGGTGTGAGGGACTTCGATTTCGTGGACGGGGTGTTCGCGGAGTCTGCGGAAGGGTGTTAGCATGTCTCTTGGAGGAGAACATTGGTATACATACCCTAGGCCTTTGATACATGCTTTCTTGCCTTCTTGCCAGGCATATCTTTGCTTCTCTGAGCGAGGTGCAGGGAACCGGGAGATCCGGTAGACAGCAGAAGCTCGTCTGTGATCTGTCAGTGTTTCCCATACCTTAACAGCCAAAACGCATTACTCACAGATAGAATTCAGAAGCCTTCTCCTTGTTTCCCTCCTGTTCTGCCTCTCGTGCCTTGGAGACTAGCTCTTCGGCCTTGGGAAAGTAGACTTGAGCATAGTCGTCCCAGTTGTATGGTTCTTTGTAGTCACCCTGGTAACGCGTAAGCAGAAGCTCTATTCTTTATCTTGAATCCTGTACCTCGACAAGCTTCTCGACTATCGGTTCGAAATCCTGGATGGCGCTGAACATGAAGGGATAGACACCCATAGCACACTACGATAGTATCCGGTCAGTATAAATGACCTTGCATCCATGATCGTCCTCATACTCACAGGCTTCTTCCACTTGGTCTCCCACAGCTGCTTGAAGCTCTCATGATGCGGAGCGGTTTTGTACAGCTTATCCTGGATAAAGAATCCTCCATTCGGTGCAGCCATTTTGTCGTATAGTATTTAAAGAGAACAGAAAGCAAAAGTGAGACAGACAGGAATGACTTGGAAAAAGAGGGCAGCAGGGTAGCCTTTAATACAGGCGACTACAGCAATCGGCTCCTCCACATCTGACCCCACCTACCTGCCGAGCGATCGTGTAACATCGTCGCGGTGCTTACTGTTTTGTAGGAGCATTCGCGTTCTAAGCTCGGTGTCTTGAGTGTTTAGGATGTCCGAATGTGTTGCGTCAATGTTGTAGATGGAGCTTTAGAGGATGCACTGTCGAACGCCAAAGCTTCAATACAGAGCGTAAAGTATGGCGGCCCCCAGAAAATTGCCAGGTTGACGTTCTCTAGACCAGCATCGACGCTTCTATATTTGTCCTTCGGACATTGGTGGGGGTGACAGAGTTAATTCTCCGAAAGGTACCTTGCGCCTTACCCATTCCGATCCGCTAGCATGATGAGTATCGATATGGGACAGAATTGTGCACAGAGTCTCGTAGGTTGTGATTGAGTGAACATGAAGCAGGTTTAATGGGCTCGTATCTTCACTATCTGGAACTACTCGTAGGAAATGTGCCCGGCATATCTGATGCCACAGCAGTCTAGAGTTGCAAACCACATCCATGTACGTGCTGTCTCTACATAATCAGAATGTAACTATCTATGCAAGACGGTTCTGGAAGAGCGGTGCAGGAAGTGCCGAGAGACGCACATCTCGCAGGGCCATCCACTCACTGCCGTCCTTGTGATGGTCCTCGTGCTGAACCAAGCGATCCCATGCCTGATGCGTAGATTCGCCATCCTTGTCTAGCACATCGCTCGCAACCATGAGTCGTTGTAGATGGGGAGCCAGCTGCTTGATCAAGGAGACATCATGTCCCGTCTTTACACGGCCAAGCCACAGCTCTTCGAGCCTGCTCCAGCTTCTCATGAACTTCAGATTCGGGTGGCCATCCCCAGCGGCAAATGGATCTGGGCCGTCTGCACCAATCCATGATATGTCAAGTCTGGTCAGTGTCCGGCTGAAGCTCTGCAGGTAGTCGGTAAAGATCTTGTCGAACACCTGAGTCTGAGACTTTGATAGTTGGTGATATGGATTATAAATCTGTAGCTCCAACACCTTCAATCGATACCAAACCGGATCTCGAGCAGCACATGCTTCCCCATAGGCGCCGGCACCTGCCCAGCGTAGGTGCATGATGCCCATAGCATGGATGGGAGACAAGCGAACTGTTTGCAAATGCTTTGGATTTGTCCTCTCAAGAGCAATGCGAAGGATGACGAGTAGAGACTCAATATCAGTACAGCCTGGCCAAGCTGGGTCGCCATTGCAAGCGATATGCAAAGTTTCCATGTTTGATAAGAGCTTGAAGATCTGGCACCACTTTTCCAGTAGAACTTGATCAACATCGCCAGGCTTTCTCTGAACGACAAACTTCCACGCAATAGGCGGCTCGACATATGGGCAGTAAGACTCAATGATCTCAGAAAGAATCTCACTACTGGTGTTGGATTCTGAGGCGTAGGGACTGGTTTCAGCAGATGGTGGTTGGAGCAAGGGAGAGTTGCTTGCTTTGGAGGGAAACGCAATCTTAACGACGATATGTCGACAGACAATTGCGACAGCCGCGAGTGCATCAATATGTTGCTCGCGTCCAGGAGGCACAGGTGTGTGTATGTGGATGGTCTCAAACGCAACTTTGTTTAACTCGGAAAGGTCGTGAAGTGAACGCGATGTCAATCGCAAATTCAACATATCATTGACTGTAAGGTGAAGCTTCAAGAAATGTCCGAGGCTGGGTCCTTTCGAAAAGACCTGTAGGCGAAGAAGTGCTTTTTCCAGAAGTGAAGACATGATGGAAGGCTGTCTTGAAAGGCAGTGTTGGATAAAAGAGCTTGTGGGAAGTTCATCAGTTTATGTATCCATGGAGCATGGACTCTGTCCATCTCGGTGGCAGGAAAAAGCACGCCATGTGCCAGGTGTCACGACAGTGGCTAGACGGGTTATCACAGGCTTTTACGCGATGGACTTCAGCTAGAGCGTCACACGCAGATGCATGCAGCTGCTAACACAGCGATGGTATGATCAAGCGACGCGCTCATAGGCAGAATCGCTGAGATAGTCTTTCTGAGGGCCTTTGACCTTGTATCGCAGACCCCATTTTTCCATGTTGTTGTCCAATCTAAAGTCATAGAAAGCCCAGTACATGTCTTTCTCGCACAAATGATCTCCCTTGGCAATCCATCGTTGGTCAAGAAGAGAAAATTCAAGTTCGTGGAACAGGTAGTCGACCTCTTCGTTCTCGTCTGGCGCAGGCTCCTTGACGAACCAGATTGAGATCTTTTCGTCGTCGGGACTGAAGCGGTATATGTATTTTCTGTTGGCCAAGAGTTTGTAGCCTTGTTCCGTGACCAGTTCTCCGGTCTCGTGGTAGAGTAGAGATAGAGAGTCGAACGCGCTGTGAGGCTTGAAAGTGGCAGTGCCAGTAAATGTTCCGGAGGGAAAGCCAGGTAGGGCGCTGGTGAGCGAGCGATGAAGCTTCCATGTTCCGGAGAAGCTTTTGAAAATGCTTTCGAGCGGCGGCATCGGTGATTCGATATGTGGTCTATCGGGTTGTCTGTTCGTTCGTTCGTTCTTCGAGGATCCGGCGTTGAGACAGCCATCTGGTCCGTGCACCGGTATACTAATGTACATGGCTAGCACATGCCTTGAGCTTGCTGGCCAACGCATGGCGAGACAGCTCCTTCGAGGGAAGTCTTTTCATGCAGCAGTGGATTGACTCGAAATGTGCGTCGTGTGTGAAGGCAACCCTTTTTGCTATAACAAGTTTCTTCCCGGTCCCAACCGCGAATGGTCTGGCAGTAGTGGTGACTGCTAGCACAAGAGTAAATCTACGTAAATGGTGGAAGCATGATATGAGATGCTGAAAATCGGCTTTGTTGGATTAAGGGTAATTGTACAAGAAAGGGTAGTAAAAGTTCCTCCGTCAAGTTTGCATTGAACTTGCATGAATCGTAGCCACTCTGGTCATGGTCGTGTAGACATCAAGTTTACTTCTGGGCCTTGTCAAGGTCGGCCTTGTCCTTTGCGAGCTGAGCCTCGCCAGCCTTGACCTTCTGTCTGAGTTGCTCAAGCTTCTCCTGCTCGTGACGCTTGACGTAGAGGTTCTCAGAGGCCTCCTCGCGCTTGCTGAATGCGTCTCCGCTAGCAGCACCGCCAGATCTGGTGGCACCGGTGTCGCCGGCAGCCATCATGCGGGAGGCGATCGAGAAGCGTGCAACCTGGACGTTGGCGACAGCGGGACGAGCGACGCGGGCGATTCTGAGTGCGGAAGACATGATGTGGATCTGAGCCAGGTCAGCGATGATGTAGAATGATGGGATGGTTGGTAGAAATAAACTAACTGTGTGGTTGAAGAGTGGTGTTGGTGGTAGAATTGATGGAGTGGTTGGTAAAGAAGTGGTTTGTTTGTGTATGAGTTTGTGAGGGGAAAGAAGAATGGAAGAAGTAGCAGAGCTGGAAGCTCAGGTGATGCACCAATGGCAGTGCACCTTGGAAGCAGGAAGGAGCTACGTCATAATCAAGCACGGAGGGTGAGCGTCAGTCAGCGCCGACTGACCGAAGTAGGAGCAAGCACCACCATCAAACAAAAAGCTTCTCAACCAATCCATACGCGTCTTGTCGCTGTACATACCATTGATCTGTCCCCGTAAGTGCTTTTCTGTCGCCACGTCTTTCCCGATACCCCTACACGTTGGTCTGGTCGGCCAATTCTCACTTGGTCACGGAGCTTCCCCCACAAAGTCATGGATTGTTGAATGGAGGGGCATCCGGTGAGGGGCGCATTGAGATAGGTCCAACCATTGTGCAACCGCCGGACATAGGCGCCGTGGACTGTGTCTAGCCTTCACGCGCTCAGGAACCCGCTGAGAGATGCCTCGTCAATGTCGCATCCGCTTCAAGCCGCCCTCTGTCACACCACGCTTCACCGCCAGCCAACCAGCCATTGCGCCAATCTCGTTTGTCCTACAGAAGACGGTCCATGCCATAGCCTTCACCGTTGTCCTTCGATCTTCTTGCACATCGCCGTCACTTGGTCGCTCGTATACTGCAACCGACCTCTTGCTAACACAATCCTCCCAGTCTTCTACCGTTTCCTCGTTACTATCAGCGTGCACTTGACGTCTGATAACCTAGACATCCACACCTAAACCAAACAACACACATCCGCAAACATGGTCGGCCTCGGTCCCCGCAGACCTCCTTCCAGAAAGGGTCAGTCAGACCTTCGTAAAGAGGCAGAATAGCATGGATTTTGACAGCCGACCAGGTTCCATGGCCGATGTGCCCAAGGATCTCCTTTCTGAGATCAAGAAGCTCGAGGAGATGTTCACTGTCCCCAAGGAGAGACTTGACAAGATCGTCACAAAGTTCGTCAAGGAACTCGAGAAGGGCCTTGCCAAGGAGGGCTCCACAATCGTCAGTACAAGTCCAACAGGTTCCTTGGAACGAGATCGCTGATTGCAGATAGCCCATGAACCCTACCTGGTGTATGGGCTTCCCCACTGGTCATGAGACCGGTACTTTCCTTGCACTTGACATGGGCGGCACCAACCTCCGTGTTTGTGAGATCCACCTGCCTGAGGAGAAGGGCGAGTTCGACATCATCCAGTCCAAGTACCGCATGCCTGAGGAGCTCAAGACCGGTACTGCTGACGAACTTTGGGGCTACATCGCCGATTGTTTGCAGCAATTCATCGAGTACCACCACGAGGGTGAGAAGCTCGACAAGCTTCCCCTTGGTTTCACCTTCTCATACCCTGCCACTCAGCACTACATTGACCACGGTATCCTGCAAAGATGGACCAAGGGCTTCGACATTGACGGTGTTGAGGGTGAGGATGTCGTTCCTCCCTTCGAGAAGGCTTTGGCCGAGCGTGGTGTCCCCATCAAGCTGACTGCTCTGATCAACGATACCACTGGTACTCTGATCGCCTCTGCTTACACTGATTCCGAGATGAAGATTGGATGTATCTTCGGTACCGGATGTAACGCTGCTTACATGGAGAACTGCGGTTCCATCCCCAAGCTTGCTCACATGAACCTCGACCCCGAGCTCCCCATCGCCATCAACTGCGAGTACGGCGCTTTCGACAACGAGCACGAGGTTCTCCCCCTCACCAAGTACGATGAGCAGATCGACAAGGAGTCGCCTCGCCCTGGCCAGCAGGCCTTCGAGAAGATGATTGCTGGTCTTTACCTTGGCGAGATCTTCCGTCTTGTCTTGCTCGACCTGCACGAGGGCAAGCACATGTTCGAGGGTCAGAGCGTCGACAAGCTCAAGAAGCCCTATAACATTGATGCTTCCGTCCTTGCCGCAATCGAGGAGTGAGTGTCTTTGCGATCCCTGTTAACAAAAGCCAAGTTACTGACATGTCACCAGGGACCCCTTCGAGAACTTGTCCGAGACCGCCGAGTTGATGCGCAGCCAATTCTCGCTCCAGTGCAACAAGCCCGAGCTCGAACTCGTCCGCCGCCTGGCCGAACTTATCGGAACCCGCGCCGCCCGTCTTAGTGCCTGTGGTGTCGCTGCTATCTGCAAGAAGAAGGGCTACAAGACCGCCCACGTCGGTGCCGACGGCTCGGTGTTTAACAAGTACCCCCACTTCAAGGCCCGCGGCGCCCAAGCCCTGCGCGAAATGCTCGACTGGCCCGAGAAGAAGAACAAGCGCGACAACGATCCCGTTGAGATCATGACTGCCGAGGATGGTAGCGGTGTCGGTGCTGCTTTGATTGCTGCCCTTACGCTCAAGAGAGTCAAGGAGGGTCAACTTGCTGGTATCAAGGACGCCAAGTCCATGCTTGATTTCTAAGCGGTTTCGCCCACTCCAAGCCACGCATCTGGTAGTCTCACTTTCGAAGGAGTTGCGGATGGCGGTTGATGAGAGCAGTGATCTTGAAACCATGGGAAGATGGACATTGTAGCTTTTTGAGAAATGGCTTCTTCTCCCACCCTTATAGCTACACTTTGCCGAAAATCGAAACGAATTTCTTTAACGGATGATTGATGCAGTATTTGAGTCTCGTGATGCAATATAGAATCTGTTCTGGTTGGATCTGAAGTCAAGATTGGATTGTTCTACGTAAAACCCCTGAATGCTTGATCCGTGAGCTCAAAGACTCTCTGAATGATGGAAACAACTGGAGAAAAAAAAAAGAAACAACCGAATATATGGGTATCGTAACGGATGCAAAAGAACGCGCCAAAGACCAATGAGAAAAACAAAACAAAACACAGGGAAAGAAAAAAAACAACCAATATACCTCCCCTTTACACCTCCCGATTCCCTAATTCTTCAACCCTTTCCAACCTTGTCCTCAAAACCCCCAATCCTCATCGTCATCGCTCAAATCCCAGGATCCAGGGACCCTTCTATGTCCTCTCAATCTTCCTGCAGCAATCGCACCCGCCGCACTTGTGTTTGCTCCGTTCCCGGCGAATAAATCGTGGAATGCTGGTTCTGCTAGATTCAACGCTCCACTCGCCACAAGACGGGCTGCTATCCTGAGCATAGTGGCTACGAGATTTGCAGGGGGACCTAAGAAAAGAGCGCAGGTTTTGCGGACGAGGAGGGCGGGAGAGGTTTTGATGAGAGCGGTTGAGGAGGAGGTGGGTTTAGCTGGTGTTTGGGTGGGCGCAGGAGGGGAGGAAGAGCGAGTGGATAAAGAGGGAGATGGAGAGGGTGGGCGGCGTTGGCGGAGGAGGTCTGTTGCTTCAGAGGGTGTCAGGACAGGGAGGGTGGACCAGGAAGTTGCTGTTGAGAGGGAGGTTGTTGAGAGGGCTGGTGAGGAAGCTGTAAAGGTTGCTGTTGAGATTGTTTCGGTTGTTGATGTCGCTGGGGATGATGTTGGGTAGTCTGTGAGAAGTTGTTCTTCAGCGGAGTTTTGTAGGGTAGCTTCTTCGAGGGCGATGGCTGTTGATGTGGTCTCTGCCTTTGCTTCTTCGATCGCATCTGAAGCTCCTGTGACTGCCTGATCCTGTGGCTCTTCTGGCAAATGAGCTTCAACGATTGCGTCTTCTGCCTCCAAATGGGTGTCACTAGAGTGGTTGTGCTCAAACTCATCATCCGCTTGCTCGACGATGATCAATGGTTCGGTAGGAACAGGGGCACCATGTTCGTTCACCACAATTGCTATGGGTCTTCCAGAAATAGAGTCCAGGGGCTCATTGACAGTAGTGCTCTGATCAGAGGGTTGATCAGCGGGTTGTAGAGGCAAATCGTGGTCATGATCGGTAGACTCAGGTGTGGGTGGTAGTCTTGGAACACGAGTGGTCGAGAGAGGGCGAGGAAGGGTCTGGACGGTATCACGGCCGGTCTGATTGAAAATGCCAGCCATCTTGCGAACCTTGTTGGCCTTTGATGGAGGTGATGATTCCAGGCTCAGTTGAGGAGGAGCGGTGACTGACCGCATGGTCGCCAGTCTCTTGGATGCAAAGGGACCGGATAGTTGGGTTGGCTTGTCTCTGCTGGCCGGTCTTGTATCCTGCTCTTTCCCACTATCCTCAGCTTCTGATTTGACGGCATCGTCGATCTCTGAGCGATCAGTGTCCGAAGTGTAGTTATTCCTGTCCGGATGCAAGAGTTGCGGTTCCTCGAGCTCGGCCCCCTCAGGTCTCCAGACCTTGTCAAGTCTCCAACGTTTCGCAGGTTCAATGAACTCTCTTGACAACCTGCGCGAGTTTCTACTCGGCATCTCTGGTAGATCGTCTCCAAACCCCCTTTGGAAGGGACAAGCTGTCCTCTCATAGTACAGGACTTTGGCCAATGTCTTCTTGAGCTGCTCGACGTTCTCCAAATCTTCTTTCGTGTTTCCAGGTAATTCAATACGATAGTATGTGTTGGGCAGTACGCGCATGGCGAACTTGGAGACGCCGTCGACGCACCAACATTGTGAACGAGGGAGAATGGCGTGGAGTAGACTTCCAGAATGTAGAAATGCGACGGATCCAGGCACGCGGTAGATCTCTAGGGGTCCTGTTCTTCTCTTAGCTGTGCTGCATGCCTCTGTGTTGTGCGGTCTGTCTCATACCTGCAGCCATGGTCCGTTCAGTAGGCGATGTCCATGGTAACGAGGTCGTGCAGTCTGCTTCTCCATCATAGCTGGCAATGCTCGACCTTGAGCTAGGCCGCGATCTCAGGGAAGATGCTGAACTGAAGGATACGATCTTGGCGGAAGGATGTACGAACAACGTCTCGATGCCATCGGCGGAACCAATCTCGACTTGTTGTTGAGCCTTTGGCGGGTTCGCGAGTCTCGAAGGAAGGGTGAAAGATCGCCGCAGACCTGGAGCCGAGGCCGACGGCATATCCTTGGATGTACTGGAAGAGGGCCGCGAAGACATAGCATCCCCAAGTCCCCGGCCCGACTTGATGTTGTTAGGATGTTGGATGTGATGTCGAGGTAAGAGAAGGGTCAAGGAATAGACAGAGAAGCGAGTGCGACGGCCACCTTCATTCCAACACCTGCCTTGCCTTTTTTGTGCGGGGCATAACTGGAAGCCGTAAGACCAGTCCCTCCAATTTAAGGAGTCATTTTATGCAAGGAACCACTACGTAACAGAGCTATACAATGCTGCTCTCCTAGCTGTTTCAGATGCTAGACATTCCACTTCAGGTTATCTTATCACAACTTCCTCGAGTCATGATAGAAGGTATGCCTGACCACACACTTTTCTCTTCTCCAACTGCATATACACATAACCAACACAAGGATCTGTATCTATGCATGCACCTTGGGTTCACTGTCCTGTCCATCAACGTCTGGGATAATAACGGTTAGGGCCGCCCGCACGGCAGGTAACCCCTGGATGGTTCTGTCGGAGGTTCGGCATCGCAACACCGTCGCCATGACGTCGGTCGACGCGTCCATGATCAGCTTGAATTCAAAAATGCTGGACAGACAAATCGACAAGTTCTTGATCACACTCAAGCAAGAGCATAACAGACAGCAATGTCTAACTTCGACCCAAATGCCATCCTGCGTGGTGCGCAGCTCACCTTAGTCGGTGGTAAGCATTGAGAATTCAGTGTCGCGTGCTCCCGTTCAAGGCGACTGACAGATCCTAGCCTACCGAGCATTGCAGAACCCGAACCTCTTTACCCATGAGCACTACAGACAGGCTGCTTTGGCTGTCGCAGCTGGTATCGCTATTCGCATCCTCGTAGCCATTCCCGTACGTCGTTGTCGCTGCCTCTTGGTGCTCAGGATTGAGAAAGAATATCTGGATTAATGGTATTACAGGCCCTCGGAGTTCGTGTGCTTATCGCTTTCCTTGGACTGTTCACAGACTTGAAGAGCTCGGGATGGGACAACGAAATCATCGATGGACTGGATTTCCTCGAGCACTCTGTGCTGCAGCTGCCATTCTTCCTCATGAGTTTCATGAGATACATCAGTCCTTCCCTGGACAACATGTGAGTCTTTCGGCGTGTTCGGCAGCATGGTAGATGTGCTGACTTGCTTAAGGTTCATGGAGTCCCTCCGATGGGTCGACCAGACATACGTTCAGAAGCACAAGGGTGAAGATCCCAACCAACTACGCGCCATGTACTATCCCAACATGCGTCAATACGCACACCACGGTCCTGCTCCTGCTTCAGGGGAGAAGCCATCGCAGAACGCATCCAAGCAGGCTGCTATCAAGTTCTTGATACGCTACGGGCGCAAGGCTGGAATCTCCTTGGCCGTCTACCTGCTCTCGTGCTTGCCATACATCGGTCGCTTTGTTTTGCCCGCTGCGAGTTTCTACACCTTCAACAAGCAGGTTGGTCTGCAGCCTGCAGTCCTTATCTTCGGTAGCTCCATCTTCCTGCCCAAGAGATATCTGGTTCATTTCCTCCAGAGTTACTTTGCTTCGAGAAGCTTGATGAGAGAATTGGTATGTTTACAACTTCAGACACTTTATTTCACTGCTGAAACACTACGCAGCTCGAGCCCTACTTCTCTCGCATTCGCTACACTCCGCAACAAAAGAAGATCTGGTTCCATGACCGCGAAGGTGTTCTCTTCGGCTTCGGAGTTGGCTTCTTTGTCTTCCTCAAGATTCCTCTGCTCGGTGTTCTCATTTATGGCATCGCTGAAGCGTCGACTGCGTTCCTCATTACAAAGGTCACCGACCCACCACCGCAACCTGAAGAGTGGACCAACTTTGCAGAGACCCAGGCTCACTGGCGCAACAAGCATGAGTTCTTGAAGCTTCCTCTGGACAAGTTGGATGCTCTTAACATTACATCAACCAAAGAAGGCGAGAAACCAGACTCGACCACTATCAAGGGCCGCCAGTTTACGTAAGGTCGGCCAAGTCGTCAATTGATCCTCAGCTAGCATTCCCATGTAACAGCAACATGATTTACCACAAGAACCAAGACACGATCCATCTCCAGAATTTAATTCATCTCACCCGGAGATGTTGTACTCCGTACTCAGATAGCGTCCGAGTTATATCCAGCGGCATTCGTCCGCCCGTCCGTGCACAATATACCCCTCCATGAAGCTCCTCGATGTGGGGTATCGTGACGATAGATTGTTTACCTGCCGCTCTTGTCAATCATTCAATTGCTTATCTCTAGCCAAACCATAGTTCCCGGCACGGGCTGACTACCCTCCATGACTGATCAGAGTCTTGGATATAATATGCTGTAGCTTGCCCCGCTCAGGTTTGTTCGTTCCTTCACTAATCTTCTCTCATCCTGCTCGTCTCTCAAGCTTCAATTCTATCGTGCATTATCTCGAGTATCATCTTTCAACATGGGCAAATCGGAGATCAGATATGCTGCCAAGGTAGATTTGGAAAAGGATGCTGCTTCTCAGCCTCAGCTCCACGTACGCAATTGATACTATACCTTTCACAATACCAAGCACTCAACTGACACCCATCACAGAACCGCTGGCATCCCGATAGTACAACTTGCCGGCTCCAACACCACACAATCACCTACTGACGCAATGCACAGTCCCTTCCGCCGGCAAAATCGCCGACGGCGAAGTAGTCAAGATCGAATGCGTCGACTGGACAGGCGGTCAGATTAAGAATACTGATGATGCCGACGACATCAAGAACGTTGATTTGACCAAGATCCATTACCTCTCCGGTCCCTTTGAGATTGAGAACGCAGAGCCTGGTGATGTCCTTGTGGTGGAAATTCAAGATGTACAGCCATTGCAAGAGCAACCTTGGGGATTCACTGGAATCTTCGCCAAAGAGAACGGTGGTGGTTTCTTAGATGAGCTGTATCCTGATGCGTAAGTGTTGCTGTCTTGCTCCCTTAAACCGTGATCGGATGAGTACAAGCTACCACTAACACAACACAACACAACAGTGCAAAAGCCATCTGGGATTTCGAAGGCATATTCTGCTCTTCCAGACATATCCCACACGTCCGCTTCCCCGGCCTCATCCACCCTGGTATCCTCGGCTGCGCTCCCTCCACCGAAATCCTCACTGAATGGAACCGCCGCGAGAACCAACTCATCTCCGAATGCGCACACATGAACCGCGATGTAGCCCAACCCCCCAACCCCACCAACGTGCACGCCGGCTCCGCAGACGAACAGCTGAAGAAGAAGGTCGGCGAGGAAGGCGCAAGAACCATCCCAGGCCGCCCCGAACACGGCGGAAACTGCGACATCAAAAACCTCTCCCGCGGCTCGAAAGTCTACCTCCCCGTCCACGTCCCCGGCGCCAAATTCAGCGTGGGCGACCTCCACTTCTCCCAAGGCGATGGCGAAATCTCCTTTTGCGGCGCCATAGAAATGGCAGGTGTGATTACCATAAAGTTCAAAGTCATGAAGAATGGTGTCGAACAGTTGGCTATGAAATCGCCTATTTACATTCCTGGACCTGTGGAGCCGAATTTTGGACCTGGAAGACATATTTATTTCGAGGGTTTCTCGGTTGACTCGGAGGGCAAGCAACACTTCCTTGATACCACGGTTGCGTATCGTCAGACGACTTTGAGGTGTATTGAGTATTTGAGGAGGTATGGGTATAGTGATTATCAGATTTACCTTTTGCTCAGTTGTGCGCCTGTTCAGGGGCATATTGCTGGAATTGTTGATGTGAGTATCTCCTCCCTCGAGTGTTTTGAGACCATGACTGACGATAAATCAGATTCCCAACGCTTGCACGACTCTGGGATTGCCCATCGATATCTTCGACTTTGATATCAGACCTGAGGCTCCGGTTCAGAAGCTCGATATGGGAACTTGTGCCTTTGTCACCAAGAAGTAGAGTGTTGGAGATGATGCTTGTTGGAAGATGCTATTGGTTGGATGATGCTACTGGTTGGATCATGCCTGTTGTATCGCTTCGATTGACAGATGGAAGTAATTTGGGTATTGAACCGCAGCTGCTCAAGATCGTGGTTTCTCTTGCAATGATTCAACATAATGACAACAATGACTTTTCCTAATGAGCACGTGCAAGAGGAGAGTTCAGTTCTCGATAAAGGTGATTGTAATTTTGTTCAGCAACAACAATGTAATGTAGCAACACTTATCCGCTCTCTCATCGTATCGTCCTTCTTCTCATATAATCCTCCCATTCCTGTAACCCCCATCATTATAAATTCGTTCTGCTCATCGATCCTCAGTCTATGACAATGAGTTCGATCCCGTCGTCACGCATCATCACGCCGTCAGTGTTCTGGGAGTCTCTCAAACCACGAACCCTTGTCACTGTGGCTGCTTGCGAATCGTCGAGTACAATACTAGAGACCAGCTTTCTCTCAAAGACAGTAAGAGACCCGGAAGCCTTGGTGGATGCAGATTGAAGCGACCTTCGAACAACAGTCTCTTCTCGGATGACAGTTTTGATCTGCGAGGACTCGTGTGTCTCGTCAGTTTTCAGCGTCGTCGGCAAAGCGGAGACCAAAGATCCGTTCTTGCGGAAAGCGATGGCGAGTTGCATGCCCATGGCAAATGCTACCTTTCGGTCGACTCCGTTTCCGATCTGTCGCCATTGTGCACTTGGAAGTCCCACGACAATCTCATTATCTGGAATTCCCTGGACGCGACGAGCTTCCATCACTGTCATTAGTCGAGGCTGGTCCCAATGGAGAGTACGGCCGTTGAATGCACAGTGAGGCTTGATAGAGGTAGTTAAACACCCAACCTGACCGTTGGGGTACAGTCGAGACCAACTGCGGCTGGTTTTGGCACCACGGTTCTTGTTTTTCCATGGGTACTCAGCTATGGCTCGCTTGTACATCTTGCCGGCAGCCACTGCTTGTACAAAGCCTTGGCCGCGGGGCCAACGAGGTACCGATTGGATGATGGCTCGCGTTCTAGAATCTTCAAAGCGACAGAGTCGATGGTCTGGTGCCGGGATACATGTCTGAACATGACCTTCGGAAATATCGGGGAGATTTCGAAACGCATGTTGTGTAGTCAAAGACACAAAAGAGCAGACGTCCTTCCTGCGCTCTCCGAAAGGAACACCATTGCTAGCACGGCCGATTGCTCTTGATCTCTCTAACTCTTTACAGGAATGTGTCTGGGGTGGCGCATCAGGCGGGGTACAACCAGGCGCAGTTGCGACAATGAAGATGCGTTGACGAGACTGGCAACTACCATAGAATCCAGGATCCATGAGTAGTTGTTTGACTTGGTAACCCATGCTTACCAGACAACACAGAACTTGGGAAAAGACGTTCAGCTCTTTGGAGTTTTTGGGATTCGCAGCCATGCCAATCACATTCTCGAGGACGAGATATGAAGGCATATAAAGGTCTACAAAAGAACAGACCGAGGCAACTAGTGAGCAGTTGCGTAACGATTTGACGTCGTCCTTGTTCTGTTGTAAAACAGAAAAACCAGGGCATGGTGAGCCTGCCGCAAGGAAGTCAATGTCCCCAACAGTGGCAATTCTGCTGTCGGCTGAACGTCGTAGAGCTTTGGCCAGGTAGTCATCTACACTCCCAAGGAAAAGCTTGAGCCCGTCCGGATCCTTAGCATTAGCTCTGTAAGTATGAAGGGCGTGTTCTGCCATGTCCACTGCCCACTTGAACTCGAGTCCTCCTCCCTCCTCGAGCCCTCGGTCAAGGGATCCGCCTCCGCAAAAGATACCCATTCCTTTGAGCTTGCTATCCGCGGCGATCTCATGGTTTTGAAAATTCCATGTTGGATCAGATTGGCTGATGACGAACCACATGTCCCCTGCTCCGTCACGATCGTATGGTGCCCGAATGTGCTCAAGAGATTTGAAGCTTGCGACCGTACAGCGGCGGGTGATGGACTCCGGACCAACCTCGTAGATGTCATCGGCTGGCACGACTTGGTTTGGAGGCGCTTGCTTTTCGCCCAGATCACGACCAGATCGAAGTAGAGGTTGAAGAGTAATTTTGTGCAAAGAGAACCCGCGGATAATCGCTGGTTCCAAGGTCTCTGTCTTGCCAGTGAGATGATAAACCATAACCGTATCACCCATTCTGAAGTCTTTTCTGACCTTCTCCATCTCTGTCTCGGTGTTCCTGCATTCGCAATCGAAGTCTGACTCATGGAGCTGAACGAAATCATATGCGCCTAGGGTCGGCTCCGTACGGAACTTCTGTCTGACGAAGAAGCCCTTGCTCTCTTCCGGATCAGTGGCGTACCACTGGACAGGCACAATTGATTGGACCAATGCGGCGTCGACCGAGTCTTGTCCACAACTACAGTTGTCGCTCATAAAGAGCTCATTCTTGTATGGGTAGTATCCGTGGCCGAGTGTCGTATCGGACGTGTCGTAAAGCCAGATTACGTCAAGCTTTTGTAAGCCAGTCTTCATGGTACGGATCTCTTGCACATAGGCAAACCACGAAGTGCCTAATGAGGCTTTCCATCGAGATTCTTTGTTTGCAGCGACGCTAACAACATCTCCTCTTTTCACTGCCCTGCTAGTTGGCCGGAAGATAGGAGCAGAGGTTGAAGCACAGTCAAGTGGTGTCAGGCCCATTTGAAGTCTTCGAGAACGCTGCTTCTGAATGACAGTTGCATCGACATCCTTAAGAACTTGCATTTGAGAACTGAAAGGCATCCTGCGGAAAGACTCAAAAACAAGTGGCGTCACGACCGTTTTGTCATGTTGGGGAGCTTCTTTTGGTATAGCTCGTAGCCTTCTCGGATCAGTTTCATCAAAGATGGGATGGTCCAGTAGTGTGCTGTCAAGGCCATAACATTCCCGAATCAGGAACCCAATGTTTGCACAAAATGCCTGCCCGAAGTCGACTGAGGGATGTTTACTCAGCCACTCCTTGGTAGCGATTGAGAGTCCGTACTTTTCGTTCACATATGAGTGAAACAGTCGACGAAACAGATCAAGTGTGACTGGAGGTCCAGAGTCTTCAAGGAACTCTACCACGTACTTCGCGAATCTGAACATCCAGCGTGACACATCGTAGTACCGGGCATACTCGTTGGCAGGTCGTCCTAACTTAAACCAGACATTGCCCTTTCTGCCAAGTGAAGACTGAATACATGCAGATACAACATCGCTTTCATCTCCATACCCCTCGATAGCCAGACAACCGAATGGGACGGCTTGAACAAATCGGACCTGGTTGTTCACGCTCAGTGTTCCATCGAAAAGAAGATCATTGGTCCCGTCCTCGGACTTGAGACGATGGACAGGGTAGAGCTCGTTGGCGTGCCGATTAGCACCGGGCTCACGGTAGACAACGAAGTCGTTGAGCTGCCAGATGTTGTGTTCATCCTGTGAGTGATCTCCAGCGTTCCAGATCTCAGCGAGTTCATTGATTGCTTGACGCTCATTGACAATTGGGAGAGAAGGACGATGACCGCCATAACGAGAGGTAGGGTAGCACAGGTTTCCGCATTGTACGAGCACCTTCTGTCGTTTGGTCACTGGCAGTGAAGGCTCATGGTCCGTGTCAGCAGTTGAGCAGCTGATGTCGCGCTTTCTGGTTTTACTCTCTTCGCGTGAGGTCGATGGATCCGTGGGCTCGGGTGTTGGATATGCGAATGGCGGCATGGTGTAAAGATATATCAAAACAATACAAGACGCGGTTTAGTGACGAGAGACTTGAGAAGTTACAGTTAAAGATCAATCAAATACTAAGTGAAGAGAAGGAAGGAGCTCGCGTTTGCTCCTGCGCATATTCAAAGGAGAGGACCCGTCCCTTGCGCTCGTGCTGCTTTCCATATTGAACAAGGGAAGCTGGAGGGAGGCTACTTGGAGCGGGTCGATGTGGAGCACCTTGCCAAAGGGATAATTAAGTGTAATGAAGGCTGAGGAATTTATGCTCCTCACTTGTGCCCTGACAATGTTGGCATCTTGTTGCCAACCGAGGTTTGGCACTAAGAGTCATCCCGCATTGGTGGAATCTCGAGCCAAATTCTTGAGACGCCTCAACTTTATACCTTGTACGCGACAATATCAATATGGCACCCAAGAAGAAGGCCGCACAGGCCGACAAAGGACGCATTGAAGATGAAGTTGAAGAGCCCCTCCAGGCAGTGGTACGTTATCCTCGCCCGATCTGCTTCACAGGCACTGACTGGTATAGATTCTCGCAGACTCATTCGAGACCCGCTTCAGCCCTTTCACACTTGAACGACCTCGCGTATGTAAAGCACCTCAAGAGAAAGAGATAAACACCTTCTGAGAATCGCGCAGTGTCTACTTCCCTTGGCCAACACTCCTCTGATCGAATACACCTTCGAATTTCTTGCCAACGCTGGTGTCGATGAAGTCTTTGTCTACTGCGGCGCCCATACCGACCAGGTCGAAGAATACGTCCAGCAATCCAAGTGGACCTCGAAAGTTTCTCCTTTCAACAATGTCGAAATCGTCCGCTCCTCGTCCAATTCGATCGGTGATGCCATGCGCGACCTCGATGCGCGCGCCGTCCTTACTGGAGACTTCCTGATCGTCTACGGAGATGTAGTCAGCAACCTGCCTATCGAAGCCGCCATTGCTGCCCACCGTCAACGTCGCACAAAAGATAAGAACGCCATCATGACCATGGTCCTTCGCGAGGCCGGCACTGTCCACCGCACCAAAATGCAGCGCGTTTCTCCCGTTTTCGTTCTCGACCCTACCAAGAATCGTTGTCTGCATTACGAACAAATGCGACCGAACCAACCCTCACATCTCGTCACCCTGGATCCTGATATCTTGAAAGAGCACGATGAACTCGAGATCAGGGAGGATTTGATCGACTGCGGTATTGATATTTGCACGCCGGACGTCCTTGCTCTTTGGAGCGACAACTTCGACTATGAAGCACCGAGAAAGGGTTTCCTTCACAGTGTCCTGAAAGACTATGAATTGAACGGCAAGACTATCCACACACACATCGTCGACGAGCATTACGCAGCCAGAGTTAAGAACCTGAGAGCGTACGATGCTGTTACGAAGGACATTCTCAGCAGATGGGCATACCCGATCTGCCCTGACAGCAATCTCGTGCGCGACCAGACATACAGACTCACTAAAGGCAATGTCTACCGTGAAGAAGGAGTTGTCCTTGCAAGATCATGTCATATTGGCTCGAGGACTGTCATTGGTAGAGCAACTGCAATCGGTGATGGAAGCGAAATTTCAAACAGCGTTATTGGCAGGAGGTGCATCATCGGCAGGAACGTCAAGATCGACGGCGCATACATCTGGGATGACGCTTCTATTGGCGACGGCACTGTGGTCAAAGATGCGATCATTGCGAACGAAGCCTCGGTCGGCAAGAAGTGCAACATCATGCCTGGCGCCCTGCTGTCATACGGAGTCTACATCTCTGACGGCATGACAATCAACTCCAGAATCACAAAAATGAAGCGCGAGTCAGGTTATGAACAGGATGAGATTGTACGAGGGCAGACAGACAAGGAAGTTGTTGGCCAAAAAGGAGAAGGCTTCGAATATGAGACTTCAGAAGACGAAGATGAGGACGACCAGGAACACCACAGCCTGCACTCTTCAGGCATCTACAACATGCAAAACCAATCGGCCGAATCAATCTCGACACTCAATTCAGAAACATACAGTGAAGAGTATGAAGGCAGAGCGGAGAAGAGCTCGAGATCTGAGAGCTTCCTCTCCATCGGATCTGTGGATTCCGAAGACAGCAGAGCCGGTCGCGAGGCTGTCGATTTCCACCACGACGCAGCAGCCAGTATCTACGACTCACTGCAAAAGGGTGACGAGGCGGCCAACATCCAGCTCGAACTCACGGCCTTGCGTATGTCTGCAAATGCTTCACCGCACATGGTTCGCCGTGCAGTGGTGGCAGCTTTCATGAAGCGTATGGCAAGTCTGATGGAAGAGGGTCTCACACCAGCACAAGCGGCAAAGAAGACGATACCAACCCAACAGATGCTGATCGAACGCACCATGTTCGATCGTGGTGAAACCTACCCAGAAAAGATCGATCAGGTGGACTTCCTGTTGCTTGTACAGGCTGATGTATGCCACCGTGCGGATGGCGAGAAGATCATGCTTCATGTCTGCAACGAACTGTACATGGGCGATGCGCTAGAGTTCGAGGGAGTGATGCAATGGTGGAAGGATGAGAAGAGTGAGGGCAGCGATGAGTTGAAGCAGATCAAGCTTGCTATGGGCCAGTTTGTGGATGCTATCAAGGCTGCAGAGGAGAGTGAGAGCGAAGAAGAGAGCAGCGAAGAGGAGAGTGAGGAAGAGGATGAGGAAGAAAGCGACGATGAATAGATCAAGGTGGCACGATACCCATGAAATAAACTCCCTTGAATACCTTGATCAGTATAACAATGAATTCAGTGTATAGAAGCTGGAAAGAGGAAGCAGCGAACAAAGAGCATCTTGCATCGAGGGCCTTCTTGGCGTTTGTGGAATGTCTTAAAGCCGGGTGCAGGTTGGCAGGATCTCGAATCTCTGGCCGACAGATTGGTCTCGGAGTCTTGAAATCGAAGAACGCCATCAGAACGCCTTTTACGCGGACGTGATTAAGGCATCAGTGTCGGAATCCCAACACGCCCAGTTTCGGTCTTTTCCTGTCACCTGCAACGCAGCAACGCAGTCGGACTGTCAGCCGTCACTCTCACCCACACACCAATCGCTGCCCCTCTCCACACTACTCGTACACTCACTTCCGTCATAGCGGCCCAGGCGACCGTCTCGTCGCCACATATCGCAACCACGCCTCCACTCACCCGCAAACGCAAGCTGCTGTCGCCGGACACGGCCGCGAAGCAGAAACCAAAGATCAACCATCCCGCCCAGTCACCCGCCGCCTCCGTCACTGCCGACTCACACCCTGCCAAGCAGCACGTTACCGACGCCGCTGAAGATAAGCCCGCTGCTTCACCCGACCAACTGCCCGCTACGCCTCAGACCCTCAAGGGCTCCGTCAAAGCTATGGACTCCGACGATGACTACAACAGTGTTGCTTCGCTGAACAGCGATATGGAATTTGGTGAAGACGATGAGAATAGCAGTGTTGCCGATTTCGCTGCCGGTATGTCGCATGCTACTCGTGATATGAATATGCACACTGACAGTGATGCTACAGACTCCGACATCGACCTGGATGATGATGGAGACATCGGTTTCGACTCACAAGACAAAGATCTCAAGCCCCGCAAGAAAGCTTACGAGGTCGACTTCTCCGTATACAGCCCACAAGACATCCAGACCCAACAAGACCGACAAATAGAGGAGGTCTCTAATATTCTTGGCCAGCCTCATGAAGCAACGGCGATTCTCATGCGCTACATGCGCTGGAACAAGGAGCGTCTGATTGAGCAGTACATGGACAAGCAAGAGGAAGTTCTGGAGAAGGCCGGCCTCGGTCAGGATGTTGCTGGCCTGCCCAGTTTGGAGGTCATCGACGGGTTCGTATGCGACATCTGCTGTGACGACACACCTGGATTACAGACATTCGCCATGAAGTGCGGCCACCGCTTCTGCGTTGACTGCTATCGTCAATACCTAGCACAAAAGATCAAGGACGAAGGAGAGGCTGCTCGTATTCGCTGTCCTGGCGAGCAGTGCAACAACATCGTCGATTCCAAGAGCCTTGAACTTCTCGTCACACAAGATCTCAAGGACAGATATCAGGAGCTTCTCACAAGGACGTACGTTGATGACAAGGACAATCTTAGGTGGTGTCCTGCCCCCAACTGCGTCTATGCTGTGGAATGTCCGGTCAAGCAAAAGGAGCTCAACAAGATTGTCCCCACCGTTCACTGCGATTGCGGCCACAACTTCTGTTTCGGTTGTCAGCTAAACGACCACCAACCCACACCTTGCGTGCTTGTCAAGCTGTGGATGAAGAAGTGCGAGGATGATTCAGAGACAGCCAACTGGATCTCTGCAAACACAAAAGAATGCCCAAAGTGTAACTCGACCATCGAAAAGAATGGCGGCTGCAACCACATGACCTGTCGAAAGTGTAAGTACGAATTCTGCTGGATGTGCATGGGCCTTTGGTCAGAGCATGGCACAAGCTGGTACAACTGCAACCGTTACGAAGAAAAGAGCGGTCATACTGCACGCGATGCCCAGGCCAAGAGCCGTGCATCTCTTGAGCGCTATCTCCATTACTACAACCGCTACGCCAACCACGAGCTGTCTGCCAAGCTTGATAAGGACATCTATCTCAAGACTGAAAAGAAGATGATGCAGCTCCAGTCGACGTCAGGCATGTCTTGGATCGAAGTTCAATTCCTTGACTACGCGTCACAAGCCCTGCAGCAATGCCGTCAGACTCTTAAGTGGACCTATGCCTTTGCCTATTACCTCGAGCGCAACAACTTGACCGAGATCTTTGAAGACAACCAAAAGGATCTTGAGATGGCTGTTGAGGCTCTGAGTGGCATGTTTGAAAAGCCCACCGACCAGCTTAGTGGACTCAAGGTCGAGATGATGGACAAGACCACCTACTGCAACAAACGTCGTATAATCTTGCTCGACGACACCGCAGACAACTTGAAGAAGGGTGAGCCTTTATCTTTGTTCGACCTTCGACCCTCTTGACTGACCTCATATCATCAGGCAATTGGAAATTCAACGTTGACGAGCTCTCCGAAGAATAGTCTTCTATCCATAACATTTCACGATACCGCATTCACAGGCAACACATTGGGGGACTGGCGTTTCTCACAGCTTTTGCTGGAGTATCAACTGGGTTGATTTTTTCTGTTCTCTTTAATCAAACGACTCATGGGGGCATGGAAACAGGGTTGGGGAGTTCTTCTTTTGAGCGTTAGCATCCGCGTGGGTCATTGGGAAGGGAGGGAGTTATCTTTCCTTCCTACAGCCTTTCCAAGCATACCTATTAGCCGTAGCAGTTATAGAAATGTCTATCTACTTTATTCTCATAATTATCTCAGGCCTCACCGTGCCTACCCAAACTTAGCAAGCTTTTCACGGCTAGAGGGGTGAAGTCAAGCAATGTTGGTGGTGGCCTCTCATTATTGGGACGGATCGTGAGCAGGCTTAGGAGAAGCTGGATAGTATGCAGTAATTATGTTTTGTATATTGTTATTTGTCTTTTAGTATCAAGCGCTTACCAAGGTCCTTCCCTTTGGACATGGAATTGCGAATGGGTTGTTGCATACTGAAGGCGTTGCAGACATCAGTCGTCAAAGAGAGAAGATTAGTGAATGTCTTGATCCCAACTTCAAACATCCCTTCACCCGATGTCTCGTCTTCTGAAAATCACTTGCATGTTTTACCTTCTGACCTCCCCGAGTGCTAAACTTTGTCACGCATAAAGCTGTAGCAACGCACAATGATTCTTGGAATCGATCTTAGGGCCAAAGAGAGAGCTTTGGAGAGTTGCCCTTTGTGGACGAAGCGGTTGTATTTAACATTGTCTTGCATCCGGGCAGGTGTTTCAACGTGCATCGCTGGGGCGAGAGGGTTGATGTGACAAGGTTCAGAACAAGGGGAGGATGTTTTACCTTCTGAAATGTCTCCAAAAAAAGATAGGATAAAATAAGATATAGGCTTCCATAGTTGCGAATACTAAGCATCCAGGTTTATACATCCAACAGACACTGGTGACTTCTGGAAGGTGTGTCTTCGATTAGGCCCAAGAACATTCGGTGACCCACATGTGCATAGTCCTAGTAAGACACTCTTCTACAAAGACAATCAGCGATAGAAAGACAGAACGAAGAGAGATGCAGCTGTATAAAATACTCATATCAACACCATCAACCTCTTGCATACCATCTATCACACTCCCACTCTCCACAATGGAGCCAATCCTCCTAGCCTTCCTCACAGGCTTCATCCTCGCCCAAGCCATCAGACTGGCCAAAAACCACAACATCCCCATCGAAACCCACTACACCGCTGTCCTTCACATCTCCGCAGCGTTCTACTGGCTCAACTTTCTCAACGACTGGGGGTATTCCACTATAGGCATTGCTTCGTTCATCACGCTCGGGGCATGGGTCGGCGATATGCCAGGCTGGCTGTTATGCGCGCCTGTGGTGCCAGCAAAACAGGAAGAAAAATGTTTCCGCACGGCAGAGGTGGATGAATGTCGTGAGGTCGTCAAGAGCGGAACGCCTGCTGGCGAGGCGAAGAACGCGATTCCAGGGTTGGAAGCGAGAGCAAGACCGAATCAGCGGTTGAAAGTGGCGTTTGGGATTGACAGTTGTTTTACCTCTTCGGACGAGAGAGCTTGCAAGAGTTTCAGAGATGGGGTCGAGAAGTTGCTTTATGTGGATGAGGCCGAGTGGATCAACTATGGCGATGCTGCTCGCGCAACCGCAAGGCAAGCACTCGACGTCGAAAGCGATTCGACAAGCCTTTTCAGTGTGGTTCAGCTGATGACACTAAAGACGATGATGAAAGTGTTGTGGCCCGATCAATTCTTCGAGCACATCACAAATGAACAAATCTCCACACTCGCTCACGAGGTCAACCTCCAATGGCTTCGTTCCAAGGAAGGCAGCGACAACAGCGACGACCCATTCTGGAATTTCGACAAGCAGACACCCCTCAAGGATGCAGTCAAGACTGTGTTTTCAGACTGGGATGAGACAGACAGCAAGAAGAATCCATGCAATTTGATACTCCCTGGCTACGAGACCATGTGGCGTGTCGTCCTCCGCTGCTTTGTTGAAGTCGTTGCTCGCGATCATGACCAGTCGACCAATTGGGAGAAAACTCTACGGGCCTTCTCGAAGATTCCGACGAAACAGCAGCTCAAGGAATCATTCTGTAAAGCTGATGTGCCGGTCACAGCCGCTCATATCGCTAAAGAAGCGCTTCGCCTGTATCCACCGACCAGACGTATCTACCGTGAATATCACGACGCCGCTGGCCAGAAAACTAACGTCTCCGCTGACATCGAAGCCATGCAGCGTGATCCTGTTCTTTGGAGAGATCATCCAAAGCTGGTTTTGCCAGACCGTTGGATCGATATCGCGGAGGGTTATGATCATGGCTTCATGCCTTTTGGTGCCAAACCTTTCAACTGTCCTGCCAAAAGGTGGAAGAATGTGCCCATGCCATTTGGTATCTCTATGGTTGCGCTGCTCGTTGGCGCTTTGATTGAGGCTACCCAAGGCAAGTGGACAATTCACGGCAACTTCCCAGACAAAACGCATCCGCTCGACACTGATCGTGAGGCGTACGGTGATGCTACCCTGCAAAGACTGTGATGGCCGAAAAAAAAAAACGTCAATCCAAGAGCGATCGTGCCTATGCGTTCCCCAAGTTCGACCGAGCAAAAGAACAAGGACAAACCCGGCAAAGCAAAAGAACAGCACCATGAGCAGGATTCGAACCTGCCACCTCCTGATTCATTGGGACCACGTCAAGCGAACGACCACGTGCCCAAACTTAACCAGGTATGCAACCACTACACCACCACGGCTTTTTACTGCTTGTTGGAGGTACCTAAGAATTTCGAATATAAAGGTTGGTGGATTGCGGATGACTAAGGGAGCAGCAGGAGGGTTGATGACTGGATGCTGCGGGATTTGAGGTGGTTTGCGAGATGCTTGGGCTTTGCTCTGCAACTCTTCCAAGAGAGTGTCCATACAGGATGACAAGAAAGCCTCAGCCAGTATTGATATGTCTTTTCTTTCCGTGCAATTGTGATGAGCGTTTTGATGTGAAAGCGCGAATTGAGAGAGCGACGTTTGAATCCAGGCCGGTCTTTCAAGCAAGTCCTTTCCACGGATCCTCAATAAACGACGGCATAAAAACAACCATATCACCCCTAGCATTCTTGACGCCCCTCCTCAAAGCCGCAAGCTCTTCACGCGACGGAAAACCAGGAGTCCAGTCATCTGCCTCCGCCTTTCCTTCCTCTCTTGTGTCTCTCTCCTGTTCTTGCTCTGTCGCAACCACCGTCGTCATATTTGTGTCTCCTTGCTCTTGAAACTGCTCCTGTGTGGCGCTCACTGCCGGTCTTTTGCCTAGTGGGACGTCATTCGCGCCAGTGCTAGCTGCAATCTGATTGCCGCTGTCGTCGATGAAAGCGTCGTCTGCGCGTGCGGTGTGCTTGCGACGTTTACTGCCGAAGCTGGTGAAGCCCATTGCTTCTGCGATAGCTGGGTCGATCTCTAGGTCGTCCATTGTTGTGTTTGGTGGTGTTCGATCGATGTGGTGGAAGATGAAAGAGGAAAGGTCGGTTTGAGTTGATGGATATAGATGGGTGGGGAAAGTTGTGTGGTCCACGACGAAGCTCTTGGTTTTGGAGGGGCTTCACTTTCATCTCCATTGTTGATCGACATTGCACTACTAGTAGGTGCAATCAGTTTAAACTTGAATTAAATCATTGGAATTTTGAATTGCCTTGCACTTTGAAATTGTTACTTGCCGGACGAGAGCAGACTCTAGATCACCATGAAATTCCAGCGCAATAGACAGAAAGTAGGCTTTCAAGAAATTGTATACAGACGACCTGCATCAAGCAGATCTCTTCTAATTTAATCCCATATACCTCTGTTCCCAGAAAAAAGAAACGCCTTGTGATGCACCAAACCAGCTTCCAAACACCCAGAAAGAAGTTTCACCTTTTTGACCCTGCTCTTTTCAATATCTCCCACCGCGACGATGACCCAACTCCCTTCTCTTGTGCAAGCCCAAATGTCTCTTCCTCAACACCTGACCATCCACACAAGTCGTACCAGCCGCAACAGAGCCAAACGCAACATGTCCGAAGTTGCAAATACCGAATTCATCGGAGCCATTGCAGACCAATGAGCCATCTGGGCTGCAGGTCGAGGTATCGGAGGAGTTGGCGGAGGAGTTTGTAGAGGCGATGATTTGATTGGAGGAGCAGATTGTACCGGGGGCTACTGGTTGCCAGATTACGGTGTTGAAGTTGCAGAGGCCGAATTGGGTGGGGCCGTTGCAGAGGAGGAGGCCGTTTGTGGTGCAGGATGTGCTGTTGGTGTATGGGGGTGGGATTGTGCTGGTTGTAGGTGTAGGTGCTGGAGGGATGGATGGAGTTGCGATTGATGATGAGTATGTAGTGGTGGTGGTGTTGATGGACGATGACACAGGCGTAGAGATCGTAGATACCGAGGTGACTGTGGAGCTTTGCGAGCTTGTAGCACTTCCAGTATTGCTTCCGGTCGCCGTTGCTTGGCTCATGGCAGCACAACCACTTCCAGTCGGGGGTGCGAGGGCTTGTCTGTCGAAAGTTGTGACATATTTGCCAGGATTAGGGATCTCAAGGTTGCTACTGAGTTGACTGCCGCATTGCGAGCTGGGCAAGTTGACTCTGAACATGTCTTCAAGCTGGTCGAACTCGGTTGTGTCTTCTGCGCCGCCGGAGACCGTGATGGGTGCGCAGTTCATATAAAACTCTGGTTGTCCGCTCAGCTTCGACACCCAGCTCCAGGCTAGAGTGGCTTGACCGTTGGGGACTTCCGGTGGAATGGTGTAGTTCCAGGGATCTGTGCCGCCGTTGGCATTGTCGATAGGACAGCCGCCAATCCAGCTGGCGATTGTTTTGAATGTGCTTTCGGCGGTGGGTCGTCTATCCAGGGTGACGCTTAGCTGACAAGAACCTCCGCCGTGAGATGCGGATCCGTCGAAGGTCATGACTTGAGGCTCGCCAGCCATCAGTTCGTTCTCTTGGTCGACGATGAACGGATCAGCGCCGCCAATGCGCTTGGATTGGCAAGGAAAGTCTGATTGCTCTGTGCCAGGTAGAGCATTTTTAAGAGGATCAAGCTGCAGAGTGCTTTTGGAGTAAGGCACGGGTTTGTTGAGCTTGAGGTGACATTCGACCAGGAAGGGCAGTTGCGCCAGAAGCAAGATCTTTGATGTTGGTAGGGGAGACATACTTGCTGGTGTTTAGACGAGTTGGAAGATGAGATGGTAAACAGAGATCAAAACAAAAGACAAGAGGAGGCATCCTTATAAGAAATGCTCAATAGGAGGACAATCGAAAAGGATGAATAGCGTAGAATGTGCTAGCCCCATTGTCAAGGTTCCAATTCAGTCTGACTCGCACGGAGAGAATGTGTATGTGGTAGGGACGTGTCTTGACCGAGTCCCATGTTTCGAGATCGACCAATGGGCTTGCAAACTACAGCAGAGGACATTACTTACGCGGTGGGAGCTGGACGTGTTTTTGGAATGCGCAGGAACTTTCTTGACGCGAGGCTAACACTCGAAGACCAATCTACATCAGAGGAATGGAGTCGAACGCGAGAGACATGGGTCGAGACATTGATTCTCGGCAGCCTTGACATTCACTGACGTCTGTGGACGTTCTTTGACTTCTTGCAAACTCGAATGATGTCTCTTCTCTGGAGTAGATGAGACATCTTCAGGTGAACATCCAACAATGTCGAGAGGATAGTTCCTGCAAGAAGTTGAGACTCGGCGTCGACAAGAGGTTGGCTTTCTGCCAATCGTCATCCGTGCACCAAACGACGCTTCTGACATGTGATGCGGCACCAAACCGCCTCCTCCTTTGACACGACCTGACGTTGGGAGAGATGCCGGACTCAACGACAGCTGATGGCCACTCGAAACAACAGCGTGACTGCTTTCCTAAAAGCATTGATAAGACTCTTCTTCGATGTAGCTTTCTTTTGGCAAAAGGTTTGTTGATTGGACTGGCTCATCATCATGTTCCCAACTGATTTCCTACAGCGTTTGTGGACGTGGTGGACTCGTCGTAGTCAAAAGGACATTCAATTGGAATGTCTGAATGCTGCTCGTTATTATGAAGAATGGGAAGCTGCAGCATTCGCTTTAGATGAGCTTTACGGCAATGACCTCTGGTTGGTCCTTCCTCGTGTGGTTGTTGGGAACGATGGCTTACGATTGTTCCTCCATCTAGGCGACAGAATCCTTCTTCCAAACATTATGATTATCGACTCATTCATTCAAGATTACAATACATCCTTGAAGCTCGAGAAGATGAAGATATTCTTGGACTAGTAAATCTTCTTCGTTCCGGACTGGTCCGCAACCTAGGAAATATCACGGCACCTCGTCTTTACAACCGAGCCTATGCCGGAACGAAACTCTTGATTGAGGATTACATCACTCAAGTCGCGTTGGCTGTCGAGTTTGTGACAGCATATCCTACCTCACCTATATACGATGCAGGTTTGAGCAACCAGGCGAAGCTCGACTTGCTTCATGATACTCGACAGGCGTTTGGGCGTAGCGTGTTGGTCCTCCAAGGAGGATCCATCTTCGGTCTCTGTCATATCGGCGTGGTGAAAGCGTTACATCTACGAGGTCTTCTGCCCCGAATCATCTCTGGAACTGCCACCGGTGCATTGATGGCAGCTCTTGTCGGCGTGCACAATGAGGATGAGCTGCTGAAGTTCCTAAGTGGAGAAGGCATCGATCTCTCTGCTTTTGCTACACGTTCAGCTGAAATGGCCAAGAAGAGCAAAGGAAATGCCATACAGCATGGATGGTTCGCGTCTTGGTTCCGACGCGCCAAACGCTTTGTGACTGAGGGATATCTGTTGGATGCTTCGGTGCTGGAGGAGTGCGTTCGTGCAAACGTTGGCGATCTGACCTTCATGGAAGCCTATCAGCGAACGAAGCGTGTGCTCAACATAACAGTGGCTCCAATGGGCAACGGCATGCCTAACCTGCTAAATTACCTGACGGCGCCTAATGTGGTATGTGACCGGAACGGCCCTGCGTGAGACTTTCAAAACTGACATGTCTAATAGCTCATCTGGTCGGCAGCCCTAGCTTCCAACGCATCCGACGTTCTCTACTCCCCCGTGACCATGAAATGTAAAGACGAACAAGGCAACATCGTCCCCTGGGCCTCCACACACCCTTCCCACCTCCGCCCCTCCACCCCTCTTGGCTACGCTTCCGACCGCGACTCCCCCCTCACCCGAATAGCCGAACTCTTCAACGTAAACCACTTTATCGTCTCTCAAGCCCGCCCCTACATCGCCCCTTTCCTCCGCAGCGACCTCCACAGCCCGAAACCAGGTTACAAAGGTCGCTCCTCTCTAACAACATCCCTGATGAAAGTCATGGTCATGGAAGTTCAACATCGACTCCACCAACTCGATTCTCTAGGCTACCTACCCGCGCAAATCCGCCGTTTCCTACTCGACGAAAACATCCCTGGTGCTTCTTTGACTTTGGTTCCTGAAGTCAATACCACTGATTTCTTCAAACTGCTCGAAAATCCTACAAGGCAGAGTGTAGAGTATTGGATTTTGAAAGGAGAGAAAATGGTTTGGCCTGCAGTTGATGCGTTAAAGGTACGATGTGCGGTGGAGGTGGAATTGGATAGAGGCTATCAGATTGTGAGAAGACGGAAACCATTTGATGCTAGTCCTATGGGTTCGAGGGATGGAGGTATGAGGTTGGACAAAAAGGGGATTAGGAAGAGGAGTTCGAGTTCTGCTTTGGAGTGATGGTTGGGTTGTGGTAGTGACGAATCCTATGCGCTGTTTATTTCTGTCACAAGAGTGTCAAGGGCAACGGTGTACACGCGGGTGCTGGCATGAGTTTGCTGCATCGTGTGTGAGAGCTTGTGTGACTTGTGAAGTGCTGTGCTACAACGATATTGAGCCATTTGCACATGTGCTGTGATACTGTGACAATGTGCTGGCTTGGAGCAGGTTTCTGATATATGGCGGACTGCTGTCTGCTAGTTATGTGCAGACTGACGTTTGATGTCTCGGAATATCCGAACTGTGATTATCGTCAAGTGCTTATCCAGTCATGTCTAACTCACCTCCGCGCTCACCATTCTGGCAGCCCGAGGATCCTCATCAACGTCAAGACTCCATCCTCCTCAACAAGGTCAGCCATGCAAGCCGACAAGATTGGGAACACTGGCCCTCCCTGGACACGAGCTACCATACACACACGAACTCAACCTCACCACCACATTCACACCCACCAGACACTACCACAGACAAAACCACACCCAATGATGAACGCCAAGAACACCCTTACCACCAAGCACATCCAAAATGCACCCTGAAAACCGTCCTCCTCAACTGGTGGTCCGAAATGCTGTGGCTCTCCTTCGCAACCACAAACCTCACCCTCATAGCCATACTCCTCAGCCTCCTCTCCAACAACCCCCTCACAACCTGGCAATTTCCAATCTCCATGAACGCCGTGGTATCAGCAATGATGATAGCCACAAAAGCAGCACTCATCTACACATCAGCAACCTGCATCGGCCAACTGAAATGGCATCATTTCCAACATTCCCTCCACGGCCATTGCATTCACGATTTAAAACTGTTCGATGAAGCTAGTAAAGGACCTTTAGGTGCGATCAAATTGTTAGCGAGAGCGAGGAAAGTAAATATCGTTGCTTTGATAGGGGGGGTTATAATCACCACAGCTGTGTTTATGGAAACTTTTGGCCAGCAGGTTTTGGTGTTTGTGGATAGGAAAGTGGAAGTGAGTGGGGCGGAAGCAATGTTTCCGAGTACGCAGACATTGGCTGGTGAGCAGGGTTGGTATTTGGATTATGTGATGATGAGTGATTTGCAGAAATTGTTGCTGACGAGTATTTTTCAAGGGGATGGGGTGCCTGGGTTTGGATGTGGGAGTGGAGAGTGTACGTGGCCTGATTCTGCTACTTTGGGCATATGTTCGAGGTGTAGAGATGTTACTGCCACCAGTGATGGGAGTTGTGAGGGAGACTCAAAGTCGTTGGATTGTGAGTATAGGACACCAGAAGGTGTGGAGTTGGGAGGAAACGTGCAACCTGGAGGTCCGATGCCATTGATCAATACGACGACTGTTGATGGCGTGTACGATGCCACACCGAGCTTCTATAACTTTTCGACTCTGGTTGTGGCGGCGAATACTAATTGGACGGCCAAGTTGACGACATGCGAGTTATCGTGGTGTGCTTGGGCATATGAGAACGCCACTTCTCGAGGAACAGATCTCGATCTCGGTATTGCCAGGCAATTTCCACTGCAGTTCGCAGGGACTTGGGATAAGACGAACGATACATCGAATCTTGTCGACACCCAGAGCGTCTGTACGGCAACTGGCGACTATCCTGCCGAGTTGAACAACACCTTCACCATCAGCCAAGGCAAAGAATACTTCCTGAAGTACGCCGTAAGGCTGATCCTCAAAGCAGGTTACCAAGGCGCAGATTTCTACACCCAACTCACATTGGCGACTTCTTCGTTCGACTACACAGATACGACTGCAATGTCAAGCAACTTGGCGGCATTCATGACAAATGCTCTCCGAACGCAAGATGGCATGCAATCGGTCGGCACAGCATGGGAGTCTGTGACATTCATCGAAGTCCGTTGGGTATGGCTGCTTCTCCCAGCAGCCGTCGTACTCGGAAGCGCGATACTACTGGGTTTGACGATAGCCCAGAGCACAAGACATGGCACAGTGCTCTGGAAAACATCATTATTGGCGTTTTTGTTCTGCTCCACACACGCGTGGATTGCCGATACGGTTGCCCGAGACGACAAGACACGATCGTTGAGTTCCATGGAAAAAGCATCCAAGAAGATGGAAGCAAGATTGGAAAGAGATGAGCAAGGTCGATATCAACTTGTTCAGATCTGATGTGTGGAAACAAAGTTGAGGCTCTTTTGGGAAATGCATCAAACGCCGAGCCGTTGCCGAAGAGGGAGGCATGTGAAAGACTGGGGAACGCGGGGAATTGGTCAATCGTCAATCGTCATCATCGACTCTTTGGAGTAGAAAGTAGCTGATACTTAACCCTATTCGTTTCCCTGTGATAGCCCTGTACTTGCTATCACATATCCTCCTGATAGCCCCAATAATATCCTCAAAGCCGAAACATCTTCCAGTACCAACCATGGGTCATGTGAGTCTGGTTGACAATTTCCTTCGAGAGCGTCGGCTAATGGGGTAAACAAGAAATCATTGAAAGACACAGCCAAAGACAACCCCAGTCAACTGGGCGATCCTGTTTCCTTGAAAGCAGAGACATCCAACACAGAGCCTACCGAGAATGATCGTCCCAACAAGTCAGGCGACGGACACAAGTCATTGAAGGATCTTGCTCAGGAGAACCCTACACAGCTAGGCGACCCAGTGAGTCTCAAAGCAGAGACCAGCAACACCGAGCCAACCGAGAACGACCGCGGAGCAAGCAAGGCACATCCAGAAAAGACGGGCAAGCCAAAGTTGTAAATTTGTATTATCACAAAGACATGAATTCATGACGGAAAGAGGAAAGGCTAGTGCTGTGCACCGCGTCTTCGTCTTCCTTTTACTCTGCCTTCATCTTCCACTTCTTCCTCCTCTTTGCCCTTTTGTAATGGGGCGCTGAGGTTCCATTCGTCCATGTCGTACCAATCTTCGCCATCGCTCATTTCGCCTGCGTGACCTTCTGTCTTGCACCAGCGCCAAACGTCCTTTCTCATGCGGTCTGCTTTGAGTAAACCTTCGAGCATTTGTTCCGACTCGCGAACGACTTGTTCTTGTTTCTGACAGTAGAGAAGTAATAATCGGCGTGTATCATCAGCCTCAGTTGCAGGTAGACCATAGTCGCGGTCTGGTAGTGCTGAATCTGGAACGTGGAAGAAGCCGTGTATTGAAGGTAAAGACGACGGAGCGGGTGACGAGGAAGGGAAGTTAGGATCGGGTGTGGGAGAGGTGCGGGCTTGACGTCGAGTCGTCATTGCGTGTTGAGTCAAACCCTCGGGTGAGGCATCTGGCGACGGAAGGGTGTTTGAGGGATTCTGAAGATTGAGGCCGTCCGGCTGGGTGCCGTTTTGTTGTGACGGGTCTGCTTGTGTTTGTGTTTGTGTTGTAGGGTCAGGTCTGTAGTGGTCTATGGCATGAGTCTCGGGGGGCATGGTGGTCGACATTGAGTCTTCAACAGGAGCGGCCGAGGGGTCCAATAGCATCATGTCGTGTTCTGACTCGAGCTTGCCAACGGGAATCCAGTGATCGTCGCCGCGCAACCTCAACAGTAGCTGTTTGATGTGTGTCAGAGTCTGCTTTTCGCGGTGCATAGCCTGGCGAGCGTTCTCAGCCATCTCGCTGATGGGCCTCGAGAGGAAGGGCACAGAGAGAGAGGGGTGTTCGGCCAGATCGGCGGCTGAAGTCAAGGGAGCGAGTAGTTCTTCCAGCTTTGTGGCCGCCCATGGGTTGTCCTCTTGATCAGGGTTGTCCTCGTCTTCATTGTCGTACTCGTCATCGTCAATCAAATCGCCGTCGTCGTCGAAGCGGAGCGGGTTCTCATTGAGGATGTAGCGGTCGTAGCCAGCGTAGTCGACACGCTTCTTGTAGCTGCGGCCATGTGTAGTATCGAGACGGCCTTCGCGCACATGACGGGCATTGCGCTTGAGCTTGTTGCCGCGGTTGGTGGGCTGGGTGATGGTTGTGTCTGAATCCGAATCCGTGTCGCGGCGGCGCATGGCCAGCTTCATGCCGCGTATCGTCTCGGCGATGATAGTCTGTTGTGCCGCCATGCTGATGAGAGGGGCAGGGCGTGATGGGAGAGGTTATGTGGTGAAGGAGTGGGAGGAGAAATTCAGGTGTCAATTGACACGCTCAGTCCAAACTCCGCATGCCCCAGCTTCAAAGGCGCGCGCGTCATTGGCACGGGGCAGCGAATATCATTCGAATATCATTTGTCGCATCTCACCTGCACACTGCAATTTAGATCGCGCATTGCTGCCATGACATGATTTCGCAGACATGGAGGCTTACCCAGAAGACTATGTCTCCCATAACCTGCCATTCATCGCCCTGGCTGGTCTACCAGCCGCCGATCAGTCGACCAATGCCTCCTCACCATCTACCACGAGTGCTGCTCAAGGCAATGGCTTGAGGATCGCCGACAACTCTCCTCCGCTATCTGGTCCTCATGCAGACTCTATTCTGGACGAGTTCTTGCGTGCAGATGGTGCTTCTCTGTCCTGGAGTGATCAAGCTATCACAGACAGATCCGGCTTGATTGGCTTCAAGTTGTCAAGTACTGGGAGGGTGGGTAGGCCGCTTGTCATTACGTTCCACCTATAGGCATTATGCTAAGTCGTTTGATTCTACAGTCTTTCGTCTTTCCTCCAAGGAAAGCTGCTCCTCCGCCGATTGCTCCTTCAGCCTCTCCTCCAGGAAGTCCCAATCTCTCTTCTCCTACCAGCCATGATCTACATTCGCCCTTGTCTCCGCTCTCTCCTTCTTCGCCCGTCTTCCCTGACGGTCTCATGACTCCGTTGTGGCTAGCCAAACATCAATCTCGCATTCCTGCCGTCTACCTTTCCTTCCAGACGTTGGATTCTGATCCCTCCAACGATGCCGCTCTCAAGAACCATATCAACGACACTAGGAACACGATTGCAAAGTCTGGTTTCAAAACTCGCTATGCCTTGGTTCTTGTCTCTGACGATGCTGCCATCTCACCTCTCGACTTTGAAGAGCGACTGGCAGCAATCAGGAGAGCCACTTCCCTCGACCCCAAATCCTCGTGTTTTCATTTCGACGTGTCCGACTCTCAGACAGATTTGCCAACCTTTGTATCCAGTGTCTTGAGGGCCCTACAGCCTGTCTGTATAGACTACTACAGGGATCTGACAAAACATTCGAGGAGGAAACGAGGTCGCGCTTCCCCTCCACCTCTCACCGCTGCAGCGAGTCGTGGTACATCGCAGGTCTTGACTATGAACGGCTGGAACGTACGCTACGACTTCAAATTGGCCATCTTTGCAGAGTTCCGACAAGAGATGGACGTCGCCCAAAGACATTACGAGTCGGCCCTAGAGGAACTATTTGGCCCGGAAGGAAGCCTCGAAAACACACCAAGTTGGTCTGTTCGCTGGCAAGAAGCCCGTCTACTTTGCGACATCATTGCTTTCCGCGTCTTGCGCTGTCAAATCTGGAGAGGCATGACATCTGGTGCTGCTGAGTCATGGTATAATTACAAAGAGCGTATGCGGGATCTGATTGATCGCCGTGGAAAAGGTACCGACAATAGCTACGGCTGGGAGGCATGGGAAGCGCGATGGGCAAAAATGATGGCTCAGCTAATCGAGATGGCTGATTTGCCCGTCTTCAAGCCGATTGACCTGTCCGACCCGGAAGAGCAGTCAACTGGCTCAGCTATATATGCCCCGGCAGAGAAGCTATACTCAACTATGGAACGAATGATGCCATTCCATCTCCTTCATCACCCTGGCTATTGGTGGAGGTTAGCCTGCAAACATGTCATGGCGCGTAAAAGAAAGGCAGAAGCCATTCCACAAGAAGACCGGACGTTACCCAGTGAGACCGCAGCTGCCCAATTGGCAAGCCGGACCAGAACTTACGATACCTACATGGTTCCACAACCTCACGAAGAGGCACCGTTATCTGGCCACAGCACTTACGACTACTTGCTAGATCTCCAAAGTCAGACTGAGCGAGTGGAGAGTATAATGTCTGACAGAGGCCAAGCTAGAGCGGTTCAACAAGTCAAGATCGATCTTGCGCGTGAGTTCTCCAGAGCTGGGCGATACGATGAAGCACTTCAAACATTGCGGCCAGTGTGGGACAGTATGGCATGGAGGCGTGAGAAGTGGTTCGATCTAGCGGTAGAAGTCTTGGAGTTGCTGTACGAATCCGCCGAAAAGACAGGCAACATGAAGCTTCGGGCTGAGAGTGCTTGGGAGCTCACATACCAACGTAGGTGTCGGTCTAACAATACTCTTTCTGTCACTAACTTCCAGCAGCCTTGAAAACTCGCAAAACCATCGACCTTTTGCAGTGTCTATCTGGCGCTGGTAACGATGAAAAGTCTTCACATATTTTGTTGGACACTCAGACGAGATTATGTCCTTGTAAGATTCCCAAATCAAAATTATCGAGTACTGGGCTAACTGTGAGCTCAAGTTACCATCACGTTCTCCTTCTTCTCTGGCGAAGGCTTTGTTGGAGACACGGCTGCGTGTCAGGTCGCAGTCAAATTCAATGGACCTACCCACATGGCCGAACTCACCTTAGCAGAACTTCGCGTCCACTTCAGCACTAATGTCAGGAGCTTGGTTGTTAACCACTCTGAGAACGACAAAAAGTCTATATCCACCGATCTGAAGGTTCAAGAAGAGCACGGTTCGGCTCACCCGATGGCAAAGGGATTACTAACAAGCGCAAACTTGACATTTAAGCCTGGTCAGCTCCGTGTGTTCAATCTGACAATTCCTCTTCGCGATCCGGATTCATTCAGCGCCACGGGTGCTTCGCTAGTACTCAAGACTTCTGGAATTACCCTCGAGCACGTTTTGAGCGGACCATTGGACATTAGATGCTCGCACTGGTGGTTGCAATCACAAGACCGACTTGTGAGGAAACAAATTCCCAGAGAGGAGTCCAACGCCATTCAAGTATTGCCAAAGCCGCCAAAGGTACAGCTACGTATCATGAACCTTAAAGAGCAATACTTCATCGGCGAGAAGGTGTCCCTCGAAATCCAGATTCTTAACGAAGAAGCCGAAGAGGTCAATGCACATGTACGCGCTGAAGGACAGGACAACGCCGACGTTAGCCTGGACCTTGCCTGGAGGGACAACAAGAACAAGAACAAGACCAATGACTTGGACTTGACCAATCTTGAAATTGGAAGGATCTCAGTAAACGAGTCGAAGTCGCATGTCCTCGAATTTATGGCTCCATTGGAACTTTCAGAATACACTCTGAGGTTGGAGGTCAACTACCGCCTGGCTTCGGACTCCGAAACACCGGTGATCAAGACATTGGAGTCCATCATACCTTTCGTCAGTCCTTTCGAGGCCAACTATGACTTTGGACCGCGACTCCACAAAGGGACATATCCCAACTACTTCAATCTGCCAGAGTTCTCAGAAGAAGACCAAGAGCAGCCGAAACAAGCGCGAGGTATGTCGCAAAGATGGTGCTTGACTAGTCGAGTGGTCTCCTTCTCCAGCGAACCCCTTCTGGTTGAGACAACACGACTTGTGGTGAACCGCGTCACCAACAATGCTGTATGCGATGTAGATGAACAACAACCGCCAGAAAAACTCTCACGCACCATGGCATTGAAAGATATGATGGATGTTCCTCACATCCTGGAAGTCCGCAAGCTGACTCTGGAAGACCGCCGGCCATCGGCCATCGAGCTTTCATTGGCGGTCACTTGGCGCAGAAAGAATTCCCGCGAGCAAAACACAACGACCACGATGCTTGCGGTCCCTAGCATGACCATACCTTCTGCTGAGCCTAGAGTGCTTTGTACTGCATACATCCCAGAGAATACAGACGACGAGGCCATTACCGTCTCGTACATGCTAGAGAACCCATCGATGCATTTCTTGACGTTCAACCTGACCATGGAGGCAAACGATGCATTTGCTTTCAGCGGATCGAAACATCGATCTGTGAGTCTCACTCCCGTAAGTCGTGTGCAGGTCGAGTACAGGCTATTTGTATATCCTGTGGAGGACAGTACTTTGACCGAACGGCAAGGTCGAAAAGGACATTGGATCTGGCCCTCTCTCAGAGTGGTAGACGCATATTTCCAAAAGACACTCAGGGTATTGGATGCCGAAGATGGGGTGCAAAGTGACGATAGAGGTGGCGTGGGAATCTGGATACCCTCGTTGAGATGATGGATGTTTCGCAAGTAGATGAGTTCGCAATCTCGGTATTTAATGTTGCTATAATTGAAGAAGGCAACTTTTTACGAGCTGATCTAGGTCCTTAGCTTTCACGAGTCAAGGAACCTTACCCCTATTTCCACACTTTACTGAAGTTCGTGTCAAAATCGCCTTCGCTGTCGCCGTCCGAGGGTCATGTTCTCGTTGTTTACGAGGTCCGAGCACTTCGCCGTCGGCTGAGAGCTTCCAACGCTTGGCGAGGATTGGCGGACCATTGAGCATGTATATTTCTCATGTGACAGGCCGCATTGTGGCTCTTAGACAGTGTAGGTGCTGTATGTCTGTCATATGCAGCATAAAGAGATGACATATGGCATTATATGGTGTAGGCTATGTAGTATTTTGGTGGATGTGTAAATTGTTCCACCTTGTTGTAAACGTGTTGTTTGTTCTCGTCTGCCGGCGTTGAGCTGACGTACTATTGAATCGCTCGTCCTTGCGCCTCCGCACCGCATTGAGACTCCTTCCTTGCATTCTATCCCGTGCCATCCATTCAAAACCCAGCCGTCAACCTCGTCAACCCACTCCGAAGCTTTGAACATCAGCGCTTCTCGATTGAGTGAGCTATCTCGTCGATTCTCTCCTCTCCGCACCCAGCTAACCCGCCGTGTGGCAGCGATCTTACAGCATGGAGCCCTGGCAATCTTGGGCAGTCGCCCTCATCGGCGCTGCTGCTGTCTACTACTACTACTTCCAGCATGGCAAGCCTGCTGCCAACAGAACTCGCTCCGCCTCCGTGTCGGACTTTGTTGCTCCCCAACCCAAGACCGCTCGCCGACGAGACTCGACCAAGCCAAAGCCCAAGTCTGAAGTCACCAAGTCTACTGGCGTCACCATTCCTCAGCCCTCGAGTGTTTTGAGCGGTGAGGACAGCAGCAGCAAGGCCTCGGATGTTTCCAAGAAGCGCAAGGCTGGCAAGAAGCAGTCCGCCGCACCTGCTCCCTCTCTCACCCCGGCCCCAGCCCCCAAGCGTCAAGAGATTGATGACGACGATGTCGCCCAAGAGGAGGATAACAAAGCCTGGGCTCAACAGCTTGCCAGTCTCAAGAAGGGCACCAGCCTTGCCCCTCCTGCTCGTACCGACTCACGCAACAGAACTGTGAAGCAATCTTCCAAGACCTTCTCTTCTGCTTCTTCCAACAATGCCGATGATGATCTTACCCCTTCCATGTCGAGCGCTGGCGATGTTTCAGACATGCTTGAGCCTACCGCCTCCGGCCCATCCGTCCTTCGTGTCACTGGATCCAGCAAGCCTGCCAAGGCCAGCCAGCCTCGCCAGCAGACACAGGCTCAAGAGCAAGAGACGAAGAAGCAAAGACAAAACCGTAAGAAGGTTGAGGACCGCAGACTCCAAAGAGAGGCCGAGGAGAAGGAGCGCCAGACTCTGCTCGAAACTCAGCGCCGCACTGCTCGTGAGGCTCGCGGTGAGCCCTCGAAGAACGGCATTCCCGTCTCACAACCTCCCACTAGCAGCGCATGGGCTGAAGAAGTTGCCAAGCGTGCCACTCAGCCTCCTGCTGTGGCCGTAACCAGCGAGAGCGCTCCTCTGCTTGACACTTTCGAGCAAAGCAATGGAGCTTCCGAGGAAGACCAGCTGAGACTGGCCAAGCAGATCAGCCAAGACGACTCGGGCTGGAACACTGTCCCCAAGGGCAAGAAGCAGCAGAAGAAGAAGGGTCCCATCGGTGCCTCTGAGGACTCCAACACCAGTGATGCTGGCTCTGTGGTCAACGCCCCCATCGAGAAACCCGCCCCTCTTCCCAAGGTCACTGCACCAACAGCCAAAGCTCCAGCTGCCTCGACCAACGGATACTCATCCCTTTACGATTCAGGATACGATGCAGGCAGCCACCCCGACGACTCCCAGTGGGCCGCTTAATCTTACTAGGCTCACGTTGTCTTCGCCGCCTTTTCAGGCGTGCGTGGAGATATGAGTGCTCCCCACATCTTCATTCTTTCTTAATTGGTCGCACCTAAGAAGCGTCCAGAGTCGAGGAAGACTGTCGATTCATGTTTTGTTTTTCTTTCCAAGCAAGGGTATTCCCACAGGGCATCTCGAAGGGTTCATTTCTTTGCTTTCAATTGAATTCTTTCTTTAAGCCACACAAAATCAGGAGACAAAGAGATGCGGCTGATTTGAGAGCAGGCGTTCAGATGGATCTTGAAGTTCCTGCCGTTCTCTCTTGTACTTGATCATTGATGTATTCAAAAAAACGAAATGCTTTTATATTCATTCGTGCATGGTCTAATAATGGCATAGTGAAGTGGGGTTGGCGAAGCTTGTTGCAGTTGAACCAAGTTGGACGTTCACGTTCCTCGGCCACATGCGTCACGACATAGAGACGCGATTGAGACGTTATGAGTACAACGAAAGGAGTCACCAAGTAATGACTGTTGCAGATGATTCGGTCGTTCTGCTCCTGCTACCTATATAAGTACAACGAACCGCCTATTGTTGGCCTTTAACGGCGTGAAAATCAAACAAAGAGCAGATCTAAAAAGGGACAGAGCGTTGTTCGCTACGTAAATCCGCGACAAGCTTCGATTTGCTGACAAGTGGTCTATTCTTCCCCACGTCTCTGGCCTCTCTAGACCTTTCGTCAACGAGGAGACTCTTTCCCGAACTCTCTCCTCTCCACCCCCTTACACCAATTTTTACGACACGATGGCTCAAATCAGAGGGACGGCAGGATACCACTTGGGCTCGCAGCCTTCTTTCGGCGGCCCCGGACAAGCAGATGCCATTAATGATCCCAGCCCGCTGGATGCCATTCGCGAACAGACGAGCAAGATTGAAGACTGGCTCGACACCTTGTCGCATCCCGTCAAGCCGTGAGTCTTGGACATGTTCTCTCCTAGAGCTATATCAGCTAACACAGGCATAGTTATATCCCTGCGATTGGCCGCTTCCTCATCGTCGTGACCTTCCTCGAGGATGCCCTGCGCATCATCACCCAATGGAACGACCAGCTCACCTACCTTCACGACTACAGACACAGTAAGCCATCTCTATACTCTGCTGCTCCTACTGCAATGCGGATCGTAGACTAACACTGTATACTAGTCCCCTCTGGCCTTACCCACATCTTCCTTATCCTCAACGTCATCGCCATGTCCAGCTCTTCCTTCATGATCATCGTCCGCAAGCACAGCGAATACGCAGTTGCCGGTCTTTTCGGAGTCGTCATCACCCAGGCCCTCGGCTACGGCCTCATCTTCGACCTCAACTTCTTCCTGCGTAACCTGTCGGTCATGGGAGGTCTCCTGATGGTCCTGTCCGACAGTTGGGTGCGCAAGCGATTCGCCCCTGCCGGTCTTCCCACTCTCGACGAAAAGGACCGCAAGATGTACTTCCAGCTTGCCGGCCGTGTTCTCCTTATCTTCCTGTTTGTTGGCTTCGTCTTCGCTGGCGAGTGGAGCTTTGGAAGAGTGATTGTTATTCTGCTCGGTGCTGTCGCCTGTGTCATGGTTGTTGTTGGTTTCAAGGCCAAGTGGAGTGCCGTCATGCTTGTTGTCATCCTCAGTGTCTTCAACTTGCTCGTCAACAACTTCTGGACTGTAAGTTTTTGGCCCTCTATTCTAAATCATGGTTCTCTTTGACTAACACATTCAACAGCTGCACCACAACCATCCGCACAAGGACTTCGCTAAGTACGATTTCTTCCAAATCCTCTCGATTGTCGGTGGTCTCCTCCTCTTGGTCAACATGGGCCCCGGACAGTTCAGCGTCGACGAGAAGAAGAAGGTCTACTAGATTGCCTTTTGAACTCCATATCAAAGAGAGATGGAAGAGCAAAAAGGATCCAAAATGTCTGGTCGGAAATTTACAGCATACAAGCCCAGGAGTTGTCTTATTCTCAAGATGACTAGCATAACAAACTCGGTGCACAAAAGGCACGGATGACACAAATCAAGCAACGAGAACAATGGCAGTTTGAACTCTCGGTAGAGAGGGCGATTTCAAAAATGTTATCTTTCAGCTTTTCTCTTCTTCTTTGCTCTTGGAGTTTTGTGATATCTGCTTTGGTTGCTAGGCTTTTGCATCGCCATACACAGGTAATCTGGGTTCATTGACATGCCGACTTTCGAGTATCTCTCATGAACGCGTCTCAAAAGCAGAAGTGGGCCTTTTCTTCTCTGTTTTGCCCGATCGTTGGTTTACTGAACATGCTTAGACTATTCCTTTCTATCAAGAGATCCTAGATCATCCGCTTCCTCCCTTCCTCTCTCCCATTTCATCCTTTACCGCCCAAGAAATTTCTTGGTCGCTCCTTCTTCAATCCCCATCCCAGCTGTTTCTTCCTCTTGTGATTGAAAAGTCTTTGGTACGTTTGTTTCCTTGATGTGTAGAGTACGTTGCACCTTTCCTCTTTGATTAATTGTTCCATTGGTGTTATGGTTTGGGCTCTCTCTTGCTCTATCATGCAGGATTCTATATTGCTAGTTGGGTCTCGGTTGTATCTTTTTTGTAACTTTTCTTGTCTGTTTTTTAACCCTCGATGCTGGTTTTCATGGCTTCTTCCTGGCTTCTTCCTGGCTTTCATGTTCTGCTATCTCGGCTTCTTTTGCTCTCTTTACCCTTTTTGCTATTTCGGGGAACGAGAGCGTACGGGGGAAAGGGAAGCAAAGAAGCAACAACAACAAAGCGTATTAAAAAAAAAAGTAACGATGAACCGTATAAAAAAAAAAAGGCAAAAACAGACCCGAGTAGGAGAAACCCACGAAAATACATACAAGCAAAAGACCAAGGACAAAGAGCAACGGTAACACTTGTTTCTAGGGGATCGGAAAAAATGAAGAAGCCTGGTTGTGTAGTATAGGAGAATGGAAGGACGATGGGAAGTATAAGAGCAGAAGGGGTGATTGGGTATCGATATATTGGCTACGAGAGGGTGACAATGAGTGAACGGTAGATGGAAGAGGGAGGTAGCATGAGGGATCTGAGGCGGGAGCAGATGAAGGTACCTACGGATGGATACCATGGAGGATTTTCGACTGTGCAGGTGGGAAGGAGCGACCGAGGTATGAGGGGAAGGAGCAACCGAGGATGGAGGAAGGAGCGACCGAACATGAAAGGAAGGAGCGACCGAGTATAAAAAAGAAGGAGCGGTTGAGCACAAGAAGAAGGAGCGATACAGCAAGATGGGAAGGAGCGACATGGTAGCAAGCAGGAGCAGCAAGACAAGGAAGAAGGCGCAATGGGCATCATCAAGGAACATGTTTTCGTAACGCTATGATTGGATTTGTTTGTGATACTCTATGTATCACCATTAACACCTTCCTGCGTTTGTCCTCCTTCTCCTCTCCCAAGTATCGTATGGAATCTCCAGAATAAACTCGAAACCAGACCAGTAACCATCTGACTCCTTCTTCTTTCTCTCATCCAAGTATCGTATTGGATCTTCAGAATAAACTCGGAACCAGACCAGTAACCATCTGACTCCTTCTTCTTTCCCTCATCCAAGTATCGTATTGGATCTTCAGAATAAACTCGGAACCAGACCAGTAACCATCTGACTCCTGCAACAACCCCCAAAACGCCAGTAACACTGTAGCTTTTCATCTTTCCCTCCAGAAACGTCTTGGGGAAGTCAGACCAGTAACCACCTGACTTCCGCAAACCACGTGATTGCCAGTACACCGTCCATAGCCTTCAAGTCGTTTCATCCATCAATCATTTCTACCAAGCCATCCGTTGACGGGACCTCTGAAGACTTTGGCATTGGTGACTCTCCAGCCCCAGAAACTTCTGCCTCCCTTTCCGGAAGGGACAAGCCATTCGCCGAGTCCGTGATAGTTGATACTATCCTCCTCACCCTTATGCCACTCTCTGAAGTCCTCAGCGTCCTGAGTGCCACCGCCAATACGATGAGGATCGGGCAGCGAAGACTCCCACAATGCTACTTGCGTTGCACGAACTCCATCAGCATCGTCGTAGCCAGCCTCGATAAAGAGAACGGGGGAGTGAAGGTACTCAGGGTTGATGCGGCCAATGAGGTGACGGCGGAGAGATATTTCAATGGGGCCTTGGATGGTGATGTAAGGAAGGGAGCGGCCACGGAAGACTTCGATCAAGGTCTTGACGATTGCCTTCTCGGAGACGATAACAGCGACTTTGTCGGCAGACACTCTCTTGACTACGTATTTGCCCTCGGAGGATGGGTCAGGAGCAGGTGCGTTGAGACTGTCGAGTAAAGCTGCGGTGGCCCTGGAGTTGGCGGTGGCCCTGGAGTTGGCGGTGGTTCTGGTGAACTTGGGCTTCTTGGCTGTGCCATTGCTAGGACCTTGACCAACGTCGTTGTCGAGATCGGCGTCCTGGCCGTTGTTGGCAGGGGGGACCCACATGGAAGTGGTCATTTCAGGCTTGACATAGTTGTAGCGAGTGAAAAGCGTATTGCCCTTGATGGTGATTGTAAGATGCTTGACATTATGCGAGAGACGTTCAAAGTCACGCAGGAACATGCACCTGGATTAGGTCAGCAACAATGATATGCGTTGGAATTGAAGATGCATCCTACCAAACGTCGTCCTCCCAGTCGCCAAATTCGGTCGAGTTGATGACGATCTTGAGATGAGTCGTCTCCTTGAACTCTTCGGCGCCGCCGGTCTGAATTTGGGCCATGAACACCTGACAATCGTCGACGCCGTTAATCTGGAGCTGAGCCTCGAGGGCCTGCTCTCGCTGTTGTTTCTTTGTCATGTTGGTGCTGTCAGTTGCGCGAGATGCTCGAGGTGATAAGGCAGGAGTGGAGGCCGAAATGTACTGAGAGATGGGCTTGATCACCTCTTCTCTTTGCGTGCGTTGTAGCCTCTCTACAGAACTGATCGTCGTTGCAATGGGTGATGATACCGTGGAGTGATTGATTAGCTGGATACCTGCGCATAACCAAAATTGCGTGGGGACTTCTTGATCCATCGTCGAGAGCCTCCAGCGCATCGCGCTCAGTGCTTTCTTTCGTATGCTCTCCACCAGAGAGCCATGTTGGCAGCTACTATCAAGTCCAACATCTTGACGCCTTCATCCTCGATGATCAACTTTCCAAGCTTGGCCTGTTTACCACCGAATCCTCCGCCAGCACGCTCTTGGCCTAGAGAGAGATCGATGTTACCGTACTCGTCAAGGAACTTTCCCATGCCAGGAGAAATGGGGCCATTGGTCAACTCGTCCGAGGTAGAGTGTCTGTGCATTGCTGGCCTTGATATCACGGATGACCTTTTTGATCCAGGGTCGGTGGACATCATACTCCTAGTACTACTTCCTGTTGGAAGGTTGAAGCGCAGCTCACTAACTTCGGTTGCTGCACTTGATGGATTCTCGAGGACGTGTTTGCACTGTATAACATTAGTGAACACGTCACCGAGGCACTTATACTCCCAAACGAACCTTTAATGATCTACCGGCTGCGCCAGTCGAGAACTCACATTTACCACCCCATGGACTCCGGAAGGTATAGCCTTTGCTCCTTCGGTCGACAATAGCCTTGGGAGCAGCTTGAAGACTTTGTCGATTCAGCTGTAATGAGGGCCGCTGAACCTGCTGGCTCTGCTGTTCTCCATTCCAGGAAGGTGACTTGCGATGTCCGTAGGAGTGGTCACCAAATCTTGACCCATCCATGTATAGTCTCCGACGGAATGTACCATCATGACCTGAGGTCAGATTCGAAGAGAGCGAGGCCATGTCAGCGCTACCTCTCGAGTCAGGTCTGGCGTGATCAAACTGGAGAAACTTTGAGTATCCTGGATTGTATATTTCCAGGAATAGTGGTGCGCCTGCTTTCTTCGTTTTGATGGACCCGTCACCTCCAATGCTAGAAGATACATCATGAACTGGCGGATCACGGATCTTCGCTACATTCCATTGGAAACCTGATGATGGATCTCGACGGATCAATGTCAGGGAAACACACGGTTCGTCCTCTTCCGGCGTCGATGAGCCCTCGAAAGACACTCGATTAGCACCTCCTGACGCATAGGAACGTCGTGAGTCAATGGAAGGACGACCTGACACAACGTTCGGATCCAAGAATTGGTTGCTCAGGGGTCGTCTTGAGAAAGACGGTCTTGCATCATTACGTTCATTGATACCGAACTGGCCATGCTGAATTGGAGGACTTCTGAGAGGTGGACGTGGCGGAATATCTGGAAGATCTAGGCTCTGACGAGAGACTACAGGCTTTCTTTGTGGTACTCCAAGTTGCTGTTTGGTGTCAAAGACGGCACTTCTTTGTCTCGGAGAACCGCCCGCAGGAGAAGTGGGAGGTGTGGGTAGTGGTTTGCGGTTGATCGTTGAGACAGCTGGTGCGTCCTGGACAGAAATCTGATCCGGAAGTTCGAGAAGGTCATCTTCAGGAATGTCGATGTGCAAAAAGTATAGGGAACTTTGGACGTCCTCTGCGCTGACGACTTTTTCGCGAGGTTTCAGGGGAGTCAGGAAAACATCTAAACATTGTTTAGCAAGACGAATTCTCCCGGAAACACATCCAGAGATACATACCCTTGCTGCCGGGAACTCTCACGATATACAGAGTCAAAGGAGCATGCGGAAGTTGTGTTGGATTCCTTGGATAGAGCGGAGGATCGGAAGCAATTGTGGTGAGCAAGGCCAATGATCTTGCCTCTATTGCGGATGCCATGGTCTTTTGAAAGGCAAGAACTGCAGGTACAAGATGTAGGTCAATCCGAAACCACTGTCTGGCAGATATGGTATAATATCGCTGATCCTGTAGCGATTCAGGCAGGCACTTGGCAGCAAACGTCTGCTGTCGTCAGAAAGTGGCTGAGCAATGCGGCGAGTCGAGAAGGTCGTGTAGAATTACGAGTAGGACAGACTGGCCTACCAGTCATCTTTTGACTCTCATGGAAGGTTATCAAGACAAAATTAAAAGGGTGGCAGGAGGAATCACGAAGGCTGGCTATGTTTACTTGGAGTAAGTGCTTGCACCCGAGAATGCCGAGAGTCATACGCTTTCGGCTGACAGGACAACGACCACGCCAACCTCACAGTCGCCACATATCCCTGAACGATCGATACAACTTTTACGAGTATATGCAGCTTGGGTGTTTCACTTAAGAGCAGCAAGCAGGAGAGTTGAAGTGGCCGCTGACATTGATATCCAACGGTCTTGGAGATGACTTGCATAAAGTGGTTGCACAAATCCCAGCATAAAAAACGTGGAGTGCTTCTAGTCTGGTCTGTGCTCTCGCATCATCGACGCCTTCGACCTTCAAGCTAGAGTAATCGCCTAGACACTGTTTCGACACCCTCAATCACAACCCAGCTCGTGTCAATCGTCGCAACCATGTCGGACCCTCGGGATATGTGGAAGAACCTGCAGAAGAGCTTGGAGCAAGCCCAGAAGTCGGGAAGAAAGTGCGCAAACATCTCTTTCCATCAAGAACATGATCGTGATCAAGACCAAGAGCTGAGACGAGGCAAATTTACAGATTCGGAGCCGGAGGCCCTACACCCAACCCTAGAGGCGCATTAGGAGGCATCGCTGTCATCGCCCTCGGTCTTGGTGGTGTCTACCTCTTCAACAACGCCCTCTTCAACGTCGATGGTGGTTGCCGCGCCGTCAAGTACAGCCGTATCGGAGGTGTCCAGGGCGACATCTACCCCGAAGGAACACATTTGAAGATCCCATGGGTTGAGACTCCCATTGTCTACGACGTCCGCGCGAAGCCTCGCAATGTCGCCTCCCTTACCGGTACCAAGGACTTGCAGATGGTTAACATCACCTGCCGTGTGCTCTCGAGACCCCGCGTCGATGCCCTCCCTCAGATCTACCGTACCCTCGGAACCGACTACGACGAGCGCGTGCTTCCCAGCATCGTCAACGAGGTCTTGAAGAGTGTCGTTGCTCAGTTCAACGCCTCCCAGTTGATTACCCAGAGAGAGAACGTTTCAAGACTCGTCCGCGACCACCTCGTGAAGCGCGCTGCCAGATTCAACATTATGCTCGATGATGTCTCATTAACAGTATGCGAATCTACTCCTCAGTTGGAGAGAGCCCTAGCTAACATGCCGTTCTAGCACCTCGCCTTCTCGCCCGAGTTCACCGCCGCAGTCGAAGCCAAGCAGGTCGCCCAACAAGAAGCCCAGCGCGCCGCCTTCGTCGTAGACAAGGCTCGCCAGGAGAAGCAGGCCATGATTGTTCGCGCCCAGGGTGAGGCCCGTTCCGCCGAGCTGATTGGTGATGCCATCAAGAAGAGCCGCAGTTACATTGAGCTCCGTGAGTTCGAGAACGCCAGAAACGTCGCCTCCATCTTGGAGAAGAGCAACAACAAGGTCTACCTCGACACCCAAGGTCTTGGTCTCAACGTCAACGCCCTCGGCCACGACAGATCGCTCAACAAGTAAACGACTCTTGTCTCTGCATCATCCTAGTCCTTGCTTTCTCTTCTCTCTTGTTCACAAAACCACGATTTTCTCGGCATGGTTAGCGTAAGATACTCTATGGCGTTTTATGGCTGGCTGCTTCAAATGTGTATAAAATAAGAATCCGAACTACTCTTCCCACTCATGTTTTGAGAGTTGTGTGCTTTACGCGAACTATATGGTATACACTCGGTCACCTTCTGACACTGAGGCTAACATGGGTCATTCGTGATTGTCGTATCTGCCGAGACTCGCAGTGCCCCGAAGCAAATTCTTTGATTATCATCCTTCCGTCATTCATCCATCATTTCACCCCTTACATACCACCACTCCCACCAGTAACACGATCCAAATTGAACGCAGCACTAACCAGCGCCAAATGCGAAAACGCCTGGGGCGTATTACCCAACTGCTCCCCGCTCCTCGCAATCTCTTCTGAAAACATGTTCAGATGATTAGAAAAACTCAACATGTTTTCAAAAATATTGATGGCCTTGATCAGATATTTTTTATCATAAGCTCCAGCTCTGGTGAGTGCTTCCACCAACCAGAACGTGCACATTGAAAATGCACCTTCGCGGCCGCCCACGCCGTCGTCGGATTTCATCGTGTTGTAGCGGTATACCAGGCCGGTGGAAGTGAGGCCGCCTTTTTCGGGCGCGAGGAGGATTTGCTCGAGGGTGGATGTGAAGCGGGGGTCATTGGGGGCGATGAAGAAGACCAAGGGGGCGATCAGGACGGCGGAGTCGAGTACTTCATTGCTCTCGTAGCTTTGGATGAAGCATTTCATATCGTGGTTGTACCCCTTTTCCATGACGTCGTCGTAGATGGCATCGCGAGCTTCTAGCCATTTCATACGGTTGGGGCAGGGGAAACAGCGTTTATCTGCTAGGCGTAGGGCGCGGTCGATGGCTACCCAGAGCATGATTTTGGAGTATGTGTAATTCATGGGTGCGGACCTGACTTCCCAGATCGACATGTCGGTTTCTTTCCAGATGCCGCAGACGTAATCTGTGAGTTTTCTTACCGCGACCCAGAGGTCGTAGCTTACGGGTTTGCCGTACTTGTTGTAGAGGTAGATGCTATCCATCATTTCGCCGTAGATGTCTAGTTGTTTGTGGAAAGCTGCGCCGTTGCCGATGCGGACTGGTTTGCTGTCTTGGTAGCCGGAGAGATGAGACAATTCGATTTCAGGGAGGTCGGTGCTGCCGCGGATGGAAAACATGATTGGGAGGCCGCCGTCGGGTTTGGGAGAGTCGATTAGGCGGGCGCTGAGGAAGTTCATGTAGGCTTCTGCTTCTTCGGTGAAGCCCATACGGAGGAGGATGTAGATGGTAAAAGAAGAATCTCTGACCCAGGAGAATCTAAAGCATCTCATTAGTAAGTGGTCTTGTGATGATAGCGAAGCACCTCACCTGTAATCCCAGTTTCTGCCACCTCCGAAGTCTTCGGGCAGAGAGAAAGTGGGTGCCGCTACGATGGCTCCAGTTGGCTCGTACGTAAGCATCTTCAAGATCATCAGACTGCGACTAACCACTTCTCTCCAACGTCCTTTGTACTTTGACTTTGAGATCCAATTGAACCAGTAAACGGAGGTGTCCTTCTGAACTTGGTCAAGAAGTGCAGTAGAGACGGTCTCTTTGTTCTTCTCTTCGAGGTCCCTGAGTACGAACGAAACGGATTGACCTTCCTTGAGATTAATCGTTGCAGTCACCCCTTCGCCCAGGGAACAGCCGTCAATGTGCTTCTTGGAAAAGGTGAGCTCTGGACAAGGAGCATCGTCGCCACAGTCAATGGTGGCTACGAGCTCCAGAGACAAGTTCTCAGAGCGGAAGTGTACAATTCGCTGTGCATCATCATCAGTCTTGATGATCTCAGTAGTGTGTGAGTCCTGAGCGTAGTTGAAGGCAGGGAACACTTCAACGTTGACGTCCGTGGCACCTCTGATACATTCTACTCTGCGAACAAGCCATTTCTTGAGCTCGCCTCGAGGGTCGATTGTGGCGCCTCGGCCAACCGTAGAGTCAAGATGATCCATTTTCAGAGGTCGAGGGAAGAAGTCGGTGAGTGTCAGAACACCATCATCGTTCATATATCTGGTTTGCAGAATGTTGTTGCTTGGGAGATACTGTTGCTTGGTTGTGATCTTCAATCCCGAAGGGGGACTGATAGTGAAGTGGCCACCCTTATCTTTGTCCAACATACGACAGAAGACGGATGGTGAATCAAAGTCGGACCTGCAGTCTATCAATGGGTGGATTCCCACGTCGAAATACACTCTACTTACCAGCACATCATGTCGATTCCACCATCAATTGCCTAGCCCAGTCAGCAAAATGCCCACGATAAAGTTGCATATGAAGCCTTACCACAAGAGCACTGGTATGCATATTACCTAGAAAGAAATGGTGTCAAATCCTGAAGCTGTGATGAGATGCATTTCATGAATACCTATCAGACCATATTGCTCGATCTGGATTGTGTCAGCGTATTAGTCGTGCAATTTCGGGATAGAAGACTTACTGGCATGTAGCCAGTGCTCCGGCGCAGACCTGTAGGGTCAGAGATATGTTCGGCCATGATGCTGCAGGTCTAAAGGCTTAATGGCTCGGTGATATGTTTGTTCAAGAGCTAGCTAAGTCCCTTGCTGATGGATGGTACTTGTACTTGTATGCAGGAAGTCTGGGGTAGCCACGAGGGGAGAAGATATCATGGAGCTTATATCAGCTTACAAACGGCAACGTCACTGGTCGTTAGATGCGTATGGTTGCATCCATGTCTTTCCGCTATCGATCTACCGGCTTGATCGTCATATGTTCGAATTACCCGGATATGTTTCGCAGAGGTTGATGCACCGTCTGTCAATCTTTGGAGGTGGGAAATAGCATATTATACAGCCACTGTGTTTGATTGAGCCTTCCGAGTGCCGGGGTAGTGACTGCCGACCATTGCACCACACTCGTCTTCTCCGGCCATTTCTCTATAGACCGAAAGCAGGAGCTAAGAAGCAGTCTGTCTTTGCCGGCATTCTCGGAGGTCGCGGACTTAAGAGAGCGGGCCGAGCCGAATCGCGGTCCTCCAACAATTGAGCAAACCATCTCGAAGGCAAACATCAATTGCAACCAACGTTTTCTGGAGAACGATTGCGATTACAGGGTAAAACACCGCGTACGCGTGCCCTCAGAAAGACCCGGCTCATGCCATGCCAATTGCGCCTGCCGCGTCTGTGTGACAGCCGACACACATATCACCACACCTTGCGCCATGCCGTGACATCTCAAACCGCCCTTCGGCACTTCCAACAAGTGCGCCATGCATCAGATGCTGCGAAAGCAGCTGAGAGAGAGGCTGCCAGAGAAGCCATCAAAGAAAAAGCGCGACAAGAGCTCTTGAGACGGCTGAACCAAAGTATCGACCCGAACGACCTGTCAGCCACGCTCGAAGCACACCGAGAGTCGAATCGCGCCTCAGTCATACATCAAGTACCAACTCACAAATCCGACCCTGAGGTATGGCGGCCGAACTTTCTGAACCGAGCCCCTTATCGAAGTGGAGCTCCAAGACCATACGAATATAGGGTCACACGAGATATTCAGGAAAGAGATGGGTCGAAACAAGACACTCTGGCAGAGTTCTCCGAGACAGTGGCCAAGACAACCAACGAGGACGATGCATATCAATTGAAGAAGATGAAAGATGCAGCACTGCTTGTGCGAGAACAGCGTGCTGCTGCCGACGCTGAGCTGCGAAATGGCCAGAACTACACGCGCTGGACCAAGTTCCTGCACGAACACGAAAAGCCGCTGATGGCAGAGATACCTGAGTACGATCCCAAAGACCGCCAAACATTCTTCGATCTGATACGAAGAGTCTATCATATCATCGTCCGGGAGCAGAAGAAAGCCAAGACCTTGGGCGTTCTCAAGGGCCCTGGTATTCTTAAGGGCATGGCCAGTCCTTTGCTGTTGCTTTACTCTAGTGTTTTTAGACCTCTGATGAGCCTCAAAGGCGGCAACGACCCCGAGCCCTGGAACCGCCGACCGAAGAACAAAGGATACTCTCACAGGGAGTGGTTTGACCTTGAGATCACCAAGTTTGCCGAATGGATGCAATTGACTACCTCAGAGAAGGCCGCAAGAGCAAAACTGACAGAGACGCTGCTCGAGTTGGTCCCAAGAGCGGCTCCAGACACGGGAGCCGAGCCATTCGGTTCCCAAGTGACCGGCCTCACAATGCCAAATTCGGACATTGACATTCGAATCTACGAACCAAACTTCAACGCTCCGCGCCAGCAAGATCAAGAATTTGCCGACAAGGAGGAGAAGCATGCCTGGCAAGCTCAACAGAGAGCCGAAAAGAAGGCGAGAATGATTGCTCACCTCAGCAAGGTCCAATCTCACCTCGAAAAACACCCAGATTTCGACCAAATCGAAATAACAGAATCATATTACCCCCTGGTCAAAGCCGTTCACTTGCCCACAAGGCTAAAAGTCCAAGTGGTCGCCACAAAACCCAGCGACTCGTCCAGAGAAGCCATCAAGTCTTACCTTGAGGAGTTGCCCCACCTAAAACCACTCTTCCTTCTCATGAAGACCACATTAAATCTACGCGGTCTTTCTGACCCCTGGCACGGTGGTTTCGGCTCTTACTCATTATTCATGATGTGCGTAGTCGCCTTGAAATCCGCCCCTCTCGAACCCGTCAAGCAAAAACCCTTCAACAGTATATCAGACGATTTCCTGTATATCCTCAAATTCTGGAGTCGCTTCGACACCTCAAAAAAACTCTTGACGATCGAGCCATTGGGGTCATGTCAGAAAAAGCTATGGGCCACTAAGGAGGAAATCGAGGCCAGCAAGACTGATTTTGTAAGTTATCCGCTCCATACTACCTCCTTCCCCTTTTTCCCCCTCCCTCCCTCCTTCTACAAAACAAAAAGCTAACCCTCCCACCCACAGGCCCTATCAGCACGCCTCCGCCTCGCAAAACCAGTCGCCTACAAACCATACCTCCTCGCCCTCCAAGATCCCGCAGACCCGATAAACGACCTCGGCCGCTCCGGCATGGCAATCTCCGACCTCCAAAAGACACTCAGAAAACTACATCGTGATTTAATAGAGAGTTTGGAGGATCCGGCTCGCAAAAAGAATCCGAGTGCGTTGTTGAAGGGGGTGGTGGGTAGGTGTGATAGGTTTTTCGATGAGATGAGGATACCGGTTGATTTGTGGGGGGAGCAGTTTGTGGTGGAGGAGGAGGGGGTGGATGGGGAGGGGAGGGAAGAAGGGAACGGGGAAGTGGAGATGGAGGATGGTGGTGGTGAGGGTGCGCTTTCGTGAGGAAAGAGGTTGCTATATGTAAATGATAAGAGGATACAACATGCTTGTACATTGTAAGATATGAAAATGGAAGCAGCAAGATGTCACCAAATCAAGAACATCCAATATACATGCACATGTAGAACAAGGACAAGGAAAACAGCAGGATGGTCGTTATCATGTGGATTTCCGTATGTTGTGTTTTACCAGGTCTATCTGACTCTCTGAAAGTGAAACCGATGCGCCAGAACGCTCCATCGTTGTGTGTCTGGCAGTAAAAAGCAAGGCTAAGCCGAGTTGTGCATACGTGATGAGGCAATGGGCTTTTTTGCGTTGCGTGTGAGCGAGCGGTAGCTAGCAGATGCTCTCCACTGAGAGCTCCAACCGATGATTACCGTCACCTCGACTCGACAACAAAAGAAACCATCATCCCCAGAATCCGTCTGTCGTGAAAAATATGCCTCCGCACGCTAAGGAAGATAGAATGATCCTCGATGCACTCGTTCGGCCGTTTGTTGGGCCCTTTGACGGGCTTTGCTGCTAGACTTCTTAGATGGCGTACTTTCTTGTCCACTCTCTGGCAGTAGCCTCGTAGCGCGAACGGTCAGTCTTGTAGACGTGTGCGATCTCGGGAACGAGCGGGTCGTCAGGGTTGGGGTCGGTCAACATGGAGCAGATAGAAAGCAGGACTGCGGGGTTGTGTTAGTAACAGCAAATCTGTAAACATTTCGTCCGCAATCGTCTGTCTCAAGACCGAACGAGTTGACGGGAAGTCGCTCACCTTTTGAGATGGTCAGAGCAGGGCTCCATTGATCTCTGAGGATGTCCAGACAGATGCTGCCGTTGCTGTTGATGTTGGGGTGGTAGATGCGGGTGGTGAAGTTGACCTTGGGAGGCTTGAAGGGGTAGTCTGTGGGGAAGTGGATGGCGAGGAAGAAGACACCGCCCGAGTATGGGGAGTCACCCTTGAGGCTTGTCAGCTGTGCTGTTGCTGTGTTTGTTGTGCGAGTGGCGACAACGGCGTTTCCTCGCCGCTGCGGCCCAACCCAGGAATCGAAGACTTACGGGACCCATGATGGTGGCTTGCCAGTGGAACTGGAGGCGTAGAGAGTCAGAGTGTGTTCTGGTTGCGATATTCGAGTGGCCACGAGGCAATCACTCAATTTTGAGGCGGAGATTTTCAGCGACGTACCAGGTCATCTCCGATGGGACCAGCGGAGCAGGATGAGGGAGGGTCACTACATGTCCATCAGTTGCTATTCAAGCGATATGGATGTGTGCGGCAGCGGTCCATGGACCATCATCAAGGTGGGGGAGGGGAAGGACAGAGGGGCGCTTTCACATACCGGCCGAGGTCGGTCAACTCCTTGTTAATTCTCTTAAGCGCCATCTTGTGCGTGTGTTGTGTGTTGTAACAGGAAGCAAGTGGTCAACGCAAGAGTCGAGGTTGTTGCGTTGATGATTGTGAAGTGGTATGCGGAGGAGGATGTCGTCGCGGAAGTGTGAAAAGGACTGAGAAGACGGTCAGATTGGCCAGCACGGCTTCCGATGCGTCATGCCGACTTACACCGACGCCGCTGCAACACAACAAAGACGGCCTTGTTTCTGCTTTTGATCGTGTTTTTCCTACTCTCACTGATGAGCGATGTTGTTGAAAGGAAACAATTGCAAGTGAGACGCTTTGCAAGGGCTCTCATTCACGGAGTTCATCAGCATTATGTGAGTGATTCACAGCAGGCGCCGAGTGTCACGCGCCCAGACAGCCTGCTCGCTCCTGCTTCGCCCATTTTGGCTTGCAGCCCAATGCACCGACTTCTTCATCTTCACTCATGCAACAAGACACACGTTCCGTGCGTGCATACATTTGACACCGTGACACGCCAATCGTGGTCGATCATACTGCACGACATCACGTCTAAAGTCCAAACAACAGTCTTCGGCGGCAAATCATCACTACTAGTCTTCGTACTTTGTACACTAATTCTTTTGTGGTCTGTTTCGGCTATCTTACACAACATGAACGGATCCGTCAGCCTGCCGACCGAATCCAGCTGAGATCCTTCCTTGTGCATCTACACCTAGCAGAAAGCTTGAATACCAGTAATCGCACGACCAAGGATGAGAGCTGCATGACTGTTAGCATTGTGCGACCGCGAAGTGTCTTTTAAACTTACCATGAATATCACTCTGGCCCTCATAGGTCTGAGTGACAAACAGGTTTGCTACATGTCTTCCGATGTGATACTCGTCACTGACAGCGTTTCCGCCAAAGACTTCTTGCAGCCTAGAATGTTATCAGCATTCGCTCTCGACAATACACGACTTACTTAAACTTACACTCGTGCGTTTACCAATGCTCTGTCGCAGTTCTGTCTCTTGATCATTGAAATCATCTCAGGGGCAGCCTTGCCTTCGTCCTTCAGGCGGCCGACTTGCAATGCTGCCAGAATGCCGTACGCTGCGTCTGTGGTTGCATCGGAAAGCTTCTTCTGTACCAGTTGGTATTTGGCGATTGGGTTGTTCTTGAATTGCTTTCTCTCCAAAGCATACTGTCTCGTCCTTGCGATGCAATCTTCGAGAGCGCCCATCGTGCCCCACGCGATACCATAGCGGGCACCGTTGAGACAGCTGAAAGGTCCTCTCAATCCCTCTATATCAGGGAACATGTTTGCTTCCGGTACAGGGCACTCATCCAACTGAATCATACCGGTGAGAGATGCTCTTAGACCATTCTTGTGCTTCAGTGCAGGTGTCTCCAGGGTTCCTGGAGGACACTCTGATCTCTCAACCAGGAAGCCACGGATCTTGCCTGTTTCCTGCAGCTTTGCCCAAACGAGCATGAGATCTGAAATTGGCGAGTTGGTGATCCAGGTCTTTGCGCCACTCAGGCTGAAGTAGCCCTTCTTGGTTGGGTGAGGCTTAGCGACAGTCTCCATGCTTCCAGGATCACTACCGTGGTTTGGCTCTGTCAAGCCGAAGCAGCCAAGCATCTTTCCCTTTGCCAATTGAGGCAAGAACTTGTCTTTCTGCTCCTGCGAACCAAACTCGTCGATACCGCCCATGACCAGAGAGGACTGTACAGACATTCCGGAGCGGTAACCGGAGTCGACTCTCTCAACAGCGCGAGTGATGAGACCTGATGCGACTGAGGAGACACCAGCACATCCGTAACCTTCAATCGTGGCACCCAGTAGTCCTAGTTCTCCCATCTCTTCAAGAATCTTTCTGTCGTAGTCTTCATTTCTGTATGCGTCTAGTTGAGTCAGCCATCGCTCTGTACTGTGGTCGAACGTGGATACTTACCTAGCACACGAGGAAGCATGCGCTCTTGACAGTAAGACTCGGCAGTCTCTGAGATAGCCAACTCTTCCTCGGTGAACATGTTGCTAGCATTGAGAGGATCCTTCCAATCGAAGGCTACTGGGGCGTGTGCATAGCGACGAGCAACTGAGGCGGCAGGGCCTCTTGAGCCAAGTTGTCTGGCTGTCTGACGGGCGACGGATTTGAACATTGTGGAGGGAGATGAGTAAGGAGAGGAGTAAGGAGAGGAGTGTGGAGTAAATCAGTCAGAGGAAGGAGACAATTGACTATATAACTACACAAGTATGCAAGAGAACAGCGGCAAAGGAGATGCGTGTTGTATCGGAAAGTCGGCTAGGCCCCGCTGTATGTAGGTTCGAGATGCCGAGGCTGGAAGTTGACGGCCGACATCAATGACTATCATAATATTGAGTTTCATACATGAGATATGCACACAGAATGCTAGGTAGGCGATTTGCGACTGAGACCAGGCGACTCTCAAGCCATGGTTCTGGAGTAGGAAAGCACATGCGATGTACGATAGATTGCTGTCGTTCCGATCGGGAATTGATTGAATGATGTCACGAGTTGGACCTTCCCAAACGCGGGTGCGCGTCAGGCAGCCTCGCGACTTTCTGCTTCTGACTGCCCGCCGAAGCCATCTAATCGTTGATCAGACCTCGATAGTTTTTGTTACAACCCATCCTGTCCTTCATTGAATCCAAGAATCCGCCGAGATGGGTATCAAACGTGAGTACACCCAAACAGCTCGCCGCAACAAATTTCTGAGCTGACCTTAATCTTGCGCAGACCTATACCAAGTCATCGACGAGCACTGTCCAGATGCCGTCAAAACCGGTGAAATCAAGAACCAATTCGGTCGCAAGGTCGCCATTGATGCTTCCATGTCGCTGTACTCATTCCTCATCGCCGTTCGCTCCGAGGGTCAACAATTGATGAACGAATCTGGAGAAACAACTTCACATCTCATGGGCATGTTCTACCGCACTCTTCGCATGGTCGACAACGGTATCAAGCCGCTCTACGTCTTTGACGGTGCACCACCGAAGCTCAAGTCGGGAGAACTCGCCAAACGTTTCCAGCGCAAGACGGAAGCTGAAGAGGCTCACGAAGAAGCCAAAGAGACGGGTACCGCTGAGGATATGGAGAAGTTCAGTCGCCGCACTGTTCGTGTCACCAGAGAGCACAACGCCGAAGCTCAGAGACTGCTCAAGCTGATGGGTATCCCCTACATCATCGCTCCCACTGAGGCCGAAGCTCAGTGTGCAGCCCTGGCTCGTGCCGGCAAAGTCTATGCTGCCGCCAGTGAGGACATGGATACTCTGACCTTCGCCGCCCCTGTGCTCCTCCGTAAGCTCACCTTCAGTGAGCAGCGTAAGGAACCTATTCAGGAGATTCATCTGGACAAGGTCCTGGAAGGCCTGGACATGACCATGGACCAGGTAAGTTGATGCTGACATACTCTTCATGTCCCCTGCTGACGATCCCACCAGTTCATCGACATGTGCATCTTGCTCGGCTGCGATTACGTCGACCCTGTCAAGGGCATCGGCCCGAAGGTCGCCTACACCATGATCAAGGAACACGGAAGCCTCGAAGCTGTCGTCGGCATGCTGGAGAACAACAAGAAATACACAATCCCGGAAGACTGGCCTTGGGCCGAAGCCAAGATCCTCTTCAAGGAACCCGATGTTCGCAAGGCCGATGACCCTGAGTGCAACTTCGAGTGGAAGGCCCCAGATATCGATGGCCTGGTGAAGTTCCTCGTCGAGGAAAAGGGCTTCAGTGAGGACAGAGTCAAGAACGGAGCTGCCCGTCTCACCAAGAGTCTCAAGAGTGCACAGCAGAGCAGACTCGAGGGCTTCTTCAAGCCAGTCGCCAAAACCGCGGAAGAGCAGGCAAGCTTGAAACGCAAGAACGAGGCAAAGTTCGAGGAAAAGAAGAAGAAGCAGAAGCAGGCAGCCAAGGAGAAGAAGGAGGCCAAGGCCAAGCCCAGAGGTACTGCTTAGGAGAGTTCGATCGACATACATTACGGATGCAAGGATGGGAGTTTTTGATGGCGTTTGCTCATATGGGAATACCCGCCAGGAGGACCAAGTATACGATTTGTTGTTGTCGGCGTTTCAGGAGCGAATGGCTCGGATGGTATCAGCCATGGCATAAAAGGCTTCTTACAATTGCTTGCATGAATACTACGATAGCTATATGCTTCTTTCAAACCCTTCTTTCTTGTGACATGTTCCCCTTCTGTGTTCAAACAGTATGACATACTCTCCGTGTACCAAAATCTGTCACTTATGCCACCTCCCGTGGCCACGCCTGGAGTCTTCTGGTCTGTAAAATGCACATTGTTTTTCGAGATCGATATAGTCGCCCATAGAGAGGCGCTGAATACTATGGTCTTAGTGAGGCTTACTCCTAACACTGCTAGAGTTGTGTGTTTCTACAGTTTTATGCTTGACCAAACGTATAGCACATGGGGATCATCAAGTGACTCCAAGAAGTCCACAGAAATGCACAAACTTTTCAGAGCACATTCCTAGCCCATGATATTTCGCCTTGCTGGATGATATATCGATCGTGAAAGTATTGTACAGGTTTGCGACTGCTTCGACGACCCGATTTTGACATTTTGACTTGCTTGTGGGGGTGACCCTGTCTGTCTACCAAACCATCTGACATGGAGCAGAAAGATCAAGTAGAATGACCGTGTCGAACCAGCGCCGATGAAATGTACAATATCAACTCACTCGGCAAAGTTTTGCACATACAACCCAAGAAGACAAATTTAAACAACAAAAAAAAAACACATTCTTATAAAAATCGTAAATGGAGATGTGCAAAAACTATGCATTACTAAACGACCTCTGTTTCGTGTCTCTCTCTCTTCCCCCCTTGTCACAAGACAATCTTTCTATTGCTTATAACAGTATTTGTCGAAACAGGCGGTGCAAGCCTGAGGCAAAGCAGAGCCAGTTTTCTTCATAACCGCACATCCCAAACAAGTCGCCCACCCATCCTCTCCATTCTGCGTAGCGATGGCATTTCCATTCGCGATAATACCAGCCGTCTGTTGCTCAGAAGTCTGTATAATCACGGTATCGATATTGGAAGCATATGTGTAATTGTTATTCGGCAGATACACAATCGTCGCTGTTTCCGCAGTGTCGCAGCCGAAGAAAACGGCATGTTTGTTCAACCCTTGAGCGACAAAAGAGTCCAAAGAGGGGATAAAAGGCATACGGGATAGGCCTTGGAGTTGCGCTTGTTGGTATGCGGTTACGATGGCTGTGCCGGAGGGGAAATCATCGGCGGTGTCGGCGCCATTGTCGGCGGCGATGATGACATCGACGTTTCTTTCCGGTTGGATGAGTGGCCAGAATGGCATTGCGGAATCTCCTTCTCCGCCGTCTACGATCTGGATCTCCGTTTGAGCATTCGTGAGCGTGGAGGCAGGGTACTTGTAGAAAGGGTTAGGGTAGGGAGCGTATAGATCTCTGGTGACCGGGCTGTGGGCGTTGAGGATGATGGCTTGGAGGGTTTGAGCGAGTGATTGTGTGTTGTTTTTTGCGGGGAGGGCGGTGCAGTAGTTGTTGAAGAGGGCGGAGGAGGTGCCTGCTACGTAACCGATGTTGTCGTAGTTCTTGATGCATTTGCCTGATACGGTGGGGGCTCCGTTTGTGAGTCTGGACCCGAGGTAGGCGGTTTGGGTGAATGCGTTCACATCGGAGTCCCAAGAGCCGAACTCGTGGGGAGTCTGTAGGATACGGAGTTAGAGGGTCGTTTGGATAGTTCACCATAGAAGAGATCTTACGAATTCGTATTGTGTTCCGTTTTCACGAGGAATGCATAATCCTTCAAAGGTGTTCACACCTCTGGCGGTGATGATGGGGTAAGGAACAGCGTGATTGGTGAAGTTGGAAGATGAAGCCACGCTGGAAAAGGTCTTGGAGACGGCACCATCGGTCAGAATATCTTGAGAGTTGGTGCTTAGCAGCTGGTAGGAGAGCAGTCTGCCGTAAACGTCGATAAGAGTGGGCTGGAAGCCAGCCTTGGCCTTGTCTACGATATCTTTGACCTAGATTGATTGTTAGGCGAAAGACAAAGGCTCAATAAAGACATGAATGCAACATACAATCTCAGCATATGCAACGGCGGAAAGAAGACGTGCTGGAACGAGAAGCGAATCGGCAAAAGATTCAGACCACAGGTTGTCTCTCAAATAAGAGACGGTGGGCCAGTTCAGTCCAGTCCAAGATGTGCTGAACCATGCACCACCGGAAAGAGACGTCTCGTAAGTCATGGCCTGATAAAGACCACTGGTAGATAGAGAAGAGTCACGAGAATCCAGACCTTGAATAAGACCGGCACCAGAAAGCAGAGCACGGTAACCACCTCCGCTCAGGACCAAACCGACAGTAGGGAGGTCAGTAGTGGCGAAAGAAGAGTCGGTCTTCTGCAACCAAGCAGCAAGAGCGGCATCAGCTTTGGGTTTGCGGGCTGCGATGTATGCAGCTTCCGACGAGCCGAGACCATTGGCAGTACGGACAAGAGGAGTGCTGGGGCAGCTTGCGGAGACTGGAGCATAGGGAGTGGAAGCTCTAGGTTCAATGGCAGCAGCAGAGACCTGGCTAGCGAAACCCAGCAGGGAGAGCTGCAGAATTGCAGCGTAAGGGGCCATAACGATAGACAGGAAGAGATGTAGGAAGGGACTGGAGAAGACAAGAGACGAGAGAGCGAGGACCTACATTACATACTACCGGACGATGGTTCATATATTTACCTCAAGGGCAGGGCATGGCAAGCACAGACAAGGAATGTAGAGAGGGTTCCGGTAGGTGGTGCGTAAGCGAGCACCTGTCGGCAGTCTTCGAGAAGAACGGTAGAACCAAATAAGATGATATCCAGCGGACGGGAGTTCTTATCCGGCGCATGCCAAGCACGAGCATATATTATTGTACTGCTCCAATTCTCTCAACTACAGCTGTAGAAAGACATAGAGTTTCTCCATGAAATGGAAAGTATCGGATGAGAGCCAATCTTGTCACTCTTTTGGAAGATACTGTTCACGTGTTCAAGATCTTCACATGTTTCTTACGGCCGGAGTCTTGACGGTCCGATGTTGAAGTGGCATTTGCTGGATAAGAAGTCCTCGTAGATTTAGTGTCATATGGTGAACAGACCTGCTCGGTTATGTAGATCCAACGGGCGTGTGCAGAAGTGCGAAATCGATAAATGGGATTCCAGAGAATACATCGGTCGCGTAAGTTGAAGCGGTAGGTCAGGACCAGTAAGAACAGGCCGGCAAGAGGGAATGAGATTAGATGTGGGAGCACGGTCGAGGATAAGGATAAAATATAGTGAAATCTGGACCTCGGTGTTAATGTGAAGGAACCAAAGTTTGAGACATTAATCGCGTGGGACGGGTAAGCCGGGATGCCGGCAACGTCGACCTTGAGTGTAAACGACCTTCCAGACGGTGATTGAAGAGATGGTGGATAGAAAAAGGCATGTCAAGAGCGAAGTAAGAGCTGACAGAGGTCGATAAGTAGTTGTCCAAGATCAAGCGACTTCCAAGACACAGTGAAACAGGCAGACATGATCAGCAAGGTTGTTGGCGGCGGGCCGGAATATTTAAATAGGCATACGAACCCCACGTCTAGCGTCGTCGGCAGGTTGGACAAGAATTACAAGATTGAGGAAGAGCACTTTTGAACATGACGGATCGCGCGAGTGAAGGAGGACGCGAGTTGGACCTGGAAAAGGAGTTGTCGTGCTCTGTGAGTTTTACGACCATGTGTCGGCACATGTGGTCACTGGTCAGAGACTAACGGTGGCTCCAGATCTGCACCGACGTACTCTACCGGCCTCTGACGTTGCTCGACTGCTTGCATACCTTTTGCGGAAGCTGTTTGAAAGAATGGTTCGCATGGCAGTCCTCGTCGAGAGGGCACATATACTCTTGCCCAGCATGCCGAGCTGCTGTACGCGACACACGACCGAATGCGACCCTCACCACCCTGCTCGAAATGTTCCTGCACGCCCACCCTGATAAAGGCAAGACGGCCCAGGAAAAGCTGGACATGGACAAGACATACAAGCCTGGAGACAATGTGATACCACCTGTAGACCTCGGTCAGGTATCAGATGAGGACGATGAAGAGGATCAACAGATGCTGGCCCAGGCCCGTGAGCTGAGCCTGGACGACGTCGGTCTTGGTACTCGCTCTACCCAGCGTCCTCGCCAGACGCATACTCGCCCTATAAACCGACATGCCGAGTCACCACGGTCAAGCCAGACCGACGGCTTGTCACACCAGTCCAGTATACGCTCTTTACTCAGTCAGTCGGACGTCGACTTGGGCGACATGGAAGATGAAATCATGCGTCACATCATCGACCATGGTCTCCTGGACGGAATGGATCTCAACAATCTGACTCCGGACCAGGAAGACGCCATCACAGACTCCATCGCCCAAGCCTACCGCTCTCGACGTCGTCAAGACCGTCGCGATCGTGATCGTGATCGTATTCGTGACCGTGACCGTGACCGTGAACCTTCTGCTGCTCACCATTCTCCGCTTTCCTCAACTCATAGACACTCTCCATCGACCTCTACCCACCGTCGAACCACATCGACTACCACAACTCGCAACCCTCACCTTCTGCCTTCTGCACAGACTCATCCTTCATCAGCAAGACGTCGCGCTGCCTCGGCCAATCTCACGCCCCGACTCAACACCGCTTCTGATCGCCATCAACGCCTAAATCCTGACTCCTCCTCACGTCCTTCGAACCACAGCTCTCCCGCATTGCCGTTGCCGACTCGAGAAGAACCATCATCAGGCATACCTTCTCCATCAATCACTTGCTCGAGATGTGAGAAGCCTGATATACAACACTCGCTACACTATAATTGCGACAAGTGCTTGGAAGGTAGCTTCAACCTATGTCTTGAATGCTATCATGCAGGAAAAGGCTGTCTCAACTGGTATGGCTTTGGCCGCACTGCTTTCGTTCGCTATCGACCTCAAGCTGGTCCAGGCTCCGAGCATGTGCATCTGGACCCTCCTCACGTTTTGTCGGCCAGAAAGCACGTCCAAAGCACTGCGATTCTGGAGCAAGGCTTGTTCTGTGACGGCTGTCAAGCGTTCGCCAATGCGTGCTATTGGCATTGCAACACATGCAACGACGGTGCTTGGGGCTTCTGCAATGCCTGTGTTCAGCAAGGCAAGCACTGTACTCATCCACTAGCCTCAGTCGCTCATGTATCCCAAGCACCATCCTCTTCTCATCGCCACACACCCTCAGACCTATACCCACCACCCCTGACATCCGCCACCTCTGCTTTCCACTTCGCCGTACCCTCCTCAGCCACATCCATTCTCCCCTACGTCCCCAATCCATCCTCATACACCTCAGTAACCCTATCATCCTATTGCGACATCTGTCACTACTCCATTCCACTCTCACACTCACGCTTTCACTGCAACACGTGCAACAAAGGAAACTACGACATTTGCACATCTTGCTACCATTCCCTCTGCAATACTGGGAAGATCTCCCGCGACAATGGACCATCAGGATGGAGGAGATGCTTGAAATCTCATCGTATGACCGTTATCGGCCATGAAGACAGAGAAGGCGGATCCCGTCGCCTCATCGTCCGCGATCTCGTCGGCGGCTGGGCCTTGAAGGAAGATCTCCCTACCCAATCCACCACTTCTACAACCACAACCAACCAATGGCGTTGGAAGGAAAACGATGGAACTTCCGTCGCTGTTTCTTCTGCGTCCACTCATCCCTCTAAACATCCCTCTTCTTCTCAACACTTCCCTCCAGATGGTGGAATAGGCTTCCGCGCCCAAGCCCTATGGTCATATATCCCTGGAATTGAAGCTACAGATGAATTGAGTTTTCCCAAACATGCGATCATCTCAGAAGTGGAAGATATCAATGGAGATTGGTACTGGGGTGTTTATTGTGGGAGAAAGGGACTGTTCCCGGGGAATTACGTTAGGGTTGTTTAGGTTGCTGGAGATATATCTGCTAGTAACTGGCAAACGTGCTGGAAGATGTGGAGCTAGTGAAGGTTTGGAGTCAGCGGGGTCTTGTGGTATAGACCTCATTTTGGGGATAGAGTGGGCAGCTTCCCCGGAATTAGTTGATATGCAAGATGGTCGTTGCAGAACTTGGAGTGCAGAATTTGGAGAAGTGGCAGTCGCAGTGGCAGTTTTACCGGAAGTCCTGGAATCTGGAGCCGTACGGTTGGTTGCGATGGGATGCCAGGAGAAGCAGATGCAATGCAAGATGGACGATGCAACGATGAATGAATCCCTCATCAAGACCACGTGATCTTTTCCGCTCTCAATTTCTTCCACCTTCTCTGCATACTGCATATGCACGATCCCCCCGTGCCCGATATTTCTCCATCGCAATTGCACATGCAATGCACATGCAGATGCATATATAACGATCATTAACTTCCACCCAGCATTTCCAGCATCTACCATCAATAGTTCTGTTTCCTATCACAATGCATGTGACAAGCAACGAAACCCCGTTACAAACTTTATCATTACTTCCAGAAGTTCGTGGGAGTTCGAAGATTCTGAGGTTTCTGGTCAACGTTTTTGTGGTCTCAGGTTCAAGACCGTTAGATGTATTGTCCAACGGTCCAGCTGGTCTGAATCCTCGCCAATCAGCAACATGAGGATTTTCCTGGGACAAACTACCGTTCAGAAAGGTACTATATTGTCTTTTGCCATTTCGCACTTGCTGTTCCCCTTGTGCCTGAATTTTAACTGGCTTTTACTGTTTCACGACTGTTTCTAGATATCCCGCAGCGAAGTCTTGTCTCTCGCGGGAGAGAGAACGTATATGCCTATTATTCTATTTCTTTTGCGATCACCAAGTATGTATGTTCTTTGCCTTTTTTACTGCTTGAAGTTTATTGACTCTTGCTATCTACCGATATTGTGAGACAAATTTTGTGCTGGCTGTGGCTGTGAAGGTGCACTTTCGAGTTTTGCGGAAACAGCGATGTCTGCAACACTATGGTCCTGACTCATACATGCCGAGCCAAATCACCTTACTAACCACCCGATACCTTACTAACACCGCTATCCCCTCTTTCGCTTTCCCAGTCCAGAACCAGCAGAATCAACAGCGGAAGTGAAAACAGCATAGCCTTGATATAAGATCCAGAATGGGATCCAGACCCAAAGCGTGTTGAAGAAGAAAAGGTATACCCATCTGATAATTGCGAAAAGAGGTTAGCTTTTTGGGTGATCGTGAGGAAGGCTGTTGTGGTAGGAAGCAGCAAGGTAGAGAGTGGGGAGTGAAGGTGTAAGGCAAGGTGAATATTGAGGATTTCCATGGAGAGAAGGTGATGGTGGAAAGGTAGGTCGTGCGAGAGATGTGATCGCACAGGATGAGGGGAAAGGATATGGTGTATGCAGATATTGAAGAAAAGATGAAAGACTTACTTGTACATCCAATTCGAAGTAACGAGATTAGGAGACCCACTTAACCATTCAGGAACAAAAGTCATGAATCCTATAAAACATCAGTGAACCAAGTCCCCAAGCACAACCCTGACCCTTCCACACAAGCAAAGCCCACAGCAGTTCTCGAGAAAAAGAAAACGAATGACATCAAGAATACTCACCACCATAAAGCTCACCAACAGCAAGCACACACATCCAAAACCACGCCCCACCCCACTTCCCCCTAACCATCTGCACACAACACCAAACCGCCAAAGGCCCCCCCACAAACACCGTCAACAATTCCAAACTCACCACCGTCAAATCAGTACCAGCCCATCTCGCATCAGCCTTGGCATATTCTCTCCAAAGTGCAGAATGCCATGATGACCCGTAGGCAGCGCCATAGTACCTGCCCGGCAGATTCAAGAAATGGACATGAGAAGGTAAAAGGGGGTCTGTGAGGAGGGTGGAGCCGTAGGAGAAGAAGCAGTTGTAGAGGAATGTGCCTTCGAGGATGAAGTGGATTAGAGCGTCAAAGGCGTGCCAGATGAAGAGGAAGCGGGTTTTAGAGGTTGCGTGGAGAGGCAGTGCATAGAGGGAGGTTATGTAGGCTGCGGCGAGGATCGCGAGGGTAGACAGCAATGATAGTACAGTTGTCTGATCAATGACCAGTCCGGTCGGAACTGGAGTTGAAGACATGATCGTGTGATGACGACTCGAGGGTTGCTTGAATTCCAGCACCGAAAGGAGGACTGAACATCTCAAGTCATGTCGTGCACACGCCATGTTGAAGCACGTGCACAAATCATACAGAAGATTGCAAGCATTCAAAAGACAGTCACATTGGAGTACGAGGCAAAGTAAATGTTTAAGAGTAATAGAAATGTTGATTTCTGCTGCTGCCTTCAGTCCGCTTCGTGGCCCCTCCTAAGCATTGATTCGTAACAATCCCATCGGAAGAGAAACACGCCCTCCAACCCCATCCAGAATCCAGCATGAACATGATTGCATCCATGCTACGTTCCTTTCGTGATGAGAATACCCAAAAAGCCCATGCTTGCCATCAAAAAGTTACCATCCCTGTCGCCATGATTCCTGAATTAACTATCAACCAGAGTTGAGAGTCGATGCATGCGCCCATATGATGGCATCTGTACATGGATGCACAGCGACCTGCCTCCCAGTTTCCGGCAATGTGTGAGAAAGGAAAAGAAGAACACAAATACAATGAAAAAGGAAATAAAAGAAGAAGAAAGGAAAATGCAAAATGAGAAGAGTAAAAAGGAAAATAGCGAGAACGACTTTTCAAAAAGGTATCGCGCTCGAAAGGAGAAAAAGCAAGCCCAAGTCCACAGTGAGCGGGACACGAGTGTCTGCGGTCACTATTTCAAGAGCCATCTATACACCATGAGCCATCTCATGGAGGATCCGGAACGCCTTGCAAGATGAAATGATCAATGCCGAATCGCTTTGATAGACCAAGGAAAAGTATAATAAGACGAAAAGCCAGATTAGACCTGGGGGTTGCCCAAGTTCGAGTGAGGTTGATCGTAATTTTTGAATTGCAGCGGCTGCGGAGACAGGTGCTGGATCCGAGTGTGCTGTAAGAATGCATCATGCATAAGTTTCAGCCTTTTATCCACGGATGGCTGTCGGAGTTTGCGACTCTGAGAGGTAGCCATCACGAGCATAAGGGTAGTTGTAAGCTCGCGCAACATAGTTGTTGTTGCTGCTGATAGATGCGGGCGAGCCCGAACGAGAGATCAACTTGCTGATATCGTTGCGGCTGGCGAATTTGTCGTTGGCGCCATCGAGGAACGGCGAAAGACTTTGAGGTGGGGTGGGAGTGACAGAACCAGATTGAGGACTGTACTCGTTTGGTGATGCACCGTCGCCAGAGCCATCGGTACTGCTGGGCTTCGATCCGGAACTGGTTTGAGGCGAAGGAGATGATTTGCCCGAGGATCCAGGTGTGAACTGATTTGATAATTAGCACCATGGGGATTAAGCCTTGGTGGAAGTCTTGTTGGAACCTACGTAGCAGAACTTGTTCACGAGGTCTTTATATTGCTGGGAGCCGATTGCGGGTCTGTCGGTGGTAATAGCATCAGGACGCTCCGGAACCACAGGCTTGATTTCGCTGGCGGTCCTGGGTGAGAAGTAGTGTGCATCGGCCTGGGACGAGACTTGGGTGTGAGGGAGGAGTCCACTTTGCTTTCCAAGTTTGTCCTGGGCAGTCGACAAGGCGGCGCTGAGCGATGCTCCGAAGTCGTATCTTCCGCCGAGACCGTTGACAGCCGGTGCAGAGCCAACGCGAGTAAGGTCCACTCTCTTGGAGCGAGGCTTCAGCTTGACCTGAGGTTGGGCGGTAGGGTCACCAGTGATCTTCTCGGGAGAGCCGAAGTGGTAGGTCGAACTCTTGGCGAGCAAGTCTTCGTCAGCGAACAGGCTACGTTCCTGACGTGCTTGGCGTGCCGAAGCTGTGGGAGGTGAATGTCTGCTACGAGGGATGGTGTTGCGACCAGGTCTTGATCCGGAAAGGGATGACAGTGAGCTTGTGGAAGCCGACTTGGCCAACTTCTTGACAAAGTCAATCTGGTAGTTCATGCCGTTGTTGCTGTCCCAGTGTTCCTGGCCTCCAGAGTTGTAGCGCACGCACAGCAACAAGGTCTTGTTCTCCAAGTTTGCTTGGTCGGACAGACGAATGTTGAAGGTGAAACGATCGCATCCGTCGGAAGTCGCTTGCTTGCGGACGTCGGAGTCGTATTCGGCCATGACCTCGGAGGTGGTCTTCCAGTAGTCAAGAGTGAAACGCGCAGCGACATGTTTTTGGAAGGAGATGTTTGCTACGACGACAGTACCAATGAGAGTCTTGGTGTCGGCAGAGAGGTATACCTTCTCGACACGAACGGGCAAGTATTTGCGATCGTGAGTCTCCTCGGGGAAGTTGGCAAGCCTAAGGTTCCACTCGACCTTTGTTTGTGAGTCCTTGCCTTCGAAGGGATACTCGGTCTCTTCGTCATAGGTGTCAACGGGGGAGGAGCCGGCGCTGATAGCAGACGGCTTCTCGACCTGCAGGAAGTGTCTGGTTTGGTTGCCGTTGTCGTTGAAGTGGACCGACTTGGAATAGGTGGGTGTTCCGGGCATGCTCGAGTATCGGCGTCTTGAAGACGGCCTGAGAGCAGGCTTGACAAGCTCACCAGACTTCTTCCTTACAAGCGGCGGCTTGACTCGTAGCTCGTCATCGTCGTCGTCGTCCTCGCTCTCTTCCGAAGGTGACTCGGTAACGACTCGCTCCGGAATGATGATGGCTGTCTCAGTCGACGACCTCGAATGCGAGATCTTACGTGCTGTGGCGCTCAATGCAGTCGGTGAGTGGATGGTGGTAGTGGGCTCCGAGAACGAGACACCGTTTCTTGCAGGCGAACCTTCCCGCTTAAGTTCGATTGATCGCACGGCTTGCTCCAGTTCACCCCAGGTATGAGCGAAGTTGCGCCCCCTCGGTGCTTCGGAAGTGTCTTCGCCGTCCGAGTTCTCCGAGGAGTCAGGGGGTGACAAGATGGCACCTGTCGGAATCAACAGATTGTTCACAGGAGAAGGTGATTGGCGGATGCTACCGTTGTTAGAGATGACACCCTCGACATGGCGAACAGTGCTCGAGTCGTCGTCGACTGGTGATTGCGGCAGACCAGCTGACTCTTGTTGGGTGATCGAGGGTCCTCGCCTTTGCTTATTCAAGTAGGTTGTCGATGATACTGAGCGAGGCAATGCTGGTCTCGGCGATGAGGGAGACCGTGTTCCTGAGCTCTCTGCGCTGAATGATGATGAACGGCTGATCACTGGGCTCGTCGTCCTGGACGAGGCAGGTGACTGGTGGGAGGGCGGTGTGTAAGGCATTCCGGTGATGTGATGGAATTGCCAGAGGGGAGGGATCTGTGGATTTCAAAGGCCGGCGAGCATCAGAAGGGCTGCGCAACACTACGGTTGCTTGTCAGTCCCTGCACGTGGTGGGGGAGAAATACACCTTCGGCTGTTCCGAGCGGATACTTACGGATAGATAATCAATGAGGCTGGGTGAAGGTGAGAGTGGAGTAGGTGGGTGAGTAGGGTAGGTTGGTGATTGTATTGCGATATCAGCTAGTGAAAGCCGCACCGTCTCACAGGCAAATAATTCGAGCCTGGTGAGTGAGGAAAGGCACTGCAATTCCTCGAACAAACCGAAAGCGGGAGTCGCGGCTTCTTGGTATGTTCCAACCTAGATGTGCTTCGTCACTGCCCGGCTGGGAGGAATGATGCTGATGCTATGACGATAGATAAAAGGAAAGGCCCGAGACGCAACAACGCAACAAAAGTCGAGCAAACAACAAGATGGTCAAGACACAACCGGGAGGAGTGAAAAATCGATGCGGGAACAGGCAGTGATAAAAAGCAAGGAACCCAAGCCCCAGGACGATTGGGGAAGTGTGGGCAGTTAACTGGTGGTGCGGTTGGTTGAGGGTCGTTGAAGGGTTGAAGCGGGTGCGGGCGCGAATCACAGACGGATGCGGCAGGATTCAAGTGTGGCTTCGAACCCCATGCAAAGACCAGGAACACTGGAACAGGGAGCCGGGACAAGGTTTGACAAGCGAGGATTGGCTCTGGCAGCGTAACAGTGCGTTCCGCCTGCAGCGGGTTGGGGATCGTAGTGAGCAACAACTTGCAGCAGCTCGCTGTTCTGGGCTGGGCGGCGACGGGCGCAACGGCAACAGCGAGACCGTACCAAATCGAGGGGAAGCCCGGACAATACAACAGAAACAAAGGACCGCCCTGGCGCTTTCTCAGGCACAGACAAAGTACTCGACCACATGTTGCCCGCAGGCTTGGTGCTACTGAGGTATCTTGTCTCTGTACCATGCCCCAGCGGTTGCGCCGTCAGGACTAATGCACTCGAGGAATCTTGGAGTCAGGAGACGACTGCCGTAACTATCCGAACAAACACTTGGCTGCCTGCTTTTCGAAGACTTTTTCCCTGCTGTCTTTACGCGACGCCAGAAACATCTTCATCCAGCATCAAAATCCAAACCACTCTTGCCGATGATGTTGATGATTTGTCGATCCCGGCGAGCAAGCCTGCGCGGTCGTGGCCGTTTCCGAACGCTCATCACGTCTCCTGTGGTATGGATGGCGGAAGAACTAGCCGTAAGTGCTCAAGTGCTGTGGCTAGTGACAGGCTGCGTCCGTGCTTCCGTGGACACAAGCGCTGCCTGTGTCGTTGTCATGTTGTCTCCGTTACGATGCTGACTCCTACATGCCTACTAACATGTCGTCTTGTTACATATCTGCTGACGGTGACACCACCTTTGGACAGCAACTCATTTCTCGGCTTCGTTGCGAATTACCACGGCCGCCGACTATTCATGATTACAACGACGTCTCTTATCTCTGGCACAAATATGGTTCCTCTGGAGAACCAGGCGTTTCGCTCTTCCGGGGACCGGACTGACTTTCTCCAGATCGTCCCCAAACGTCCACATTCCTCAATTGATTTTTTGACTCTTGACTAAGCTCGGACCGGCACATCAGTCAAGACTGGCGACTGCTTGAGGCGCGTCTGAACCAGTCAGCGAAAACCGGCGTGCTTCTCCTTCACGCCCACACATCTCCGCTGTGCCCAAGAAAGGATATTCTCACCTCTGCAGGAGCATGCCAATAATCTTGTATTGGCGTCTTGTCGTAGCAGGCAACCCAAACGAAGCCATATGGATTGTGTGAAGAGGTGAGAGTACGTGTGCTTCGATACGATGCGCATTGACTGTATCAGCGATCGCATCTTGCGAATCGTGATGGTAAAATTCTGCCATGGATATATCACCTTGTTGAGGGTGCAAACTGCAAAGATTGTCGTTTGGTCCACCGCGTCGCGTGCACGATCTCTCTCGTCGGCATCAGTGCGTGGTTTGTCTGTCAGCAATGACGCTGTCGTACTATGGATAGCCTGATGACACCCAGTTTGCTAAAAGGCATTTGCTCGTGGATAGAAAAAAAAGGAGGCTCTAAAAACGGCCATCTCCACTCGGCGGCAGAAAGTAGCTGAGTGCAGCGTCATTGCCGTTTCAGCATGTTGAGGGCTTCTTTTCCTCCACCCAGCAGTGACATTCTGTCGCGCCTTGCTGCTGTAGAACAAAAAGATCTACCCGCTTATCCTGCGAGCAATCACAATAAGTATTCTTATACAGAGACCGCTTCCTGGTCGTCTGGATTCCGAGGTCTCGCTACCGCTACTGCGTTGCACTACGATGTGCGGAGTCGTCCAATTCCAGCGGCCATAAAATTTCTCCATACCACACCTCTCTGCAATTACACTGGACGGTCTCCTCCAAGCGCTAGTACTGAGTCAGGTATAGTCCAATAGCTGACGACGAGGCAATGACATATTCCTTGAATCTCTATCCCGAGTTCCCCAGGTCCTTGTGGGATATTATTGTGGCTATGAAGTTAGCGGAGCCGAAATGGCACACAAGATTGTACACAAAAGCGAGTCTATGGCACGGCACACGGCCAAAGCGTAAATGGTTTTGTAAGCAGCAGTCCTATGCAATCGCGATTGATGAAACACGAGGCAGATCAATCGTAAACTTGCCTAGCAATTCTATGATGCTTGATAGTGTGTGGTTGCTGCTAACGAGCCTGACCAGCTTCAGCGAATCTCTTTTCCAACTTTGCCACCGCAAACGCTCTCCGGGCTCCGCTATCAAGCAAGCGCATCTGTCCGATACCGCCTGTCGAGGCACAAGGATCTTGTCAAAGGCTGTTCTGACCGGTCGGTACAACTTACACATATTACTGACAGCGCGCTACCGGCATCAGCTGTGTGCAGCATGTCCTGACGTAAAAACCTTTGGATGTTTGGATTTCGCAGTTTTCAAAAACTCCACACCCTGGGGCCGGCACGAGCACTTGTTTAACAAACACACGGGCCCGGCCGATAGATGAATGGTTGGTCATTACTAGCGCGGCACACACGCGCCAGTCGCGCCTCTGACGTTCAGCAAATCTGGCGGCTGTTCTTTCAACAACTTCCTCCACACAAGCCACACCAGATGGGATATTCGTCTGGGGTCGAATACGCGTTGGTGAGACGGGGCGTTTCCTCACTCAAAAACCGTGCTCAATCGCAATATCTCAACAACGCTCGCGCTGCACTTTTGGAAATTCAACCCTCTTCCTGCACGAATGGTAATTACCATCATTATTGCTTTCCAAGGTTGTGGTGTGGCATGTCGAGGCTCTGCTGAAGTGCGCCTCCATTATTGTCTGGATTTGGTTAAGCCATTCCTATTGACACAGCAACGATGCACCTCTCTACCATCGGAAATGCATAAACTCATTCTTGAATAGGAACAGCGTTGCGGCTCGTCCTGCGAAAAGTACATGTGTACTTCAGTCTCCGGGGCGGAGACCGTTGACTTGCAGACATGGAGGGGTCTACAATTCCAGATGCACGTCTTTGACATGTATCTCCATCTCCATGGGCTCGAGCCACGAGTGCAGCTGGAGGATTATTCGCCATCAGAAATTGACCCGACAAACCCATCAAGACGGTGCTAGACCACGCCTCCATCACCTTGGCAGCTATCACACCATGTCTCACAGATAAGGAAAAGACACCGAGTGCTCGATGCATACACGTAACGTACGTTCGCGGACTGCACGGCATCGAGTGCAGCAAGACCTTGTCTCGTCCTCTTCAACCTGCGACGGACACTGGATTGCATTTTCGTTCATCTGGGAGCGGGGTGAAGGGCTTGGCTTTCAATCCTTCACAATCTCACTTATCACGACATGCCAGACAGCAGCGGCGACTGGGTGGCGAACTCAAGATATGGGTCCATAAGGCCAACTCAGCACAGCATGATGATGCGCTGGACACGACAGATTTGGAAACATGAGATGTCTTGTCGCACGGACAGATCCCCGCACTCCTCCGCAGGTACTTTAATAGATGTAAGTATTGGACCTTCCGAACTCGGGCAATTCTCCACGGATCTCACTGATATGCTATTCTTGTGCGCATCCTTTCGAATAGGATATACAGCGGCTAAAAGAGTCATGTCATCCGTGGAGAAACAGGCCCGTCTCCGAAACATGTTTGTTGGAGAAAAGCATGGGGTGTGTTCGTTGAAACTTTGCAAATGAAAAGCTTTGGAGCTTGAGCACATCCCACACGCACTCCAGAATCTCAACGTCAAAACCGAAAGGATTCTTGATATCCACATTTCGGCGCTGTTTTCGCACTCACTCTTCGGACCGATTGCAAGCAACGAGTGGAGTGATGAGACGCGGAGACCCCGAAGATGTGGGCAATATGTCTCTGCGCTTTCGTGGAGGTTGAGGAGAAGAAATGAGGAGTTGGAGGAGTCTCCGTCTTTGACACTTCTGGACCCCTTTCTCCTGAGTTTTCGCTTGGAGAAGATACACATATACTTTTTGACCAAAAAGTAAGACCCTGATCAACATGCATCTGGCTTGCTGCTTGCACATGAATGTTCTTGTTTTCCAAAGAGATAGGCCACGAGTCCATAAGACTACTTTTGAGTCTTGACCTCACGACTTGAGTTTAAACTTCGTTTCGCATCTGCCACTCTACCACTACTGACACCAAGCCATGCAAATTCTGAAAAGGGAAGTAGGGCCTTGGGCCTGGCTTATCTCTGTTTGCAAGCCATACCGCGGAGCTGACCTCCTTCAACCACAACTTTCTACAGACATGCTCATGAAACTGATCACCGCAGCGATCATTGTCTCTCGGCAATACACAACGAAATATCACATGCATATTTCGTACTCTCGTTCTGGAACGCGGATTTCACTGTTGAGCAACACACGAGTTACACTCACTTCTGCCTCCCTTCATTGCTCAACACCCCACCTCGAGATGTGCTGCCTGCCCCCGACAGCGGAATCGGGTCTGGGCGCTACAATGGTCGGGTGTAACTTCCTCGGCTTCCCTGACCCGCAGTCGTAGTTTGTTGTTGTACTCCGTACACAAGTATCTTTTTCTCTCTCAGCACCCAAAACAATCCTTCCCACGCGCGCGGGGGGGACCCTCGGAAATTTCTACTCACACCTCCAAGCTGGGGTACATGAACTCGAGTAGGTGTCTGCGCAAAAAGCTTACAAAGCTCATGACAAGGACGGCGGTGAACCATGGGTACTGAATATCATCCTCATGCACGGAACAGCAGAGGTCAAGATTTGGTCCAAACATACTTGCTGCACTTGTCATCTTGAACCTGCTCTACTCATCCCTCACTTGATGTCTCTTCAAGCCTCGTATATCGCTTGCGTGGCCCTCTTTCCCAATGACAAACTCAAGAATCTACAGAAACCCACGATTGCGACACTTTTGCAAAACCCACGTTTGCCAGATACAATAAAAAAGTATATACCCGTACCTTGCTTGTTGAAACGACAAAGATCTACCTTCTCCTTTTTGAGAAGATCAGCTCGAGTTGTGGCTGAGAAAATGGACCAGCCAGTTGTAGAGTTCAGCGGGATGGCGTTTTTCGGGCCACCAAAGATTGCTCAAAGAGAGTTTTTTCGAAAGAGAGTTTGTCTCGGCAAGAAGGCGTCGCACGCTAGTGGGAGGTCGAGTCCAGCTCTCACCATAATCTTCGTGATGTTCATGCTCAACAGTAGGTGAAGTTCGAGAACTTTTGCTTGGGAGATTTGATGGTGTTTGGTGAGGGTGATCTGAAACGACTGCCTATTTCATGGATGTCGTTTGCTGTAATTAGAGTTATGGTATGGGATGTATCGCCCTGCTTTATTCGCGTTGCCTGATTATGCTCACTCGCCTTGGCTATCCAAATGTGCTTGATTACTGCAACTCTCGCAGTTCTGACCGAAGCAAGTGCATGTAGTGCGTTCAAGTCCCACCAGATGAACATGAAATTTCTGGTGAGGCGACCTCATTTCTATATTGCGTGTGCGTGCATACCTGCATATGCCTTGCATGTCCACGACAGGATTCACAAAGTCGCTTCGTTTAAGAAAAGCCATCAAAGAGGAGCCGAGTGCCGTCTCGCCGTAACCGCCAACCCTTTCCACTCGGATCACCGTTGCAGACTCAATCGATTCTTGAAGCATGCAGGGTAAAGTGTTGTACTCGAACGACAGGATAAGACAGGACCCTCTTTTTTGTTCGTTCACCCCCTCAGTTTCTGCTACTTCTCCAGGCCGATGGCAACCGATGTATGCTGCCAAGGTGCATGTGCGTTCCGTTGACGGGCGTGTACGGAGTACACGTACGATCCTTTCCTTCTCCACTGGCGTGATTGGAGTGAGGAGAAAGTATGGGGATATCGAAGGTGCTTCTTCGGTGTTTGTGTAGAAGGATTCCATCATGTCGTGTTTCGTGCCGCATTTGCTCCGGAGCTGTGGAGGTGGAGGGATATCACCTCCCTTCTGAGAAGAAGTGGTAAGATTCTGGAGGAGGGCTCTCTTGCTCCGAAAGACAAGCACGTGATACGGGTTTGCTGCGGTGCTGCCATGTCTGATGTCTGGTTGTGTGTTTCCGGCGCTTCCAGTGATGGGTGTGTGAAGCCGGGCTTGAGACCAGTCTGTGTGAGGATGGACTATGCTCCGTGAGTGGTTTGACGCCTTGGAGAACTGTGGATCATCTCTTCCGAGACCGGTGCAGAAATGGATGTGGGATGACCAGGTCGAAAGACATTTGCTGGAAAGCGCTTAGTTGGGTTGAGCGAGTAGATTGTGTTGCCAGCCGCCTTATGAATGTAGGGATCTAAACCGATTGATGAGGTTTTAGGGAGACATCCTCTTCACCGGAGCCTATCGACAATCAATACTGGCGGAGATAGGGCGGCAGAGGGGTCTCATCAGCATTGACCAGCATTGAGGCTCACGATTGTGACATCGTGGTGCACAACACTTCTAACCGTTTAGGCCACGTACAAAGAAAGAGGTCGCGACGCTTGAGCTCTCGAGGTTAACGCGTCCGAGGTCGAAGAACTTGTGCATCTCGACAGTCGTTGGCGAGTACTAGTCAGAATGTCGACTGTAGTTGGTCTCGGTAAGGGGCCATTGCACGTGCGTTCAATCGAGAAGGTGTACTTCAAATCGCTACTGCCGTCCCAGTCGCGTTCGTAGTCGCCGTTTCGTTCTTGCGTTTCTTCGACAGTGGTACTTTGCTGCACGCTAGTGAGCCGAGCTTTCTTTTTATCCACAGCGGATCTGCTCGCGTGTCGCCCTTTCCCCTTCTCCTATTACTAAGTGGTGTCTTCAAATACCACACACCGAGTTTTGCGACGACTAGCGTGGACCGAGGGGTAAGAACTGTGCCATCAGTGACAATTGCGGGACAAGCAGTTGTTGGAACGCACGATCGCCTAACAACCTGAGCTACGTCAAGCAAGCGCGGCGATACTACGAGCTCTGAGGCGAACGAAGTCATCGTTACTTCGAGCATCGTGCCTTCTATCAGCCGTGGATCAACATTCGATGGGTAAGAGAAGCTCGATTCCGTTCAGGTCGTGTCGTGTCGTGTCGTGTCGTGTCGTGTCGTGTGTGATACAATAACGCCTCCTCGAAAGGCTTCCTCAGACCATTCTGATCCGACCAAACTGATCTTGCACAGGTTTCTCATCACCGAGACATAGGTACCTGTCGTCATCAGGGTCAGCCTCAGGGAGCTCAAATCACAAAAGGCAAGAGAGAAAGAAACGGCGCCATACCCTCTATGATGTCCTCTCGTGATGTTGAAGCCACCGCTATCACCCCAGATGCTTTCCATTTCTTGCCTGTGCTTGCTCATTGGTTTTCCCTCTGCAATCCTCATCTTCTCGAAAAAGACGTACGCCGCATAAAAGACGCAAGAAGTGTTTCCAGTATCAGCACCTTTGTAGCTACGGAATTTGGTCAGCTGGCCCGATTGGATCTGAGATGGCTTTTTCTCGCTATGGTATTGATCGCGTAGGTCGCGGCAGAGTTGAGCGGCTGTGACACCAGGTTTGCGAAGATAGGCATTGATCTTTTTGCGGATCTCGTCGCAGCTGTCGTAGACTTCAACCGAATCGTCATCTTCTCCTGTTCACACCATCGTCAGCCAAGCACAGAACACACCACTTTCAGCATCGTAATTACCCTCAAGATGAACAGAACTGATATCAGTGACAGCATCCTTCTTCCCGATCATCGTCGAAGATTTGGCAGAAGCAGCAGAAGCACCAGCTTTCGCGGCAGCAGCAGTCTTTTGCTTCTTGGTAGGAATCTTCAATCCAGCCATCTCTCTCTTTCTGAAAAACTCCCAGGCACCCTGATAAGTATCACACCCCATGCCACCATACTGACCCTTCTCCGCCATGAATCTTCTGTACGCATTTTGAGAGACCCCAATGGCATCGCAGAATTGCCCAATTCTCATCTCGCCTGAATCAAGAAAGCGCTTTATTTTGCCACGGACTACGGTACAAGAGTCCATGACCTGGCCTTCAGACACGTCGAAGTCATCGAGATGGATGGTAGGTGGTGCGTCGGTGGACTTTCGTTTGGAGCCAGCTAGTTGAGCGGGTTGAGCATGGGCTACATGCTCAGCAGTGTTTCCCGTAGGAGCAGTCGAATGAACAAGATATCTATCCATTGTCGAAAAACACTCTCTCACTCCGGATGCAAAAGTCCAATCAAAACAGTCGGAAGAACAAGAGGAAGACGCGACTGTTATGTCTAGTGACGCGTGAGGGAGGAAGCAAAAAGGCGGGGTCCCGAGAGCTGTCTTTCGCTGACCAATTGACTTCGCGTGTACATCGATGACCAAACCAAACCAAACCACCTTGACGTCTTCCGAAATCCCACAATCGCACCACTTCCACATCAACTCCATACCGCATCATACACATCACATTACAAAACATCACAATGGCACCATCAAGAGCAGTCGTCCGCAACGCCACCATCACCTTCGCCGCCCTCAGAACCTCTTCCCGCACATCGACCTCACTAGTAACGCGACAATTGCACCATCTCTCCATCGCTCGCCCGATCGCAAACACACGCACAACACTATCCACCCTCTACACAAGACGTTTCAATTCCTCAGAAGCAGCCTCTGCAGCAGCAGCGCCAGAGTCAGCCGCAGTGGAAGCACCAGACTACCTCGACGAAAAAGAACTGCACATTTTCCAAAAACTGAATACGGAATTGGAGCCGACGAAACTGGAGGTATGTTTTCCTTGTTCACCACACATTAGCTTTGTCCTTCCAATCCCTCGGCTTTTTCCTTGTTACCTGCGCTTTACTTCTTATTTCCATCTTCCTCTTTCTGGTTCCAAATTACTGACTGGATATTGTACAGGTCCAAGATGTCAGTGGCGGTTGCGGCAGTATGTACGCTTTGGATATTGTGAGCTCGAAATTCAAGGGCTTGTCCGTCATCAAACAACATAGACTCGTCAATGCTGTGCTGAAGGATGAGATCAAAGGGTGGCACGGTGTGCAGTTGAAGACGAAAGCTCCTTGAGTCTGCAAGATTGAAAGACAATGTACAGAGGAAGAGCAAAAGAGGAGTGCTGTTTTTGGAAGAGATTACGAGGGAAAGGAACACCCGATAGAGGATCAGACGTGGCAGCTGCGAGGGATGGACATGGCGGAGACGAAATGCTTCATGCTTGGACAATGCCTTTGGAGGAATCGCAGAACTGTCGCAGTGGTCAGCGTAGTGGTGACAAGTGGAGAAGAGGACATCAGGTATGTCAAAACTTTCTTGTAAAACCAATTTTGTACAAATATTATAAAAAGCAAAACCAAAAGGGTTCAAAAGAAGGAAGGCAGCAATAAAGCCATCCCAACTCCACTCTATGTAAGAAGAGAAGTAACCAAGGAACCAAAAACCCATAGCAGCAATTTTTCGCAACTTCCGCATGCCCTCGACTTTCCGAGGTCGCATCTTCAATGTTTCAATCTTCGCCAATCCTCCAGTCCTCCATTTCCCTCCCATCTCCAATGTCCTCCCCCATGCCTCAATTTCTAGGCCCAACCACAGTCTTCTGGACCACCCAAATTCTCACTCTCTCCTGCCCTCCTCCCTCTCCCTCTCTAACCATCTCCCCATCGAACAATTCCCTATGATCTTCCAGATCCTCAAGTGCTTGCTTGCGAATTCTATCGGCCTCTTGTCTGTTTCTGATATCGTCAAGACGTCTAGATTGCGACTCGACACTGCCGTGTTCGAGCAAGAACAGTTTCTCGGAAGCTTTGAGGTTGGCTAGGTCGAAGGTGGTGTAGATTTCTGGGTCTTCTGTAGTTGAGCTCATGGCAGGGAGAGGAGGGGTTGTTGCGGTTGCATTGTCGGCAGAGGTAGAATTTGGCATGGCAGTAGAAGTGATTTCCTGACGCACTGCAAACACCGTTCTGCTTAACAAACCTCTGGCTTCAAAGACTGGGAGTTCGCCGACGAATTCGGTGTGTAATTGTCTCTGGCACCAGACTTTGACGTGGCCGGTAGGGACGTCTAGTTGGGCCCATGACATGTTGAACTCACCCATGCCTTGATGCAACGATCTGGGTTTCAGAGGGTCGATTGCAATGCCGCTGTTTCCGTGGGGACGCAAGATTTCGTTAGTGACTTGTGCGTTTGCTTCGTTGAGATAGGAGTATGAGCCGCAGACGAAGTTGTCCTCGTCTGAAGGTTCGGCTTCCTCGAGGGCCCATTGTTTGCGGTGGACTGTGTAGACAAAGTAAGTCAAGTCTGCTTCTTGGATGATTTCAGGCGGCGGCCGGTGTTTCTCTTCTTCTTCGTCGGCTTCCTTGGCGTGGTTGTACAAGCTTTGAATGTATGCCGAAGGGAGAGTTTTTCCTGCGGTGTGTGGGTGGCCATCTGCCCTAACTTCGATGCCGTCGTGCTCTTTTGCCTTTGAAGACTTTCTTTTTGAGGGAGTCTTGTCGACATCTTCTGAGTCGTCCTTAGGGAACACAAAGCCGGCGTTCTCTGATTTTGCTCCTTTACGCGTGCTTGCACCCTGTGCGAGGCGAAGTCTGTGTGCTTCAGTGTGCAATTGCTTGAGCTCGCGTTCAGCCTTTGTGCGAGCGGTGTGTTCGTCCTTCAATTTCTCTTTGTGCGTCTGTGCCTCCTCCTTCAACTTGTGGTATTTGCCTTCGACCTCAGCTTTGAGTTTTCGGTCCTTCTCATGGTCTTTGAGCTTTAGGGTATTGGCGATTGACTCTTCCTCCAAGATTCTGATACGTTGTAGAAGTTCTTCCTCACGCTGTTGGAGTCGTTTCTCTTTAAGTTGGCCACTCAGTTTCTCTCTCTCCAACCTATCTGCCAATCTTGCAGCATCGGGAGCCTTGACAGACGGCGAGGCTTGGGTTTTAGGTGGAGCGGGTCGAGAGGAATGTATGGTAGATGGAGCGGGTTGAGAGGAATGTATGGTGGATGGAGCGGGTCGAGAAGGGCTCATCTCAAAGTCCTGTTCGTAAGACTCTGCAAGAGATTGAGCAGCTTCGGGTGACATCGGTGCCATCGGAACGTGTTGCTCCTCCACTGGACTACCTTCTAGTCCCATGGCAAGCTTTGCCGCATACATACGCTGTCGGACCTTGACAGATTCGAGGATGTAGCCTTGGTGATACATGTCGAGAAACTCCGTGATGTCATTCCATGTGAAAGGTCCATGGCCATCGCCATTCGGCCCTGGTTTCGGGTGCAGCCAACGGCGTACTCTTTGATCCAGCGTAGTGACATTGAAGTTAAGCAACTCCTCGCGGGTGTAGTCCCCGTAATTCTCGGGCCTCAATGCTGCTGTAGAGTTTGATCTGGTAAGGCCAGATTGGTGAGGTTGTTGAGATGGCTGACGGACCAGAGACGCAGGGACTGCCGAAAGGACTGGGGGCGAAAAGCTCTGCGCATCAGATGGATAATCAACATCTTCCTGGAACAGTGGCCGACGTGGAGCATGACTTCTTGGAGGTCTGACAGCTCCCAGAATATTCTCCACCTTCTTGTACTCGCCCTGCGACTTTTGAGTCAGGGGATCTAGTGAAGTCGAGGGGCGAAGGTCTTCATGTTGTGGGTTCGATGTGTAAGCTCTCTCATGGCCATCTTCGGACGGGTAAGCCTCATCTTGCATCTGTTCCGTTACTGCATCGTTCTGTGCCCGGCGTCTTTCTCGCGATACGATAGCCTGCGATGGCAACCCTCGCTCCCGTGTCTCTCCGCTCGGCGATGATTGCGTCTGCTCATGATGGTGTTGCAAATTGCGAGAACGACCGTGAGGCACTCCTTGTCCGTGCTGTTTTGTCTGTACCTGGTTCGGCTCGCGCGATTGATTGACCTGCGATGGAATCACTTGCCCACGTGCTTCCACTCTAGACGATGGTCGTGCTGGCGATAGTAATCGGACTCGCTTTCGGCTTTGCTCCTTCACTTCGACCTGAGCCCGGCCCTGACCGTCACCTTGTGACCTGCGTTTTGATGGCATCTCTCTTCTGTTCTGATTGACGGTGCTAGCGACTCGTAAGATCATGGATGGCTCTTGGGCATATTTGTGGGCTTGCTCGTGGGTATACTTGTGGGCTTGCTCGTTTCGTGATGCTTGTCTCTCAGAGTTTGGAGTTTGGCGGTCCGAGGTGCTGTCGTGACTGAATCGGACGCGGGGTTTCTGTGTTGACGTCGAGTGGGTTTGACGTGGTGGTTCTTGTGAGTTGATATCTTGCTGTCGCTGGGAGCTTCGTGCGCTCGCATCGCTGTTG